AGGACTTGGACATGACTTGACTGCAAGACTGCAAGACTGCAGGATTTCGACATGGACTTCAGTTCTGTTCTGTCGAAGCTACTGGTATGTCTAAAGTACATACAGAGCTCCCGAGTAGGTACATAGAGTACCTACGGGATGGATGTCGTACATCGAAGGTACATCGTATATACTCGCCACCAGCAAAAGTGCATACCCACGCCCGCAGGCACGCACGGCTGGCTCACAGGTTACACTTCCTGGGCCCCTCCTCCTCCACATCCTCTTATCGTTCGGATCCGCCCGGGGGGAGGGGCAAGTTCTTTTCTCCAGATCCGTCGTCATCGTCTCGTCGAGCTGAGGCACGATTCCGGTGGTGGTGCAGGGCCAGGGTAACTAACTGCTAGTAGGTATTTGTCGACCCCACGCAACCTACTCTACTCTACGCAAACCCTATTCGTTGCTGAATGGGCGAGGGAGGAGAGGGGAGGAGGGGAGGAGGGGAGGAGATGTAGGTAAGACATGCATGGGAGGAGATGTAGGTAAGACATGCATGGGAGGGAGGGAGGGAGGGAGGGAGGGAGGGAGGGAGGGAGGGGAAGGATGAGGAGCGATTGATCACCCTCACCCGACCCCCTCCCCTCCCGTCCTGGAGCGTGGGGAGAGGGGGAGTCAGAGGGAAGAGGGGGAGAGTGAGTGTGTGTGCTCCCTGTGTGTGTGCTCCCTGTGTGTCTGTGTGTGTGTGCGCTCTGTGTGTGTGTGTGTGTGTGTGTGTGTTCGGTGAAGAGAAAACCGAGGTTGCACTGTGTGTAAGTAGCGCGAAGCAAGGGATGATTCGACTGCGGAAGACGAGGAGGACGAGGAGGAGGAGAAGCAGGAGGATGGCAGTGAGGATCCGGGAGCTTACTAGAGCAGCTAGTAGCTACCCATGCGCACTGGCGTGCGGGGCCGGCGCATCCCCCTCCCTCCGTCGCTCCCTGCCTCTCTGCGTGCCTCCCTCCACCGGGCACGCATCCCCTTGCTCCCACCCACAGTCCGAACACGATGTGTCTGAGTGTGTGAGATGGCTGCAAGTACGATGATGATGACGATGATGATTATGTGTGGTCTCTTTCCGCCACCACCACCACCACCGCCGCCGCCGACCACGCCGGCCGGCCGGTACACCGTACCCACACACGCAGTACGAACAATTCCAGAATAGGGAGGAGGAGGAGGAGGAGGAGGAGCTGGCTACTGGAGGAAGTTTGAGATCCGTCGGATTGAACCCACCGAAAACGAAGGAGACATTGGGTAGCGGGAACATGGCCAATAACTAGAGTATCCAGGCCTCCACGATCTAGAGTAGAGTAGATGTACCAGCAGACACGGTCACCGGTTTTGCGCGCCCTCCGTTCCTTCCTTCCCCCGTTCCATCGTTAACTTCCTTCCTTCCTTGCACACATACGGCGGCGGCGGCGGCGACGGCGTGGATTCTCCGGCGTCCAGCGTCCAGCGTCCGTCGCCTTTCGTATTTGTTGGCCATGGCCGCTCGCACACTAACTACTCTTGTTAGTGACTCGGCTCAGGCCCGGTCGAGAATCGAGAAAAGATGCTTCGAAGAATTTTCGAAGAATTTTCCACACGCCGTTGTTCCAGCTGTTCCAGGTCCTTGCGGAAATCACCTAACCTAGTCCCTCCCCCCTTCCCATGGCGCGCGAAAAGGGGGAGAGGGGGAGAAAGCAAGCAGCAAACAAGCAAGCACGTCGTCATCTCCGTCCATCCGTGGGTGGGTAACTACGGTATCTAGATAGCCAGATCTACCACCCGCCCTTCCTTCAGGCTTCGAGGCTTCGAGGCTTCGAGGATTCGAGGATTCGAGGATTCGACAAGAGCGGCTAACTAGCCAGCCAACCTTTTCGTTAGTACGGGCGTACTACCCATAGGTCTTTACATACCCATCGTATGTATCGTATGAATTGTATCGTGTCTATCGTATGTATCGCACCTATCTGTCGTAAGTATCGCATCTATCGTATGTAACGCCCGTGGTAGCCCATGGGCCGCGGTGGCCCGTGGTGAGCCGTGGCAGCTCAGCACATAAAAGAAAAAAAAGAAAAAAAAACGTGGTTAAGCCACTCCGGACGATCGCCCCGCTTCGTCGGGTCGACGCATTCCCCCCCCCCCCCTCCCTCCCACCTCCCCAGCCGCAGCCGTATGTAGCCCCTCACATCATTTTGCCAAACCAACCATCCAACCAACCATCCATCCACCCTCTGATACACCACGTGCTCTGATGCAGCCACAGTACATGGAGTAGGTAATCGCCTCTCCGCTCCGCAGTCCGCGGTCCGCACAAACTGTTTTCCCTCCCTCGCTTATTGGGTTACACACACACACACACACACACACACGCGAGCTGTCGGCACGAGGGGGGTCTGTACACACATATGATATATCTACAGAAAAAAAGCCGAAATGTATCTACATTATGCACATATCCTCTCCAATGTCTCCAATGTCTCCATCATAAAACGAACCGAAAGTCCAGTCTGCTCTGCAATTTACTCTCCAGGTCCGGGGCTGGGGGATGGCGGGAGGGAGGGGGGGGGTTACCTACCTCACATATATCATACATATCATACATACTCCTACATACTCCTACATATGCTACAAACGCTCGCTTCCGCCGTGCCGGGCCCAGCACCAGCACCAGTACGCACCCACGTACGTATGTAACGTAACCACCACCACTACCACCACCACACGCAACGCAACGCAGGGCACTCAGGGCACGCAGGCGGCAGGCAGGTAGGCACGCAGGGCACGCAAGGTACACTACACTACACTGCCTATCGTACATCCCACCTCTCCCACCTCCCCCCCGGCGGCTATCCCATCGCATCCATGGACCATACCTATGGCCATGGATAGAGGGATGGAGGGATGGAGGGACCGGAGTGATCGGCGACTCCGCGACTCGCGACTCGCGAGGTCGAAGGCATGGTGCATCAGGGCAAACTTAACTTCACACCTCTGGGTTGGCGGGCGGGTAGGTGTGTGTGCGGGTGTGCGGGTGTGCAGGTAGGTGTGGGTGCGGGTAGGTATCGCCGCTCTCGACTGATTGACTGATTTGTTCACCCCGTCCCCCCTCCAAACAAACAGTGCAAACAGTGGGTGGGATGGGATCGGTGGGATGATTGTCGTGATTCGTGCTCCGGACGACGACAATGATGATGATTATATGCTTCTACTACTACCACTACTACTGCTGATGAAGATGTATCCAACCTTCAGAAAAAACACAGATATAGCGCATTATACTTTTCATGATACATAATTGGGTACCGAGTACTCCACTCTACTCCAGGTACTCCAGATTCCAGGTAGGCACTGGGCGCAGCCGCAGCCGCAGCCGCATGCGGAAATACGACCAAGACCGACCAAGACCGTCCTGTCCCGTCCTGCAACTGCAGGGCGCGGGCAAGGCAGGGCAGGGCAGGGCATGTACGTAGGAAAGTGGAAGGAGTGGAAGTAAATGGAAGTAAACGACAGCAACAGCAACAGCGCTCCTCCTCATCCTCCCGCTCCTCCCCCTCCGCCGCATCCCCGAACCCCGAACCCCGAACCCCGAACCCCGAACTGCGAAACCGATTGGCTCCCAGGACCCCCAGGAACCTCCAGGAACCGGAAGTCTTGTCTTGTTTCGCCGGGCCATAGCTATATTCAGCTGCATTTCGTGGGGAGTTCGGTACCGGGCCAAGTGCAAAGCCAAGTGCCAGGCCCAGGTCAAGGCCAGGAACATCCATCCAACCATCCAATCCATCCATCCACCCATCCATCATCATAGGTACCATACCACGCCATGGCATGGCATGACCCCTCCAGTGAGTCGTGACTGCCCGCCCATACCCAAGCCATGTCCATGCCCAAGCCCAATCCCAATCCCACGCCCATGCCCAATCCCAATCCCAATCCCACGCCCATGCCCATGCAGTCTGGTACCGACCATACCATAACTTACCGTACCGTACCGCGCCGTACCATACCTGGCCGTTTCGTTTCGTTTCGCATGATCTCCCCGTCCCTCCGTCCCCCCGTTTCCCATGATCTCCCGTCCTTCCGTTTCGCTCCCTCCTTGCTGCCGCCGTGATAATCAGATCAGCACATGTAGGTCCCAACATACCTATGATGCAGGTCGACCACAGCCCAAGGGTGGTGCCAAAGCAAAAGTGTTTTGTACTGTGGCACTTCCGTACTTCAACACTTGCGCACAGCACGACGGGTTAAAAAAGTGGTAAAAGAGGCACTTCAGCACTGCACGACACGACGAGTTGGTTGGAAAAAAAAGTGGCAAGAGACCGTCTATTCGATTTGCAACATGGACAGACATAATGATATCCCTCCTCCCGCGCCCCGCCCCTCCACCCGCACTCGTGCCAGTTGCCCTCCTCCTCCTCCTCCTCCTCCTCCTCCTTCCCGATCATGTACTGTACACACCGTCTCTATAGTACAACCAAAAAGTTCCTTGGTCCCCTGCCCCCTTCCCTTCCCCTCCCTGTGAGTCTCGTCGTTTTGTCCAGTCCAGTCCAGTCCAGTCCAGTCCAATCCAGCATCCCCTCCCAAAAAAAAACAAGTAGAAGAAAAAAGAAAAAGAAGTTAACTTGCAATGAATACCCGTCGTCGTAAGTATACAAAAGCCCCTTGGTAAAAAAAAATATAAAAAAAGATATAAAAAAAACCCCGTTCAAAGCGCCTTTAAAAATCTGCAATGCAAAGTAAGTATAGGAAATGGTGTGCATAAAAACAAATGAAAAACCCCCAAACAAATGAAATGGTTTGTGACGGAAAAGGAAAAAGGAGAAAGAAAAAAAAATGGGAAACAAAAAGGAATAGAATAGGAAAAAAAAGCTGATGACCCATAGGAAAAGAATAAAAAGTTACAGCGCAAGGAAGCAGGAGAGCAACCAAAAGAGAAAAGAAAAGAAAAAGGGAGAAAAAAAGAAAGAAAAAACAAACCCGTGCGCCCTAAAGACAGTAGTCAGGTGCATACAAAAGAAACCGGGTATGACCAATAGTTAAAAAATAAGTAAGAAAAATCGGGTAAAATAATTCACAAGAAAAAGGGAAAGCATTCACTGGCCGCCGTGCATAGCTTAGGCTAGATGTCATCGACGGCCTCCATTATTCTGTAGTTTTTTAGCAGCTGGTGGATCGAACCAGCTGTCCATGATGGCCCCCTGGGCCCGTCTTGTCGATTGATCGATGCCCCTCCCCGCCCCGCTATTGATGGCAGCCCCTCTCGTGCCTCTTCATATTGCTTCGCACACTGAACGCCTTGCCGCAGCCGTGATGGGGACATTTGAACGGCTTCTCCCCGGTATGACTGTGGCTGTGAATCCGTAAACTGCTCGGTCTCGAGAACGCCTTGTTGCAGGTGGGGCAGATGTATCGGTCCTGCGATTGCGGGAACGAAGCGTGGGAAGCCGGCGACTGATGATGGTGGTGGTGCCACGGGTTCGAGCTCGAAGGTGGTGCCACAACCAGAGGCACCATCAGCTGCTGCTGCTTGCTGTACAGGTCGGCGTGTTGCGAGGGGTAGAAGTGGTGCTGCGCAGCATATGTTGTTTCTGTCGGTGATGGGTACATGGGCTTCTGGGCTGGAGGGTATGAGTTTCGGTGGCTGGCGTGGTGGTGGGCGGGTGCAGGGTAGTAATAGCTCGATGGCGATGCCGATGACATTGTGGGCGATGAGGTGGTACCGCCCTCAAAGACGGAATCGGGGCGCATCGGGGGTGTCGGTGGCAGGTTCCCCCGCGGAGGCTGGCTCTGCTGTCTATCGGTCGCTGCTGCTGCTGCACGGCTTGTGAGTCTATGCATCTCCCAGGACTGCGTTGGGGTCAGAGACGCACCATTCGGGTGGGGCTGGGCGATGTCCGCATACACCAGCAGCGTAGAGATCGAAGGCAGCGAGCATTTGGCGTTGTCCTCGACCGGTGGTGAGGGCGGTGGCGCTGGCGGACGCGAAGGGTAGGCATGTGGCTGTTGTGCGACATACTGGTGCACCGAACGTCCTCCATAGTGTTCCGATAGCGGCCGACCGCCGGCGGGGGAGTGGTGGACGATGCTCGGGAGGTTCATGTTGCACTGCTGCACTGCTGTAGTTGTCGGAGATGGGGTTATTGTTGTTGTGTGGTTGTGGATTGTGGGTAGTGGGTGTGGTAGTGGCAGTGGCAGTGGCAGTGGTAGTAGTAGTAGTGGTTGTGGTTGTGGTTGTGGTTGTTGGTTGTGGTGGCGGAGGAAGATGAGATGAAAGTTTCTCGGCCTCGCGGGATGACAGCGTCCTTAAGGTTGAAATTAAAGCGGGCAGTCTATATAAGGGTCCCCGTTCAAGAATGTCGACGGTCTACCAAGTGACCAAGTGACTGGAATGGAGGATAATATTTATGCAAGCGGAGAGAACAAGCAAAGGAGGCGGTCGTGGGGGTATTTATTGGAGGACTTCTAAATTATTGCAGGGGGGGTGTTTTGGTAGTGGTGGTGGTGGTGGTGGTGGTGGTGGTGGTGGTGGTGGGTGATGGTGGTGGTGGTGGAGGGTGGTGGTGGGCAAGGAAGAAATCCGGGCAACGGGCGAGGAAGTATGTATCTGTTCGGGATGATGCGAGTACGCAGTAGTAGTACCTGGTGACGGGGGGTCAACCGTTCTAGCTAACGCGGACATTTGGTCAGAGGAAGTGTGGAAGCGACACCCCTGGCAGTTCGGGGCGTACGCTTAGGGAAAAGAATGGCCCAAGGAGGGAAATCGACTACGGAGGGGGGGGTGCGAGAGGGAGAGGGGGGCTGTCGACTGACGTCCGGATTGATGTGCTACTACTCTGATGATTTGCAGGGTGAGGTGGGGGAGGGGGGGCGGGCTGTTGGTTAGGTAGGTCGTGCTCCACCAGGCCGTACAAACGTATATAACCAACCCCTAATGAATGAACGAACGAAGCCCGACTGGGATGGGTGATGGGAGGGGTGGTTTGGAGCAGGAACACAAGGCGATGCGAAGATGTACCGTACATACCTGGATACCTGGGTAGGGGAGAGACCGATGTGGTGACGTGACAAGAATGGAGCTCGGGTGGGCGTCTATCTGCTCTAAGCGGCTCGGGCAATATAGGGCAGCGCAGGGTGTGAAGGCCAATGGAACAAGATCGTACGGGAATTACGCGGACGGGCTGGAAGGGAGGGAAGGAAGGAAGGAAGGCAGCGGGCCGCCAAGAGGGAAGTGATCGCCGGAGGGGATGATGCTGATGATGATTATGATGATGGTGGTGGTGGTAGTGGTGGTAGCGGTGGTGGATGGAATCACAGGTAGCTCCAGGTATGGAAAGAAGGAGGACGAGCTCGAGAAGGAGGGAGACGAGCACGAGGAGGAGCACGAGCACGAGGAGGAGCACGAGCACGAGGAGGAGCACGAGCACGAGGAGGAGCACGAGCACGAGCAAAAGCACGTTCACGAGCACGGGCAAAGCTGCGGTGGCGGAAGAGGAGCTGGAGCACTATGTACCACTCGACTCAGCTTCAGGGTCATGATTTCCCAAGCTTCGCATGCTTCCCAAGCATCTGCGGCCTCCTACTGGGTGGCGGCTCGAAATATCGGGATATCGAGTCACAGTAATCATTTCGAGCCCGTCTCAGATGGAACGAAACAACCCAAGGCTTTTTTTTCTTAACCGACCACTGTGTACGACCACCTTCCCCTCCTCCATAATTCCGGTATGTACGAATAACGTCTTTACACGCAGCTCGCAAAAGAGGAAAGGAAATGAAGACGGTGAGCGTGACGATGAGCATGAAACCCCCGGACGTCGGCTTCGACATCTGAATGCGGACAGACAGATCTCTCTGCTCCTCTGCTCCTCTGCCAACGTGCCGATACCCACCGCCCCGCCACGGTGGATAAAGTACTTACAGCATGTAAATGCATTGTACATACGGTAGTTGCAAATATTCCCCCGCCATGTCACCGTCACGGACCAAAGTAAGGTTAAAACGCTCTATCATAGCACGTAGCGCAGCAAACCGCCTCACCTTTGCACGCGGTACATATTCCAACTCCGGGTCTACTCTCAATGGTGATGATGATTTGTACATATCGATCTGAAATCTGCAAGTTGAGCCGTAACTAACCAAGTACCTATGCACGGCGGCAGCTAGTTGTTCTGCGGCGCCCAGGATACCTATGATCTATCTTTGTTTCCGGTTCGGATTCGGGGATCTCACTGCAGTTGGTGTATGTGATGTATGCACTCGTACATGAGAGTGATAGGTGAGGAGGAGGAGGAGGAGGATCCAGAGTGTATTCAGCGTTTGTGCGGCACCTATGTAGGTGATCTAGCCTTCGATGCGGTAACCATGGCAAGCCACTGACATCTATCCGCACCCAAGCGGCATAACATATCCTGTCCAGTCCAGTCTGCCGGCAACAACAACAACCACAGGTGACGATTGGATTGGATTGGATTGGATTGGATGCGCGCTTTCGTCACTGCCCTTCGATCCGTCGGTACGGTATCCTCCCGCACAGTACAGGCGAAGCCCATGTGGGAAAGAGAAGATATATATAAGGAGTTACGGTACATACAGCACCTATTCCATGAACCTTCCTTCCATCCTTCCCGTCGACTGCTGCTGCTGCTGGCGGGACAAGTCATGTACGATGCTCCCCCGTGCATTCAGTTGGCACAACGTCAACACGGCGCTGCAGGCAGGCAAGAGTACATAGAGTACACGATCCGAAGCTGGAGAGACAGCCCACCCAACACAGGCCTAGATCGGGACGCGATGGAACTAACGCCCGGCCAGAGGGGCACACCGCAGAAAGAGGCCAGAGCAGCAGCAGCAGCGGGAAAAGGAAAGGGAAAAGGAAAACGGAAGAATGCCGAGAGATTGTATGCACATTTGTTCTGGTGCGGGAAATTGGTGGAAAACTTCACGGAGGGACATTCCGAGCATGCCTTTTTTCTTACGGTTGGGGGCGGGCAGAGCTGGTGGACGGATTGATGAATTGATGGTTGATGGATTGATGGATGGGCGGTGGACGGCGGGCAGTGGACGGATGAGTGAGTGCTGGATCGCTACATCACATTCTTTGACTGGCCACGACCACCACCACGACCACCACCACGGTCGTTGGGCTCACGTAGCGGCGGCAGCAGGAGTGGGATCTCCCGCCCTCCTTCCCTCCCTCTCGGGAATTCGTTTTCTCTGGCACCTGGCGATGGCATCCACCAAACGAAAATGCGGCCTCGGTTCGCAGGCAGTGTTGCACGCTCTCTCTCTGGGGGGGGGGAGGCGGGCAGCAGGTGAAGGCAAGCTCTGGGGGAGCCACGCAGGTCTGGCTGGTAAGTATTCCCATGTCACATCGCAACAGACGAACCACGGCGATGGTGATGAGCAGGGGCCCAAGAAAGGCCCCAAGAAAGGCCTAAGTTGAGGGAGGGGGTGGAGGGCCCAGCAGCAGCAGGAGAAGAAGAAGAAGAAGCAAAAAAGCTTTTGAAGCCGCGCAGACTTTCTGAAACGCTAGACGATCTCAATCGGGTATAGTGACCGTGATTTGCCCGTAGTCGCGCCTGATATGATTGACGGACAGGGGGCCTGTCCGGTGGCTGCACTGGGAGATTTGGGGGGCTAAAACGTCCGCCGCCGCGTAGATCATATTCCGAAGGAGAACGCCGTCCGGGACGAACTCCAGAGGAAGAGAGCGACATCACTTCTCGGTAGCATTCCGGATTTCTGGCGGTTTTTTTTGTTTTTTTTGTTTCTTTTTTTTTTTTTTTTCTCTTTCGGTTTTTGGCCTGAGCACCCACCAGCCAGTGACCGGCTCGTTGGAATCTGGAAAATCGCGCCGGACAGGGTGATCGTGTGCTCGGCAGCTACGTACATACGTGCTGGCCGGGCCCGGTGGAGACCATCCATCCATCGCTGTGGGGTGGAGCGTGGAAGCTTGGAGCGTGGAAGCGTGGAGCGTGGAAGCGTGGAAGCGTCTCGAGTGTCACCGAGGTCTGGATTGCTCTCCATGCTCTTCCAGCACGGCCATGCGTGGGAACGTGGTAAGTACTCTCGCTGCTGAGTGGCCATGTTTTCCCCCGCGTCAGTCAGTCAGTTTTTTCTTTTCTTTTCTTTTGTTCTCTTTCTTTTCCAGAACTCGGATCAAGTGACCTTGTGAGCAGCTACAGGGCTAGTGGCTGACCGACCGAACCTGCTATGTACGCAAATCTCTTAACGCACCCACCCCAACACACGGTCTCACTTGCAGATCTCTGCCTATCTCCCCTCCCCACCACTCCTGCAATCAATTTTATTTATCGGATCTCTGATTGCTATCGCGTATGGGGCCGCGGGCAGTAGGAGAAGCAGGAGACGCAGCAGCGGCCGCAGCAGCAGCAAGAGCAACAGCGGCAGCAGCAACAACAGCAACAACAGCAACAACAGCAACAACAGCAACAACAGCAACAACAGCAACAACAGCAACAACAGCAGCAACAGCAACAACAGCAGCAACAGCAGCAACAGCAGCATCGTCGGTTTGCAGTTGGGAAATCCGCACCCGTTTACCTTTCGCTGCATCGTCGCTGTCATCGTTGTCGTCGTTGTCGTCGTTGTCGTCGTTGTCGTCATTTTCGTCGTCGCATATGATGACCCTCGCTGAGCGCGGCATTGTCATTGTCATTGTCTTGTCATCATCGTCGTCGTCGTGGACGTCTTCCCTTCCGTATGATGTTGTTTCCCACCCCGTTCGCGTGGCGGCGGGCGACATGGGCTGACCTTCTGCATTGGCAGATCTACGGGCACATCCAGAGTGGTTAGAGCAGCAGCACTCCCTGGCGGGGATGACCTACGTCCGGCCCACCCGAGCTGTGATCCCACCTCGCCTAAGCGTGCAGCACCATGAGAGTTGCACACCTCCCGATTGTGGACATGCAAACCGGTACATGTAGGTACGCACATGGTGGCTACGGCAGTTTCCACCACCGGTAGCCGACGATCATCTGGAAGCAGAGCAGGGCGGGATAATGGGGTGCGCCCCTCAAAAACCCTCGCCCAAACTCTACGCGACCGCTCTTCCTCGCTGCCTACATGCTCTACATACTCTACATACTCTACACGGCCAGTACGGTGCCCGTACATGCTCTGCTGCGTACGTATGTACCATACACGCTTACACACTCACCACACCCCCAAATGCACTCATCGCCCGCAAACAGTGATGACAACCATCCCTCCCCCCGCCACCGGCCCGGCGCCCCACAGCTTGGGGCTTGAATGGCGCCGAAGTGCCACCGCGATGGGAGAACATGGAACCACCCTGTTCTTCACGAAGGAAGAAAAAAAAAAGACAACAACAACGAACGGTTTGGCCTCGGCAGCAGATGCCAACTGCGGAAATCAGTAAACTACTCTTCGGCCAGAATGTGTGTTCAAGCGAGAGTGACAGACGGTGCCTACGAATTCCTTCCTCTCGTCGTGTCCCGGCTTCACAGCACTTACATGCTAGCTAGGTGCAAGTACTTGCCTAGCTATGTACACGAATCTCTGCTTCCCCGTGCAGAACACGTATTAGCCACACCACGAGGCTCGGTGCAGCATAGTTAGTACGGCTGCTGCTGCTGCCGGTGATGTTCCTGCTGCTGCTGCTCCTGCGGTGGATCATTTATCCACCAGCCCGGCGCGCTTCGATTTGCCTCACTCTGCTTCATGCCCGAAGGTGAGCGGTGCCAGACTACGGTTGTGGCGTGACCCCGTGAGCAGTGCAAGCGGGGAGAAGGCTGGGGTGGATCCGAAGAGACTTGCCGTGGCTAGAGTAGACGCAGCGACGAGTCGCAGGCCCGACATCGGTAAAACCTTCTCAGCCGCCACCTTCCCTCTTGAAATCATTGAGCTCAACTACTGGTTAGCAGCATCGACTCTACTCCGACTACTTCACTTAGCTTCCGGTATTCTAGGATAGTGCGTTTCCGACGGCATCGTGTTTTCTCCGAGAGACACGGACCATGTCAAGGGACGATTGTCAACGTCAACCTAGCGACCCTTGCATAACCTCATGGCATTGCCAGTACAACCAAGCACTCACATAACCTCATGGGCATTTCCAGTACATACAACCAGGTGGTACTCACATACAGGCTTCATATGAAAGTGCATACTCACTCACTTATTTGCTTGTGTATGGGGGGTGTGATCCACATGGCTCGGATCCGACCACACGCTCTGTTCTTGCAACATGGCGGTTTCACCGAGCTAACTGGGAACCCCACACATCCTCAGGGCTCCACTGATGCTCCCAGCATGATGGCATGACTGCAATACCCCCATTCCGTGATTTAACCGGCCGGCTGGCTCGCTTTCGCTCTTACATTGCACGACCGGCCCCAGGGTCCTGGCCAGTCGAGGTGATCTATTCCCGACGATCCGTTTCTTTGACCTGAGGACATTGCTCTAGAGTGTAGCGGAACCGAGCAACCACATACGTACATACATGAGCATCAAACTAACCACCTACGGTGAGCTTCCACTGGATATTCCAGAACACTTGCTAGAAGCCCCCACGATGTGGGAGAGAAGGAAGGGAGGGAGGGGGGGCCCTGCAGGCGGACGGGCAGTCATAGCAGTCCTAGCAGCCAGCGCGCATGGAAGCTGTCGCACGGCCACCGTTCGATCGATTCGTATTGCTCGGTCGGATAAGTGGAGGGGCGGCGGCGTCCGAAGATGGCAATTGCCTGCTCCGACAGGAGGACATGCCCGTCGCAGCCGATTAGGAAGGCATTGCAGCTGCCGTGCTCTCGTTCGCAGTCCACCTTGTACGCAGCAGCAGGTGTCGGTTGGGGGGAGAATCGGTCACAGGCCTGTCCCTGTCGCACGGTGTTCGGAGTTGGTACCTGTTGATGACGAGCTCGCAACTCCGGCCTGCCGACCACCTCAGTCCCGTTTACGCGTACATGTACCTGAGTCGGGACAGCAGGTGGGGGTTGGTGGGCGCTATGCACATGGCAGGCCCCATAATCCCGCCAGATTCAGCCAAATCTGCCTCCCCTCCCCCCTCCCCCGGTGGGCGGAATTTACCACATCGAGGCGAATCGACCTCGTTCTGGATGCTTGGGATCGATAATTGGCACTTTATTCTCCGTCCTATTGGTTGCCTATAGCCTCCGAGAATTACCCTCCATTCCCCCTTGGGACACCGGTAACGTCGCGATGGGATGCATACATAGCTCAGCAGTCAACTCCCCAACGCCTGAGGAATCTCCATGGCATGGAAACCAAATTTAACGGCATTCTCCACCCCAAGGCAGATGATGCTCGCTTACAGGAAACCCCCATAGATTTGCTGCTTCGTATAGCGGTCCATGGCAGCGATGGGAGATGCGGAACAAGCCAAATAGTATATTGGTAGGTACATACTACCTACCACTTATCTGGGTACTACATATAGCCCGGCGGGCCAAACTGTTGGTCGATACGTATATCCTTGAGAAGTTACATGTACATCATACATACGGGTTCATCTCGCCGCCATCCAGCAAGTTGAAGCCAGTGTCAGTGTTGTTACAGCCTGACGCCGGGATCGGCGTCGAATGTGCTGTACTCTACGTACATGACATGGGTTGCAACAATTGCGGGCCGTGAGCAGACTGCCGCGCGACCTTGCATGAGTCGTGACAGTGCGATCCGCCGGTAGGCTGTAGCTCTCTCCCTGCAGCGGTTGGGTTGTGGGGGGTAGGTGTGCGTCTCCCTCGGCTCGATTAGAAGTACCTATTTGGTTGCACGCAGTGCGCACTGTATGTATACTCTACATACATGTATGTACATGTAAGTACTGCTTGTACTTACTTACTCATGTATGTACATACACCACGTACTCATGTACTCATGTACACCACCATCACCACCACCACCACCACCACCACTACCACCACCACCACCACCACATGCTGCCAACAGCATCCATGCCTCCCTGCCATAAGGCTCATGATCGATGCGGAGCCGGAGCCGGAGCCGAAGCCACAAAACCAGAAAGGAGCCGACTCCCGCGCGGCCGAAACTGGCTAACTACATAAAGACGGCTGGGCCGGTGCGGCTTAAAAGCTTGTTTTGCATTCTGCATCTGCCTTGCCTACATACATAGGCCGGGGGGGAATCAGATGTACATTGTCATATGATGGATGGATGGGGGGAGGGAAGCCGCAAATACCATTACCATCACCTCTTTCAAGTTTCGGTTTCGATTCATATTTCTCTCCTCCCGGATCGATCTTTTTTTTTTTCGCCCTCCGACGGTGTACTTTTGTTCAGTGTTGAGTCGGAACACAGCGCATCCGCTGCGTTTCCTTGACGGTTCAGGATACGGTAGTCATTCAATAGCGACCAAGTCGATACCTACTATCATACTCTGACTACACCCAACCGCCCATGTGGCATGTATCTATCTTGATTCTTGATAACCAACCGCCATCCATCGAACCACATGGCACGGATCCGTCAAACCTCAGCCCTCAGGAGTTCGATTTTCCGCCGCGTGTGTGGCATGCATTCCTACTACCTAGATTAGGCTGATTTGTTTTGGTTTCTGAAGTAAAGTAGCATACCTAGCGGGCAACGTGTGCATTTACCTGTGTAAATAATCGATCGATGTGAAAAAAAGGAGAAGCTCGGACTTGAAGATAGGGCGGAGGGGGGTGGGAGGGAGTGGGAGTGATCCACTGCAGTTCAGTGATCGACAGGCACGGCACTCTACGTACGTACGCATGTCTGTAGGTAGGTACACAGTCGTACACAGTCGACGAACACCGCCCGCCGCCGCCGGAAGCTGGCCCGTCCGTGTTTCGTTTCGTGGATTCTTCCGGTGGATGTATACGGAATACCCTGGGACGTGGGGGAGGGGGGCGTTTGCGGCTATTGTAGTGGAGTCCTACTACCTCCTCCTTAGCCCTACTCCTACAGGCAACCTACAGACAACCATCTACAAAAGATCTTACGACTCCCTCCAAGAAACTCAGCTCAGCTTCCGCGGCGGCCGGGACGGGCTAGCTGGTTAGCTGAGGAAATGGCAATACCGGTACCTACCATATTAGCATGTGAAGCACCGAAGGCTGAAGCAGCCCTTTCTCGGAGCGGAGCTATTTATGGCTGGATGGATGATGGATCGCCTCAGCTGCCAGGTATGCAGAGTAGGTATGCAGAGTAGGTGCCAGGTGGGTGCCAGGTATGAAGGTAGGTAGGTGCCGGGTTGTGGTTCTCGTTGTGGAGATCATCATCGTCTTTGACTCCCGGGGGGTGAGGAATCTACCTTCCCGGCTGTTCTCCTGCTTTCGCATTTTCGGCACGTAAAATCCGGCCGCTGCGGCGCTGGCCGTCGGTATGTACTCTACTCTACGTACTCTACATACTCTACGTACGTTCATCGCATCGACGATCAACACGCCCCAGCCCCAGCAGAAACGAAGCAAGCACGGAAGTATCCAAGTGCGAAGTACGAAGGGAAGGGAAGGGGAGGGAAAGGGACTCGACCGGGGCCGGGGGATTCGACCGGGGGACTGGCGACGGAGAAAGTGGATGTGGAGCCGGGGCTTGAAACATGAAGCAACACCACCACCACCACCACTACCCAACCCAGACACAGGCCCCAAAATCACCCATCGCCTCCAGCCGGAGGGGATGAGGGGATGGGGGGATGGGGGGATGGGGGGATGGGGGGATGGGGGCGGAACTCGCTACGGACCTACGGTTCATGGGCCCATGAAGCAGCAGCGGCAGCAGCAGCACCAGCGGCGCCGGCGGAAAGGACCACGTTCGTATATACCGGACGGGTAAACCGTAGTACGAGCAGTAAGTATACATATATTGAACGGTCTGTGAGATACATAATTCCGCTTACCAGTGGTAGGCCGCAGTTCGTTCGTGCGCGTGACTCCAGAATCCACTGTCCATACCGGTATTCCCGTGAAACGAGCAGATCGAATCCTCCACCCATCCACCCACCCATCCACCCCCCGGCCGTTGATTGGCCGATTGGTTGATTGCTTGGTTGATTGGCTGGTTGATCGGTTTGGGATCTGCGTAAGCTGTCCAGTGCCCCAGCAGACGGCGCAGTGCAGTGGTGTGGGGGGATCGCACATCGAATATCGAATATCGAATATCGAATATATCCGGGTATTATGCGTTTCACTAAACTGGCTCATGGCAAACATGGACCCCCAGAGATGGTAAGAGCTGGGAAGAGATGGTAGAGTTGGTAGGAGCTGGTATGCTAAGAGCTGGTAAGAGCTGCTGGTACTATACGTGCTCTACATAAGCTCATCTTCGGTGACGCCTCATTCCTTTTTCCGAATCCCGAATCGCGATGATACAAATACTCCGAGAGTCCGAGTAGCAGCAGCAGTAGTTGATCTATGTATTTCACTACCAACAAGTTACAATTTACAAGTTACAGGTGAATCCCGCCATCCCCCCATCCCGTCATCTTGCGATATTACACATGTGCAGCCCATCCGGGTTCGATAAACATCCCGCTCCAGTGGACCAGTGGTCCCTGCAGCAAATGGAAGCCAGCCCCTCCCTTCCCTTCCCTTCCCTTCCCTTCCCGTATTCACTATAGGTACTTACTCTACATACTCGCGGTGGTGGTGCTGGTGATGCGGGCTTGAAATGGCCGGTGTGTGTGTAAACTGACGAACATCGTTCTTCCCGGCAAACACGTACGGTAGGTACTATATGCTACCCAGCTACATACATGTCTCGAATCGAATCGAGTATATATACCTAGAGGCTAGCTCCTGGTCGGAGATCAACCGCTGCAGTGATGTGGGCAGCGGTATGTAATGTATGTATGTAGGTATGTGGGTCAGTATGTGTGTATGGATGTGTGGAGATGTATGGATGTATGGATGTACCTCGTCGTCACGGCGGAAGTACATTGGGTAGTACGTACGTACGTACCTGTGTACGCCTTGTATACTATCTATGTGCCGACCACAACGATTCATTCATTAATCCTCCCACCCTACCCATCCTGGCAGAAAGAACTTAGAAGGAGATTGACGAAATCGGGAACGGGCATCGTGGTGATAATTCGTAGTATGTAGTTTCTTGCTCGGTGCGTAGGTATGATACGTCCTTCTTCCGGCTTTCAGCTTCCCTCGAACGTCGTTACGAGATGACGCGGCGGCAGCGGCAGCGGCAGTGCGAGCTGCGTTAATGGGTCGGCAAGTCGGTATCGTAGTCGGTACCTGGTATGTACATACCTGCTGTATCCCGCAGCATCGGACCGGCTTCCAGTCCGACGGGACTGACCTGTTGCATGATCCGGATACGTAGTAGGTATGGTACCCAACGTACCTAACGTACGCGGGCCCCTCGGGAGAATTTGAGAAGGCGCGAGGCGCCGACACATGTGCAACTATAATAGCGTGCGCCTGTCCCGTCACTCGGCTGATCGTCGCATCACATGCGCCGGCCAACTCTGGGAAACGTATGTAACAATATAGCTGCGTTGTCGGTTGTGAGCATTTTTTTTATTTTCAATTCGGAAAAACCGGTGGCCTGTCCGCCCATGACAAGTACCGGATGTACTCTACCAATTATCCCCCTAGTCGGGAACTTGGAAGCAGCTTTCCACGCTTCCATAGTGGTCACGGCGTGGGGTCGGCGGCGTGGGGGCTCTCGCAGAATTATCCCGCCCTCTCAGTTCTCTGGAGAAGCCTTCCTCTCTTTCTCTCTCCCTCCCTCTCTTCGGCGGTTACAGGCTTGAACTCTCCGTGGTCGTGACGCAGCTCGGGTTTCATACCGAAGGGGAGGGAGGGGGGAGGGTATACGTCTCGTCCGCTATGGCTCCCCTCTCTTCTCGGTGTAATACGCCCCTCGAAACTGATCCTGCCGGCCGCGCCTGCGGATCATCCAGGGTTTTTTTCCGGTCCGCTGCTCAGTGCTCATCCTCGCCCTCCCACCCCACCTCGGTGATGACACCCCGCACTTGCTTTTATACGGTACCGTATGCGGCCACCGTAATCTACCGGTACTATAACGTCTTCAGATCCGTCATTTATCTTCACAGCCGACAGCGACTGGTTGTGTACTGCTGATGGTCGCTGGGGAGGGGATCGCCAGTAGGTAGATTGGAATACATAGTAGAGCGGAGGGGGTGGTGATGAGTATGGAGTATGTAGTAGGTGTGTGTGTGGGAGTTTAAGAGGATATTTCCATCCTCCCCTGCTGCTGCTGCCTCGCAGAGGTGATCATATCACTCATATTACATCTAAGTACATACCTACTTCATACACACCAGCCCACAGCCTGGCTGCTGATCCGCGGGAATAGATTTTCCTTTATCCAAAGGTGTGTGCAACGAACGAATGAGCGAACGAGGGAGGCGAACGAACGAACGACAAACCAACCCACCACCACACCACCACCTCCATCATCATCATCATGCAAAAGCAGGGAGCGCGGCACATCACCCCAGATTGACGATGCGGTGCGGTGCGGAAGATCATTCGGTCTGCACTGCACTGCACACTTGTCTGTCCGTCCATCAGTCAGTCAGTCAGTCAGTTAGCAACACGTAACCACGTAACCCGAGCGCATGCGCTTCCTAGTTCCCGCAAGGAGGAAAGCAAGAAGGGGAAAAAGAAATACCACCTACTATGTACACTCGGGATTGCGTGAAGAGATCCGGAGACGTCCAACGACCAGCGCTCACTGGTCCGCCGCCGCCGGCACTGTCGGGTATGACTGCAGCGGAGGTGGAAGTGGAAGTGGAGGTGGAGGTGGAGGTGGAGGTGGAGGCGGAGGCGGAGGCAGAGACGGAGGCAGACGCAGACGCAGACGCAGACTCAGCGTCAGGTCAGGTCAGGTCGTGCGACTCACTCATCTATGCGCGACGCAGACCACGCGACTACATACCTACCTGGGTAGAGTGGGTACATGCCGGCTGGGTCCCTCGGCTCTCTCCCTCCCTCCCTCTCTCCCTCGAAGCTCCCTATTGCATCCCCGCTCCCGGAGGCGGAGGGCTCTGGACGAGACGACGGCTGGTGGTGGACCCTTAAGCGCACATACCGCGCCGCCGCCGCCTCCCCACCGGTTGGATGCATGTATGCATGCATGGATGGGTGGAAGTTGACTACGCCGCTGGCCGGGAGGCGAGAGGCAAGAGGCGAGATGTCCCGGACGGCCCGGTGCTGCGTCTTGGCCCGTGACCATCTAAGACTGTGCAGTAGCTGCGGATGCCTGTGTCTGACGGAGAGGCCGGAAGCATGTGGAACTCGCCTCTCCCCCTGGCTTGCCCGAGACCCGGTCAACTGCTTCGAGGTACATAGGATGGAGAGCGGACCCTCCATCTCCAGCCTCCATCTCCGAGTGACGGAAGATGACATGTTCCGGCGAGAATCCGTTGTGCAACAGGATCGACGCGTGTATGATACATACGGTCGGTTGGAATGAAGACGTGCGGTTTCTGCCCCTGTCGATCACATCGCCCCGTATCTGGGGAGTGTGGTGGGAGAGCGCCGGCTGGGTTGGGTCGGGTTGGCCGTGGTCTGCGGGAAATTTCAAATCGCCACAGCATGGACAGCGCCCTTTCTTGCTTTTGCTAGAATACCTATCCAAAGGAGAGAACAGCAATATCGATCTTAAACTTTGCCTACAGCATGAAAGTAACGACCATATATGTGGTGTACATAATTCCTACAACCTCAAGCTTCCGTCCGTCCATCCAAGACAACTGTCACCGTATGCGAGCATCCCGCGCCCGCGCCCGCACCCGCGTGTCTCACTCACTAACTACCGTCCAGCCAGTTACATACCATCGACCAATCCGTACGGGTATGGTATGGTGTATGGTGTAACTATGGTGTGGGGAACCCGAAGCAGCAATGAGCACGTGGGGGGGGAGTTCGGCGTTTGAGTCACTAAGGGTAAGGCTTAGGGGCAGATCATGTCAAAGTTCGTTTGACAGTTCCAGGTTCCCGTCAAACGAGCGTTTCGAATGATTCACATTACGGGCTGCTGGGCCCAATCCGGTAACATCAGCCCGGCGCGCGCGATGGCTGCGAGTCTGCGACTTCGGGGAGGTAACGGCTCGGAGGTGGGAGTTTCTGCAGTTCCTAAACGACCTGGTATGTACCTACATAACAGGTACCTCCTATGCAGGTGGGTTGGGCGGCTAGGTAGGGACCCATAAGTCGCCAAAGGCCACGGCAGCGTCAGGCGGCTTATGTGCAGGCTATCTAATAACTACGGCACTTACTTACCTGGGTACTCTACCTAGGTCTGCAGTAGTAGCTATGCCTGTCAAAATTTCCCCCTCGCTCGCTTTCGTTCGTTCTCGGAGCTCTCGAGCTCCTTCTCGATACGAACATACGTAATCTTCAACACCAACGGCCGCTCTTCCGGAAAAACACGATATACCTGAAACGTCCCGCGAGAGCCAAAAGAAGCTCGACCCGCCGAAGTGCCTGTGCCTGTGTGTGTGTGGGGGGTGTGGGGTGTGGGTTCCACCGCAACGGTATTCGGCGATCATCATTCTTTTTCTCTTCCTTTCTTTCTTTCTCTCCCTCTTCTCTCCGTCGGATCCGGAATGATATGGAGTTTTTTTTTCCGGGTTGCCGAGGAATACCGACGACGACGGACTGGCCCGGGAGGATGGGGCATGGGAAAGTGTCGAGCTCGCCCTTCGCTGACATATCCAGCATTCCCCATCGCATCCGGCCGCGGCCTGATCTGATGGGCCAGATATTTGCATGGCATGCGATCGGAAGGATGTGCCACTTCTACCCGTCTGAATGCTGCTACTAGGAGGATCTGAATGTATAGCCAACCCTTGGTCCTCCTGTCCGGCCGGGTGTGCTTCTAGGGTAGAGTAGAGGATATTTCCCTTCATCCGTTTTGGGCGCCCATACGCTCCCCTCTCCTTCATCCGTAACTATTCCTCTCTTTCGGGGCCCTTACGCCCCCAACACCTCCCCATGCCTCCTCCTTCATCCCGTATTCCTCCCCTTTCGTGTTTGCTTTTCCTCGACTCAGCTGATCCATTTACTCACGACTCACAACCGGCTATGATAGGTACCTACATACACACAAGACATACCTGTGCATACATATCATTCATACGAATGTTTACCGAGCAATTCCAACCTATCGGGATGGGATCGAACCAAAACCCCTCCCAGCATCCAAGCGACCGACTTTCCGAGTGCGGTGCTATCCTCCGCGTGGGCCGGTTTGGTATAGATTAAACCTCGTAAACTCCCACTCCACCCGAGACCCACTCCCTGCCCCCCCCCCCCCCCCCCCCCCCACCGCACTAACTCCACCTTCCAGAAGCATCGGCCGCATGGTTATCAGGACGACTAGGTATGTATGTAGACCTACGTACTTACATAGGTACACACGCTATACATATGAATCGTAGATATCCCGGATCCGGATGCGGAACCATGATGGTGATGAACGTTCATGCTGGCTGGCTGGCAACCTTGAAAAATGTCCGTGCGTTGATCGGTATGCTCGCTCACTCGCTGGAGAGAGAGAGAGAGAGGGGGGAAGAGGGTACAACCGTACATGGAGTTCATGCAGTATGTAGGTACATACATAGCTCGCCGGATTCTTCGTAGCATTCCTCAGGCTCCCGGGATTTCGACTGCGCTTATGTATGGCACATACATAACTGCGCCGCAGGCAACTCTTCTTAACCCGGGGAGCGAACAAGAAGAAAAGAAACACACATACATACACATACATACACACACATCCGGCGTCGGTCAGTAAGTAACCAACATCCGTCGACCCAACCCACCGTGGGAAAAGGAGCACGGGGATGGGGATGGGAGAGGGTAAATGCAATCCCACACGCACACACAACACACAGCAAGGAACAACAAGGAGCATCCATGCTCCATCGAACCATACCCGTTGGTTGACGTTGACCAGGCTGTGTTTTGTTTGGAGCCCTCCCCCTTCCCTTCCCTTCCCTTCCCTTCCCTTCCCTTCCCTTCCCTTCCCTTCCCTTCCCCCCTCCCCGCATGGATATGGATGGATGGATAGATCATGGTTGCGTGGCAAACAATCCCCGAAATTCACTGTCATGCACTGCAGTGCAGTGCGGTGCGAGCTGGGTTGGGTTGGGTTCGGACACGTGAATGCCGTGTGGCTAGTAATTTCTGGAGATATACTATTATCTAGAATACTATATATGCAAGTATCGCTGTGGGGTTGCATATATGTAGAAGATATATATCGATAGTTATCCGTGGAGTTGTATTCGAGTTGTATTCGTACGTACAAACATACAACCGGAAGGATATGAGTTCCGGATTCTTATGCTAGATACCTAGCTGGCGGTGGAGCTCTGTCCTTTCCCGCCCGCACGCATGCGGAGTGGCACTGCTGGAAGCTAGAATCAACGCGCTCTCTGCTCCCGATCCACCCAGTGTCCGGCGAGCTTTCAGCATATGTTTTCCACGTGGGCTGGACTGGACGATGATCCTCCTGATGCGTGCTACCTACCTACCTAATGTATGTACTATCTACGGTTGGGAGGAGCGGAGGATTTTTCCGCGTCATTGGTACATACTCGCACTCGCACATGGGCCGAAAGTGATCTGATGTGATGTGAGGTGATGTGCGAGTATGATCTGATGCATTGCATGCACTGATGCACTGATGTGCAGCGTAAGTACTTACCTGGTATCTCATGGCGCATGGCGTGTCGCTTCCATGTGAGCTCACTCTCCCTCCCTAATCCGGCCGCTTGGTCTGGATTCTGGAAGAAACCATGGACATGTCTCTCTCTAGATGACGAGTTTCTCTTCCCTTCACTAGCAGGACTAGGCCGGGCTAAGGCTATTCGCTTGCTTGCTTGCTCGAGAGTCGAAATGATACCGGCCGATCCAAAAAGCTCGAAACTTGAAACTTGAAAACGTTGTCAACCGTGCTATGCGCTGCGATGCGCTGGGGGTTTCTACATAAGCATCACGGCCGATCCGACGATGTCCGGACTCCGGAGATGAATGAACGGTCTGTTCGAGATTGTAACTGCCTATCTATACTTGGTACATGTGCCGACTAGTCACTGGACGTGCGGTACATATTCAGCCCGACCGTAGGTATGTAGGTACACACCAGGTATCACAGCAGCAGCAGCAGGGCTTCGCTTCAGTCCACTGTCCCCACATACAACCCGCTGTCTGTTCCTTCCCGAACATCCCAACAGGTGTACGTAGTGACTGCTCATACGTACAACCTTCTAGTGCCGGACGGATTGGAGATTGGTGGCACCGTAACGACTCTAACGAGCGAGGGCTGTGGTTATCCACGAACCGTCACTCGATACATCTACCAGTTGCTGCTCTTTCCTCGTGTCTAAATTACTATCACCGAGAGTACCACGGTCATATTGCAATGCAATGTATTGCTGTTCTCGAAGCGTGAATCTTGTTTCGAAGCTGCGGTAATCTCGCCCGGCAGACTGGTGGCGACATAGGTAGGTAGCCCACGCAGTTGGTACGAGTCACTCGCCGCACTTCAAACTTGCGGTTGAGCATCTGGAGGTTTGAGCGTCTGTGGGTTGATCGTCCGAGAGTTGAGTACCTACATACATGGAACTGGGAAAAGCTACTATTGCGTTGCCGAAAACGTCCCGACACCACACACCCAGGCCCGAGTGTCGACGCGAAATTTGAAGCCGGACCGATCGGGATGTGCACAAGGGGGGATGTGCACGAGGGAGGAGGGAGTTCGTGCTTGCCTTCTTTTCTCGTCGGGTCTGCGGTCTGCGGATTCGGACTCGCCGCCTGGTCGTAACTACTATACACGTTCGTGGAGTGCTGGATAGATATTAGAGGATCGTGGGTTCTGGAAAAACTGTGGAACATAATTACTCGTAACTATTCGACGTCCCCCGCAGACGATCATTGGCCCGCATGCTGATACATACTCTACTAGTAGTTACTGGTCCGACCGTGCATCGCATGGTAAGAGACTCCAGTGGATGATCCGGATTGGGCTGTGGTGATGTTAGTTACCACAAGGTATCACTCGCTCGCTCGTCTCGTGCAGCGTGAGTTTACTATGTAGTAGAGTGTGGACACCGCACTGAACGATCCGGGCGGCGGTATGGACAGTGGAATGGAGATGTATACCCACCGCCCTACCAAGCCCGGACGGCGGGGCATGGCGGCGGGGCATGGCGTAGCATTGCTATCGAGAAATATCACTCGGCATCTTCGTATTCCTCTGCACTGGCTCATCTACATACAATTTCCGTCAATGATGGGAGTAAAGTGAATAGGGTGAGACGGTCTTCGGAGTCGATCATTCTACCAGCTCTTTTCCGGTGTACGCACCGAAATTCTCGATTCTCGACATTCAGTGTCCGAGTGATCCCCATGAGCGGTCTCATACGGTACTCAACAGTGCGGACTAAGTACTAACTGTTATACCGCAAGGAGATCGTGGACACTACGATGAGCACAATGGATGTTGGAAAGAGTAGAGGTATTCACGGAAGCGATGGAGACGGAGAATCATGAATTATGATGCTATGTTCGGGTGAAGAAGCTACAGTTCAAAGCGTTTCTCCATTTCTTCCTTTCACTGTGCAATAAGTGTAGGTACTAAGTGTTCCTGTGAGCAGGATATCATCGATGTAGATAGATAGATGGGATAACCCGAGTACGCTGCTCTTCATTGGTGAATCATTATGAAGAATCCGCCGCCGAGCCTGCCAAATTCAAATGCCACTGCAATGACTGTATGTACTGGCAAAGGGTGCAATGGATACCACTCATAGAGCGATTATTTGCGCCGTAGAAGGAGAAAAGAAGCTTCCAAACCGGTGTGCTATGTCTCGCCGAGGGTAGTTTCAAAAGCTGCGTATCTATATCCCGAAGGTGGACGCATGTATGATACATAGATCTGCGCATGCAATAAGCTGCCGAGTGACGCTGTGCAGTGGGCATAGGTATGTACGTCTATCTGCTCGATTTCCCAACCCAACCGTGCTTTACGGCCATTGCAAGAGCAAATACATTATACCGGTAAAGTCATACCATTAGTAGTGTCTAGATACCTAGGTAGTCAATACTCTGCCTCGATCACAGTTGTTGATCGCCAACTCTTCGAGTAGCTTCTGCAATCCGTTTGAAGGCACCGGCTAGACCAAGCACTCTGCCGGAGCCCACTGAGGCTGAAACTAAGGCCGATGTCTCAGCATACCGGTACCTATATCCACACATCCATCCTACACAGGTACTTCCGGTGTGGCCGGTAACTAACCCGGTGGAAAGATTTGTCACGAATAGCACTCGCATACCTAAGTAGGTAGTACATGCCGCAATTTCCCAATAATGGGCGTTGATTCCGACTTGATTTCAAACGCGTGTTCACTATTCAGCAAGCTGGCAGTGGGGGTATTTCAAGCGATCGCCGCTGTAGAATGGGGTGGCTTTGGAATGCTTCAGAATGCTTAAAATTTGGTAGCGGGACGGGTTAAGGATGTCCACAAAATGGAGGACATTCCGGTGGCGCTCCGTGAAGCTGGACTGCTGGACTGCTGGGCTGCACCCGAGCCGTAAACTCGTTTGAGAGCTCGAGTACTGCTGTAGAGTACTGTGTTTTACCCGTGGCACAATCCGTATCGAATGCGATCCAGTACTACCTACCGCTGAATAAATGTACAGTCTATGGCTCACCAGACTTGGCTACTTGCACTGCTTGGTAGAGCTTCTTGTGGTCCGTCTACTAAATGGCTCGCACCAGAGAGCAGACCTCACTCACTCAGCAAGAGTAGCTGCAACGTCCCATTTACCCACCGCCACACACCCCACGATTTAGTCATGATGGGCGGAACTCTAGCCACAGAACGAAAAGGTATTTCCATGAATTTCCGTCTTGGACCAGAGTGTATTAGCCCATGCTAGCTGCTTTCTATACTAATGGCACTAAATATTCTTAGTATAATATACGCAGCTTCCATGGTCCAACGGTAGGATAATTGCCTTCCAAGCAATTGGCTCGGGTTCGACTCCCGATGGATGCACTTATCTTTCAATTTCTTTTTGCTACTTTTTCTATTTCACGTTATATACTCCATCTCCATCATCACCACACCGGCCTGGGTGACTTAATTCAAAGGAGAAATGTTATCCATCTCCGACGCAACATCAACCGCCCTCTACTCTTCCATCCAATTGCCATATTGTATGAATAAACACTTCGGAACGAATGACAACATTCAATTACGCCATTCCCAACCCCCCCCCCCCCCACTCTATCAGTTAAACATCCAGTTAAACATCCCCATCACCCAAAATCCACAAACAGGTATCTAAATCACCGCCCATTAAGCCCGCCCTATATATGTATCTATAGTTACATCTTTCCCTAATCCTTAAACTCATCCAACATGATCCCCTCCTCAGCGACCCTATCCCTATCGAGTATATCCAGCCCCAACCCTCCATAGGGCAGATCCTTAGCGGCAACAAACTCCTTCTCGACTCTAAAGAACAGCCAGACCCATCTCCGAAAGACCTCGAGGAGCTCGAGCATGAAGATGCCGCCCTCCATTTCGTTGAGGAAGTCGAGGTGCGGCGAGAGCTTTACGCTCCAGGCGAAGCGCAGCAGGAAGTCGAGGCCGACCGCGACGTAGTAGAACTCGACGGCGACAAAGTGCCGGTTCTTGCGCAGGCCGAAGGGGTATTCGGCGCTGGAGCGCCGCGAGGTCAGAAGGCTAAGCTCCCAGTCCCGTGTCACGTCCCAGTAGAAGGCGAAGAGCGTGTTGATTAGCACGGCGGCGTACCAGCCGCGCGTCAGGCCTGCGCGCGAGATCAGCGGCATCTCGGAGTCCGTGGGGTAGTTCCGCTGCAGAGCACCCATGATGATCACTGGGAAGGCCGAGGCGTATTTGGCGGCGTTGAAGAGATGCGGGCGCCGCTCGGCTACGGGCAGGCCTTTGTCGGCAGCGCGGAGGTACTCCGTTATGCATTGGCGCAGGCGGCAGAGATACGGGATCGCGATCACGCAGGGCACTAGGAAGGCGCCGCCGCAGGACCGGTTCGGGATCGGGTGCGTCGACGAGTAGCCCGAGATGAACATGCAGCCGACCATCGCGGCGTCGCCGATTACTTTGGCGTAGGAGGTGAGCACATCCGCAAGGAGCACGTCGGCGAAGCGAAGGTCCGAGTCAATGCCGCCGGTGAGGATGCGGCGGAACGATCTGTTTGGAAATATGAGCACGATTCACGGGCATCGTGGTGGGGGTAGAGAGCTGAAAGATGTGGAGTGCATACCGAAGGAATCTCCATCGTCCGCGCTTGTGCCAGCTACCCATCGGCCACAGGAACACTCCGAGCATGAGTAGGAACAGCATCATTGGTATGATCTCCCATCGTCGTACATCCTCGGGACGCCCGCCCGTCACGGACCAGAAAAAGAAAAGATTCGCGCAGAAGATCCCGCTGAGCACGAGGGCGATTTGGTAGACCGAGTGGTGGAGGTATGCCTCGGAGGAGCTACGCGTGTATCGAAGGAAGGGAGAAACATCTATGTTGACGATTTGGAAATAGTGAAGGTTGAAAGCAAAAAGCCACACTCCTACAAAGGCCGCGTCAGTGTTCTGGGGCTCGAGCAGAGGAAGGGTTTAGTTACCGATCAGAGGGAGGAGAAGGACGCGGTAAGGAAGTGGAAGCCAGAGACTGATTGTCTCGAAAGGAACATCATCCGCCCCCATGGCGACGCATTGGGTATGGGTACGGAAGCTCGCTGAAGAATGAGTGACGATAGTTTGGAAAGCGTTGAAAACGCGGAAAAAGCTCAGGAGTTGCAAGAAGGGTAGGTCGCACACACGGCCGTTGGTCAACTCGGAAAGGAGAGGCGGTTGTGTAACGGACGATTATGCTGCGCCTTGGCGCAGCAGATCTCACCGCGTCGTCACCGCGCGGGACTAACTAAAATTAGAGCGGAAGCCAAGTCTTAGAGTAGTATATAGAGTTATCTGCTTGGTTTCAGCGATGCTTGTTTGATATCCGAATGGCGGAGATCTGTCTCAGGCATTGCGTGCCGTGGAACCACCAGTACCTGCGTGGCGAGTGCCGTCACTCCACTTCTCGGCTTATGTCAAGACAGTGGTCGGTTCTCGAAGGGCTCGAGTGCGGACTTTTGGCGTTGGCGATCCGGGGAGCGAGTCTGGAATGCTCATTGCTGTGGGGGGTCGCTATCGGTATGTGGGATTCTACAGCGGATCGCTTCGGACCAGCAACTGATTCGCGTTTGCTCTTCTGCTTTCCAGGCCCAACACGCCTTAGAAGCCTCGCCGAAGGTGCGGTTTACTCTGCGTGGCCCCAGAGTGCTTTACGCGCCCTGCGGACCCGGTGATTCGTCCCATAAACTGGATAAAGTACTGGCGCTCGGCATGCTCGATTCCATCCAACTAGCTTCCATGCTTCCCGCTCCTGGGCCTGGAGACACTCGGTGCAAATGCACGCAGCCAAGCAGCCACGCTGTACGGCGAGTCGGCCCCTGCTCAAGGCGGTGCTGTAGCTAATATATTGCACAGACATCCAACGGACACATGCTAAGTTACATGCTACATACATGGACACGATGTTACACCTGCCCAACGAAGAAGGCCCTTCCCAGTGCTCCTCCACCTCTGTTTTGTACATAAGACGCCGCTTGTTCCCGTCCACGTTGTTTTCTTAGTAAGGAAAAAATACTCGGATTCGATTCTGACAGATGACTCGGATCTTCTTTACTGCTACTGCTGCTGCTGCGGCAGTGTGGATATCGGGCGCCGCCGCCGCCCTCTCGGACAGCGATTGCGATTGCTACCGCACATCCGCAAACGACGTCTTCACGGACTACACGCTCTCCGATTTCCGCCGCGTAGGCAGTCCTAAAGCCGTTCCGGAGTTGCAATCAACCCTCCCGGACTCGGCGTTCCGCAGCACGCCGGACGCAGACACTGGCGTGCTGCAGGACGGGTTCATATCGGGACCGAAGTGGAATCAAAGTTGGACGATCCAGGAGTGGGGCAGGCCAAAGGCGAATGATACACTGTACCCGATGAGCAATAGCTTCAGCAATGTCTTTATCGATCGGAATAAGGATGGTGATAAAAAGGCGAAGACGAAGCTCGTGTTGAGGACTAGACGGTTTGAGGGGTTTCAGAGTGCTGCCGAGGTCGAGCATCAGTATGTCCCGCCCCCTTGGATGGATTCTCTGCTCCGCACGGGCTGACAGAAGTCACAGGCAAAAGAATCTACTCTACGCATCGGCCCGGTTCCGAGCCAGGGTCATTGGTGATGCGGGTGCAGTGGCAGGACTGTTTTACTACCAGAACGGAAACAACGAGAGTGACATTGAAATCCTGACTCGAGATGATCCCACGATAATTCGTTACAGCAATCAGCCCACCGTTGACGATGGTTAGCCCCTCTTCTTTCTCTGCCCAGCTATGCGATACTGACTCCTCGGATAGATGGCAACCAGATACCAGACTCATCAACCATATTCAACTTGGCCACAAAGCAGAGGAGAGACGACATCGAAGACAAGAAGAAGCGCTCTTTTCTCTCCCCACGGGCTGACGGCGACCTTGCATGGACGGAGTGGCACACTCACCGTATCGATTGGATTGCGGGGAAATCCTCGTGGTATGTCGACGGAGAATTTGAGCTCGAGAAGACATACGGTGTACCGACCGTACCTTCATATATCGTCCTGAACATGTGGGGAGATGGTGGAGTATGGAGCGGCGAGATGGAAGTTAACGCCGAGGCGAGACTTGAGATCGAGTGGATCGAGATGGCATTCAATACTTCGGGCCCCGTCGAGGGTGTTCCCGACGAAGAGGATAATGCACGGAGGAAATCCAAGAGGGCCGACGCGTGTACGAAGATGTGTACTCTCGGCGACGGCGCGCCCCATCAGTCCGGTGCAGTGGGTCTTCGGAGGACAGATAGCCGCTTGGCCATTGCCGTTGCTATCGGAGCAATGGTGCTCTTTGTTGCTTTCTGAGTTATCCGTATACTGCCTGTGGTTTAGCCGTATTGTTTTGCATCGAGTTCGGGGTTTACTGAGCAGTCGACGTCTCCGGGCAAGAATACCCGCTGGTGATCCCGCCGGTGTAATATCATCTTCCCCGTGCCCACCATGTCACACGAGATCGATCAGCACGGCCACGCGGTTTCTTTGTTTCGGGATAGAATGTACACTTCGACTTTCATATTCAAATGCACAACCATCAACCACCCGCCCTCGCATGCCCGTGAATTGCATACCTACTATGTAGCAAGAGAATGTGCATGAAAACAATCCAGGAACCAGCCAGATAGTCCTCCTGCAGCCCCAAAAATCCTCCGTCATTGTCCATTCTATATATGGCCTCCTATCGCCGTGGATGGTTCACTTACACTTCCCCGCTTCCATGCCTGACCCTTCTATCCAACTGACTGACTGTTGACTGACTGGCTGCTTGACAGCTTTTTAATAGTCCCCTTCAGGATGAGCCAGCTGTTATAAAGAACGACCGCAAATGAAACTTGACGCATATTTGCCCTGCCTTCCCTATCTTCCACCTCCCCTTCTTGCTTTGTGGATACAATACGAGGAAATAGACAAGCATCATCAGCATCACCCATAACAGTTCTCACGGAGTCAACCGAAACGTTTGCGATAACATAATGCATCACCACATACCCTACAAATTCCGTCCAAAACGGGACAGACCACGACCGGCATCACGCGGCCAGCCGTTGGGCCGAGGACCTGTTACGTTCGAACGGGCTTCGATACCAACACCCTGCTTCATCTCCAGCTCCAGCTCTCGGCTGTTGAGCCCACGAGACAGCCCTGTACTCGGCGAGCCCAAATCCACCGTCACCGTCATCGCTCCACCCGTAACCGTCACCACAACAAGCACCAGCACCTGGATCAGCGGTCGTCTCGGTGACGGCCTGCCAACCCAAACGGTAACAGTCACCCGCAAACGCACGTCTACCACCGCAGTCCCCACCACCATCGAAGTCCCCACCACCGCCGACGTTCCTATTCCCACCGACTTCCCCACTCCCACCGGCGTCCCAAATCCCACCACCGAAATCGCACTAATAACATCCTACACCACCCTCCCCCCCGCAACTCTGACGCGAACAATCACTCGCCCCACGCTCTATCCGCCCACACAGACCGAGTTTCCCAGCAGCATACCACCCAGCACCCTACCCCCCAGCAGCATACCATCCCCCCTCCCCCCCTCCTCACCAGAAGATGCACCGCCGCAAGACCCCACGCTCACCATAGGCTTTGCCGTAGGGGTCCCGCTGTTCCTCCTCTCCATGCTAGCGGCGTTCTGGTATCTATTTTACATCCGCCGGGGTCGGGAGACCCCGGCCACCCGCTACTTCAAGAAACAGGAGCTCCGTAAGAAGGAGCGCAAGGAGGGTATGAAGACGTACAAGGAGCGACAGCGGGATGGGCGGGGTGGCGCCGGCGGCCTGGGGCTGGGGATGCGTGGCGGCATGGGCACGGGCTTGGGGATGAACATCACCGGCCCTGTAGGGCTGAGCCATCTCTCGGTGGAGCCCACACCGCGCTCCCTCCCGGGGTTCAAGACTGCTATGCAGCTGCCTTCGACGACGCGCGAGCCGCCGCATGCCGCCGCTCGGAACGGCGCAGCCGGTCCCAAATGGTCGCCGCCGCCCGCAACACAGAATGGCACAGCGGTGGCGGGGCCGAGTCGCGGGCGCGCGCCGCCGGCGGCGGGAGCTAGGAACTCCGAAGTAGCTGGAAAGATCCGGATCGCGCTGCCGGAGTTTCCTCGCCAGAGCCAGAGCCAGACACGGACGTATCTTCCACTCGCAGTCCCCCCTCTACCGCCGCCTCCTCCGCCGCGACGTACTCACGACGGCCCGACGATTCCGCCGCTAGCGCACTCGGTATTGCCCCCCCCCATCCCCGGCCCCGGCCCCGGCACCAGTACGACGAGCTGGGACTCGGTCACGACCGTGACGAGTGCGGATCACCAGGAGGAGGTCGAGCTTGCGAGGATGCAGACGCCGCCGCCCATGCTGCCGCCGCTGGCGTTCCAGGGGCCGTGGAAGTGGGAGGTTAGGCAGGCGGATGCGGAGGCGGACGCGGAGGCGGAGGATACGCTGCCGCTGCCGCTGAGGAAGGGGAATGGAAAGGGAAAGGGGAGGGAATGGTATGATAAGCTTTAACTACATAGGAGGGGACAGGGGGTTTTGTTGGAAATACTTTTTTTGGTAGCGGGTGGGGGGCGGGGGAGGGCGTTAATGCAGCTACCGCATGTCTACCATATTGTGGAGCGGCTTCATTCTGTGTGGTGTGGCATATTTCCACTGTCCTGCTGGGTACATATGTCAGGTCTTCCGCAATACCTATTCGTCAGTGCTTGCCTGCCTGAGAGCTATTGATGGCAATGGCAATGAACCGGCTCAAGCTGGGTAGCTGGGGTCATGGATTCCAGTCGCTTGAAGGAGGACAGAGCAGCAAGATAAGCGGTATCACTCGGACTACCTTCACTATTATGTGTTGTACATGCCTCTGTTCGTACTGTATAGTGAAAAGGGGGGTAAAAAAATACGCTTTTTGGCGTCTCGGGACGGTCAAATAGCGTATAAATACGGTCAAAATACGTATTTTCACCGTATCGATACGCTTTTTTCCGTATCGGTACGGTCACAATGCGTATTTTTTACCCTCCCCTTCACTATACAGTATGTGGTCGGTCAGCGCCATCACTCGGACCGGAAAGCCTGTGACTGTAACTTGTAAGTATCTCAAGCAATAAGCTGAAAAACAGCAAGAAGAGTGAGAGTGAAAGAGCACTATCAGCAGAAACCTTCACCATTACCGCTGGCAAACGGGATATTGTCATCAACCAAGCCCACCACATGCTCAACACCACTGCTGTTGACCACGGCTCACGAACATAGCCTCTGCCGACACCGCGGCGGAAGCCTGGACAACCCTGAAAACCCTATACGACCGCGAAACTGCGAATACGACGATCACCCACGTGAGAACCGTTTTCGAACGCAAGCTTCTCGACGGCGGATCGCCGCAAGACCACCCGAAAGGATTCAACTCCTCAACCGCGACTAGACTCGACTCCTCAACCGATCATCACCTACCCATGCTCACGATGAGCTTTCCCAATGTCCGCAAGCCCTCACCCGCTCAAACCATGCCAAAGCCGCCTTCTTTGCTTGCTTGCTCGCATCGCTCCCGAGTCAATGGAGAATATCATCGATAATCTCCAGACCAGGGCAAGCCTCACCTTCGAGGATGTCAATTCCAAACTCCTCGACTTGAATGCGGGCCACTCACTCCCCTTGGGATTGGAAACAAGGACTGAGCACTGAGACTAAACCCTGGTCTCCGCCACCCACCCACAGCTTTCCAACACACTGAACAGAACAGATTCTGAGTGGGGCGTTTAAACCCATTCTGACAGAACACCGCCTGTGTTGAGATTCTTGTGAGAAGCAGGTAGGGGGGTAGGTAGATAGCTCCAGTATCGAAGATCCAACAATTTTTAGTGGTGGAGAGAAGTGGGGATTGCACTAAGTAGTTAACCGCGATGTATGAGGAGTCATCATAGCCTGGTCCCCACTTGCGCGGCCATGGCTATGAGCTTTCTCGTCGCTTCTAGTGCGCCTTTCACTCTCATTCTTCATGAGATCCAACCATTCGTGATGGTGGAGACTCGAAAGAGTGGGGTTTGCACTAGGTATGTAACCACCGTGGAGGCGGTCGCGATGTATGAGGAGTCATCATAGCCTGGTCCCCGCTTGCGCGGCCGGCCATGGCTATGAGCTTTCTCGTCGCTTTTGGCTAGTGCGCTTTCCACTGCTCGTTCTTCTTGATGTTTTTCCGCTTTTCTCGAACTCTGTACGCCTTCTCCTTCTCCTTCTCCTTCTTGTTTCTAAGGGAGGGAGGGGGGGAGGGAGGGAGTGGCTTGCATTCAAGCCGAGAGTCCGGAATTGACAGCCTCGAAGGTGGGGTTTGCTCTGGTTTGGAGATTATCGATGATATTCTCCATTGACTCGGGAGCGATGCGAGCAAGCAAGCAAAGAAGGCGGCTTTGGCATGGTTTGAGCGGGTGAGGGCTTGCAGGCATTGAGCCAGCTCAAGCTCATCATGATCATGGGCAGGTGATGATCGGTGAAGCGGTCGGTTCCCGACTTCCAGGCGCCGTTGATTCCGTTCAGGTGGTCTTGCGTCAATCCGCCGTCAAAAAGCTTGCGATCGAGTACGGTCTTGAGGACTCAGGAGGCTGATCGTGGTGTTCGAGGTTTCGAGGTCGTAGAGGTTTTTGAGGGTTGTCTAGGCTTCCGTGGCGGTATCAGCAGAGGCGATGGTGGCGAGGATTCTGTGGGCAACAGCGGTGGTGCTGAGCATGTGGTGTGCTTAGTTGTTGACGATGTCCCATTCGCCGGCGGTGATGGTGGAGGTTTCTGCTGGTGGTGCGGGGGTGGGGTATCAGGAGAACTGGGTGCCTTTGGTTCTTTCTCGGTCGTTCGGGTTGGTCGTATGATGTTTCGTGACGAGAACTTGAGGAGAGAGAGGGAGCTTTTTGGGAGAGGACGACCGGAGTCTGGTTGTTCCACTGACTGACTGACTGACTGACTGACTGACTGACTGACTGACTGACTGACTGACTGACTGACTGAATGAAAACACGAGGGAGATGCAGGTCTTTGTATACAGAATGGAGTTGTTCCAAGAAAACCCCGCTTCCCACATACCAGTACTGTCGCCGTCGCCCCGAAGCTCGTCGCCCATATTATCCACATTATCCACATCACCCATGTTACCCACAGTTCACGACCTAACCGTGTTTTCCGAACAGCCTCTCATTATGTGTTCATTTAGATGTTTGGTTGGTTGATTCGTTTTGAATTCTTATGTTTCGTTGCATTTGTTTAGGGATCTTTGTTTATTACGCCTTGAAGGTGAAGAATCGCGACAGGCGACGGGAAAGATAAACATCGATACCAAGCTGAAAATGAGGGCTCTCCGTTAAGCTACCTAGCTCCCCGAGTGATGCTTCAAACACCGTTTTTTGGTCATCATTACCTGCATGCGACGCGTCTCTGTGCTCCCCCTCTGGGTATCTGTCTGCGGCCCCGATAACGGGCTCGGTGCAGAACTCCCATTCTACTTCGATTCCGTCTTGGTCAATATATTGCTCTATGCCCGAGCTACCTAGGTCGATATTGACGCACAAGGTAGGGGAAGACTGGAGTTTCAAGCGCCCGGGTGGACGATTGGTAAATCCGGGGGGGGGGCAGTATCGAGTGATATTTGTAACTACAGACAGATGAATGGAAAACATACACAGGGAGGAAATGGATGCTTTTAAGTGATTTGCTAGGTTTTCTGGAATTACTTGCGCTTCTTACTGTAAGGGCTTGGAATGTGCCATACCTATCACTTCATTTTTATCCACGTTTCGGGACGACAGATTACTATCGCCCAACCTACTTCCCAGTCAACCTCATTGTCGGTCACGTGTAGAGACAAAAAAAAGCGTACTCCTTGCTTGTAAAAGTACTTTGTCCGATTGGGTTATTAGGTGCTCCTTTGTTGGAGTCATTGTGCTGATTTGTATCTTCCTGGCGCTCTGCCACTGCCAATGCACGGCCGCGATGTCTCTGTCGGTCATCAAAACCCCTTCCGTCTAACCCGACCATTCGTGGGCTCAAACAATGGAGCGCCATTATATGGTCGGAAATCAAAACGTTTTGTCGCCCATGTGAAGGGCCCATTGTAGAATCATTTATCAACGCACAGGACCACCGTACTCCGGCTTCGAGTTGCCCCAGTACCTACTAGAGTGGATTCGGCTCTGCCCCGCCCCAGAGATGCGGCTATGTGGTCTCAGAAGCGCGCTTGTGTTTGGTAACGCAGAACAAGGTCGTGGCGGGGACGAATGGCCATGGGAAGCTGTCGTATCTCACCAGCGTCACATCTTCGAACCGAGCCCGAAATCGCTTGTCCATGCGGTGCCTCCGGCAAGTGGAGCCAGCCAGCCAGCTTGTCCTTAGGCATGTCGGGATCGACACGAGTCCTTTCCCGCTTCCCCCCGTCGGCCTCCACGGCTTCTCTTTCGCCTTCTATGCCAGTGTCGTTGTTGGCTTCGACATACTCCATGAGTACAAAACTCGTGCAGCCGTTTAATTTCCCTCAATGCGGAGTTTAAACTGTCTGCAGATTGCGCCCCGGAGATGGGTGTATATAGAGTACTTTATGTACTCACATCCATGGCTCCGTCTCACGTGTATCAAGGTATCTATGCGGTGTCGTTGTCGCACACCGAGAAACTCTCCGACACAGGCTAACAACAGACCAACCCCTCCATGCCAGGAACCGCAGCATCCCGCCAACACTACTCCCTCCCATCAGCCCGTAACATGCGAACCCGACCACCATCACCACCACCACCACCATCATCCCACACAGTCACACGCCAGCAATCCACCTCCTCCACCTCGTCCTCTTTTCCGTCCACTACCGTTCCCCGAAACAACGATTGATTCCTGCTATCCACACTCCCGCAATGGACTATACATCGACGCTAGACCCTGGTACCCCACCACCGCCGGGCTTCACTCTTTCGGACTCCACCGACTGGGAGTACTTCACCGAGGGCGCAGCGAACATCCTCTTCCGCTATGTCGGCGAGCATCCGTACTTCAAGCGGTTCCTTCTGCGGCTGCGGAAGCTTCTTCCGGGAGCCCCGACGACCCGCCAGCTCTTCGACCACATCAACCGGCGCTTCGCGCCTCTACTCGGAAACTACATTATGCGCTGCGATCTGATCGAGCTCGACGCCGGCTTGGTGCCGGCACTGAACCGCGTGCTGGAGGAGGAGACGGGCGACTACGATTGGGCCGGACGGCCGGTGGTCAAGGGTGCACGGCGTCTACTGGATGAGAAGGAGCAGTGGGGGATGCTGGTGGAGGACATGAGCTGTGGGAATTACCTATACCCGCCTGAGGAGGACGAGGAGAGGGAGAAGCCCGAGGATCCCGGCGAGGAGTGGCGCGACATGGCTACCGTCGAGTTCAAGCCAAAGTGGCTCACGCAGTCCCCAAATGCTCCGGCGAACTGGACGCTGTGTCGGACGTGTGCGGTGCGGTGCATGAACGGGAAGCGGCAGGAGGGGAACGTGCCGGAGTACTGTCCGCTTGACCTGGCCTCGGGCAACAAGGAGCGGATCGAACAGGCTATCTATGCCATCGTCAACTCGCAGAACTCAGTCATGATCGCGGATCCGGCGGGCGATGAGAGCGACAATGAGGATCAGGAGATGACGGGGACCGAGGAGACACCCGAACAGGTCTCACATGAGCTGGCGAAGACGCTCGAGGCGAGTCTTATCACGTTACTCACACAATTCTTTCGCAACACTACCATTATCCCGCTACTCGCCGAGCTGCAGCATAAATTTGGCACGAGAGGAGTGTTTACCAGTGCTACGCTCGCCCTAATGAGTGATACCGACCAGCTTCCGAGCGAGGAGGAGATGATAAATGCCGCCTTGCAGGCAGGCGGCCAGGACCCTGCCGAGAATGATATATGGACCGCTATGACGCTGAGGGACTGCAGTCTGTTCCTGAAGCTGTGGGTCAGGAAGCAGCGTGGGAGGGGTATGGAGGCTAGGATTGAGTGCAAGGTTGGGGATCTCGACTTGAAGACCGGAGATGGCGGTAGGGCCGTCTACTGGAGAGATGTCGAGAGACGGTTGAGGAAGGGCGGGTGGTATGTCAAGAGGGATGTGGGGAGGAATTGTAGGACTGGCCAAGGGATGGCATAGACTTGTCGGTAGCAGAATCCGGCGATGGTTACGATGTTACTACATTGGAGTGTGGTGGGTGCCGCGCTGTGAGTTGCTTGCTTGCTTGCCTTTGCCTGCTTAAAGTATCTTTGCGATCCTTGTTCTTTTTTTTTGGACCCGTATTATCAAGCATAAAAGTGGTGTATGAGTACTGGTATCATTGCATGCTGAGAGGGCGAATGGGAGTGTTTTGGTTTGATACTGATAGAAACGCCGATGGACCGGTGGGTCTGCGATCCAATTGGTTATACACAACTTGATCACAGTTGCCCAAGTCAACGTCGCCCTCGTCTTTCTATCCTGTAAGTCCTTCTATCCAGTCCTTCTATCCTTTAAGTCCTTCTATCGAGTCCATCTATGCTGGAAGTCCTTCTGTCCCGTAAGTCCTACCCAACCACCAGTCCAGTGACTTTGCCTCGTCGACCTTAACCGTGTCTACACATACCCCGCCGCCACCTGACCAGCCAAAAACGCACCCACCCACGCCAACCCACTGGTCCCATTCCTCAGCGCCGCCACGACCGCAGGGCCAGGACAAACGCCCACCAGTCCCCAGCCAACACCAAACAGCACACTGCCGACGACCAACCTCCACTCGACCTCTCCAGCCGGCAACGTCCACTCATCCACCAGCCGCGGGCTGCTCTTCCTCCTCAACCACGCAATCGCATTCCCGCCCACGCCCACCAGCGCCACCGCCATCAGGCTGGGATCAAAATTGTTCCAGTTGGTCACACTCATGAACCCGAGCGTCTTCGCGGGCGACGCCATCCCGCTCACCAGCAGTCCCAGCCCGAACACGAAGCCCGCATACACCCGTGTGGCGACCCTCGCCGCCTCCGTCTTCGGCAGTCGGCGGATGACCAATGCTCCCACTGCGGCGCCGGCCACTAGGAGCACCGCCGGACCCGCCGCCGGGTACGTCGGTGTATAGCATGCTCCGTTGATACACGCCGGGGGACTGCTAACTACGGCCGCCGTGGCCACCGCTGAGGCGAAGAAGGTCGCTGTGGCGACTAGGCTCCGCACAGAGCCCCGGGCCACCCCCAAAAGCATGTGCCCGCTGGTGCATCCCTTTGCGAGCTTTGTGCCCACGCCCACTAGGGCCCCGGCGGCGAGCAGGAGCGGGAGTGAGGTGTCTGTGGGGTAGGAGGGCGGGTATAGCGGCAGTGCGGCGGCGGCGAGGAGACCGAGGAGGGTGGGGGTTGTTGAGAGGGAGGGATGCAGGATGCCGTTGGTGAGGAGGGAGCTGCAGCCCAGGATTTGGGAGTTGCTGTGGAGCAGGGTGGTGGTGCTGAGGTGCAGTAGCACCGCGCCGAGCGTGGTGGTTACCGGTGTAAACATCTTTGCGGTATGTGGATGTTGAAACAGACGGATATTTCGACGGATGGGGAGGTGGGACTGGATAGTACAGGACGGAAGAGGTTATGAATACATATAGCAGGTAGTGGAATCCGTAGTCCGTCGGATGGGGGAGCGGGGTGACGGCGGAATACCTAGGTAGAAAGCCAGGCTTTCTTCGTCTCTTTTCCTATCTAAGCCCGTCACCACGGCCAGCCAGCCTTCGGGCATTCGTTTATACAGCATCTAGCCCACACAAATCCACACATTTCAGTTGCATCTTCTCGGCCAATTTTCATCCAGGCGAGTTTATGGTTGGCTGCAGGGCCCCGATGCTGAAGTGGGCTGGAGGCTTGGAGTCAAAAAGACACCGAAAATCCTCCGTTCCGTCGGATGCTGCAAGCACCGACCGGGTGGGGGGTTGTTACCGAGAGGACTAGAAATTCTTTTTGCCGGCTTCGACGGATCGTATGTACATAGTGAGACAGCAGCTTCGCGGACAAATAAAATTAGAGACGGATCTGGGAGAGATCTGGAAAGGAGACATCCGGATCGTACCTTTCTGGTCGACATATGTATTCGGCGAGGCCCTGAAGATCTCATCCGATTCTGGGAGGAAATTCTACTTGAATGTGCCCGACAACCTGAGTGGAGATGGACCCTCAATTATCCATTGAGGTTCGACTCAATCCGTGCTCATTTTTGTGCCACCGAACTCTAAGTCCGAGTGACGCATAATCGAGCGGAAGTTACCGCAGGCATCGAAGCCTGAACGCCAGATTCACAAATCACGACACACCCCCCACGCCCCTCCGCAAATCTCGCCATCTCATCCCCACCACGACAGCAGCAGCAACACCAATGGCCGACCCACCCAACGCACCCAACCCGCGCAAGCGTCCATCGCCACCAGGCAGCACACCGACCAGCACGCAGCCGGACCGCAAGCGAGCCCGCATCATCTCGTCGCGCACCATCATCACGCAGACCAACCTGCCCGAACTAAAGACCGGCCAGCTCAATGTCGCCGCCTTCGTCAAGTCGCGGAAGTTCGAGATCGCGGCGCTGCAGCGGTCCATGGCCACGGCAAAGACTGCGCTGAAGCAGCGCGCGTTCCAGAGCGTGCCCCGCGATATGCGCCGCAGAACCGCAAGCCACAATTCGAAGCGCGTGCCGAAGAAATTGAGGGACCGCGCCGAGAAGGAGATGAAGGAGGATAATACTCCTACGCATACGTTCCGGAAGAGGAAAAAGAGCGGACATGATCGGTTGAGGGCGGAGACGGCGGAGAAGCTCAAGACGATGGCGAAGAAGAGAGAGGTTGTGGAGGGGTTGATTCACGCGGTGGAGGGGAAGGGAGGGGAGTTGGTGAAGCCCCCGAGGGCGCACTCTAAGTGGAGGAAACGGCAGAAGGGGAAAGTGTGGTTGCCAACGCATGTGTGGCATGCGAAGAGGGCGCATATGGAGATCAGATGGAGGTTTTCGGTGCCCGAGAGCCCGAACGATAAATGCTTCAGGAGTACGCAGCGCGCAGTGGAGAAGAGGGGGGGTGTTGCGTGGGATACGAGTTACTGGAGTCACATACTCGTGAGGGGTGAGGGGGTGCTGGTGCGGATGGTGCTGGAGGCGGTGTTTCCTGGTGCTGGGGGGGATGCGAAGGTGCGCATGGGGAAGAGGAGTAAGGAGTGCTGGGCCTATGAGCGAGGTGGATACCCCGATAAGCCTATCGGGCCTGTAACGGTAATCTGGAGCCCTGCTGAGGAGGAGGGAAAGGGCAGGAGGGTACTGGTCAGGGTCCACCCCTCGGCGTTCTACAAAGTTTGGGAGGAGCTTCTTTGCGCGATGCGGGCGCAAAACCCTACCGAGGGACTCCAGAAGGTGTTCATCGACGATATGAGGTTCGAATTGGGAAGCATCCAGATCTCTGGGCCCAATGCTACTGATGCCCTTCTCTCGATGCTTACGCCTACCAATCCAGATGGTGAAATCGAAAAGAACTGGATTAAGCTCAGAGGTCTGACCAACCCCGCTGCTCTTCCACCACAGGTGGCCTTTGGCTTCGAGATTGCGGATCCGCGTCTTCGTTTTCCACCCCGCCTGGAGAAATCGAAACTCTCGCCTGAACAGCAACAGGCAGAGTTGTTCACTATGCAGTCAACTTGGCCGATTACTCCGAGACCATTTAACCTCCTCGATACGGAGAAGCGGGTGGTTGCTGTGAAGCTACAAGCCTCGGAAAAGCGCATCCAGAAGCGCAAGACAGATGCAACACCAGGAACCTTCCCTGCCGCGATAGCGAACGATCCAAAGATCCCGATCATCCTCGTGTCTTCACAGCTAGCCGGAAACAACAGCGGAGCACCAAACAAGATTCCAGGAGCCTGGACTGTGATCCTCCCCTGGAAATGGATGCAGCCCGTCTGGTACGCCCTCATGCACACCACCGAGCAGATCCGCTTCGGCGGTATCAAAGAGCTGCAGCACATGGCGTTCGACCACGGGCTCCCATGGTTCCCTGCCGACTTCCCGGGTACAGATGCCGGCAAGACGTGGGAAGACGAGCTGGCAGCGAAACGGAAGGAGACGTGGGATAAGAAGCCGCCGCAGAAACGGCTCAATTACGATGCTGTCAAGATATCCGGGAAGAAAGGAGAAATTGGTGACTGGAGCCGCTGCGACTGGGCTTACCTTGTTCCCGCGGCAGCCGGTAGCAGCACTCATAAGATGGACGTCGACATCCCCACCACATCTTCACTCCTCGCGCCAATTGATACAATGGCAACCGTAAGCACCGCACCACAATCGGAACCCACAGCCCCGCCCCAAAAATCCTGGTGGCAGATCCCCTCCGCGCTTGCCACAATAGCCCTCAAAACCTATCCCAGCCTCCCCGCGTCCCTCGATTCTGTCACGGAAGTCCTTGACAAAGGCATTTTCACTGTAAAAATCACATTCCTCCATCGCGGCGCACCTACTGCGTGTTCCAGAATCTATCGTCTCCCACACGCCGACACCACATGGAAATCACTTGCCGCCAACATCAAGGCGAAGAAGGGGGATAACGTCGTCGAGGCTGGGAAGGAGGGGTACCCGCAGTGTCCTAGCGAAGAGGACCTGGTAGGCTTCGTTACCACTGGGAATTATAGTCTGACGACGGGACAATCGGTGGCTCTTGGTGGGATTGTGTGGGGCGCGTGGTTTGAGGATGAGCGTAGTAAGGAAAGACTTTGTGTTGTGAGAGGCGTGGGAGAGACTGTGGGGAGGCTGGCGAGGTGGGAGGTTGTGTAGTTGGGTTGGAGTTTGTTGTGTATCTATCATATATAGAGCAAATGAAATATCACGGGTAATGGACGGAAGGGATAATTGTCTGAAAGTGCAGCTTGCAGAAGTGATCAGTTTCCAGCACGAGTGATTCATCTGAAGCTAGTATCTCCACGACTCACGATTCAAACTATGCCTCTATAATTCATTGTACGGTATCGATTTTACTGCCTCGTGTGCTCCTCACCCATAATGAACCAGCGCATGAGCCTTACTCTTTTCTGTATGGATCGAGTAAGCCTCACTGCTCGTGCTGTCCAACTGACAGTGCATAGTGGTCTAAGTGCATGTCATCGACAATCGGCTCTGGTGGCCAAGCTGGTAAGGCGCGTCACTAGTAATGACGAGATCCTCGGTTCAACTCCGAGTCAGAGCATCCTTTTGTCTTTTTGGGACTCTGGACACCTCCGTTGATCTCCATTGCTTTAATATTTTATTTTATTCTCCATCCATGTAACTCCAAAACCCTAAGAAATCACTACCAGACAACGAGATGTCGCAAAACAAAGAGATTGTTGAAAGAGGCGAAGGTTCGTGAGTTGGGTATTACTCTACATACTACCAGATATTGACGGGTATATAGACCCTCGCTGACCCGCCGCCGCGCCTCTTGACAGTTCCTGCTGCAGAAGGCGCGTACGAAGCGGTAACATTCGCTGCCGGAGGAATCCCCTTCGTAGCAGCGATCACCGCCTGAGTGCCCAACCCGAGGATCTCAAACGGCACACACTTGTCGAGCTTAAACAGCTCGTGAGTCGCGAGTGACTTCTCAACGAGTCTCCCACCGATACCGGCAAGTTGCCCCGTGACTCCGGCGACCACATTCAGCACACCAGTGACGCCAAACTTTGCGCCGGTCTTCTCCTGGGCGCCACCACCGCACACGCCGTTCCCCTCGGCGTCGAACTCGAGCTTGGCGGCGGCATTGATCTGCGGAAGCCCGAATTTTATGTCCACGCTGAGCTCGCCGACGGACGACACCTCGGCCTTGAACGCCAGCTTGGGCCGAAAGAAGATGGCCGCGTCGATGCTCGCCGTGGCATTGTTGATCGTCAGGATTGGCTCCGCCTTGGCCCCTTCGAAGCCCGTGGCCGTGCTCTTCTCCAGATCGATGATGTTGAGATCCAGCCGCGCGGTGTCGGGCAGCGAGCCAGTGAGGCCCACGGTAAAGCCCACCGTGCCCTTGAATCCCATCGTAAACCCCGTCTCGACACTGGCGACCAGGCCGAGTGAGAAAATCTGCGGGACCACCAGGCCGGCGCCTGGAACCGGGATCTCGATCAGGTCCGTGGAGGCGTCGAGCTTGAAGAGGTCTAGGGCTTGGGTGCCACTGGTGACGCTGTTGAGCTCCTCGGGCGAGTAGGTCGCGGTCACGGTGGTTTCGATTTCGGCGGTCGCGGAAAAGCCGCTGGGTGCGATGCTAAGAGAAAGGTCGACGATCTTGAAGTCTTCGACTTTGAGTGTACCCTGCATCTTGAATTTTCCTTTGACGAAGCAGTTGGCACAGTCGATTACTAGACGGGGTGGTCTGGATTTGTTAGCTGTGAATGGGACGGAGCAGATGGAGATACGTACGTGAATGGCTCGGTGAAGATATTCTTCTTGACACCTTCCTCACCACCGGTGACATCGAACTCAATCGCCTTCGAAAAGTCCGCATCGCCGATCTCCTTGAAGACCTCGCCCACATCTTTCCCGACCTCCTTGACATCATCGACCAGATCCTTTGCACCATCCTTAACGTCATCGACGAGATCCTTCGCGCCGTCCTTAACGTCCTCAACCAGATCTTTCGCCCCGTCTTTGACATCCTCAACAACATCCTTCACCTTGTCCCCCACCCCATTCCAAAAATCTTTCCACCCACGGATCCTCAGCTTCTTCTCCGCAACCGGCTGCAGAGTGGCCTTGCCAAAGTCCATGCTATACGTTCCAGTGATATCCTTCCACGGCGCCACCACAGCCGACAGCTTCGTCTTCAGCGCCGCCTCGTCGGTATCCACATCCGTGATGCTACAAAGTTACGGCACAACCATCAGCCCAACCCACTTGAACCTTCCAGCACAAAAGGTCACTCACCGATACGCGACCCTCTCCGCCTCAGGCCCACAGCCATCATGATTTACCACCAGCAAAAATTGCATAGTAGCCTCCTCATTGACCCACGCCCACTCCTGAAGGGCCTGATCATACGCCTCCCTAGAATTCCAGGTGACACTCAGCTCGCCATCCGTCTCGCCCGAGCAGTCCACGGCGGCAGCCAGCCCCTCCAGCCGCTCCATCATGACGATCGGCATGCCCGACGGCGCCACCAGCGTCATGTTGGCCAGCAGCAGCTGTCCGTTGGCGCCCGGCGAGCCGTACACAAGCTGTGCTTGCTCAGTAGGCGCGAGGTCCGCGAACTGCGCTGAGTCAGTGCGCCGTGTGAGTGGCTCGCCGGAGATGGCGGATTCGAAGGCCAGGACGTTGATCGGTCGGAGGACCCGGATGGATGCGAACGCCGGCGTTGCGGCCAGAAGGCTAAAGACGATGGTCCACCGCATCTTGGATATGTATACTATTATATCACCTGGATATAACGGGGGGAATAGAACGAATGAATAAATGAATAAACGGCAAAGAGCGACCAGCAATCAAGCAAGCAAAGGAGCGTAGAACAGAACAAGATGCTATCAAAACACCTTCCACAGAAGCAGACCACGACGAAAGAATGGCGATCAGGTGCCGGGGCAAAAAATATGGCGATACCGGAGCACTATATACACACCTATACACCCTCCACCCTTCCCCCTCCTTCGCCACAGCCCCCCCGTCTCCCTTTAGAGTACATAGAGTTGGTACCGGTATCAAGGGTGACCCGTCTGTCCAATACGAAATACGAGTTGACGTTCCCGCGTGGAGCGTGGATCCAGCCTCAACCACCCATGGGTATTTTTTGGTTCGCAATCTTCAACCCCTCTCGCTGTCGTCCCCGCAGCCTGCCTGGCATCCCCCCCATCCCTCCCCTTAGACTAGGAATGTCCGTAGCGTGTATCAAAGCCACTCCTCGACAACCCCAGGATGCGCCACGATTGGTCCCGCCGGCTAACGCTTTACCTTCCCCCTCCCCATCCCCCGACCTCGACCCCCGGCAGGCACGCAGAGTTCTCATTCGGTTGGACACATGTCCGCGACCTCGGGTTCCCTCCGTGCGTGCACTGCAGGCCGTAAAGTCGCCAGGATTTATAGAGTACTCAATATTGTATTATACATAGCCGGAACGGGGGTGGCGACCTAGCGGGTGGCCACTGGCAAGGCGGATGTGTAGGCGTTGTCGTTGAGAACATGAGGTGAGTCAAGAGTACCTAGGGCATGCGCTGATAGCTACAAGCGCACTCTTCCCCTTCCAACGACTTTAACAGCACCCCTGCATCGGCGTTTCATGCGTCTCGTCCAATAATAACCGCTGCGTGGTTACTGGTTGCAAAATGAAACAGTACCAATAACTTTCTATGTACATAGAGTACATATGGCACAGGAAGACTCGAGTACGGATTTCCCGGTTGCGAACTTCGTGTTCTACATACCAGGTAGGAAGTACCCAGGATATGGACCCTGACGTGAGTGAGATCCTGTGGGTTCAGATCTTCAACTGTGAATTCATAGTATATGATTCGTTTCGCGCCGCATCTACCTATCGTACAATCCACCACCCAAAAGCAAAACGCCAGCCTCAGCCATCAGCCATCAGCCATCAACCTACAACCTACAACTCCGTCTTCCTCCCCTCAGCACACCCCACCGTCGCCGTCAGAGCCTTCAGCGCACTCAGTATCTTCTCGCGCTCATCGACCTCCGCATCCTTAGTCCCGGCCAACCCCTCCTGAAACACCGCACACAGCGGCATCAACTCCTGTAGCCTCTCGGTCTCCTTCACCGCCTCGCCATCCACGCGCATATCCGCATTCAAAAATGCATCCTCGATGACCGTGGCGATCCTGCCCATTACCGCCGGTCCGGCGCGGGTAAACACATGTACCACTACGCCGACGCCGCGTTCGGATAAGAAATCGGCACGGACAGAGGAGTCGCGCAGGATCTGGCCAAGCAGGAAAAGCAGCCTTTTCATCACATTTTCCTCACTCTCTCCTTCCAGCGCGGTAAGGACGGTGTGTGCCAGCGGGTGTACAGCGGCGCTGGAGAGGGCTTTGGGATTGTTTGAGACCGCACTGCCGAGGACCAATGCGGCCATCGCGCGGTGGGGGGAATTATTCTCGAGGAGGCCGAGCAGCGCGGGCACAACGCCGGTGTGCGAGGTCAACTGCGCCCCCCAATAGGCTTCGTGCGCGATCTCCGAGAGTTCCTCCAGCGCCTTCGTCAGCTCTGCAGCACCGGCCGCGGGGGGGAGTAGCGTGGCGACCGACTCGCCAAAGACCCCCGAGTCCGTGGTCGAGTCCTTCGGCGGCTTGATGTTCTGCTTTCCCAGCGGCTGCTCCCGTGGAGCACCCTGCGGCAGCTCTGCTATTATCGCCTCCTCCTCCTCTGCAGACGGGACGACAATGACTGCTTCGTGCTCGGCATCCGCCTCGCTGGGAACATTGATCTTCGCCTCCCGCTCGCCAGTGGCCACGTTCATACGGATGTGCAGGCCGGTCGGGATCTCCTGGTCGGATTTTATCACAGCGAACTCGTGCGTCGGAACGAAAACTCGCGGGTAGCAGGTGTCGCCATGGCAGATCTGTTCGGTGCTCGCTTCACTACCCCGGGCGGCAAAGCGGAGGGGTGGAAGCTCGCTTGCGTGGGCGAGGAGCGGGAGGATGAGCAGGAGGATAGCGTGGGGTGTGAGGTTCATGGTTGTGCTGTAGTTGCGAAGTTGTGGGGAAAGACATCGTGGCGTTTCTGGGGGGGTATATAACACCGAGCGACCTTCAAAATGCCAGATAGCTTTAACTCTCCCGTGTGTGTGTAACTAGCGTAGTCGGCCTGTTACCCCTGGTCTCGCCAAGCCCCCGGACCCGGGTTATGTAACCAAGTAACCTACGACGACGACATCGAATAGCAGCGACACCCCTCCCCTCCCCGGCGATACCTCCAACACACGCAACATGCCCATCCTCCTCCGCAGCGCCCGCCTCGCCGGCCGGCGATTCGCCTCCACGCACTCGCACGACCACCACCACGTACCGACCATGCAGCCGACGCCCGAAGGCACCCCCCTCCCCCCACCACCCCCGCCCACCCATCACTCATCTAACCTCATCCAGGCTTCGGCAAAGGCTTCTTCCTCTCGATCGCGTCGGTGATCGGGGTGCTGGCCATAATCAAAGCGGACACGTCCGGCGACCAACCGGCGTTCATAACGCGGCTGATCGACCGCTACCACAGCCGCACCGAGGTGTGGGCGGCGCGCAACCTGGCGCACACCGACATACTCGTCCAGGCCGCCGAGGACCGCATGCTCTTCCAGGACTCGCCCTCAAAGAGGAGGGTCGCTATCAAGAACCCGGAGTGAGTGGGGATATCCAGAAGGGGGGAGGGTTAAGTGCTGATAAGGGAATTCGTTACAGGACCTTGAATGCGGGCTCGCCCTGGAATAATGAGGCTGGCCGTGGATATGGTGGGGATTTGAAGACTACACGTATGCACCTCGAGGCGCTGAGGGAGAAGCACGCCGAGAGCTTTAGGAAGTAGACTTGCTGCTCTGCTTTGCAGTGAGCATTGTCTTGTGGGTGAGAGGAAGTGGAGGGGTGGACAATAGACGAAGATTCTGTACAGGAGGTGGTGGCAGTGTGATGAGTACATGTTGTCAGCCGCCTCAACCAATGTCCACTCGTGACTATATTGTCCCGTCCCTCTGTGAAGCTAAAGCACATCCCATAGAGTCGACAAAGCGTGGAAAGAGTGATCTGAAGCTCCTGGTAACCCCGCACATAGCTAGGTACTTGCACGTCACAGAACAGAAATCATCACTGGAAATATCATCGGGGGAAACGTCGTCCATTTGGTTATTAAAACTTCGTCACAAACACTCCTAATTTCATATCCTTTTAATCCCTCCCGTACCCCTCCACAGCATCCAGATTTCCGTTTCCTATCCAGGTCGCAGTTATCCAGCCCCACTCCTTCTACAATTGTAAAAGAAAAAAGACAATTGCCAACAAATGCAAGGTTAAGAAGCCCATAGACGAGACCTCTTTTCACTCTTCAAGATATCATACACCAACACAAGATTTTCAATCAGCAAGGAAGAATTAACAAGCATCTGAAGAAAAAAGAAAAGAAAAAAAGAAAAGAGGAGTTGAGCCTCGGAGAAAAAAGAAAACGTTGAACGATTCATCAGACAATATCTGGTAGCAGGCATAGGTTAGACTGTTACTCATTCTGCATAGCCTGGGAAGAATTGGCAGTGTTAGACATCTGTTGCGAATCCTGTGCAAAATGCTTGCTAGGCAAAACCTTCATGATCGCCTTTTGAATGATATTCCACTCGACAGCCGACGCCTCAGCCATGGTAAGGTGCGACTTTTTCGATTCCTCAGGATGTTGCTTGGTGATATTTTTCGCCCGAATTAACTCCGCGGCAGCGTGCATCTGAGAGCCATGCTCATCAGCGCGCGGCGTAATCGACAACTCAAGTAAAACAGAATAAAACTATTCCAGTCAACATCGCTATCCAGAATGGAGAAGGGATTACATACTTCTAAGACTTTCCTCTCCGCACCGATAGCTTTGCCCAAGGCCTCGAACCCACCGAGTACAGCAATGTCGGAATCCACGCGGATGCCTTCCGCACCAAACTCGGCCGTCTTGACCAACTCATATTTCTGGGCATCCGTAAACCCCGAGCACCTAAGACCAACGCAGAGCAAAGTCTTTAGCAGCTCGAGATCCAGATTCGGCAGGGTCCTTCCCCGTTTGATCTGGCGCTTCAATATATCAACGGCAGTAAGCAGAGACTGATAGATGTAATCCCGCTGCTCGATAGTGTAGAGGTCCACCGCGAACCAAGGAAACTTGGAGACGATCGACATGAGCGACTGGAAAGGTCGCTGCAGGCACTTGCGGCTGAATGGGCTCTGTAAAGGTTAGCTTACTGTTGTGACCTCTGGTGAGGATTGATGACTTACTCTGTGAGGGGTCCGCGCGTGATTGACGATCAACACGAGTTCCTCGCGGGAGATAATCTCGGTTTTCGAGCCATACTCCGGCTTATTCGCTGCAGGAACAGGCATGACTCCCTCCCAGATTATCCCCTTAGCCCTCGGAAATATGTCTTTCATAAGCTCTGATGGGTCAACGACGTCCAATGAGAGGTGCCTGTTGCCCAGGACCCTGGAACGACGACGGGAGACGCATTTCCACGCATCCTTGGCGTTCATGAACTCGACATATGCATCCATTGTTTTTCCCTATCCAACAACTACATGTCAGCCTCGCTCAAAGGATTTATGGAAAGGGAGCGTACGGTAGATCTATCCATTATTACATGGATACCGATACTGCCTGCAACCTCGGTGACGATGTTCGAGTTCCTGCCGAGGAAATCCAGCAGCTCCTCCGAGGTAACGTTGTAAGGAATCTAAATATCAAACAGGTGGTTAGAGTAATCCTATAAGAAGATGTCAAGAGAGCTTACATTGCCAATTTTGACACAGCTCCAGTTCTGCGGTAGCGAGTTCCTTCCCAAATCAACAAAAGGGGCATTCCTCATAGCTGTTTCCGCATCCATTGCTAGTAACTTGTTCGTACTCATGGGCCTCGCATGAACCACCGGCTGAATACCCGAAAACTGGATCGGAGGTATCGTGGGTAGGAACGGGACCATGTCGTCCATTTTCAACGGCGAAGGCTGGAACCTACTCACTGGTGTCGGACTGGTGAAGTGAACTGCGGCCGTGGAAGACGAGGGCGAGGCCCCCACAGACGCTGGGGAGTAGATATTGGAAGGTGTGTACGGCGAAGACGCCGCCGGCGACGCCATAACAGTCTGGCCAACATAGGCCTGATCGAGGCTGATCAGGGAGGAAACTCTCTGGGCTTAGGTTAGCAGGATCGAGCTTAAGGAATAGTATTGTGTGCATACCTCGCCACATCCGCAGAACACTTCATTGTTCGTGGAGGAGATGGTGCTCCAGAACCTGCCGCCGCAGTCGATGCAAATGAGACATCTGCATGGGGCTACCTGCAGTTTAGGGTCGAAGAGACATTGGGAGCATCCTAGGACCATCTTGCCATATTGCGAGGCTGACTTGTGCTGTCCACGGTGCTGATGGTCCCTGGAAGAAGTGATGGCGCCACCGGAAACCGGGGCCTTGGCTCCATATACGCTCTCGGGAGTCGACTCGGGCGAGTTGTAGGACCAAGCAGCGGGCTGTTTACCTTTCTTGTTCCTCTCAGCAGAGTCACCGGGGCTCATAGTGGTCTGGCTATCCGAAGTCATGGCACTCTGCCAGCTGTGGTTGGTGAGCTCGCTATTTGATGTTGAAATAGAAACGGAACGGTTGACAACTGGCTGCATCGGAGCCCTGGATCCACGAGTGTTGATATTGGTATTCTCGTGGGAGGATGTTCCTTTGGAAGACGGCCTGCGGCCAACATTCTCCTTGTTGCTGGGGGCATGGCTCACCGAACCGGAGTTGGTGTTCCTCCCGGGGGCCAACCGATCCGCCATCTGCTCGACCCGAGGCCTACTCTTGAGTTTCAGGGAGTTGGCCCTCAATGAGTCGATAGCTGTCTGCCTTCCAGCAGGCTTAGGAGCATCGTCATCGGGACGAGAAATTCGAACGGATGGAATCTCGCGGGGTGGGGGATTGATAGGGGCAAATCCAATAGGATAACCATGCATGAATCCAGACACACACTCATGGCCATCCGGGCTGATGGGCAATCCGTCAAGATCTAGCGGACAATTACATGCGTGATGAAGACCGGACCTGATGGCCGAGGTAGGGAACGGCCAATTCTTGAAAGGATTGCCAAAGGTGTTCTCGTGGAGAGACATTTCAAGAAAATGAAGGAGAATTAGAAGTAAGAAAAGTATTTAAGGAGAGTAATTAGGATAGAGGGTTGCGGAAAGCAGACGAAAGAAACAACAATTGGGGATTGGTGAGTATTTGCACACGAGAGATGACTTTTATGAAGCAACAAGGATGTAGAGTGAAGAGAAGACGTGAATGAGGATGGGAGGATGAGGGGAAGAAGAGAGGAAGAGGGAGAATGGCGGGGGGATGGGGTGGATTATAAACAACGTCGTCCTATGCAGGCGGCTTGATTGGATTCCAAATTTGGCCGCCGCCGCTGCTTTCGGGTTGCGAATTTCCTGTTCAGGTTCGGGGCCTCGACCACACGATGACGCCGTAGCAAATCATTGAGGTTGAGAAACGGTTCGATCGTGAGAGCTTCGACCTGTTTTGTATGGATCGGTTGCTCGCCAGAAGCATCCCCCCTGGCCAGCCCCACATCTTAAGTCGCCGACACATGCATTCGAGATTGAGTACCCGCCTGTGCAGACGATCCGAAGGTTCGGGAGAGCCCTGCCAGGATCAAACATCCCCAGATCTCGAGCTCGTTTATCTAGTTCCAAGGGGGAGGTGCCTTGAAGCCCAAGACTTGCCCACACATGCTCCAACGATGCTCAAGAACCACATTGTCTCTATCCATCAAAACAATGCTGTCGGCAGACAGCATTCCGGACTGATGGAGTGAGAAATCAAGCTCGATGCAAGGCTGATGACGGCAGACATCGGGACCACACGTCCGGTGCCTGTAGAGGCACTAGTGAGCGTCACAACTTCACGAGCAGCAGGCAGTTGTTGTTTCCCGATCACCGCGGGCCTCTCATGATGGAGGTATCGGCTCTTTGAGATCTGTGCACTTGGAAGCACGCTTGAATAAAAATGTGGTAGAGCTGCAATACACGGAACGAACAAGCATGACCATCACCATCCGTACCTCGACGAGGACTCCTTCCGAGTCGCCTTGCTTCTCGCAAAGCTGTCTTCCAATGCAGCCTTCTGTGACTGAGCAACTGCACACTCTGTCAGTCTCGGTGCCAACAGGGCCATGGGTAGAGCGGCACTCACCATTGAGCAGCGACGACAGTTGATGCCGTCCCGGCGCAACAGTCCGTACAGGCTTGACCTCCGCTGCCAGACCTGCCTCCATGTCCCGCTCGTTCTGTCTGTACTCCTCGTCGACGCTGAAGGTGGTAATCTTGACTGGCATACCGCCAGGCCCATGCCTGCCGTATAGCTGACGCAACTGTGTTTGCTGTCAGCGGCCAAAATACATGACGTGCTGCGAGAAAATACAAACCGCACTCTCATCCAAGCCCGCCTCACGTGCTAGCGCATCAAGGTCATTTATCTGTGATTGTGCATTTGCAGCTGCCGCACCCCCACCCGCAGCATACGAACTCTGTTCGGCCACCCCCACCATTCCCTGCTCCTCGTCAAAATCATCCGTGTGCTCCGCCGGCCTCCGCATAGGCTGCGCAGCCTCGAGCATTATCGGCTTGTACTCTCCCGCCATCACCGGCTTCACCGCTTTCGGTCGAGGAAGGGGATTCGTCACGGCTGCTCCGAACAATGACACCTTCGGCTTCACCAGCTCCGTCTTGGCCTTTCCCCCCGCCGTAGCAACAGTCTTCTTCCGGAACGCACTCATGGGCTGGATAGGTTTTCGAGCCACCGATTGCGGGACGAACATAGTGTTACTAGCACTCATCGCCGACACTGGTTGTTGTTGTTGCGTCTCCTCCGTCACAGTCCCCACTTCAGCCCTAACCTCGTCCTTCACCTCCGGCGGCGGCGGGGGTGCAGCACCCTTCGCAGCACCGCCAGTCCGTTTCGGCGCCGGCAACATGGCACTCAACCCGCTCCCCGTAGTCCGCGCCTTCTTCGCAGGCCGCCCATCCCTCCCCTCCTCCTCATCATCGTCAAACTTGGGTAGGTTCACGATAATCTTCTTCGGCGCGTCTTTATCTACAGCTTCGTCTTTTTGCTTTCGCGACTTCGGCTTGGGGAGGAGCGCCGACAGTCCGGAGGGTTTCTTGGTTGGCACGGGCGGAGGAGGCGCGGGCACGGGCGCGGAAGCCGGAGCGGACTCGTCGTCGGAGCTGGCGTAGTCGAGGTCCATTGCGTGCGTTGGCTTGTGGATTTCGTGTCGTGGGTCGTGATTGTCGCGTTTTACTTTTGGCTTACCGTAGTTAGTGAATGCTGGAGCTTGCGTGGGTGGTTGACGTTGCTTCGGTACTCTAACTAGAGTAGGATGATGGTTGCTCACGTCGCGTTCGCGGTAAGTAGAACCGAGTGCGCGACTCTCACTCGTCCCAGCATCCCACCCACGGGCCACCAGGGGATGTGTAGAATGTGAGGCCATGCCCATGCATTATGTACTTACAACATCTATGGTTATCGTATGTAAAGACGTTGGGCCATCCGCTGAGCTTTCCACCCGCAATGCGCCGTTCTCACTCGGCCACACCTGGATATATGGAAGAAGCTGATACCATATCATATATCCAGCGTATGAGCCCATATTCATGCATATAGCTCGGTTCGATGCGGGATGTCAGGTCAGGTCATTCACCGGGGCAGGCAGGGCAGGCAGGGCATGCCAGGCCCGCAGAAAGTCAATAAGTGCGGTGTTTCTCCGCATTATACCCTCATATTAAGAAGTATCCAGTAGAGTGGTGATCCGTCCGGCCCCGCGCGGCCTGCTCTCGGTTTTGACGATGGCAACATGTCTAGGAGAAGTACAGCGCAGCCGGAATCCCAGCAGCAGCAGCAGCAGCAGCAACAGGCTCGGGCTCCTGGCGCCAACCCAAATAACTAGGATCCACGACTCCACATGTTCCGCCTGCGCCTGAGCTGCCCTCACGCGACGGTTGCATAGGAGGTAAGTAGAGTGGAGTTGGGTTGGGTTGATCGCTCGCTCGCCTCGCTTCGTCTGGCCTGGCCTGTGTTGTCAGGACGAACGGCCGGTAGCTACCGGTAGGGGTCGAAAGAAGCTCAAGTGTGAAACTTAACGGCCCAGTTTTTTGTCCCCATGGCCTGATCTGTGAAAAGGCTTATATAAAGGTAGGTGCAAGCTGTCCTGGAGCTTCTCTTTCTCCTTCCTCTATCCTTCTATATACTTCCATCAACAGCTGGCTACTTACTCTCCACACCAAACGCTATTGACTGCCAGCCGCACTTGCCCGTCGCCCTCGACAACCCACAGCCCTACAGCACTACACCGGAACCGAGCTTCAACATCCAACATGCCTCCTCTCCATCTTGGCGCCGTCCGCCAGTACTCCCACCAAGCCATGAAGACCTCCAGAACTCCACAGGCCATTGCCATATACTCCTACCTGATCGTAAGCCTCTCACCCCTTCCAGCTACTCCCTAACCCTATCGATCAAAAAAACTAAAAAATGTTTATCCAGGTCGGCTTCACCCTCCCCTGGGCGGGACCGATGGCCGTGTCGATCCGCGGAGACGAGAAGGGACGGGACGGGTATGTCTAACTTCCTACCCCCTCGATACCTCGTCCGCTACCGAAATTACATGCTGACTCGCCTCCTCAGGCCCCCCCTCAGTCTTCACCACTGCTGTCGCTAGACCGACGGGCTCGTATTGTCGAGTGATGGGTAATGGCTCGGGCTCGGGCTCGGGGGCGTTTACTTTTGCTTTTGCTTTTGCTTTTCGATAGGTAGTAGCGGCGTTCATGGTGCTTCTGGACTCGGGGAAATAAAATTCAAATTCAAATTCGTGGCAACCTCGATTGTCTTCTGTTCCTCCTGTGTCTCAAGTGCACAATACTTCGTTCTTTGTGCCAAGGGGTGGGGTGGGGTGGGTAAACCGTAAATGAATGAATGAAGTAGAAGTTGCGAATGCTATGGTACATGTATGTGGATAGAGTATGTAAAGTACAAGTAGAGCGAGAGAGGCAAAGAGGGAGCCCCCGTGCTTACGCCCTCAACCCAACGCTCGCTCAACTGAACCGGTCCCCCTTCGGGCTCCTATACACCTCCGACGCCTCGTATTTGCTCTTCTCGCGCACGCGCTGCTCATCGTTCGTTGGCTCATGCCGAGTGGCCGCCGGATCGCCGCCAGGCTCTTGCGTATGCCCGTAGTGGCTGCCGTAGAGCACCGCCTCCTCACCTATCATCCACTGTTAACACCCACTCATACGCCCACCAATCCACTAGGTAGAGGAAGGGACGGGGGGGGACAAACGCTGCTTGGCCTGCCGCCGCAAATGCTTCTCTCGCCGATCGGCGTCGATTTCTCGCTTGGCGAAGTAGTATGCTCCACCGCCGGCGAGCGTGAGCGCCGCCATGCCCTGCCTTTATGGGGGGAAGTGTGTGAGCTATGAGCGCCGCCGCTGGGGGTGGTGATGAGAATGAAGGTGGGAGTACCAGAAAGATTTCACCTACACACATCATGCGGGTTAGCACTCACTCGTCACTCATTTTCCCCAGCACACAGTGGAGCACAGTGGGGCAGGCGGGGCAGGCGGCGGGCGGGGGAGAGCTACGGTGTTCATGCTGGTTGATTGGTTGATTGATGCTGCTCGAGGACGGAACGTGGGAGGTGGAATTGAATGTATGTATGTGCGGTTTTTATCTCGTTCGCGGTCGGGTTCGGCGGTTTTGTGCGGCGCCGGTGGATGTCGGAAACTCGGGCTCGGTGGGGTGCCAGTGGCAGGGTGCGTGAGGTCAGACCATATATTTCTTGGCGTGCGGCGTGCGGCACTGCGGCGAGAGACGGTACGCTACAGACTACGCTACAGACTACGCTAAGGTGCGACTTGTTTTTGCTTGGCAGGCGGCGGGTAGGCGGGTAATTGTGTGTCTCACGAGTGTGGGGGCACTACATAGAAGCTTCTTCACGAAAGTATTTTGGGGAAGAGGTTTGTGATTCATAGGGCTGTGCGAATTGGTCAGAAGAGAAGGGGAGTCAGCGGGTTGTTTTGCGTTGCTTAGAATTTTACGGCCAGTGAGTCAGGCAAACAGTGCGCAGCGGAAGCCAATTGAAGTGCGCACCTTGGCTTGGAACTTGGAGGTTGGAGCTTAAGAGCTTGCACTTGCGACGCCACTGCCGCCATCTTCCTACTTCAACCCGCGCAACAACCACCACCTTCACCTCCACCTCTACCACCTCCACTACCACCACCACCGCTATTACAACCCTCACCGCTCTTACAACCCTTACCACCGCCACCACCCTTCGTCCGATATCCACCATAAACACAACCTCACCACTACACACAAGATGCCGCCGAAACGTAAAGCAGAGGGAGCTCCGTCGGTTGCGAAGCACACGCGTGTCGCGGCGCCGGTAGCTAGCGACGACGACTTCGAGGATTCGAGTGATGACGCGGAAGAGGCCGAGGACATGTCGCGTATGCTTCTTGCATTGACCCCCAAGCTTGCGGACCACTAACAGTTGGGCGCAGGTGTGATCAACAAGTTCACGATCACGGGCGGCGATGACAGCTCCACCAGGGTCCGAAAAATCGACGCGGCTTCGAAGTTTTTTACCAAGAAGGGACGCGATTTAACACACTTGACCCTCAAGACTGGGCACGGATCGAGGCCGCTGTGGATCAACCCCGATGGCACCATCATCCTCGAGAGCTTCAACCCGTTGGCGGCAAGGGCGCAGGAGTTTCTGACGACTATCGCTGAACCCCAGTCCAGGCCACAGTATCTCCACGAATACAAGATCACGGCACATTCGCTCTATGCTGCGGTTGCCTCTGCGGGTCTGACGCCAGAGGATCTGCTGGGAACTCTGGAGCGGTTTTCGAAGATCACCGTGCCCGCGTCGATTGCCAAGTTCATCAAGGAGACTACCGAGTCGTATGGAAAGATCAAGCTTGTGCTGAAGGACAATCGATATTTCATCGAGAGCAAGGACCCACAGATGTTGCAACGGTTGCTTACGGATCAGGAGATAGGACCGTTGAGATTACAGGGCGAAGTGGTGAAGGAGAAGGCTCCGCAAATGCGTGGATTGGTCATTCCTGGTACAAAGGAGGCCGCTGGCGTGAAGCAAGCCCCTGGTCAACCGCATGCGCAGGGGGCCGAGGGAGGACAGGCGTCGTCGTCGGAAGATATGTTCACGTCGATTACGGGTATCAAGGAGGATGAGGAAGGAGATGATGACGAGGATGAAGATACGGTGCATTCGTTCGAGATCTCGGCGGAGTCGGTTGAGACTGTGCAGAAGCGTTGCTTCACTCTGGGATTCCCCATCTCGGAGGAATACGCATTCAGAGAAGATCACAAGAATCCCGACCTGAATATAGACCTCAGACCCCACGCTCGCATCCGATCGTACCAAGAAGTTAGCTTGAACAAAATGTTCGGAAACGGACGCGCGAAGAGCGGAATCATCGTTTTGCCGTGCGGTGCCGGAAAGACCCTGGTCGGCATCTCCGCCGGTTGTACCATCAAGAAGAGTATCGTAGTCTTGGCCACATCAGCGTATGAACTTCCAGTCCAGCGTGTTGCCTGTTTGCAGGATTGCAAATTTTGCATCTGTGGTAATCGTTTCACTGAATTTGACTGACAAAACGTGTTGAAAAGTATGAGTGTTGTCCAATGGCGCCAGCAGTTCATCCAGTGGAGCAACATCGATCCTGATCAAATCGCCGTGTTTACGTCCGAAAACAAGGCAGCCTTCAAAGGAGATGCCGGTATTATCGTGTCTACATACTCCATGGTCACCCAGACTCGCGGCCGATCCCACGATTCGGAGAAGATGATGCAGTTCCTGATGGGACGTGAATGGGGCCTATTGATTCTCGACGAAGTCCACGTCGTCCCTGCCGCCATGTTCCGTAAAGTGTTGACCTCAATAAACTCCCACTCGAAGCTGGGATTGACGGCTACGTTGCTCCGTGAGGATGACAAGGTCTCGGATCTGAACTTCTTGATTGGACCGAAGCTCTACGAGGCCAACTGGATGGAGCTGGCTGAGCTCGGTCATATCGCCAAGGTTCAGTGTGCGGAGGTGTGGTGTCCTATGAGCCCAGAGTTCTACACTGAGTATCTGAATGAGCCGGATGCTCGCAAGAAGACACTGCACTATATCATGAATCCCAGAAAGTATGTATCATCCAGAGGTGCTATCTAGTACAGGGCTAACGAAATGCACAGGTTTCAGGCATGCCAGTTTCTGATCGACCACCACGAAAAGCGAGGCGACAAGATCATCGTGTTTTCTGATAACGTATACGCGTTGAAAGCCTACGCCCTCAAGCTAGGAAAGGCCTTCATCTACGGCGAAACCCCGCAGCAGGAGCGGATGCGTATTCTTGAGAACTTCCAGCTCAACGACAGGGTCAACACCATCTTCCTCTCCAAAATCGGTGACACCTCCTTGGATCTGCCTGAAGCTACGTGCCTCATCCAGATCTCATCGCACTACGGGTCCCGTCGTCAAGAAGCCCAGCGCCTCGGCCGTATCCTCCGAGCCAAGCGCAGAAACGATGAGGGCTTTAACGCCTTCTTCTACTCGCTCGTGTCGAAAGACACCGCCGAAATGTATTACTCCTCTAAGCGCCAGGCCTTCCTAGTCGACCAAGGCTACGCCTTCAAGGTGATCACCCATCTCCAAGGAATCGAGAACCTCCCCGGTCTCGCGTACTCCACCGTCGCCGAGCGCAAGGAACTGTTGGAGGAAGTCGTTCTCCAGAACGCCGAAGCCGGTGGTCAGGAGAAGGATGACTTCGACGGCAAGGGTCTCAGCTACAATGCGAAGCGCCGTGGAGGACGCCGGACTAAGGGTCGGCTCAGCGAACTGTCGGGTGGTAACACCATGGCATACATGGAACGCAACAGGAGCAGGAACAAGGAACTCAAGGGCGGCAAGAGCGCATTCTTCAGGAAGCTCAACAGGGACACGGATAGGCGCAAGAAGGAACAGATTGCGATGCTCAAGTAGATGCTACCTACATGCGCGTAATCTGGGTGGTCGCATGGGGAAATGATAGTTTTATCATAAGTTGTTTGATTACAGCTTTTTCCACTTACGATTTGTTTCTTTTTCCATTTACGATTTTTTGCATACCTAGCATGTACGTGTATTCTAGACTTTGGAGGCCCTAAAGAGAGACAGAGAGACGCGAAATGAACTCTTTCCGTTATCCGTAATATACTTTCGAAACCGCCTTGTGAAAAGTGGCGAGAGTACTTATCAAGCCATAGTGAGTGACATTCTATGCTTTCAGCCCCACGGTGTTGCCCTAAAGCAGTCCCACGCCACAGAACACAACGCGCACAAACCCACAAGCGAGTCGTTCCATCATAACGAAATTCCGCAACAACCTCGCCTAGACGACCAGCCCTCGACAACGCCCCCGACGCCCAACGACCGACAAGCTCCCACCGACCTTTTACGGAAACTCCAAACAATCGCACAAATGGCTGACGCTGACTACGTACGTTTTTTCTACGGGAGATGTGGGGGGAGGGGAATGAATGTGCTATTTAGACGAGAGCGAAGTGCTGACGGTTTTTTTTTAGGACCCCGTTGCCGCTGAGGGTACGCTACACTTCACTCGTTCTTCAATGGGGAGCATATAATAACCCACTAGAACAGAGAAGAAGAAGGCCAGAACCTTCCGCAAGTTCTCCTACCGTGGTGTCGAGCTTGACCAGTGAGTGGCGGACCCCGCGCGATGCGACTCGGAGGTGCGCGATCACTGACGCGATTTTTTTTCTACAGGCTCCTCGACCTCTCCTCCGAGGAGCTCCGCGACCTCGTCCATGCCCGTGCCCGCAGAAGGTTCAACCGTGGACTCAAGCGCAAGCCCATGGGTCTGATCAAGAAGCTCCGCAAGGCCAAGAAGGAGGCCAAGCCCAACGAGAAGCCCGACCTCGTCAAGACCCATCTCCGTGACATGATCATCGTCCCCGAGATGATCGGTTCCGTCATCGGTATCTACTCCGGAAAGGAGTTCAACCAGGTCGAGATCAAGCCCGAGATGGTCGGTCACTACTTGGCTGAGTTCTCTATCTCATAGTAAGTTTACTCCATGTAATGGGGTGAAACGATGGTGGCTAATGATCCAACAGCAAGCCTGTCAAGCACGGTCGTCCCGGTATCGGAGCCACCCACTCTTCGCGTTTCATCCCCCTCAAATAAACGATCTGGGAATGTTGTTGCGGACGTGGCGTTGCGATTGCTTTGGAATAAAATTTCTGGGTTCTCGTGGGACAAACAAAACTTGATTTCTGGGATATGTGATACGCTCTCGATTGTGACCGTGAATACTTCACACTGCGGTGGCTAATGGCTACACTCCATGTGACTACTCCCATGATACATCACCTGCTACACAATCCAAGACGCCACCACTGGACACATGTGTCTTCCCTCGTCCAAGATGCCACTGCACCTTCGCCATCCAACTTGTTCGGGCACTGATGGCCCCTTTGGGTTGCTCCAGATGCTCCGCTCATCCAATCCTCGTCAACAAACCACTTACACCCTCGTTAAAAGATAACGCAAGCAAAGCATGCCCAAGCGCCCCGCATCCTCCCCCATTACGCACCCGGTCCGAGCACCCCCACACACCCCGTCCCAGCCGTTGTACCAAGCAGATGTGTTGCACATCTGCGGCCACGAACGGCCACGACTTGTTACTACGGTAAGTCCAGACGGCAGGACGTACTCGCCCTCGCCGTGTCTGTACTGCAAGCACGCGCATCCGGAATCGCTGCGGGAAATGAAAGCCGACGGTACGAGAAAGTACTATGGCGAGCGGTGCGCGGGGAGACCGTGGCCGTGGGTCCGCACTTGTGCCGTGGAGCGGCGGTGGTGGGTTGTTGATGGACCTGAGGAGGAGGGGGAGGCGGAGGCGGATGTAATCAGCGGCGGGGAGTCACGGGCGAATCACCGACGGTTGAGAGGGGAGCTGCGTCGGAGAGGGATGGGAAGTGGGGGTACTGCTTCCGCCCAGGCGGCTGGTCCCGCTGATGCTGATACCACGCCCCACGCCCGCCCTGCTGAGTCCTGCGCATGGCGGAGGCTCCGGAGAGTTAGGGCTGCGTTCAGGTCTGCTGCTTATGCCGCAGGCCGGCGCCGGTGTGCGTAGACACTGCTGTGGCAGTCTTAGGCGTTGCCCCGTACCTGGGGGGGGCTGAAAGTGATATGCATAATCATCATACTGTCCTAAGGCCCGAGGAGGAGTGATTGTACGTGATTGATGGTGTAAGATGCTTTTTTGGTCGGCCAACCAGGCGATCCCCTGGGAGAAACGAATAACAAGCGGAAGCGAAAGGAATCCAGGTCGCTGATATGTACATGTAGACTCCGGTATTCTAGTAGCAATAGCCACTACTACTTCTAATCGATAGGTATCAACTCCTTCGCCAGCGTCTACTTCTTCTTCCCACCGAGGCCACCGGCAACATTCGTGGCCTCCTCGATGGCCCTCGCAATGACACTGCGGACGTTGCCATCTTCCATCCTGGTCAATCCTGCAATTGTACAGCCCCCGGGCGTCGAAACCTGCTCGCGGATAATAGCAGGATGCTGGCCCTCCAGAATCATCGCCGCAGTTCCCCGCATAGCTACATCCCATCAGCACCTCCATGCACACATACCACTAGGTGTGGGCGGGAACCCACTCTGCGCCGCCATCTCGACCGCCGCCTGCCTAGGCACGCCCATGAGCACGCCGCCATCGGCCATAGCCTCGACAAACAGGGCATAGAACGCAGGACCACTTCCACACAGGGCCGTAGCAACATCCATATGTTTCTCCTCGAGCACCAGACAGCGTCCGATCTGGCTAAAGACCCACTGGACCATCTCCAGGTCCTCCTCCGGCAGCCCCATCTGGGGCGCAATAACGGTCATACTCTCGCGGACCTTCGCGGCGGTATTGGGCATGACCCTGACGACCCCCCTAGCCTTGGGCGCCAGCTCGTGCAGCTGCCCGATCGTCACGCCTGCGCAGATCGACACCAGCAGCTTCCCGGAGAGCGCCTCGGCGACCCCCGGCGCAGACAGGATCGCACCGACCATGTACGGCTTGCAACCGAGCAGCACGGCGGACGAAGCGCGTATGCCCGCAAGGTTGTCGTTGACCAGGATCTGTGTGGGCGCGCACGAGGCGCCCACGGCGAGCACGGCTTCGATGCGTGCGCCGGAGGAGGCGCGCTGTACGCACGCGATGAAACGGCTGGGGATACTGGCGGGGATGGAGGAGGCGTCGCTGCTGCTGGAGAGCGCGTCTTGGATGCCGCAGAGGATTGCGGTGCCCAGGGTGCCGCAGCCGAGGATCGTGAGGGTGTTGGCGCTGGGGTCGCTCATTTTGCTTGCTTGCTTGCTGGAGGGGTGGGTGGTGATGAGATGTCGTGACTTGACGAGTGTGGTCGACCCCGCTATTAGCTCGCTTTGTGGCGCAGGAGGTATTGAGTGAGCTCATCTTGCCAATTTTCACCCCGGTCGATAATCGGCTCTGGTGGCCAAGCTGGTAAGGCGCGTCACTAGTAATGACGAGATCCTCGGTTCAACTCCGAGTCAGAGCATTTTTTGTTGTTTTTCTACTAGTCGGGACACAGACACTCACTCGCTTCAGTTTTTTTTGCGACGCTTGAAAAACGAAGACTGCGGATAGAACAGGACAGGAGGAAAGTCGACGCCGCGATAATCTCTGTAGGTTAAAGGTGAATACGATAAACAAGCAAGAAAAGAGTTTGGAAGCAAAATACAAGCGAATGCGATTTCCTCTACAAGCCAGGGTAAGAGTGATCTCTGATTCAACTGCCTCTCCCCATCTCTTTCGGCCCTTCCCCCCCAGCCATGGAGTAGCTAGGTGGCTTAGGGTGTTGGCTATGCGACCAGTGATTCCCCCTATGATACCTCTTGGAGCTCCGGGAGCCGTTGTAGCCGCCGTCGCTAGGGATACCGGCGAGTTAGCACAGCGAGACTTATATGTAGTTACATACATGGTACATACCTCTCCGGCTTCGCTGAGCGGAGCAGTGCTGCAATTCACATACGGCACCGCAAGCTATCTACCTACCGTACCGACCATGCGGAGGGGGGTGGATGTTACTCCGCAACAATTGTCAGTGTGGAGTGCAGTATCTCAACATCTCACTCGGCAGACTTATCGGTCCTTCATCTTCCGGCCAGTAACTAAGGGAGTAAAGGGGGAGGAGGGGATCTTGAATATGAACTAGGGAGTTGAAAGGGGCTTGATTACCGCCCTGCCCTGGAGAGACGAGACGGCGACATCTAGCTCCAGCGAAGAACCGCAGAAGCCCGCGCAGTCGACCGGCGATGGCATATGGTAGGTACATAGGTAGATCCGCCTCACTCCCTTCCTCCCTCTGCATACATCATCACTCATGGAGTCATAGAAACCACCTCTTGCACAAACCCGTCTTTGTCGGATGGATGTCAACAAACTCGGGAATGTTTCGGCCCCACCCATGCCCATGCCATGACGTTCACTCGCTCCTTTCCGCCCCCGTGCTATGTACCAGCACCAGTACCAGTACCACCTCCCATCCAGCCCACCCAGCCCAGCAGCCCACCCAGCACGCCGGCCGATACGGGAAACCACCAGCCGCCCCCCTCCCTAACCACCCTTCTAGATCTCGGCGATCCCGGATCGTGCATGCATACATACGAGATCGTGATCCCAGTCGACACCAGTAGTTCATGTATCCATGTACATACTATTCTTCGGCAAGTTTGCTGAGCGTGGGGGTGTAGTGGGGGTGTGATGGGGTGGGGATGGGGATGGGGGTGAGATGGGGGTGAGGAACGTCGGGGAACATGGCTGCGATTCACCGCTCGCTCGCTCACGCACGCACGCACGAGTTGGCGCGCCGGATGGGCGGATATGAGAAGTCTGGAGAGTGCGTACAGCTGCAGCATGGAGAGGAGAGGATATCGTAGGTAGGTATCCCAGTACATCTGTGCCATTGGCGGTCAGTGCCATAGGTACATACCGAGGTTTCTCGGTTTCTTGGTTTCTCGGGGGCGCTCACGTGGTTCGGATCTTCCTTAGGCAGGCGTGAAGATTGCATATTTATACTGGCCGCCCCCATCCCTCCACGTATGTACCTAGGTACGTGATACGCTTTCCCTGATCAACCATTGAATCGTGTGGATTGGAGATCCGAAGATCCGCTGCTCCAGGGTTGGAGGCTTGGAGCGGCTCACACTGGGCTGGATCCGGAGCCTGGCGTCGTATTGCGGTTCATATGCCATATGCGGGCCCGTATGATCACTGCTGGGTGAAGGCTATATATGTAGGTTCTCGTCGCAGCGGACCGTGGATAGGAGAGGTGTGCGATATCTCAACTCCCAACTCCCGAGCTTCGGGGGCATGTGAGATCCTGTGCACATATCCCATGGACCAGGAAGAGAGCGCATCCCAGTGTTCTATTCTCCTCCCTTTCCCACGATGCATTTCGTGGACTGTGTCCCTACATAGAAGCCACGCTCGGGTCGGTTAAACATATAACCCGCACTCCCCCGGATCCCCACTAGAAGCCTCGAGAGGAGCCATCTCCTTCCGTCAAAGTTCATCACGTGCAGTACCTATGGCAGCCCTGTCTTGCCGTCTCACCGTAAGTATGAATTGCATTTCTATTCTTTTCTCCTCCAGCTGGGTCTCATCGTCTCAGTGGGCAATCACCTAGGTACCAAGTAGTTTCCCGCCTAATTAGCTCTTGATTTATAAGGGTAGCCGTCACCGACACCGACTCACCGCATGTCTCCATCCAACTACCGGTAACTATTAGTAACTACCCTGCTATGTAACCGGGGAAACAAACCCGTCAGAGACAGCCTCAAAGACAGCCTCAGACTCAGACAAGATGAGACATGTGGGGGCTCAGTTAGTTCTGCTCGGTTCGGTTCGTTCGGAAGCGTGTTGCCGACTTGAGGGGGCGTGTGTGTACTCTAGGTATGGTGAGGCCGGGAATTCTAGAGAATTCTGGAGAAGTTAGGGCAGAGGAGAGGAGTGGATTATGTACGTCTCAGTCTACCATACTCTTCTTTTGCTCAGTCGTAGGTACGTGTGTATGTAATCAATTCCCAAACTCCAGATTCCGGCGTGAGCGGCTACCTACTAGGTACATACTGGTTCAGCACGGTGCGATTGATCGATTTATTCAACCTTGGAATTCCTATATGTAACAGCAGCCCATGCGTGCTACCTACTCGACTGCTTGCAGAATTTCTGGGTCGGATATTTAACTTGACTTGACTTTTGATTACGGCGTCGGGTTGAGACATGGTGACGACACTTTCGTTTGTACTCTGGTCCTCGGGCAGTTGCTACGGAGCACTCCCCGCTCCTGCGGGTTCCCGAAAGTACATACCCGGTAGATGCTGTATTCCAACTTCCCACAGCATACCGTTCCAAATCTTGACGGACGCAATGATCCGAATCGCAGCCAACCAGGTAACCAACTTCCAAGTAGGCCTCCCGGGCGCAGCAACTGTGCGGTGTCAATAGTTGAAACCTGAAGTCGGAAGAGAAGAAGAAGAGAAAAGGGGCAATCCCTGCGCCGATCCGATTCGCGACGCCGGTAGATCTTGGATCGCGCGCGTCGGCGTCGGCGTCGCAGCGCAGTCTAGAATATGTTTGAAACAATCCGATATCACATCTTGCGGCGATCGAACACGGGATGATTTGGAGGAACCAGAGTAACTGGAGTGGAGTGGAGTGGGGCGAATTGGGGTAGAGCTTCTTCCGTCGGAAATGAATCATCATCATCACGTCGTACATGTGGCATGATTCGAGACTGATTCGGGACACTATTGAGTGATGTACCAACAAGGCGCCGGATGCGAGTGAGATGTGATACATAGGCACTCTATGGATCGACTCCGCACGGTCGAAGTGAAGACATCTCACAAGGCTGTGCTGGACAACGTTCGGTCCCACAGAATTCTTCATGACAAATGACAGGATCATTCCTTCGCTGTACTACAACCTCCGTCGGGACCAACAAATATCGGCTTTCGGGGAGCGATAAATGCGAGCGACCGAGTACCGTACACTTCCGAACAGACATATAGGTGGGGCGGAAAAGGTGTGACTTGTCTGACCGAGCGACCGTCACCGTCCCCGCCGCAAAGTTGGATCGACGGATCGCATACCTGAGTACTGGGCACAGAGAATTAGTATTAGAGTAGTACGTATGTATGAATACGCTGCCTCGGGAGGTCTGGGTTCTAGCCCACACTGCACAGGAGCCCTTCTCGGAGCGATTGTTCCATACCTGCCTGCCGTTTCTATTCTGCATCAGGGGGAGGGGCTTACCTAGAGTATCTGCCGAGTGCCGCCGTGGGGAGTGCACGCTCATTACGGATCTCGACGAGTCGTTGGATAGTGCGAGGCCGAGGAGGAGGCTAGATGAGGATGCAAAACTTGAAAGCCCTGATACCCAGAGTAGAGCACCTCCTACCTGCCGAAGACCGGGGGCGGGGGCAGTCCTTGATTACCTTGATTCATGGGCGGTCACCTACTAGTACATACGCCGTCCTTCGTGTTCGCGTTCGCGTTCGCGTGGGCACTGAGGCTTGCGTTGCTGAGGCTTGCGGATGCATCCCGCACCGTACCGTATCGCAAGTGCAACTTCCACGTTCTACATTTGCCGGGGCTGTGCCGCCCGTCGAGTCGAGTCGAGTCGAGTCGAGTCGGGTTGTCGACGTCAAAGTGCAAAGTGCAAAGTGCAAAGTGCAAAGTGCAAATAGTGGGGATTGGACTCCGCTGCTTCGCAGTCATCCAACAGCAGAAAGAAAGTGTTCTGGGATGGTCACATGGGCTACAGATGTGCGAGCCCCATCAGGAAGTTTCTAGGCTGGAGTGAGAGAGAGAGAGAGAGAGAGAGTAAGCAGAGTGAGCGCGTGTGAACAAGCGACCCAGGACGCGGTTAGTTATGCACCTCGGAACTATTTTCCAGGAGGTCCATATCGAGCACTCTACATGGGGGACTCGCGAGAATCTGCTTCTTACAGCAGCACCTGGCTGAGATGCTTCCCTTTCCAGGATAGGATGGTTAATGCTGACGTTGCAGGGAGGGAGGGAGGGAGGGGGCGATTGGGGCGATTGGGATGATTGGGATGTGTCCCATCTCTCGAGTCTTGCGATTGTCCAGCGGGTGCATGTGTAGCTGAAGAAGCTGGAGAAGCAGCGTCTGCATGTGCAATGTGCATTCTCGGTGTGCTGGGTATTTCGATGCACTGCACACTGCACCACAACGTTCGTTCGATCGAGTCCTATCCGACTGTCGCCAAATCGTGCCTATATCGTACACGCCTACCCTTGCTCTGCAGAGTACTCTACATAGCATAATCAGAGAGACGAGCAATCCTGTGTTCCCGGCAATCTTGGCGGGCGGCACAGAGATCCCGTTCTGCCTATTGCTTCTTCTTCTTCTTTTCTTCTTTAGTTTTCTTTTTGAGAGAGAGGAAACTCACGTGGACGTCAACCGAAAGAAGAAGAAGAAAACAACTGTGCAAGTTACATATTCGCTCTCGCTCTGGGCCCTGTGGAGTTTGTGGACTGGTACGGCGCATGCATGCATACTGGCGAGGCCCAATCCGTTATGCATGGTCAGCCTCGTTCCGTCAACTCAAGTTACTCAACACGAAAGCTGATTCCCGAACGACCGCTTGGAAGCCGGGGCCGAGACTTGTGACTGACTGACTTTTGTACACTTACCTGGGCTACATTCAGTACTCTGCATAGTTGTCGTGCACAATCAATCCGTATCCGTATCCGAGTGCCTGCGCCTGTGCTTGAAAGTTGACCGCCACCTCTCTTCCATACATTGGATGTAGAGTAATTCCATGTTTGCTTTTGGGTTTTCATGCTACATACACCAGCAAGAACAAGCGATAGGTTGCATGTCCACATCCAGCTCGCGAGATGCAACAGATGGCCGCTTCCAGCGCACGGCCTGGTCGTGGTCGTGGTCGTGGTCGTGGTCGTGGTCGTGGTCGTGGTCGTGGTCGTGGTCGTGGTCGTGGCCTGCCATCTCTGACATGACAGGCCCACGCAACGCAACGTAGTCCGGGCCCGGCCGCGGCCAATGCAGGCGTGAGGCGTGCCGCGTGAGTACCTAGATTAACCGATCATGCTTCGATGTTGCTCTCTCAGCCAGTCAGTGTTATTGGAAAGAAAAGGAAAAAAGGTGGAGATATGCTTGTTTTATCATATGTGCTCTATGCCGGACTGAATGGATTGATGGGATGGGGTATCTTTGAATCCCACTAGAACCAGGCAGATGGGCATGTATGCGGGGAGGGGAGGGAGGGGAGGGGGGGGGGGGAGGGGAAGGGGGGGGAGGGAGGAGGAGATCACGCCCCGCCGACCTGTCATGTCACCTCCAGGCTCCCGCAGGCTTCGGATCCCACCAACTTCCCAGCCCGGCCCGGCCGCTCACCAAAACGTGAGGGAGGGAGAGACATCGGTACTCGGTGGACCGACTCCCCGCACGCGCGCCTGTAGGCTGCAGTTGTGCCTGTGCCTCTCCCATCCGGTGTCGTCCATCGAATCCACAACTGTGCTCCTCTGGAGTCTGGAGTCTGTTCGATGTGCGGCTGTCGTCCACCTACTCCACCTAGGTACCTATGATAGCATGGCCATCCCTGCCAGAAACACGGCGCTGAAAACGCAGGGAAGCACACCACCACCACCACCGCCGCCGCCCATCGATCGAGTCGTCATGGGTATGCATGTTTGTATCTGCTCGAGTACTGCAGACTCCAGAACAGCCGGCCGGTTTCGAGAAAGGAAAGCGACGCGCCAATCAATCTGGATCTTGACTCTTGAGATTGCAATCTAGGTAGAGTACTCCACTCTACTCTACTGCCTATTAGTATCCGACCGGCAACGAGACGAAGGGCGGGAGGGAAGGAGCGAACGAGCGAACGAGCGAACGAGCCTTTGCCTATGCATACATAGAGTACGATCAGATGCTCGGGATGTCGGTGAGGACTGCGGGCTGTGGACTGCGGGCTGTGGACTACGGTGGGATATCGATCCTATGCTGTCCTGGAGCACCGGGGTTCCAACCGCTTTCTTTCTGCCCTTAACTCCAACTGCATCGGAGGGTGGGTTCGTCTGGTCGGCGGTGATTCTTAACCCCGCTCCCTCCGCTCCCTTCCTCCGCACACAGCGATCCCCTTCTGATCTTGCAAGTTGCAACGCAGCTGATTATTTTCTTCACATGCAGCGTCTCTGCTGCGGGCTCGCTTGTGTCGTTCGGGTGTCTGTCTATGTATCTGTCTGCGATGCTGCCGGATAAACTGCTGCAGGCAGGCAGGAAGCGCCCTGAAAATCAGCATGCGCTCCCAGTTCTCCAGGTTTTCCGTGGCTCGCCGGCTTTTCTTACATGGTTACCGTGGCCATGCATCCATCCACATCTGAACAGATCAGATCTCGCGTTTCCGATCGATCCTGATATCATTTTTTTTTCCATCATGTCTCGTCAGCTGTGCTCTAGCTGGTATTTTGCCGACCCACAGAAATCGCAGCACGGTTATCGCTCGGTTCCTGGTACCTACTGAGTAGAGTACCGTACGGCAGGTCGTGACAAGCAAGGGAATCCATCCTAGATTCCCTTCCAAACAGCCATGAGTAGGGAAACCCCTTTTGCTTACATACCCTGGGTAAACTCGGCGTGGCAGAACGGCTTTCGGGCTTTCAGGCGAGGGTTTTCGGCGGCGAGGGTTTTCAGCCTGAGGACCTTGACGACCCTGCCCGTGAGGCATGCATCCATCTGTATATCTCTGTATGCACATGCTATTGTAGCGCACTGCTCCGCGATCGTCGGGCAGTCCGTACTCTACTCGACGTACCGTACTCTACTCTACGTGCCGTACTCTACTCTACGTACCGTACTCTACTCTACGTACCGTGAGTAAGCATGGTACTCTGCTTCAGTATCAACTCACTCGAGAGGTGATGTCTCAGTTCTGGTTTCAGAAGGCCTACTGTTGCACATCGCAATAACCAAAACTGTTACTCCACCTCTTAAGTGAGATGATACCCCATCTATGTACAGCACCTACGTAACTTCTGAGTCGTGGCTGACTGACTTCCGGAAGACCGTCTTGTCAGTGGTCGCTGCTGGATCCCGCACCAATTTTGCGGACCGTCTGGAAACGACCTAGCACGTACCGTACCAGCCTACCGTGCCAGCCTAGATATCTATGGAGACTACATATTTCCCCTAGCCAGACCGCCAAAACCAGCCTCTGACGCAACCGTACGTCAAGGGTGCGCGGATGTTTTGGGCCTCCTCATCTCTGGCTGGCTCGCTCGCTCACGTACCGTTACACCAACCACCCACCCACGCTGGAGATAAGGTTCCGGCCGGGGTCGGGGTCGGGGTCGGGGGGGAAGGAGGCGGAGAGCCAACACCAATACCCCCGGGTCCCGCATCGGGTTAACGCCGCCGCCGCCGCGAAGGAACACGAGGGGAAGGGATGGGAAGGGATGGGATGGGGTGTGGCTTCCATACACTGTCAACACACCACACACACACACACAGAGAGAGAGAGACAGAGAGAGACAGAGAGAGTGTCCGGGCGGCCGGGTGGGTCCACTGCTTTTGACAGCATGAAATCACCGTGCCCCATCTCCCCCCTCCACCCCCCGCGCCGCCACCAACTGACAGCTGAGTATCCAGGTAAACACTTGCCGTGTGGCTTGAAGCCCACGACTAGGCGTGCATGAATGTACCAGTATCGGGGAGGCGGAGAAGGAGGAGGAAGAAGAAGACTCAAGAGAAGGCGCTGAGACCCTCACCCCCTCCCAAATCTCTCTCTTCGATCATCAGGGGGAGGGGCCCCAATACCCAGGGTCGGAGTGAGCCTAAGTAGAGCAACTGGCAGTGGTAGGGCGTGTTACCTTCACCGCAGGCGGATGGAAATTCCTGGGCCTGCTATGTACCTACGTGACACTCGGCGTGGTCTGGGAGCCGATATCTGGCAGCGTAAGGGCCCGGTGGATGGCTGTTCGATTGGCTGGATGATTCTGCCGCGGGCCCGCCAGAACTCAGAAGCAATCTACAGGGGACCATACTATCAACGTCCCCACTTTTCCACTTTTCCTTCCGGAAACAAACAGAGCATCTAAACTACTCTAGAACGACGAGCTTCTTCTCCATGTACTATGATGGCTAGTGCTCGCTCTGTTAGTGACATGCGCTTCCCTTACATACGTCCCCGGGTTAACGCCTAACGGTATAACTAATACCTACAGCGGTGCGCAGGAATTGCCTGTGCAGGCCAAAACAGCTGCAGATCGTAGGAAGACACGAACCATTTAGGGCTCTCGTAATTATTACGAGGCCGATCCAGTGTGCTGCCTCTCCGTCTGTTTATGTATATCCTCCCCCACACCCCACCCCCTCCCCCCAGCCTGCCCGCTCGCTCTCTTGGGTTCTCGTGGCCCCGAACACTCCTTACCTTTCCACCTGGCCCCTCCAAGACAGGACCGTCCATCCCACCTACATAACCTTCCTCCTCATCACACCCACGCAAACCCACTCTGCTATCCAAACATACTTCATAACTACGCTCCTTTGCAGGGCATACTCGCTGCCCCACTCGCTTACTCACTGACTCACCTGGAAACATTCCATTCGTTCTTTTGCTTTTCCTCACCTTCTATATACATACTTCACACGAAAAGTCTCGGAACTCGGGCAAAAAGCATATCCCCCCACCCATCCCGTCGTTCACTATGGTGTACAACATCCTGAAGTATCGTCGGCCCGCCTTCGTTAGGAGCACTAGGGGTTCCGACAAGTGGGATGGCGAGTCCATTTCGCTGTCCCCCACCAACGGCAGCTGTGGTATCTCGGGTATCCCCACTGCCCTCGAGTTCGAGAGAGTCGTCGACGGCGGCACCTGTCCGGTATGGTTCACTTTAACCCTCCGTCTGCCGAGAATCATGAGTACTGATGATGATCCGTGCATAGCCATTGAGCTGCCGTGACTTCATGATGTACCTCCATCATGTCGAGCACAGTGTCGAGAACCTTCAGTTCTTCCTGTGGTACAGGGACTACGAAAAGCGGTTCGAGGCGCTCCCAGCGAACGAGAAGGCACTCTCGCCCGAATACAAGCCACCGCAGGCGGTCGACGGCGTGAATCAGCCCTCGCCCGCTCACCTGAAGACTAAGACCACTTGGGCCGTGCGGCAGTTCGTCGACAACGCGTTCGCCAAGGAGAGCCAGAGCTCAAAGACGGCATTGACGGAGCCGGCGGCGGCCTGGGGTGGACACAAGGGATTCGGCGATATCAGTCCGTTCCTGACGCCGCCGGGAACGGGTTGTGGCGCGAGCACCATCGGTGGAAGCAATAGGGATGTTGTCACGCCGTTTGGCTGTGGCAGCGGTGCGCTTTCGATGGCTACCACTGCTATCGACCACAAGAATATCACGGCCGAGGCCTTTGAGGGCGTCGATGTCAAGTGGCAGCCTTGTTGGTTTTCACCTACGTGTTTGCATCCGACATGCACTGACTCCTGGCGTAGTCTCGATTCAACCTTTCCGGGACGAGATATCCCGCATCATTGCCATCTACATTTCCGAGGGATCCCCCCGCGAACTCAACCTTTCCTCTCGGGACAGGACCACGGTCCTCCTCGCCCTGTCCAACACGACGCATCCGTCGGCCATGAAGAACGTCCGAGACCACATCGAGGGCCTCCTTCGATTCCAGTCCCACCCGAACTTTGTTCGCTGGTCCATCTGCAACGGCAACAAGCCCCGTGTCGTCTTCGCCGTGTGCTTGGGTATTTTCTTGATTCTGGCTGGACTCTTGGCTTCGATCATCATCACCGTGGTGGGCGGGGACGCCAACAGGGGATGGAGGGCTATCGGGGCTATCGGTTGGCTGCTTGGTGCTGCTACGCTGTATGCTGGGCTCAAGGGCATGTGCGTTGTCTTGCACGGCAGGCATCGCCGACATGTCCGTCCTTGGGAACTCTGGAGCGACTGTCAGGACACTGAAATGAAGGATTCGAAGCTGAGCTTTGAAACTTTGGGCACCAGGAATAGTTACGAAGATGAAGTGAGCCTTGTCCCCCTTCCCACACATTCACAACCCCCCAGCTAACACAACCCAGCCCTGGATCGCCCGCTACCGTAAACGCACCCTCCTCCGCAAAATCTTCGACCGCGAAGTCTGGATCGAAGAGCCGGCGCTCCGGCAGATCCAGGACACGATAGCTCTGCAAGCCCTCGGTGTAGCCTCGGTATTCGCGGCCATCCTCACGGTTATCTTCGTGACCGTTCCCGTTTGAACCAGCCCCAGCCCAGCCCAGCCCAGCCCTGGCCCCTAGCTACGCTCACTCACATGATTTCCGCACAAAATGGAGTTTTTTTATTTTTTATCTTTTACGGCGTAATTGGAGGGTTAGGTTAAATGGGGGGTTAAATTGGGGGTTAAATGGTGGGGGATACTGGCTTTTTTTTTTTGCTCTTGCGTTGCTTTGATTTGAATGGGATGGTTGGGTGGTGGGCCCGTTGGTGTATTGTATTGCTGCTTTTTTGTTTTTCTTTTTTTTCTTGCGTAATTGGGAGTGGGGGGGGGGGGGGGGGGGGGGGTGAGGTGAATGGGAGAAGGGGACGGTAATTGGGAGGAATGGATGGATGATGAGGGCGATGAGGACGAGGATGAAATGGCGGTTGGCTGTTGTTGGCTGTTAGCGGTTGGTAGACGAGGGGAAGCACGGACATATACTGACACCGTACTTGTACCGAGCTTGTACCGAACTGTATTGTAGACTTGTTGTCTAGTTGGAATGATACCCAACTTCTTGATTTAAGCTGTGTTGTAACTTGTGTTGTGAATGGTGATTCGAGCAGTAGAGTGAATGGGGTACGGTGGACGGTGGATGGTGGATGGTGTAGGTATTGGATATACAGGGAAAGCCTAAAGGAGGCTTCGGGCTCGACTCTCAAGTGTGTAGGTGTGGGAAGACCCGCGTCTTTCACCATCCACGGCCAGGCAGTCGAGTGATTTTTTTTTGTTTAATCATTGTCGATCGAGTGACATTAACAACACCGTGGAAGAGTGCGTAAAGCGAGTGAGAACTTGTGAACGTGTGAATAATCTTTGACTTTGACTTTGACTTTGTAGAGTACATAAGCCCGAGGGCGAAGCGTGCGGCCGGAAAGTGAGAGCAGGTGATGGATTGTGGTGACAGCAGGATGGATGGATGAATAGCGACTGGTCAGTCCGAATGGGGGGGATGGGGAACGGGCGGGATGGGGATGTTGCAGTACCTATTCGCGCGAGCGAGCTCTATCTGGTTATCTTCCAAGCAGCATCTTCCAAGCTCCAGCTTCCAAGCACCGCTGATTGATAGGTACCGTTATGTACAATATTCACAACCCCGCGGAAGACAACGAGACGTGAGTGAAAACTTGTGAATGGCTACGAATGGCCACTGTGGTAAATCTTTGACTTTAACTTTGTACATAGGTTACGAAAGGTAAGCCCGAGAGCGAAGTGAGCGTCCGGAAGGCAAGTGATGAGCGGTGCGCCAGCAGGATGGGGGTATGGATGGCGGCTGGTCAGTCTGAAAGGGTGGGATATTGAATGGGCGGGATGTTGCAGTGTTGCAGTACCTATTCGTGGGAGCGAGCTATATCTTCCAAGCCTGTATGTGCACACACAAACCCCATTCTGCCTGCCACTCACACACCTTGAGACCAGCAAAAGAACAAAGAACACCACCCTATTCGGGGGGAAGCAAAAAATGACTGTTCGCAGGATCGAACTGCGGACCTCTTGTGATCATCTTGCATGCATGTGAGACAAGTGTGATAGCCACTACACCAAACAGCCAATTGATAGAATTGTAGCTAAAGCAGGACATATGGAGATATGAGGAAGGTCGTGGGTGGGACTTACGTTTGAACTTTGTACCGTACATACTCTAATGGGTGGGTGGAGTATCGTTGTGAGGCATGGGGGGAGTGGATGCATTGACTACTCTCTAATCTACTCTATTCTACTGGTACTCTAGAGGGGAGTGGGGTTCCTAAGTGGTTGCTCGTTTGCTCGCTTGGAACCTGGATGCCGCTCGTAATGGTCACTGCTACTAGTACTCTCGATAATCACTCGGTCTATGTTCTCGAAATATAACAGTTCTCAATTACTACAGACATGAAATCTCATCCAGCACTCCTACACCTCCTCTGCCATCAACACGGTCGAATACAAAACGACGAGACAAAACCAAAAACAAACAAAACCACGTTCTCTCCTCGCCCCTAGAGCTTCTTCCCAACCGCCATAAACACCTCCCTCCTAACCTTCAACTCCCCCCCATCCAGACCTCTATTCACAAGGGTCACGCCCTTCCCATTCGCGCCGACGGGTACAAAAACCGGCTCGCCCAGCCCCGCCTCTTTGAACCAGCTCCTAACCTGCCCCTCCCCAAACCCCAAATGCGGGACAATATCCCCCCACCCCTCCGCAATCTTCTCATGCTGCCTAAAATCCACACAGACAAACACTCCTCCGTGCTTCAGCACCCGCGCAATCGCCTTCGTAGCCGCCAGGGGATCCGGCATATGATGCAGTGCGAGGGAGCAGAGTGCGACGTCATACTCCCCGCCCACAGCGACGACATCCCCCTCACCAGTCACCAGATCCGCGACGACGGCTCTCATCTCTCCCTCCTCGAGCCCCTGATTTCGCGCCGCGAAATTGAACTCGCCCACGGCGCCGGAGGAGACGTCGGCGCCGACGAGGGAGGCGACGTGCGGTAGCAAAAGGCGCGAGACGCTGCCCGTGCCGCAGGCGTAGTCGAGAAGGCGCGTGGAGCTCTCGGATAGGGGGATGAGAGTGGGCGAAGAGAGGATGCTGCTGGCGATGTGCGACGCTACTTGAGTGTGTGAGTGGCTGTGCGAGTGCGGTGAGGGGTGCGAGGCTAGGTTGTTGAAGAAGGTTTTGTTTGTCTCTACGATGGCGGCGGCGGAGGCGGCGGAGGGGGAGGGGGGGTGCGAGTGCGAGTGGGCGTGATCGTGAGACATTGTGATGGCGGGATTGAGTGATCGGTTGCTTGCTTGCTATGTGGAATTGCTCTGGTTGTTCTGCTCTGTTGTTGCTGGTGATGAAGCTGTACTGTAACCCGCCGACGAGCCCCACTATATATACTGTCTTCAGTCTTCATCCCACATAGGTACGATACGCAACTACGCAACTACTCGCGTTCCTCTTGATACTGCGCTAGTTAGAAGCGTAGGCTGTCCAGGGTCCCCCATGGTTGCACGGGTATGTAGAGTAGAGTAGAGTACGGTAGAGTAGACACCTTGCGGGCCACCGACGACGTCTAGTCACACAACCCACTTACTCGTATCTGCAGACTCACGCCCGCTTACATTATCGACCGTACGGGAGTTTCCCCATTCAGCCAGATCGTGATCCAGGGAGGCTGTTTTCGGGCTGAGCACGATTCATCATCCACCGTCACCACCGCTTCGATCATTACGGTATCCACCGGCCGAGTATTGCTCGATTCGCTCTGAAACTAGCTCGCCAAAAGAAATAGAGTCATAACGCCAACCCAATCAATAGACAGTTACGAGTACAGGTACAATACATGCTGTACGGTTGCCCAAAAGGATACCAAGAAATAACGCGCAAACAATACAAATCATAAGATTCCCCCTCCTCCCATAGGCCCTTTTCATCTACCAGTCCCAGACAATACGGTATCTCACAGCTACAAATACTTGAACCCCACAACCTCGTCCATGACATAGCGATAGATCCTTCCCAGCGTCGCTCCCCAGCCCCCCGCCGGCTCGCTGGATCTGGGAGCATTCTTTGCACCTCCCGCACCGATGAGAGCATTCGCCCAACCACCGAGCCAGCCATCCTTCTTTGCGAACTCGACCTGCTTTGGCACTAGCAGCTTCGCGCCGGGCATGTGCTCCGACAGCTGTACGCCATGCTCGACCGGTTCCTCAAACATGCTGGGACGTCTACCGCTCCCGGTGGAGCTGACTCTTCGCAAGGTTCGGGTGGTGGGGGCGGGTGTGGGTTCGACTTCCATGGCGAACGGGAGCTCGGGCTGAACGACCGCATTCTCTTCCCACAGCGAGATCACAACTGTTCTTCCGCCGACGACGAGTTCTCCCCTGCCACTGCCGTCGAGAGCTCTTTCCGCCGCTTCCCGGTCGTGGAAGGTGATCCGCACCCAAGGGCCTGGTCCTCCGTCACGTCCGCTCATAGGCTGCACCATCCTTGCCGTCGCCAGATCCAGCTGGTCCCGCGGGATGATCTCGGGATCTGAGAACTTGCTCTCGCTCTCGGGAAGGCCAGAATAGGGCTCGAGGATAGGGCCGTAATAGCGTCGCAGCGCACGGATCAGGTCGGGAAAGCGGTCTTCACTAAAGTTGGCGACCCGAACTTGCGTCGGCGTCATCGAGGATTCGATGGGAAGCTTGGTGTCGGCGGCGGCGGGCGTCGCGCTGTAGCTGTCGTAGATGCTAGCTAGGGGTGGGGCGTTGTCTTCGTTCACGATGTCGCCGGCGATGTCGGGGGTCGAGGAGGTACGGGCACGGGTACGGGAAGGTCTGGCGGAGATTAGTTTGGCGACCATCAAAGAGAAGGGAAGTACTAACGGTCGCGTGCCGAACATGTGTTTGGGCCATAGACCACCACCACTGCTTGGGGGGGAAGAGGACGCAGTCCGCTTGATGCTGTAGTGAAACGTTAGCAGATATACTCCATCTGAAGCAAAAGCCATGAACATACCCAGGTTTTCTCCGGCCATCCATAATGTCCGCGTCGTTCTACAGCGAAAACAAACATCAGCGATCACAAACCATAAAGAACCATCCTCGTCACCATGCAGTACTCACACTTCCAGCACCACCGTTCAGCAAGTTCCCCGCCTGCTGGTTCAACACTTTCTGAAGGAAGGGCGAAGCCGCAGTCGGATGACCAGGATTCACCGGCACGCCCGAAAACGGAGCCGGCTGACTGGCAAAGGTGTTGTAGTCCTGTGGTGCGCTGATTCCCTGCTTCTGGTGCCAGTCGTAGAACCGCTTCTCCTTGTTCTTGTCGGGTGCGCTCTGTGTTGTTGTTGTCGCTGACGCTACATTGTTCGCGCCGAAGGAAACGGTGTTGCCCCAGAGGCTGTTCTGGCCAGGCATCGTGGAGAAATCCATCGTCGTGGTGGCGATGGCGGTCGGGGGAGGAGGTGAGATGTAATTAGTGGTGTTGTGGTGTTGTGGTGTTGTGGCGTTGAGGTGTTGTGTGGGAGACGGGTTGTTATGCGGGAGGTTGAACGAGTTTCTTCTTGGTTGGTGTTGGCGCTGCGCGTGGATGGCGTGGATGGCGTGAAGCTTGGCGTGCTAGTGAGAAGAGTTGAAGCGGTAGGGTTTGTTTCACAGCGAGTCACTCGCGCTTCATGTCGAATTCGAAGAGAAAAATCGACAGACCGTGTACGACAAAAAATTGATATTTTCTCTCTCTTCTTCTTTGCATTCATAGAGACCCCAATAATCTGAACGAACTACAACAAGAAGACGAATGTGCCACAAACTATCAAAACGCCAGTAGTCTAAGTTGCCCTTTCACACGGACGATCGTACTGTGGTCGACTTCATTTTCTACTAACTAGATCTCAATCCTTCTTAGTAGGAGGAGTAAGTGAAAGGGCACGGTAAAGAACGATCAAAGCCGAGTGGCTCTCGCCTATTCGCTGTTAGCTCATCTGACGGTCACGAGTAAAGACGAGTGGTTCTGCGCATACCTCCTCCATACAAAGTCTCAACCTTGGTTTGATCCACCTCCGTAACGGTGTCATCGTTGAAGAAGTACCAGGTCTTGCCGTCACTGTCGTCTTTCTTGACGTATGCACAGTAGTGACCAGAGTCCGCGCTAGCACCTTGATGGGTAACTACCGCGAAGAGCTCATACAGTCCACTGGGGTTGCATCCTTCGTCCTTCATGATCTCGGGATCAAGTTTGTCCTTCAGCGCCTCTTGCCAGTCCGGCTCCTTCTCGTCGAGGATTGAAGTGACAACAGGTACGGGAACCACAGGTGCCTGGGAATACTTGATTAGCACTGTCTAGGTTTCTTCCACGGTGATAGTTACCGATGCCGCCCCTGAACCAAAGCCACCGGCGCCCGCATTTCCACCTGCAATGTCGTCGGCACTTGGCTGGACCTTTGCACGCTTGCGAGCGCGCTCACGGTCGGAGGCGTCCTTGTGCAGATCACGGAGAGTATCGCGGACCGGAATGAGTTTGCTTCTGAGGTCATCGGAACAGAATTCTGTAGCGTCGAGCTCGAAAGGAAATGTGACCTTGCGCATGATCTTGGCTTTCTTGTTGATTTCGCGTTTCCAGAAGAAGCGGACAAAGTGACACTATTGAAATCAGTCGACCGTGCCTATTTGGGATAAAGCTTCGGAGGACTTACCGTCAGGTATTTGGGCAAACGGACGATACGACTAGACTTCTCGTAAATGGCATTTCGTCCAAGCGTAGGGCTCTCCTTCTCAATCTGCTCCTTCAAGCCAGCCAGAATTCCATCTTTCAGGAAATTGGTGTTGTTGGTGATATGGCACTTGAGGTTCGAAAATTCCTCGGTCGTCTCGATAGGCATCTCGTCCGGCGCATCCTCCATGCACTTAAGAGTCGAACTCATCTTTCCAGAGAGATACTTGTCCACAAACGACGTATCTTCATTTTCATTCTTGATGCGGAGTTTCGTACGGAGTGAGTGTAGGATCTGGGAGTAGCACTCCTCAGCGTCTTGCTGCGCATACCGACCGTCCTTTCCCTTCTGCGCGAACTGTGGGAACGCCCGCCTCAGCGCCTCCAAAAATACCAGCGGTGGAACTCCGGCTGTAGTTTCGCCCATGTTCTGGTAGAGGTCTCGCATCGCACCAGCTAGATCTCCAAGATTCCCGACGCTTCCCACTCCCAGATTTCCAAACAGGCCTCCCGAGCCGCTTGCAAAGCTGCTTCCGAACCCGCTGCCACCAGCTTCTCCCGTCTGCTCCTTGTATCTCGTCAACTCCTGTTGAAGCTCTGGAATGTATCGCAGCGCCTGGAGCGTGGAGTTGAGGTAGCAGGTGTTGCCGAGGTTCTGCAGACCAGAGGGAGGAGCACCCGATACGAGAGCGAGCTGCGCATCCGTCATGTCCTCGACGAACTTAGTCTTTTCCTTTGGTGCCTGGATACCTTTGCCCGATGGCGTACCCATCATCATCATGACCTGACCCGGCTTGAGGCCCAGCTTTGACATGTCGGTATCATCCTTGAGCTGGCCACCCTTCACCACGACCTTCTGGCGTTCCGGTTCGACGTTCGTGAGGGAGAAGAGAACCGCTTTGAGAACCTCGCCTGGCAGAGACGTGTCCACTGTTACATCGTAGCGCTTTCCGGCATGCTTGATGACAACTGGAGATGAAAGATCAGAGTCGGCCAGGATGGGGAGGAGTATGGCGGGGTAGTAGGAGGGTACAACGTACTGGGGATCTCGGTGTCACTCATTGTGGGTGAACCGAGAGATGGAATTAGGCTGAGATGAGTTTTTGTGGAGGAGGATTCAGTTTGAAATTAAGGTACACGTGGAGGAGCTTCGCTTTGGATTCGTGGTCGTTGGGTTGATGGATGATGTTGGATGGTTGCTGTGAGTTGAGAGGCTCTCGATTTTAGCTAGACGCTGTGGCGGAATTTGCCACACGAGAGGTTCATAACTTAGAAAGCAACAGAAGTGTCTAAGAACAGTGCACACCGCTCTTCGAGCTCTCAGTTTTTAGAATGTCCTGAGATTAATTTGTGGGTATATGTATATTAATTCTCCTATCTGGGGAATCTCCATAGACATTCTTACGGACATTGGTTCCTTACAAACGTGATCTTTTCTTCGCACCACTACTCGATCGTGTCACCATGGACATCGCTAACAGCTGACTGCGATAAGAACCGGCCCACCCCTATCAGATAACCTAGAGCTTAAAGCTCCGGTCGTCCCCCAATCAAAGCTCCCGACCAGCTCCAAATCAAGAATGCATTTCTCGGCCTTTTTTACCACGTTCCTCCTCAGTGGCCTCGCCGCTGCCTTACCATCCAACGATGCGGCCTCGGTCCAGATGATCGATCTCTCTACCGCGTCGCGCCCCACCGTCAAAGAGGCCGCAGTTCAAGCGCGAAAGCTACTGCGCTCGGAGACGATCTCGACTCTTTCTACCGTGTTTCCCGCGGGAGAGAAGCATGGTCTTGAGGGGCAGCCGGTCGGGCTGATGGAGTATTATGCCGAATGCTCTGAGAATGGGAATCCTACGCTGTTGGTTCCCATCCACGTCCAAAGCACTGAGTAGAGTACTGTAGCTAACACGGCGGCGACAAAAGCTTAGGCATGCACATAGCGACCTCGTAAACTTCCCTTCTCGTCCTCTCCCGCCCGCTAGCCAGCCAGGACTAACACGCTTTCTACAGCTTCCGCAACACCGTCCCCGACAACTCCACCATCTCCCTCTCGGTGCGCCAACACGCGCCGCACATGTTCTCTCCTGCAGCACACCCACGTCTCTCGCTCGTTGGCAAACTCAAGACCATCGACGACTCTGACGAAGCCGCACGTCTGAAGCGTTGTTTCACCACTCGCCACCCAGACGCGAAGATCTGGACACCCGGAAACAAGATCCACGAGAGCTACTGGGTGGCGTTTGAGGTTGAGAGCGTCTACTGGATTGGTGGCTTCGGGAATGTCGCGTACATCGGGTGGATCCCGAAGGAGCTGTATCAGGAGGTTAAACTGCCGTGTGTCGAGGGGGAGGGGAGTGGGTGGAGGAAGTTCTTGTTTTGGAATCAGGGACTGTAAAGGTTTCTGGGTCAGACGTTTTGGATCTGTTGATACGCGCGCAGGCTTTGCTCCATTGTACACGATTATTTCCTTGGCACATAAAGGACCATCAAATACATATACCATCTCTGTCATAGTCTGAGCAAAAAACAATGCCTCATAAGCCCCATTGGGGCAAAAGAGAATGCATCCATCGGGAGTCGAACCCGAGCCAATTGCTTGGAAGGCAATTATCCTACCGTTGGACCATGGAAGCTTGCTGAAAACTTTGCATTATCGCTTATACCCAGCAGTTCTAGTCTCGTTCGTATCAAAGGATGGAACTCTGTATACACCACGCCACCTCGTATCACTCGTAAATTCAAGAATAGCAACATCAGCAATTTATTAAATCCACCAAGCACCTAGAAGTAAACGCGTCCCAAGTTCCCAATTCAAAATCCTAAAGCCTCCCCAGCATACCGATAACATGTATCCCATAAACCTTGATCCGTAACGCAAAAAAAACAGTGAAAACACACCACACAACCCGGCAATCACACCACCAAGCAAGCTGAAATGAACCACCCTCCATGAGAAACAGAATCAAAACAAAAACAATGGCGAATGTGGTTACCCTTGAAGTAAGAAAAAAGAACCTCAAATCCGCAGTTCTAGAAGCAAAACTTTTCAATTGGTAGAAGGACAGAAAGCAGCTCGCACACCATCATCCCCGCTCTACTTTGCTTGTTCTAGTAGCATGCCTGGACTAACGGCCGTGGTACCTCGAGTACTCGTCGTACGGTGGAGGTGGCGCGCCGAATCCATGGTCTCTCGGCGCAGCAGATCCCGCAGCGTAATAGTAACCGGCTGAAGGCGGAGGCGGCATCCTTGGCAACGGGGGCGGAGGCGGCGCGTAGTATGCGGCAGCGGCGCGATCTTGCCTGAGATACTCGTATGCGTGAGGCGGAGGTGGCAGGGGCACTGGGGGTGGATAGGCGTATCGCGGGTCTGTATACATGCTCACTGGGTAGCGACGGTCCGGAGAGCGGGAGCGTTGTCGCTTCTCGCTCGGAGCGTATTCTCTGGGACTGGCGTAGCGCTCGTAATCATAGCGAGTATTTCCGACACGCGGAGCGGGCTGCTGGACGATGTAGTCCACCGCAGTGGGTCGAGGTGGTCGGATACCGGTCTTGGTGCCAGTGTCCTGCTCAACAAGCTGTCTTCGCTGGCCTTCGTAGCGAGAGGTCGATCCACTATGATGCGGATCTCTGTCCCTCACATATTCGGTCCTTGCCATGCCATTGGTTTGGTGGCCACCGTGCCCATCGTTGAAAGTGCGTTTTGGACGGTCAACATAGTCGACTGGTGCGCTTAGAGGGAATCCTTCAGCGCGGCGGTTGTGCTGCTGTCGGACATCTCCGGCGAACTCTATTTGCTGCAAACGATCCCTGGATACCGGCGGGCCTCCATATCTTGGGGTGGCATATTGCCCGTTAGGGTAGCGCGGTGCCACAGCTTCTGAATCTGCACGGCGGTGCACACCTGGGGGAGCAGCGGAAGCTGGCCCAGATCTACCACTCATGCTTCCAGCACGGTCGCGATTGGCACTGCCAAATGCCCAGGGGAATATGTCTTCAATAAGATGGCGGGTGTCTTTTCCTAGCGCATCGGCCAGATCGGAGATGATTCGTGGGTGAGGAAGCCTGACCATATCCCTAGTCCAGTCAGGAAGCACCACGGATTTGTTTCTAGCGATGTGAACTGTTTCAAAATGCTGAAGCAATGAGACAATGGGGAAAACCCTATCGGCCTTGGATGCACCTTCTGACGTCTTTCCTGGGTGTCTCTGGCACTCAATACACCTCAATCCTTTAACGCCGTACTTGATCGAACTCATAGCAGGATGCTCAATCAATGCATCCAGGAAAAGGCCGAGAGGGATAGCCTCCGAGAACCTAGACTGATACTTGCGAGCCGTCCTTATGATGACAAAGTGTATGTGGATGGACGGCGGGATATTTCTGAGACTTGCAAGCAGCGCCCATGCAGCCTTAGCGTCAGCGGCCAATGCATCCAGGCGTGTCTGGCGGGCTTCCTCATTGTACTTCTGCACGTGCCCATTGCGAGGCGCTGTGGGAATATGCTGCTCAAGACCTTGCGACCATTTCTGTGCATACGAAGACCTATGCATCTCTCTCATCGGCCCAGAGGGTGCATGCGGAGGAACCCCCTCGGGTTGCTCACCAAGTGGTGACTCCAGCAACGATTTATCAGGATCCGCACGAAACGGTCCTATTTCTGGCCAATCCGCTCTCCAATCGACCTTCGGATGTTTCCCCCGGCGACTGTAGGTGTGTTTCGCAGAGAAATGTTGAACCAACGACTCAAAATTCCACCATCTCAGATTAGTTGAACAACCATCGCATAGGAAGATCTCCGTGCGAAACTGATGTATCTTTGGCTTGACCCTCGAATCGTAGACATATTTCATATCCTCAAGCGTGACCCTTTTCCTCCTCGTGGACTCATCCGCATAAAACTGCTTCCCACAACGACTAAGAACATGGGCAGCAAAAGCGGGGGCACTTTCCATCGTAAGAGTACCCTCCCAACTCTGAATGGCGTCTCCAGCATATGTGAGCAACTTTTCTCGGTTCGAAAGCTGAACGCTGTCTGAATGTTCAGCCAATCCTTTCTGAGAGTTCGAAGAGCGGCCGCTGGTATGAGACTCGGTCTTTCCATTGATTTCAACTGCTGTATCCCACTGGCGCTCTCTCTTCATTTGCCGTTCCTCTGACAGACTAGTTTCCAACATCATCCAACTAGCCTCGTCCAGAGGGTTGTCATCCATGACAGAAGCCTGGAACGACGGCAAATGGATAAGCGTTTCCAGCGTTAATGGAGGATCAAGCTTTCTACAGCGTGCTTCGATCTCCCGTTGCTTCGCAATATTGACTACCGCACCTGGATCGCCTGGTTCTTGCATAATTTCATCAGGATCCTGTGGCTGATTCTCCGACTCTGGCCACATCGTCAGCACACGAATAATGAATAGCATTTACATCCCACATAGAGAGATGTCATAGACAGTTTGCCATTGTCGGATGACTTCAAACATTCCGGGAGCAACACATCTTGAGAGCGAGATATCCAAACATACCAATGATACCTGTATTCGACGTGTTTTCAGCACGGAGGCTTTTCCATAGGCCACTGGCTGTGCTGAGATCTGCCGGCCTCGTCTTCTCAAACCTCTCCATCCTCTCGATGTCTTGCATGTAAAAGTTTCGTTTCGACTCCAGACCTTTCAGCCACTCGTCAGAGGCCAGCATTTCCTCGACTTCCTGGTAACGGTGTTTGATAGACTCGAGATCTTTGTTCCAGTATATCTTGGTGATTCCAATGTCTGCCTGGTAACTGCTTGGCTCGGGAACCCAGTTGTTCTTCATATCGACCATCCCAAACGGCAATCCAACCAGCAGCTCTGCTGGGAATGGCTCGTCATCAGATTCCAATGAAAATTCCTGTATCAAACGGAATTCAGCATCGAAGTCAATAAACTTCTTGCTCATGGTGGCTGGGTGAGCGGGTCTATAGGCAATGACTGGTTCTTACTTTAGTGGTGTTGTCGGACAAGCACTGCTTGCAACACCTGATTCGGAAGGGCCAATATGTTTCGATGTCGCCTTGGTTCTCGCACAACATGCACTTCCTCGCGAACAAAAGGCGAAACATTTCTCGTTCAGACAAACCAAATACGGGCTTTGGAAACTCTGGTAAGTGCGTGCTCCTGCTCCGCCGCCATACAGCGTCTTTCTGAACAAGTGTATTGAAGAGCTGGCAACATAGTTGCAGCTGAGCTAGCTCTAACGGATGAAGTTGCGGCAGTATCTTTGCCCAACCCCATGCCGGCAGATCAACCAGATTCTTAGATTTGTAAAGTGCATCCATCAGCTCGCCGTCCGACCGTTCGGTCGAGTTTCCACAAGATTGGCTTGAAAACATGCCGTCGTCTCCATCACCGCCTGCCGAAAAGTAATCTTCATCATCCTGCTGCAGCTCCATTGTATCGTCGACAGCGTCCTCCATCTCTGAATTGCGGGCTGACGGCCCCGACGCGACTCGCGATTGCTGGGAAGTCAATCCGCCGCCCGAGGCACGATTTCGCCGACCCAGGCCCGACGGACCAGTGGGGAGATCGGGGAATGTATCGAGGAGTCCTCTGGTAGTCTCGCGGTAAGAAGCTGCCGGTCGACCGTCCCCAGTAGTTCGCTTCTTCTGTTGTGGTGGCGAGAATGAATTTTTGCGTTTTGGTCTGCCGTTAACTTGCGCCATAGGAATTCAGCTGTTAACCTGGCTCGGATTCTTGGAACTGCTTCGGGATTAGGGGTGGTGGCTGCTGATGGTGGTTGCTGGCGGTGATTATTGGTGGTTGTTGATAGATGTAGTGAAGATGAAAGCTCACAGCAGCATCACATTCAGCTGAGCTTGGGCTGAACTTTGAAGAGCTTGCGCTTGCAGTAACTAACCACTGAGCTCTCACCAAGTATGCGAACAAAGCTGCGTCTTGGCAGTTCCATGTGACACAGAATTCTGAGCCTCACCGGCCCACCGGGTAACTGACAGGTCTAAGCTTAGCGATAGTCACAATAGATGACCGAAGTCTTGGTGGTGCCACTCTAAGTTAGAGGAATTAGCATTGTGCTGAGCTGCCCGGCGTCGTCACCGGAATCGGGAGACCGAACAAGGCCGTAAACCAAAATCTCGCCTCCTACTTCCGCTGCTACTGCTCCTGCTACCTACTCCCTTTCTACCACCACAACAGCAATCTATTTCTCATCCCCAAAACTACAATCTCCTTCAGCGGAATCACCCCCTGAATACGATATTTCTCATCCCCCATCCCCACCCTTGAATCGAGTTTCATATCTTCAACACCCCTCTACGATCATCATGTCGTCACTTGATATCTCCCCTGAAATAGGGCGCGCCTACCAGAAGCTCGTTTCCGGCTCTGCTCCCAACAAGCCCTCGCCAACCTACGCTCAGTGGGCCGTCTTCTCGGTATCGGTGCCGCTACAGAATGCTTTTGTTCAGAGCTCGGCAAAAGCTAGCACTCTCAAGGTGCACGCTGCCGGAGGTGCGTAAAGGCTCTAAGCTCCCGACCCGCCCATCGCACCTCATCTGTGGGGGGGGAAGACACAACACCTTTGCTGATCTATCATCACGTTGCAGATGGCGAGTTGGAAGAGTTAATAGAGGAGTTCAACGATGGAAAGGTACAATTCGCTTTCGTCAAAGTCAAGGATCCGAACTCGGGACTTCCCAAGTTCGTCCTGATCTGCTGGGTATGATATCTCCTCCGTGCTACACTACGCACTGTCAACGGTTCAACTGACAACCAGCTTCCAATTTCCAGTGTGGTGATGGTGTTCCCGAGCGAGTCAAGGGCTACTTCACAGGCCATCTGAATGCAGTGACAAAAGTGCTACACGTAAGCCAACGCCGCTCAGCCCCACACCCCCGCTCAAACCACCACGCTGACGGATTTTCGTTGCCAGGGCTACCACGTTCAAGTGACCGCCAGGTCAGACTCTGACCTTTCTCCCGAAGCGATTATCCAGAAAGTTGCCGATGCATCCGGCTCCAAATATTCATCATCGTCTTCATCCAATGCGCCTCCCCCAACCGCGCCGAAACCACCGGTCGCTACCAAGCCTGTCTTCCAGCCCACGCGCGTCTTGGGTGGAATGCTGCCTGTTGGCTCTAGAGCTCCGGCTCGCCGTGATGAGAAAGTGGATGCCGATGGATGGGGAGCAGACGCACCGCAGGTCACTCGAAGCCAGCTCGAGAAGGTGCAGTCCGCCTATAAGCCTACGAAGGTTGACATCAATGAGCTCCGTTCTCAGCCGACGTCTACCACTTCTGGGTACTCGAAATCTTCAGATGAACAAGGGGAGGTTGTCAAGGGTGGATACCAACCAATTGGAAAGATCGACATTGCAGCTTTGAAGAAGGGCTACAAGGAGGAGCGGCCGGAGCCGGTCAAAGGATCTTACACGCCTATCGATGTGAGTTCCATCAGGAAAGCAGCACCCGCACGTCCGGAGCCCGAACCCACACCAGCAGCATCAGTATCTCAGCGGGCCGGTGCTTTCTCCCAGAGCGAGCGTCTAACCTCCCTGCCAAAGCCGAAGGTGGCCAAAAAGTTCGGACCTGGCGCACCAAGCTACGGAACCAAGCCACTCACTCCCGGTGGTTTTGGTGCTAGCCCAGCTGCACCTGCGCCGGTTGCTGGTATCAACAAATCTGGTATCACCAAATCTCCCGCCCAGATCTGGGCCGAAAAGAAGGCCAGAGAGCGTGGACTTTCCGGTGCAAGCACTCCTCCAACTCTCTCGCCGGCAACAACTGGACAGCAGCACATCACTCCCTCCTACACCGGTGCCAGTGCATCCAGCCAACACCACGAAGAAGAGGTTACCAGCTCCAGCACCGGTATAAATGCTTTGAGGAACCGCTTCTCTGGTGCGGCTCCGATGGGAGCACCAACTCCCAGCTCTCCCCAGCGGCCAGCAAGCTTCTCTCCCACCACCACTGGCGACCGTGGGGCTCCACCCCCACCCCCAGTAGACACATCCTCCCGTCCCTCTTTCGGCGTCCCAATGCCAGGTCTTCCATCTCGCTCCACCGAGGAGGAAGAAGATGAGGAAGTCCCCGCCGTCCAGCACTCCAACATCCCGCCACCTCCTCGGCAGCCGCGCTCTCCCACTCCCCCAACCCCTGAGATCGAGATGCCCCACAGCCCCGTCCGCATTGCCATGCCAGTGGCCCGTAGGGACGACGACGCTCTCATCACCAAACCCGAGGAGCCCTCTACCGCTATTCCCGTCGCCAGTCTCAGCAGCATAGTCCCTAGGGAATCTGAGCTTACCGACGAGGCTCCCGCGCGCCCTAGCGGTGGCGCAACCGGTGGCCAGCGTGCTGTGGTCCTTTACGATTATGCTGCCGACGAGGAGAATGAGATCAACCTGATCGAAGGCCAAGTAGTAACCGACATCGACATGGTCGACGACGTATGTCCCCCCAAACCTCCTCCCGGAACACGCATACGTGCACACACATTCATTCCCACTAACACTAATATCAGGACTGGTGGCGCGGCACCAACGCCCTTGGACAGGAAGGGCTCTTCCCCAGCAACTACGTGGAGCTTATGCCCGCCGGAGCCGCCGAAGCCGCAGTCGAGCGTGCTCCCTCTCCCCCGCCCTCTCCTCCGGCGCCTGCCGTGACCGAGGGAAAAACTGCACTGGCAATTTACGACTACGAGGCCACCGAGGATAACGAGCTTTCCTTCCCGGATGGCGCGACCATCGAAGATGTGCAGTTCCCTGACGACGACTGGTGGCACGGCCATTACAAGGGCAAGGAGGGACTATTCGTAGGTTTTCTCTTTCTTGATGGTGGCGGAAGGCGGCTAACATGTATGGACACAGCCGGCGAATTACGTTGAGTTGCAGAATTAGGTATGGTGCCCTTGATGATGAAGTGAGAAGAACGGAGGAACGGGTTATGATAGGAAAATGGTGGAGACTTGTGAATGGTTGTTTTGTTTCATTCGTGATGCCTATTTGCTTGATGATGCACTAGATGAGTGTAATGAGAGGGGCCTGTAAGGTAACAAGATCATTACTTCACTCTGTCTTTGCTCCTCAGTTTGTATGAATGAATCCATGGTATGTTTGAAGTACAAGTTCATGTGAGAAAAAGGAATGCACGAGCAAGCAGATATTGATCTCCATCTGGTAGAGTAACATGAAGTACCTGGAGTAACGACAGGACCCTGAATGTGTAACGCAAAGCAAAGCAAAACGCATAGAACAGAAACACTAATCATCCCATTCACACAACACATCAATCATCTCTATCATAACGCGTGGATCCCATACAAACCATGGCATCCGACTCGTTTCGTTTACTCAGCGTCCTCCTCGTCCTCGTCCTCATCATCGTCCTCCTCCTCTTCCGATTCGTCATCAGCCTCCTGGAGCCACTTCAGGAACGGCTCGGCGGCCCTGCGGACCTCCTTCGATACCTTGATTTCAACGTATTTCTTGCTTGCCTTGGTTCCCCAGGCTGTAATAGTCTCCTCACTGGCGAGCTCGTATTCGAAGTACGCCATAAGGATGCTAGGGATAGCATTGATGAGCTCGGGGTGCTCGGTACCGACGAAGCGCTCGGTTCCACCGAGGAGGGCTTTCTCGTGACGGTCAGAAGTGATCATCTTCTTGAGGAGACCGCTGTGCTCCTTGATCTGGCTCTTCTTGATGATATTACCGTCGAAGAGGGTCTGAGCGAGGACCTGGAGGGTGCGGTGCTTCTTTTCGATGCCGAGTTCAACAGCCTTCTGATAGACCTTGACGTCGTTGATCGTGCCGTCGTTCTCCTTCTTCTCAGAGACAATCCACTTTCCGAGAACGTCGTAGGGGGTGTCCTCGCCCTCATCCTCGCCCTCAATAACGAGGGCCTTCTTGAGGTCGTCGGGGAGATTCTGAGCACGCGCCTTGATGGCCTCCTCGGACATGTCAACCGCCCAGTCGTCATCCTTGAGGATACCGTTGCCGCCGTTATGCGTAGGAAGTTCCTTCGCCTCAGCCCTGATGCGCTTGGTGAGTTCGTCGTCGGAACCACCGTCGATGCCCATGTCCTCCGGATCCTCGGAGCCAGAGTCCTTAGGGGAGCCTTCACCCTTCTTGCCCTTCTTTCCTTTGCTGGAAGACTTGCTCTTCTTCTCCCTCTTGGGCGGGTTCTTGACAATGTAGCCGGACAGTTTGTGGCGGAGATCAACATCGGTACGCTGACCACATGCCTTGCAGTCGCGGGTGATATGGCCGTCCTTGCTGACGATCAAGTCGGTCTCGGGGTTCTTGCACTTGCCGCAAAGAACGAACTTGTTTATGAAGCCGTCAAGGGAGTCCTGAAGCTTGGGGGCGTCGTGGTTTCCGTTGATGATGTAACGGTCGTCCGAAGGGTTGGCGGTGACCTGAGCGCCCAGCTCGAAACCGAAAAACTTGACAACATCTGGGAAAGGTGTTAGTCACACGCAAACTTTGCACTGAAAGCGGAGTGAATACGTACAAGCCGGGTCACGACTGAGAGAATGAGCGATGCTGCTCAAGTTCACGATGACGGACTTGATTCCGTTACCCTTTCCCTCAATCTTGGACTGGATGCGCTCCATCTTGTAGCGGTAGAAGGGGTCGGCGACATCACGACGAATGTTGATAGTAGCCATGATTGCTGCGGTTTTGTGAAAAAGGTGCTAGGGCTTATGTTCAACGGAGAAGCTGGTGATCAAAGACGAAGTTGAAGTTGCAGGATGCAGGAATAAGCAGCATGAACCAAATCAGCTTCCTTATTATTCGTGTTTCCGTGGTTTAGACCGTCGGCGAGAGAAGAAAAAAGGTTTCTTTGAAAGCGACGTGGTGGCGAACGAAGCAGGAAAGAAAGAACTGGCGAGAGAACAGTTAAAAGTGTGAGGTGTTTGGTCGAAACGAAATGTTTTAGGTGAACTCGGAGCGTCTGCTACTGTGCCGTTTACTCTGGTGTATGAGAGGCCGTATGAGGCGAGAAAGAATCTTTGGTGAGAGTGCGGTTGGGGAAAGATTCATGAACAACTATGGTGCGTTGCGGTGGGGTTTTGGTGGGGTCTGGTGGTCGAGAAAGACGAGGTCTGTCTGTTCTTTCCGACGAGCTTGACTTCTGGAGAGCTATATGCGAGCTTGAAAATAGGTGAGGTGCGGTTGAGCTTCAAAGAGTCGAGTACGGTGGAGGGGTTATTGGAGCAGTGGTGGTGGTTGTGAGAGAAGAGGAGATGAAGAAAGTTTGGGATGGGGTTTTTGAAGGACCGGCGGAAGGCGGTGGGTGGGTGACACCTTTAAGAATGAAAAGGCGCTAGGAGCACACTCCACATCGAGCTAACCATAATTTTCAAGTGTGCGGAGAAGAAAGAGACACAGAGAGAAGGGTCAGGTTTCAGTTACAAATTGTGTTTTCTTTGCATGGAAAATCTCTAATTCACGCTCCGGGGTTTGGCTCGGATTTCGGATTTGTATGGATACACCGTTTTTATTTCCTTTTTTTACCTTTTTTTTTCTTTTTTCACCTCCCCCACCCCGCCGATCCGTATGCACAACCTGTGGAGTATGTTCGGGACAACGCAGAAGAACTGAAGATCAGCCCACGCGTCAAAGGAAACGGGAAACGGGCAACCAGAGAAACCTGAGGTACATAGAGATAGTCGGATCTAGAGCGCCTACGGGAGGGCTACGAGGGTGCTGTGTCTAAGCAGCAATTCGAGCCGATGCCACTGCTTTTCTAGCAGATAGAAGTTGTAGCCTATTATACAGCCTTCATCCAAGGACGGGGAGAAAATCTATGGCCACTTAGGATAGATGGTTACGGGCAGAACGCGCCCAGCACGAAGGAACGGAGTGGCAGAGTACATCGACAAATGAAAAACACCACTATCCAGCCTGTGCCACCTCCTTCCCCTAGTAACGAATGTACTTCTTTTCGCCGAGATGTTCGATGATCATGTATACATCCCCGTGAGAGCGAGTGGCACGTGAACTGTTCACTCTCGGTCAAGATGCTTATAGATACTGTACATTTGCTGCTCTATTTCACAATCCTCCCAGACCCTATGCCGCCAGTTGTGCCGGCATCGGCGTCGGCACCGCTTCCGTCAAGACTTCCATCCCAGCCGCCACCGGCGGGGGCACGGCTTTGATGACCACGTTCTTGAACTCTCCGCTCAGACTGAACCCGGCCGAATTGGATGAGCTGAGTACGACCTCGTTTATGCTCTTGTCCGCGCGAAAGCTAATGGCACCAAACTCCTTCTTCAACTGCTCGATGAACGCCCTGATGTTCTTATGCAGCTCCGCCTCCGTAAACGCAAGCTGTCCGACCGCCATCCTGATGACACCCATGCGCTCACGGTAATCCGACTTCCCTGTGAGCTCCCTCATAGCCGAAGCGACGTTAGGGACCACGGTTCCAGTCTTCTGTGAGGGCATCATTCCTTTGGGACCGAGAATACGACCGAGCCTTGCCTTGGTCAGCGCCGCAAAGCAGTCATCGTGACAGATGACACGGTCGAAATCGATCTCGCCCTTTTGGATCTGTAGTTGTGTGTGTCAGTATAGAACTCAACAGTGCATCGCAGCATGTGCCCCGCCCCCGCCATACCTTCTCAAACACCTCGTCCGTCCCCACAAGTACTGCGCCTGCCGCCTTTGCCGCCTCCGCTTGCCTTCCCGTCGCAATAACACAGATCCGCATATCCGTTTTGACAGGCTTCGGCAGACGAATCCGACTCTTGATGGTGGGGCCGCTCTTTGCCGTGCGCAGCTTGACATGAAGTTCGTACTTGGTAGCGGCGGGGTTCCGGCCCACTTCAAACGCGCGAATGTATCTCATGGCATCGACGAGCGAGAACTGCTCAAGGGATGAGATGTCGCTGGGCTTGAAGGTCGTGCGGGTTGCTTTCGACTTTTTGGTGCCGGCGGGCTTCTTCTGCAGGGCGGCATAGGATCGGGTCTGGAGGCAGGCGAACGGCGATGGTTTAACTGCTGAAAAGAGATACGATGATGGCGATGACAGAGCCGAGAGTTGGAGTCGTGGACGTGGCGGCATGGTGGGCAATTGGCGGGCAGCTTGCCTCCTTGCTCTTCGCTGTTGAAACAGTTGATGGAGTGGAGAAAATATTTAGTGACTAAGCCGCAGTGCGCGGCTTGATTCGGCCAAGCGTGGCCCCACAGGCCATGACCAGCTTGCTGTGTCACTCAAAACCCTGAACCTCGTCGAGTCTCGAAATTCGGCACCCAGACGCGCGTATGATTTGGTCTCCGCGTCCCCTGTTATACTGTCTGCTCCAGCGCATGGGCATATTTCTCTTCACGATCTCCGCTATGATTTGCCTTTTCGTGACTGTCATGCTCCTCTTCAGCCCATCGCAGTCATTAGCCGTTCCCGGCGATGGTTTGAATCTTCAACAGCTCCTACCCTCGTACCTACAGACGCAGCATCAGGCCTGGTGGGGTGAGCCGGACTATCAAGCGAGCAGCTCGCAGGCCGATTGCAAGAAGGATGGGTGGAATGTCCTCTATCACCTCGGTGGTAACGGGCCATGGATAGAGAAGACCGACGACGTGGCAGAAGGCGGGATTAAAGTCCCGGAGGGTTGTGAAGTGGACATGGTGCACATGGTAGTTGCCCACCACGATCATCAACTTTAATGAGTCCGAAACTAAGCTCCCAATCGTTTGTGTAGATGTCGCGCCATGCCGAAAGATATCCGACCAAAAACGCAGGCATCCGTATAGATTCCCTTCCCCAAACAATGCCCCATAACTAGCAGTTGACACAAGCGCCGGGTGGCCGCAGGTATGATTCAAATGCTTGAGCGCATCAAAGCCATAGGAAAGCCTTTTACCGGTGCTCTCGAATTCGTCAACTCTTGGGAATACTTTACAAACTGTCATCCCATCTCCTCCATCTTGTCCTTACATCGGTCTGACTCCCGTAGCTCCGGACCAGCACTTTGAGCAGCTGACCACCACCGGTCCGTATGCGGGGGTCCTCGAAGCCTTCACAACAGGTGTAAAGCTCGGGACGCGCTACGCCCACCTCTGGAACTCCAGTTTCCCGAATGTGACGCATCTCTGGGCCAGTGAAGCCGGTCGGGTGATCGATACTGCGCGCCACTTCTCAGCAGGCTTCTTCGGGCTCGAGAGCAAACTTGCAAAAGTGATCGTTGTCAGTGAGGCGAAGGATAAAGGAGGCGATACGTTGACGCCTGGGTACGGCCCCTACCCGCACTGCCACTACAGAACTTGACGATAGTAGTGATACTTGCAAGAAGTATGTGGAGGACGCGGAGAAGGGCCATGATAATGGGTACACCATGCTCGCGAAATACCAAAGCACATACCTCCCTGCCATTTCGACCCGCCTCTCGATCGACAACCCTGGCTACAGCTTTACCAGTCCGCTCCCCCCTCTCGCCCTTCATTCTCACCCACTGACGCTCCTCCAGACGCAGAGATCTACAGCATGCAAGAAATGTGCGGCTTCGAGACCACTGTCCGTGGTTGGAGCCCTTGGTGCGATGTCTTCACGCACTCCGAATGGCGCGCCTTCGAGTACGCGCGCGACATAATCCACTTCTACCGGGCGGGTCCTGGAACTCCCTATTCCCGTGCAATGGGCCACCTCTGGCTCAATGCGACCAAAAACCTTCTCATCGAGGGCTCACAGTCCGCCGGGCCACTCTACTTCAGCTTCGTGCACGACGGAGATATCGTCCCTATGCTCGCCTCCCTCGGCCTTCTCGAAGATGAGCAGGATCTACCAACCACTCACATCGCGAAATACAGGAAGTGGAAGACGAGCCAGGTTACGCCTATGGGCGGACGTGTTCTCTTCGAGCGCCTCACCTGTGCGGATAGGAAGTTTGTACGCATCAACGTTAACGACGGTATCGTACCGCTTCCTTCCTGTGCGGATGGACCTGGCGGCTCCTGTGAGCTGGAAAATTTTGTGGAGTATATCGATGCGAGGGGTCGTTTGGCGGGGGATTTCAGGTCCGTCTGTGGGCTTCCTGACGATGCGGCGAGGGAACCCAGTTTTCTGCGGCAGCCGGCGTTTGCGAAGACGTAAGGCACGATCTAGGAGCGTGGTTACTATTGTTATTCATTGCCGATATACCATATAGTTGATGATTGTTTTTGTGCGAATATACAGCTAAGTATTTATGTGCTCCTCCAACCGAGAGGAGGATATCTTCACTGAAAGCCGGACTCCGGTCATCTCGAAACGTGACCCACCCTCAGCCAGCAAAGGGCAGCAGAAAAGGATGTGCTGTAACACGAAACCACTATTCAAAGGGACCCCAGTAAACGGCTGGAACATAACGTAACCGATTAAGTGAGGGAGAGAGATCTTCCTTGACCGATTAAGTGAAAATCGGCACTCTGTCCTCATTATAATATATCCGAGTGATTGCGTACGATATCACTTCACAAAGGACTCAATACGCATGCTCAACATTGAATGCATAGAGACACTCCAAAGGAGCGCACGAGCATTCTTGTGAATTGTGTTTTGAGCCTGGTGTCCTAGAATGATGCCATCGCTTGCTCTTATGCATTCTCCTTCTGTTCCTCTCCTTCGTTGTCGTCTTGTTCTTGACAACAAGACCCCGTCCTTGGCTTGGCAGTCTCATCTCTCACACACTTCTCGCTCTCTTTCTCTCCCCCCCATCCCCAGCTCTTCCTAGACATCAACCTCAGAGAATTGCCCTAACGACCCATCAACAACAATAACAACAACAACTCCTCACCTCCTCCTACTCACACTCCGCCTTCTCTCCCTTATTCCCTCCCTTCCCTCACCCTCAACACCCCTTCTCCTCCTTCCCTCCACGACTCAACCTTCTTACCTCTATCCACCGCAACCAACAACTTGAACTGCCAGCGCGTCTCGCTTAGCGAACTCGACGAAAACTCATCGGACTCACATCCATCTCCCCTTCCCCCCCACTATCAAAGAACAGCGACTCAAATACTCGAATAATCAACATGTCTGGAGAAGAGGATCTCATCGATTACTCCGACGACGAGGCCATCGAGTCGAAGGAGGCTCCCGCCACCAGCGGTGATGCGTTGAAGAAGGGAGGCGACGCGTCTGCTGGAGCTACGCAAGCCGCCGACAAGAAAGGATCCTACGTCGGTATTCACTCGACCGGTTTCCGCGACTTCCTCTTGAAGCCCGAACTACTCAGAGCTATTGTCGACTGCGGTTTCGAGCATCCGTCCGAGGGTCAGTTATTTTTCCTCCCTAGATCTTGAAAGATTCAAAATCAAAATACCCTCCTTTGTCATCACACTTCTACCCCCAGATTTGCGCTTCCGGTCATCGTCATCTGGGTTGCTCGTCTTCTCGTCTATCTATCCGTCTCCGTGGTCGGTCTCTCTATCTTCGGTCGCGGGTTGGTGGGCTGCAATACTTGCCACAGGGTTATGTGGTTCGAGGAATGACGCGGTTATTGTGCCGTCATGGTCGTAACTTGCGTCCCCCGCCACGTGGAGGATATGCGGTGTCGGGTTTCATTGCGAATCAACCTTCACCCTTGGTCCAATGGAAAATCGACGATGGTAGCGGCACAAGTCCCTCTCTACCCCGGTGCGCTTTGGATGCCATTGCATCAGCTCTCGGGGGCAATGGAGTTTGGGACACGTCTACCGCGGTCCAAGGGAGGATGGTCAGGCATTGAGCGGGTTGTTCGAAAGGGCGACGTAGAAGGAGATACCACGGAGAAGACACATCACGGAGACGGAACACAGAGAGATTGACGCGACCTGCATTCGATATCTTGCATGGGCATGCGCTTTTTGCTTTTTACTCTTTTACTCCAAGCCATCGTCGATTCGGGAGCGTCCGTTAACATCTCTTCGGTTCAGTCCAGCAAGTGTGCATTCCTCAGTCGATCCTTGGAACCGATGTCCTGTGCCAGGCAAAGTCTGGTCTCGGTAAGACTGCCGTCTTCGTTCTTACGACGCTTCAGCAAGTCGATCCTGTTCCCGGAGAGACGTCCGTTCTGGTCATGTGTCACACGCGAGAGCTGGCATACCAGATCAAGAACGAGTACGCGCGGTTCAGTAAGTACATGCCGGACGTGAGGACTTCGGTCTTTTACGGAGGTACGCCGATGCAGAAGGATGTCGAGATCCTTAAGAATAAAGACCAACACCCTCACATCATCGTTGCGACTCCCGGACGTCTTAATGCGCTCGTACGGGATAAGCATCTGCGATTGGGAAGCGTCAAAGTCTTTGTTCTCGATGAGTGTGATAAGATGTTGGATCAGATCGGTATGTCTTTTGCTCTGGTGTCCGATATGAGCCTGTGACTAAGTGTTGTTTGCACAGACATGCGCCGTGATGTGCAGGAGATCTTCCGCGCCACCCCCCAGCAGAAGCAGGTTATGATGTTTTCGGCCACCCTTTCCCAGGAGATCCGACCCATCTGCAAGAAGTTCATGCAGACTCCTCTCGAAATCTACGTCGACGATGAGGCCAAGCTCACACTGCACGGTCTTCAGCAATACTACGTCAAGCTTGATGAGAAAGAGAAGAACCGCAAGCTCAACGATTTGCTTGACCAGCTGGAGTTCAACCAGGTCATCATCTTCGTCAAGAGCACTATGCGCGCGACAGAGCTGAACAGACTGTTGACGGAGTGCAACTTTCCCAGCATCGCTGTCCATAGTGGGATTCCTCAGGAGGAACGGTACATCTAGCCACTAAGACTTACACCCATCCATCATCATGCTAACATTCGCCACAGTATCGCACGGTACAAGCAGTTCAAAGAGTTCAACAAGCGTATCTGTGTCGCCACCGATGTCTTTGGACGTGGTATCGATATTGAGCGCATCAACCTTGCTATCAACTACGATCTACCCTCCGATCCAGATTCGTACCTCCACAGAGTCGGACGTGCCGGTCGTTTCGGAACCAAGGGACTTAGTATCTCGTTCGTCTCTTCCAAGGAGGACGCCGAGGTCCTTGACAAGATCATGGAACGATTCGAAGTGAGCCTGGACCCCTTCCCAGAGGGTGGTATCGACGCCAGCACGTACATGAACACGTAGATGTCTTTTTTTCCTTTCTCAATATAATGTATGAAGTTGGGAAGCGGGGAATTTGCATTGCAGGAAACGAAAAGACGTTTGGTTGGAAATTTGGGTATCAGGTGTGATAGACACGAAGAGAGAGAAGAGTGATTGGGAGAGAATAGCTCTATGCTTTTTCTTCTAAATGATACAAGTCTCTTTTCTTGCTGATGGTCTTGAGTGTGTTCTTACTGATTGGTCTTGGGATGATGGGTTCAAACTATGTGCGGTCTTCTTTTCATTAATATCCTATCTTATTTGGGTGTTGCGTTTGTCTGCATTGATTACCTTGTTTTGCGTACGATTGATGCTTGATACTACCAATGAATTGAGTGTATACGATCTTTGATGATGTTCTGGTTGGTCCCATAAACTCGAAGACGCATACGTGAATTGAGGACACTGGAAGCATCTTAGCTCCGACCACGTGACCACGCCACGCATATGTTACCTCAAGCTCCAGATCTCTAAACGCAGTAAAAACCGACCACCATCACCACCACTACCACCACCACCATCACGCGCACGATATACACACCTTAACCTATCCACGACCCGTCTCCCACCCACCATTCTCCCACCCACCCACCCACGTACAAAATGCAAGCCTACCACAAAGCCGAAAAAGCGAAAGCGATCAAAAAGTCTAAGGCAGCGCAGCTCAAGGAGCGGACCGAAAAGCTCTCGCGGCGCAATCCGGAGCGTCTACAGCGACAAGTCGACGAGCTGCGCGAGGCGATCGAGGCCGGCCATGCCACTGCACACAATAAAAAGACCCTGACGGATCTGGAAAGGGATCTGGCTGCTGTGAGGAAGGCGCGCAAGGCGCTCGGGATAGAGGATAAGGAGCCTACGGCGACGAGGAAACGGGAGAGGGAGGAGGATGGGGAGGGGGGGAAAGGGGGTGGGGTGGGAGGGAAGGCGGGGGGGGATACAGTCAGTGGCGAGGGGGATTGGAGGGGGAGACGGAGGGAGATGAGGCTGGGACGCGGGGAGACAGGCAGGGCGGATGCGGGAGACGCGAGTGATTCTGGTATGTACCGCTCTCTTCCTTCCTTCCTTCCTTGCGGCTTGAGGAGTGCTGACAGCTGTAGATGACTCAACCGCCTCCTCCGTCGCCGACATCCCCATGCCGCCCGGCCCGCTGCCACCGCTACCAGGCGCCGCCCCAGCGATTACTACCTACGAGTCCGCGCCGATACTGCGGGATCTACGGAAAGAGGCAGCGGCGTTCGTGCCTGTTGCTGTAAAGCGGAAGTTGGAGACTGAGAAGGCGCAGAGAGAGGGGGAGCAAGAGGAGACGAAGGCGGAAGCAGAGATGGGGACAGGAGCCGAGGTCGAAATGGGGTTTACGACAAGGGTCAATGCTGCACCCGATGTGGATGTGGATGTTGATGCGGAGATCAGGAGGTTTGCGGCCGAGGTGGAGGAGGCGGAGGATGATGGCCGGTAAGGTGGTGCAGTGGCAGTGATGTGGTAATGGCCGATATGATCAATAATGGTCCGTTATGCTGGACTTAGGTGAATGGCACATGTCATGGTGTGGTGGATGGGTCTTTTGGAAGACTAAAATTTGAGCGTATGGACGGTGTAATGCAACTGGCGACACAATGTGCGGACAGTAGTACCGTAGACTGCCTTTCACACACACATACGCACACGGACATACACATAGCAGAGTACCATCAGGTTTTCGAGCACGATAGTTTCACAAAAGCGAGTGATACCTCCTCTTCAGAGATCATGGATCATCACTCGGCCTAAAATCCGGACTTCAACCACGATATCGTGCTTTTCAAATTCCTTGATCTAGTTGCCGATTGCTGCGAAGAGATAGAGAGATACACTTCTTTTCGAGCTCGTAACTGTAGACTGTAGAGTACTGGGTGATATCAACGCTGTCCATCTATTCTCGCCGCAGCGACCTGTGTATAAGACCACATTCACTTCCCCTTCCATCGATATTCACATCCCCACCCACTTCACCGGTAACCAGTTGATTCCAGCCGATTAGCTCACATGTTTCTATGTAGTAACCGGCCACATCCCCCCCAACTCGGCAGAAAAGCGAGTGATCACCAACCGCAGCAACCAGTCTACCTCTGCCCACCGCCGGCAGAAGTCTACAAAATCGCCGGGTGCATTCCTACCATATCTCTGCCGCACAGAATAGCTCTATGGCTTCATGGGCGTCCGTCGGTCTCGACGGGCCTCCACTAGTTGTGTGCCAATATGCAGCTGCTCCGGCCAGAACGACTCCATCACAGTACATCACCCACTCTTGTCTTCTCCCCTATCAAAAACCAAAAAAAAAACCAAAATAAGAGTAATATTTCTCCCATCTCGTGATCCCATCTCATTGCTCCTATCTCGTTCGTGAGCCCAGTGCCCACCTCGCGCCTACTCCAGCCACCCTATGCCCACTCTGTGCCCACCGCACAAATACACGCCACAATCCACAATCCACAACCTCTCTCTCATCATCATCGCGATCAGAAATGTTTGTAAACTGATGATGATGATGTATGTAAGTAATGTAATGTATGTGTATGAAACCCTTGATCTGTCTTTTATACCCCCGTTGCCTTCCCTCCTCTTCCCCGGTCCATAACCGCAAAAATATAAAAACCCCCCACCCCCCCGACTCCCAACCGATCGACCGACCGCCTTGTTTACGGGAATGATAAAAAAAACAATAAAAAAAAGACGTGTAAGGGAATAGAGGTAGTATAAAAGAATACAAAGGAAATAGATGGAGAAAAGGAAAAGAAAAAAAGAAAAAAAAAAGAAAAAAACAACGTGTGTGCGTAGTGTGGTGATTACGACCATAGGTAGGGAGCCCAAACCAATCTTGAATGAGAGTAGAGAAGAAGAAGCAGAGTCAATCGGAATCAGAAATAAAGGCGAGAGAGAGAGAATGAGAATGAGACACAGAAGATCCAAAGAACACACACAAAAAAAAACACCTATAATGACAAAAACCCGAATGCCATTGCAATCCCACCGTATCAGAAGAACAAGTAGAAATACACAAGGTGGTATCTCAAACTCCCTGCTGAGAAGGACAAACAAGACAACTTTTCCCAACAGAAAGAAACAAAACGTAATTACCGGCTTGACTGGCAAGAGAAACCGAAATTCAAAAGAGAACGGAAAAAACTGCAACAGCCAAGTAGCTCTCTCTCTCTCTATCTCCATCGACTCATTACCCCAAAACAACCATATCAATCAACCGCAACCGTATCCACACACACACACACGTTCGCCCTTATGCAACAGCCACCCCGTTGGGTATCCGTTTCTCTAAGCTGCTCGAGCTGCTATACGCCGATGTCTCTCCGCCGGTGGACGCGCTTCCGCTATCTAGGCTCGCACTAGCGCTACCCGTAGTACTTCGAACCGTGTTACTCGGTGGGCCTTTCATGATTGGAGGTTGTCTTACCCCATCAGAGACGTGCTGCTCAACCTGATGCGGATATCCGTTTTGACCGGGGTTCTTGGGAGGCGGACGGTTGTTGGGGCCATCAGGACGGTATCCTCCCTGAGGGTGGCCATTGCGCGGGCCGTATCCGTTGGTATGGGTTACGGCCGGGGATGAGCTCATTCGACGGGCATTCGGCATCGGAGGGTATGCGCCATTACCGTTGGCGTTCGGCATAGGAGGGTATGCACCGCCGCCGCCACCGTTCGGCATAGGAGGGTATGCACCGCCACCACCGTTACCGTTAGGCATCGGGGGATACGCGCCGCCACCGAACGCATGGCTGTCCCGGATGTCGCTCATGTCTACTCGTTGCGAAGACATCGAGTTTGCCCGAGATGTGCTCGTCATGGCCGCTCGGTCAACGTTTCCGTATCTGTTCGAGGAATATCCCAGCAACGCGGTGTCTGTAAGGGGGTCGTGTAGTCCCGGCACGTCACTCATCAACCTCGCACTAGCAGCGCTAGCACGGTTGCGGTTATTGCGAGACATGAGAGAGAGACGGCCCCGGGACGGCGCCATGGGTACCTCCGGAATGTTTCGCTGACTCGCACTAGCCACCCGTCGGGTTCTTCGGGAAGTGACGCTCATCATATCGAAGTTATCGACGTCAACCGGCGGCATCGGTGGTGGGTTGACATCGACATCGAAATCGTCATCCTCCTCATCATCTCCATACATACTCCTGCTCTTGCTGACAGGCATCTTCCTCCGCCCCCCTCCTCCTCCATGCTGACGAGCCGCCGCCGCTCTCTCTTGTTCCCTCAGCATCTGCTCGCGTTCGCGTAACGCCATCTCGCGTTCCCTAAGGGCAAGCTCGGCTGCGTTCGGGTGCGGTGGCGGTCCTCTCCTCTGGAAATCATCTTGAGGCGGCGGCGGTGCTTCGATGCCGTCGACCATGTCATCGTAAAGTGCAATGTGGCCAAATTCCTCCTCCAGATCATCGTCAAAAGAATTCCGACGGGAAAGTTCCGGACGCGCAAAATCTCCATTGGCCCCTGGAGGAGGACGGTGCCCGTTCGGTGGCATACCACGCTGCGATGGGGGTCCACGTCTAGCCATCGAGGGATCCAGCCCTCCGCGACTGCCAGGAGGGGGTCCTCTCGGCGGTGGTCCTCGTCCTTGTCCATGTGGCCCCGGGGGAAGTCTCTGTGATGGTGGTACAGGTCTCGAATTCTGCCCTGGCGAAGACAGTGGTTGTTGTTTCAGTTGATTCTGCTGGTTTATATGGCTAAGAATTGGGTATAGGGTATTGAGGTGCGGAGTCGGAACATTCAAAGCTCTGGCAGCCTTTATCGGTGAGCCCAGGAAGGTCTCGATCTCCAAAGGTCGACGGGCTGCAAAATCCTGGTACATGATATTGGTAGCCGAAGCTGCGCTCAGCTGTTGTTCGATCGACTTCTGTTTGAAGTCGGCGGGGAAGGTGCATTTCTGAGCCGTTGCAACCCTGAGGAGTTCATCGATTAAGTCATTAATTAGTTGCTTGCAGCCGGGCCTCTCCATGAGTGCCGTGGTGTTGGGACAATCCATCAAGACACTGAGAGGGTGGAAAGCGATGGGCCTGTACAGACATTAGAAAACCAATCAACAAACAGGGTCCAGAGGGATGACATACCCAAGTACCCGCTCCCATTGCTGTTGACGGATATTAAGAGACACATGGCAATCGACACTGCCAGATGCTAACGTTAAAGCAAGTGCTTCGGCCATATCGTACTGGATGCTCTGGGGGACGTTCGCATTTTCTATAGCTGAGCCCACCCAGATATCCGACCCACCGGTGTGCTCAAACTCGCTGCTGCCGAGCTGACTCAACGCTATACCGGAGACCAGGGACAACACCACATTCGTTGGGAACCGCGTCTCAAGATAGGCCTCAGTTCCGAGAGCGGTCGTAGTGTTGACTAGGATACAGGTATGTTGCGGAGTGACGACAGATTCGATAATCGAGGCAAGATCGTAGACATCGGGCAGAGCCTTGACCGAAAGGAGCACGTAGTCAAACCCACCGGCCATAGTGCTGGCCTCCTCGGGTGTTCGGACCACTGTTCAATCAAAAAATTATTAGCCACAGACACGGGAGAGAGATAAGGAACGCCGGCGTACCTGCATGTGGCTTGAACCTCTCATTTCCGTACTTGCTCGATCTAGCACCGAAAAATTAGACACTTGTTGCCGGGTGAGACATCGCAGCCGGGGGGAGGGAGGGGGCATGGGAGGGGGACGGGCAGCATACTTGAAAGACACGCCGTATTGGGACACGGTCTCGTAGGTAGTTTTCCACACAAGCGTCACGTCGCAGGAATGTGTTGCTTGTAGCCGCCATGAGAGAAATGCTGAGAGCGGATTCCCACCAACTGTCCGAGCACCACAGAGATTAGCAAAATTCTCACGCACTCACGCTGTTGCCCAAGGTGTCGCGCGCAAAGTTGTGGGAGCCGTTTTGGGGACTCACCTGAGAGTACTCGCAGCCGTGGTGTCGACGGTGCCATTATGTAACTAAGTGCGAGCGCGGGATTAGACGACGGCGAAGGGCCGTGCCGGAAGGAAATGTTCGTCTGGGTCGCTAAAATGAATGTCCGTGCGGGTTCACCAGGTTTTCAAGTCTATATCGAATGAACAAAACGCCGTCCGTAAATGCAGCAAAACAGAAACGTTCGAAAGAGCGTGTAGCGAGCGGTAAGGCGAGGTAAGGGCCCGAGGAGGGGGTGGTCGTGAGTTCGCAGGGTGAAGTGGAAACGAAGCGAAGTAACGAGCCGGTTTCGAAGGCGGAAGTGTCGAGCGTGTCCGTTCCGTTGAGACCGGGTGTCCTGGGAGGGGATGCGGGAAGGTGGATACACCAGAGGATGTGTTGTATTACGGTCCGGTTTGACACAGAGCGCGGAACAATTGGCTTCCGCAGCTGAACAGGTAGCCGGTGAGCGGGCAGGGGGGTGTGGTGCGCCGCGATTAACTCTGGGTACGTTTTGGTATTGTTATGGGCCCCGAAGCTTGGTGGGGGGTAGGTGGATGGTTGATAGTGGTGGTGGTGGTGGTGGTGGTGGAGGAGGGAGAGGAGGAGGGAGAGGAGAGAGAGGAGAGAGAGGAGGAGGAGGAAGGTGGGCGGAGGTGGGCGGACAAGAGATGGGTCGAGGAGGATCAAGCGGCCAAGGAGGGGGAGGTAGAGGTAGAAAGAAAAAGCGAAGGTGGTGAATGGAAGAGGAAGGGAAGTAAGCAGCAGCAGCAGCAGCAACGAAGCAAGCAAGCAGGCAGCGGGCTGGGCGCGCGGCAGAGAATTGAGAGAAAGAAGGGAAGATGGAGCGACCAAGCTGGATTTGGATCTCTGCTCAGCAGGGAATAGACTGGAGATATAGTAGATAGGCCGTCTGTCTGTCCGTCGGGATGTGCTGAGTCGCCGGGTTTGAGAGAGTTCAGCAAAGGAGCAAAAGCGGGTTTCGAAAGGAAAGGGCGGGCGCGGGCGGTCGACGACGCAGATCAGTTTCCGCTCAATTAAGGCACGCACTTTGCATGGGGGGGAAGATGGTGGTGGTGATGATGCGAACGCGCTTGAAGAATAGTTGCTCACTAATGCCGATGGAGCGTAGGAGCATGAATACGTGCGTCGGTGTCGTCGTCTTTTTTTTGGTCGTTCCGTGTGGGTTCATCGGCAGCTACGGTTGGAAGACGGACAGCTAAAGAACTATCTACGGCTTCACATATGTGAGTACTCTTCTATCTCGACGACAGAGAGGAGAGAGGGCTTAGAAGGGCGGTTCGTTCAATGAGGCAGGCGGGACTATCCGGAATCCTTCCGGAGACGGCCAGTCGTTGATGTCAACAACACTCTCCTTTCTACAGCCAGTCGCGCGCGTCATCACCACCACAACCACAACCACAACCACAACCACAACCATCATGCCATCGACAAATTATACCATCGACATCACCTTGAAAGAACCATGAATCACCATCCGCTGCGATATAGACAATCGCAGTCGGGCGGTCGGGCAGACGGACACCTATCAAACCAGGTAAGTGTCAACCACCTTCTTCAAACCTCATTTTATCCATATCTAAGCACCATAGATCTACATTCAACCCGGCCTCCGACGTTTCCACCCCTCTTCTTAACATTGAAATTATGACCTCTATTCCTCCTTCTTCTTCTTCTCCTTCTTGTTCTTCTTCCTATCCCCGTCTTCTCATACCTATATCCTCTTCTTCCTCCCCCTCGATGCCATCTTCCGTTTCTATGGGACATGCCCGGATCCTATGTACTCCATAGGTACCTTTCGACTCGCTCTCGTGCCTGTGACCACCGACGCAATATTCAATTGCTGCGCATGCGTATCAGGATCCCGAAACAAAGCCACTGCGCCTCCTCCCCTCTCGTTTGTTTTTTGCCTCGTTCTTCTCACTCAACTCCACAGTCTCAGCACCCTATCTTGGGATGCACACCGGGAACGGTGTGCATCTACATACTAGCATAGTAGGTAGTGGGTACATAGTACATACAGAGGTGGGTATTCGTGTCAGTCACAGTTGCACCAGGCGGCGAACACGGAACGGCAAACCCACTCGGAACGAGCCAGCCAGCCAGCCAGCAACGAGTGCTTGGTTGCGTGGAGATAGCATAAGACTCCGAGCTAACAGCGGCCGGCCTACCTGCCTGCGAGAAAGAGCTAAGGTGGAGAGATACCGATCATTACGAAGCCATGTGCCTGGGGGTATTTTGGGAGGCAGTATGCAGATAGTGGTACTCTAGTGCAACATGCCGAGCGTGGTCCACTTCGTTAGCCCACACGCGGCCGGTACTTGCCTCTAAAGTTAGGGCTGGGTAGAATAGATACCGTAGTATGCTTAGCTCATACCTATAGCAGAGCAGGTATGCCGATGCACACCTCTTTTTTTTCTCCGTTGGATCAAGTTCGTCAGGGAAAGCGAGACCTTCTTGCTCTTCTTGCTGTTGCTTTTTTTTCTTTCTCTTTTCGATGCGGAATTCTATGTAGATATCACTGGATCCGCTTGCAATTGCGAATTTGCGCGGGCTCATCATGTAAGTAATCAGACCACCCCCCCGGCCGAGAAATAGCATACGGCAGAGTACACAACAGCCTTCTCGCCATACGCGTCCATCATACTTCTGTTGTTCTGTTGTTCTACTGATAAAGTTCTCTTCTCCTTTCTCTCGCCACTCCCCCCCCCCCCCCCCCCACCCGCCGAATCCCTCAAAACGATCGACATTAGCCAAGAAGCTTCTGTGCTTCTGTGATTTCTTGCCTCAATCGTCCTTTCATCTACTGGACCGTGTATGTAGTTACATACGGCGTGCTAAATTCTAGGCCACCGGCGCGACGGCGCCCCGGCCACAGCCCATCCCATCCGGGCTGGGACGGTGGGACCGACTCGTCGCGACTGCTCTACTCTAGCGTGGTTTACATAGCGGGATGGAGGGATGGATGGAGGGAGGGAGTTCGAACTTCGGGACGACGGGGGACGGGGGGGGCGGGGCGGGATGGGGCTCGGAGAGAAGAAGTCTTCGATCTGATCTGATGGCGAGGATCAGATATCCGGATAGATAGTTATGTGGCTAGGAGGTATGCATACATAGCAGCAGCATAGGTAGCAGCATAGGTAGCGAACAGAACACAGCCCATCTGGGATTCTGGGTGGTTACCTGTCTATTTGCGTACGGGTGTATGCGATGGGCTAGCTGAAGAGTGCGAAGCTGCGTGAAGCTGTGTGACACTGCGTGAAGGTGCTTCGATCCTCCCTCTGCGGCCTGCACCTGTGGCCCATCTGCCGTGCTTCAACGGCTGGTGGATTACATAGCTGCGAGTGGTATGCATTTACTTGCTGTTATGTACCGCTGGGGAACTCATTCGATCTATGCATGAGATGGTCATAGGCATAGTAGGCAAGCGAGACTCTACATATGGAGAGTCTAAGGACGGACGGCATCGCATCGAATCGATATCTATTATCTTCAAGAAGCGCCTGAACTCGAAAACCGGTGCTACGCGTGGAATAGGTAACATACTTATACAAAGTATACATATCAACCCGACCCGGAGTGCAGCACTCTATGATAGTAGGATATAAAATCTCCTTATGAAGTTCGCATTGGAATATGGGAGGCGAAAGTACATACCGGTAACTATCCCCACACATCATCTTCCCATATGCATATCTTCTTACTTGTACATAGAGTATAGTACTCTACTTGCCCATCACAGAGCTCAGCCCAGCCCGCCAATCGCAGAGGCCCACTGCCAGGCTCCAGCCTCCGGAAGCGGCTCATCTGTGTTGTGTACAAAACTCGACGAGTGTTGGATTTACTCTAGACTCCAGAGCCCAGAGTAGAGAAGGAGGCAAAGTGCAGATCTAACCAGAGTAGAGTAGACGATAACTATATATCACCACCTACTCTGGACTCTAGACGACTCTAGAGAACGCCACCTACGCACAATGCTAGCTACATATATCGGCATTGTCCTCTTCGGCCGGGAGCTGGCTGGCTGGCTGGGTGGTTTGGCGAGGTGGAGGCCTTCCCGATTCCCCCCGGGATTGGATTGCGGTGGAGACATCATAAGAAACATGGCGAACCACTCTTGCTCCCCCTCCTCCTCCTCCATCACTGCTGTGGGGAGGGGGGGGGGACAAATTGAGAAATCTCCACATCTTTGCTTGCTGCAAGGCGATCATGATGGACTCGGCTATGTACTAACGAAAAAGGGAAGTGCAAAAGGGGCTGCTCGGGAATCTCGTTTAGAGAATATTGTTCTCTGGAAGGCGGGCCCCCTCCCATCGCCGCCGCCGCTCAAGCCCTTGAGTGAATTGAGTACTTTGGTCATAGTAGACCGGTATGTACTAATCGTTAGAGTGTGTAGTGCACTGCTCTTATCATCGACAGCCCGAGGGATGCGCATTGCGAACCACGGCCAGCCATCCAATCGAAGCCGGATGTGACGGGCCAGTTGGCTGGTGGTGCATCTCTGAAATACCTCTAGCTTCGTGGAGCAGTTAGGTACATACAACTTGTCTGAGATACCGGTACATGTGTATGTACCTGCAACCAAGTCCAGTCGACCGGTTTTCCCGTGCCAGCAATCACGATCACCGCCAGCTGAAGAGCTCGAAAGGAATCGCGGAAGAATCGGCGGAGCTTCATGGAGTTGGTATGTACAGGTCTCAGGTGTATGCCGTGCTCTGTTGGCATGAGTGATGATCCACAGGCCCTTGCTGGATGGGTACATACAGTCTGAGTTGGACGTATATCTACATCTTACCTCATGTACATACCCACTTGTTCCTAGGGTCCCACCAATCACGTAAAGCTCACATGTATCGTACCCACTGGCCTCTCGTGTGGCATACTGGAACTCCACTCACCGCCCCTTCCCTCCCCGCACGTTTGCCGCGGGCGCATAAAGCGTCTATTCCGTCACAAGCTGGATAAGGTCGCAGCTCACGGTTCTATGGGCATGGGCTTGGCGATTGACGTATCCCCCGTGCTTGGTTGGTTGGAGCTCAAGACCGCTCGGATTTCTGGTCTTCTTCTTCTTCTTCTTCTTATTCTATGTCGTCGTCATCTGCCTCCGCTTTTGCACCTCTTCCCCTCTTCCCCTCTTCCCCTCTTCCCCTCTTCCCCTCTTCCCCTCTTCCCTCCTCTTCCCTCCTCCAGCCCTACCTACTACTCCAATATCATCGTTTGGACTGTCTCGGAGAATTCAACCGTATGGATTTGCTCAGCTCTCCCCATTCACATCCAACCGGTGGATAGTGATATACCTCCAGGCCGTCGACCCAGCTCCACCCACGATACCTATCCTCTCTGGCCATGACGAAGCCCCTCCTTCCCAGCACTCGATTACATGGCCATCACTTCATCAAGCCTCTCTAATTCGTCTATGTAGCAGTAAGAGACCTTTCCTCTCCCTCCAGCCGGCCAGCCATCATTAATGCCGTATACAGACATCCCACCCGACGACCGCAGTATATCAACACTGCAGCCCTCGAATCTCGGAAAGTCCAAAGTTGAAACGATATCCACATCTTCACCGAGTTGAACACTACAGATTCCCCAAAAACCGAAATCATCACTGCGTTCCTTTCATTTACGTTTGACATCGGAAAACTGACCGAATTTCGTATCGATCCCTACCCGCACATACCACCACCGGCACATAGGCACATACATAGGCGCATGTACATCGTGCAGGGACGGGTACGGGAACGGATGCATCGGGTGAGATTTGAATTTTTTTTCCTTTCTTTCCTCTCGAATCCGGGCTAGTTGGCACTGGGCAGAGAGAGATACATATCCCGGACCTCGTCTGCGCCCCTTCTTTCCGGGATTATCTAGAGGGACGTCGACATGGCAGAATTGGAATCGAATGTTCCACTCGGTGAGCGAGGATCGATCGGGATCTCCGGCTTTAGGTCGCCACCCATACATGCTATGCTGGCTGGCTGGCCCCAGGGACGTGGCGGGATGTTGCTTTGGGGTCTTGGATACGGACGAACTGGAGTGGATTATGGAGTGGACGAATTGTTATGTACTGCTGACGACGACGACGACGAGTTTGCTGTGGCAGAGCAACGGCCCCTTCGCTCCTTCCTTCGCTGCTAACTACCGGTTGCGATTGGGATTGTCGCAGACCGGAGATCATCCGCTCTCGCTCCGGCCTCTCATTAATCAATCAAAGCCCACCGTCCCGACTCCCGAGTCCTTCTCCCATCACTTCACTTCACTTCACCGGCCGAAGTCCTCTCCCGTGCCATATATCCGCGCGTGTGGCACTGTAGCCCTCCTCGCCCGCTGCCCACCCCCAGTACCACAATCTTCCAATCAACGTTCCAATCAATCCCATCTACCGCTCCCTTTCCTGTCCTACATCTGCGTCATAGGTACCTTGGCCCATCGCGCGGGCGCGGCGGACTAACCCCGTACCAGTGTACCACAGTACCACTAGGTAGATACACTAGGTAACCAGCACTAAATTTAGGGACGGAGCATACGTTTTCCGCGCGATGGTCTGGTACATAGGTCCATACACAACTACCATACACACCATAGATGCACACCATACAAAGTAGTTGCTGATCCTTCATCGCGCCGCGCTGCGCTGGCTGCGCTGTCATTTCGGATGTTGCTTCCATTCCCTACCGTACCAATCGTCCGCCCTTCCATCCTAACTATCCTATATGGAAAATGCAGCTCCCAATTTCGTTAAGAAGGAAGGAAGGAAAAATCCTCCCCCCCTCCCGCGCCGCGGGAAGGGAAGGGAAAGGCGAGATACGTAGAGTAGATAGGTGGGAACTTGGGAAGTAACCATCCCTAAAAAACCACACACGAGGGAAGCCACTCCACTCTATCTAGATTCTACCTGGATACATTGTATTTGGACAGGGGAATCAGGGGTATGACGCATGCCAAACTTTTCGTGTCACTACAGAGGTACTACTCTGGTAGGTGCTCTGCCACCACTCCCAGCGGACATAACGGACGGCCTGGAAATAGGCGTGGGCAATGGGCATCACTCAAGAGTCGTGGCGGTGCCTCCCAACTACCCCTATGTAATTGACTTGGTCTTTTCGCCACATTCTATTTCCCGCGTCGCCGGACGTGGGTGTAGAGTACTCTATGTATCACATATATCTACCGTACAATATCCAGATACACAGGTAGACGACGTGGGGAGAACGCGACGGCCATTGGATATACGCGGAAATTTAACGGCCATGGATGGGTTGCTAGGTAGAGTAGAGTACCCAGGTGGGTGTTGTGTTACATACATACACTCTAGCGTAGGGAGTGACGGCGGGATTCCGACGAGCCGGAGCCGGCGCTGGAGGGGACATGGGGGGTCGGGGGTGATCGGTCGGTGGGACACTGGGTGGGACATTGGGTATCACTCGACTGGAAGGGCGAAGCGAGGAATTGATAGCTGTGAAAAATGGGGGGGGGATGATTGTGCACAAACGTAGAATACCAACATATGGCCGCTGGCGGGAACACCTCTCAAGAGCCAAGAATTGCACGAGATGGAAGACGTCGACGGAGCAGGCTGTGGGCTATCTTGTGGATCCAGGAGAAGGAATGGGGGAAGGAATGGAAGGTATGGAAGGTATGGAATCTGGATGGATGGATGGATGGACAAATGCGGATATCCGAGCCGTGCACGGAGGGGAAAGGAAAAGTGCAGACAGACAAGCCATCGGATCGGATCTCCCCAAGCCCCAGGGAGAGGGACGGACGCCGAAAGGAAGGGTTCCGCTGGAGAGCGGGGAGCAGAAGGAATACAATTTACATAGGAGCGGAAGCCTAGGGGAGGATGAAGCTTTTCGCTTCCCATCTCGCTTCGGTTTGTTTACTCGTAGTGTGTATGCTTCCTCTCTGGCAGGGGGGAACGGTGGAGGTGCTTCGACGAGCCGTTGCGGAGGAGATACATCGGATCAGGATGTTATCGGCTGCCCCGAACACCAAAAGTGCTGAAACGGAAGACGTGGGGGCGCGTCAAATCACTCATTATCACAATCCACGGGTTGGCTTTGGCTACGGCTACGGCTGGGAAAGAAAACCAGCGTTGACCGTCGGCTCGCCGAGCGGCTTCGGCCTGCAACAAAGCTCTTGCGACTCGTGGGTGATTGTGGGAATCTTGAGCTTTTATCGCGCCTCGTGATCTCATTACCGGAATACCAAAAGCTCTCGTGAATGCCCATTCACCCACTATGATATCCCATTCACCAACGATGCTCTACCGTAGTTAGCAGCCGCCCCGAGCTCGTAGTTACTTCGGTACCCTACCACGAATCTGCGCCCCGTGCCGGTGTAATCCAGCCATCCCGGTAGGCCATAGCCGTCTGCCGGCGCCCTCCCTCAAGGAGGACATGTTTACGGAGCACACCACCGAAGTGAACTAATCGATGCGGACTCGAGGACCATCTTTTGGTCCAGCTCATGGGGGGAAACAGGGTCCGGAGTGTAAATTATCTACCTATCTAGGTAGGTGGTGTCGTGTACCTGCGTGATATTCCATGACTGTGGGCCTGTGGCTACGCCGTCAACGATGGGTTCAACCTCCGGTCCATATGTGCGCTGTGGAAGCGCAGCAAAGAAGACAAAGACGGGCAGCGGTACGAGATAATGCTGGTGCATCCTGGGAATCTGAGAGGGTGGTGGCGAGGTTGACGTTGACTATTACACCTGGTATGTAGAACGGACTTCCGGTTTCGAAAGACCCCACGGACATGGGCTGGGGTTTGGATTATTCGGAGTACGGATTCGGATGCACGGTTGGGACCATGTGTTGTGATTGACGCTGTGCCGGTGAAGACCCGATTAAGGCTATTGTCTTCACATCTATGTTTCTTACATCGTTGGCGACTTGAGGGGGAGCGGTCCGGCGTGCGGGCTCGGGGTGCTCTAGGCAAACATATGGCCGCCCAAGATCACGAGAAATGATCCCTTAGGTCTTACCAGAGCTTGTACGGGTTGCGTCTGCTGATAACTATCACCGATTGAGTGATTAGATGTTTACGGGCCCAAAATAGACATGCCATGATCGCCACCGACGAGACGAAGACTAAGAAATCTCCCATTTCAACATCCATCACACACAGGCAGCCGTAGCTGTCCCATCCTCATCCTCATCCTCGTCCCGAGTACATATTATACATCCTCTCATCCCCCCGCCCCCCGCCCACAAAAAAAACCCCTCCCCCCGTACACATCCTACAACCGAGAAGCTCTCTCATTCCTCATCTCATAGTCTTATTTGATCGATTCAACCTCTCCCCTCCCCTTCCCCCCATTTCCTCTATAAGATATAGCCGCAGCCTATTTCCTGCCCTTCTTTTCCTTCGCGGCGTTATCGGCAACCACCTCCTCCAGGGCCCTAAGATGCAGCTCCATGCGTCCGATCGAGGATCTCAGCGCCTGTGATCATCGCGTCAGCGTGCCGCTTCCCGATTGCAACTCTATCCCCCACCCGAAACACAGAGAGAGAGAGAGAGAGAGAGAGAGAGAGAGAGAGAGAGAGAGAGAGACTCACATCGATATCCTCCGTCAACAGATCGTTCGCCAGTTTGTACTCCTCGTAGACATAGAAGTAGCTTCCCACGCCGGCGACGGTGGAGCCAAGAAGGAACCCAAAGATCCTATTCTTCGCTTAGCCTTTCTCTGCAAGGAGCCTCTTCGGGGAGGGGGGAGGGGGGAGGGAGAACATACCCGCCGCGGAATGCGCCCACCGGCCGTTTGGCGGGAGCGACGGGGATGGCGGCGTTCTTGAGCGTGGGGCTGGTGGAGAAGGCCCGGCGGGCGGCGAAGCGGAGGGGGAGCATGGCTATGTATTCGTGGGCGGTAGTGGGAGGTCGTAGGTGGTAGTGGTGGTGGTGGTGGTGGCGGTGGTGGTGGGGTTGCGGCTTGGTGGGGTGAAGTGACGACGATGCGGTTGGTTGGGTTGCGAATTATCGCGTGGTGGAAACGAAACCGCTAGTTAGTGCCCAGGGAAGCGGGTTAACCGAACTCGTCACCAGAGTTTGTGTCATGAAGGAGCACTCGGATATCACTTTTTGGAGCGAGTATGGTGTGGGAATGTGAACCACGAGATGGTGGGGAGCAATGGGGGGTTGGGTACTCTCTATCTACGAGTGTCGGTATTCTTCTGTCGGCGCCCTAGGGGGTGTCAATCGTGAGGAGGTACTGTGATGTATGGTAGCCACGTGGAGTAGATTCCTTCATGTGCACCTCACTCGACATTTCATACACCACACCATCGCTTGTTGCGAATTGCAGTGGCGTGATACGGCGTATTAATCAGCTTCATGCTGTCTACCTGCAAATACCCAGGTTGCCCATTCCCACACAGAGAAGCAAATAGCTGCTAAAACTTCTCTGCTTTTACTTCACTTCGAGCTCACTCGCACCCATCAGGTTCTATCCGTGAGCCCTACAGGCTAGGGAATGGATCGGATTAGGCCACATTAGACTGAGCTTAACATGTCAAACATCCTCCTCTATGGTATTGGCAGCGATCCTAAGTCTATCATGAGGCTGTCGGGTGTGCTAGACGTTCTCATCGCGACTGGCGGTACCGGAAATCCCGTCCGAGTTATTTCCCTGAAGCGAGTGGGGAAGAATAAGAGGACTGATGCGGCGAAGGTGAATTCCTCTCGTTAAAATGAATGGCCGTGTCAACACTTCATATCGACCAATAGAACAGCGGCCGAGCCACGGATTGCAGTAGGGGGAGTCAAAAAAATTTCGGCGCCGCGAGTAGTTGGCCCTGCAGGAAACAGAAATACCGCGCGCCGGTGAAATAAACAAATGATATGCCTAGATTTGAAGCACTGGAAGTTGTTCATCCCACAATGCTTTCTCCACTGGTAAGAAGAAGACCTTTTTATTCAAGTTGTATCTACCCCCAAACGGCAGCGCTTAACTAAGTACGTAGGTCCACACCGACTGCACCCAGGCCACGATGGAACCTTATTGCAGGCGGCTCATTCAAAAAGGCCCTTGTTAATCCTATGGATAAATCGACAGTATTAGCTCTTCCTCCAATACGAGCCAAAATCATGTCACTCACAAGTCAGTGCTCTTCCACCACAAAATACGAAGCATCGACTGCAAACAGCTCTGTGTCCCCCCAGGTGTGTATTCTCCATTTCATGCAATCTTTGAAGACACGTGTGTCTAATCGAGCTCGAAGGTTGTAGTCGCGAGTGGTATGAATCTTTGTGAAGGCAGTGAAAATATTCGGGACACGGTCGAATGGTTTTGGAAAAGTACATGTCCCACTCCAACCTCTGTTTGGGTCGCCGCTAAAGTCCCCAACTAAGACACCCGCTTTATCGGATGGGAATGCGACCCAAGTCGCCTGGGCCCCCGAGTTATGAATCCCGGATCCGATGTGTATATCGAATCCGTCACAGCCAACCTCCAATGTGTAGAGATGAATTAGTCGATCATTGCCAACTTCGAATCCACTCAGCCCCACAAATACAGTAGGCGGCTTGGGGAAAGAGCGATCGAACCTATCTCACACGAACAACTGCTACTCAATTTTCTCGAAGAGCAAAAGAGCAAAATGCGGAGGTGCCCCGGGGCCACCCCCACAACCTGATGAGGGATAAATCAGTGCCCCGCCCCGGGGCATTTACAATTATGTATATATCATAGACTGTTCTCATAGGCTCTGGTGCGTAAGCCAATGGAAGCGCTTGATATCTACTGACATTCCTCGGCGCCCTCCCCGCACCAACCATGCACCAGCCATGCACTCCGGAGGCTGGCAGTGTCTCTCGTGGGCCGCCTCAGTGGTCGCTGTGGTTTGTGCCGTATCATTGGCCACTGACTCTGTAGGTGAAGCTCGTGTCTTTTTTTTCTTCGAGTTTTTTCCCCCGTTGTTTACCAACTGGCTCACTTTAGGGCCTGGTATGATGCCAAGCAGCTGCACGTGACCGCCATTGTCTACTCTACTCCCTTGAGACAAATCCGAGCCCATACTCCCTTCAGTCGGATACAAACTGGCCGAGTTGGAAATAGGTATTCGTGTCGTTGCATCACTGCCGATCACTCGTACAAGAAAACTTACTGGAGGGAGCTAAAGCCATTCACTATCTATTATAATCATATGCCTAGACCACGGGTTCAATGATTAGACCGTTAGAAAGACACGGTTCAACGGGTGGTTGAGGCAGCTAAGAGTGATAGAAATGTATGCAGCGTAGCAAAGCGAGTGATAAGCGATGAGACATCTAGGTACTGTTGGATGACTCAAATAACGAAAGCGGAAAACCGGCTCGACAACAATAGCCTGTCGGACACGCCACCAACGCTATGGCAAAGTATAGGGAGTAATAGAGAATATGTATCGAATATAATATTCAGGGTACTAGTATGTGGATATGAAGTATTCAATTGTATGTATGTTCATCCCGGGGAAAGGGTGGAACCCAAGGCCACTGCGGGCACCGTCGGCGCGTCAGTGAATGGCAGCAGTGTAGGTCATAATTAACTACTCGCACCAACTAGTAATTGATATGTAGTCATCGTCGCCACCTGTCGCTCAACTGCATCAATTACGACATCGTCAAACTTCAGCGCTCATGTAGAGTACTAGTATTCCCATGTTGTGGGTAGACAGTACAGACGGCCTGCCCAAAGGTCCCTGATATGTATCTAGACGGTATGTCTGAATAAAACCCGTAGATCTAGAAGTGGTTCGGTTTGCCCTCAACTGCTGCATCGTGCTAGGTATTCCATAGCAAGATAGTCAATTTCCCAATGGGCTGAAACAAGGTATGGAAGCACATACTTATTTACGCCTTACAGCTATTGGTGCCATGATGTTCGGGGTGGTATGTAAGACCGGAGTACCCAGTTTAGCAGCGGAATTAATGTTGTATCATACTATTCTGCCTGCGATTGCCAGTGTTGTTGAGACTTTCGACAGCCCCGCTTTCCGCGACTCGAATGACCACACAAGTTACATAGGTAGCTCGACTCTCGAGTTTGTGACTTCAAGAAATAAAACTACAATTTCGTTGACGATATCCGAACCAGAACCCAATCGCCCCGCATCACCCTGCAGCATAAGTTTCGACTCGGTGTTAGTAGTGATGGAGCACGACACGGGAGGCGGGCTGATACCTATGAAAACCTGATCTCACGAGGATAGTAATCCTCGAGCTAGCGCGGATAGCTGTCCGTCTGAGCCGCCATAGTTACGGCCGGGCGCGGGTCGCATCATCGGATATGAAGATAACATCAGCCACCGAACGGGTGGTTGGAGTTTCCTTCGAAGCTGGGCGGGTGGATCGCCAGATCGCCTTGGAGTGCTGGTATTATTAGGGTATCGCAGTGCTGAGCTGAGAATGAGGCGGCCGGGCATGGTGGGATACTCGCATTCCGCCCACCTACCTGGAGACTAGGTGGTATGGCGGCATTGTCGGCACTGTTTATACCCTCTAGGGCGGCCATTCGAGCTGCGAGTGCAAGGCTGTGGCCTGTGGGCGACGTTGTGAATGGGGAACCCAGAGCTTGCGTGTGGCTTGGCCTTTGTGATGGGGCGTTCTCCAGACTACTCCGGTGCAGAGTAGGGACCTGTCAACCCCTGCAAGGAGCGTGTTTTGGCCCCAGTGCGTGTGCTAACTAGTGGAGTAGCGAGGGGCGCTATCAACGAGACAGCCAGAACCCTGACGGCGCTGGCCTCCTGATGTCGGTGGCCAGTCAGTCGCTTTTCTGGTAGTACGTATGATACCAGCACCTTCATAGATAACACATGGATATCCGCGGTGACGAGGTCTCGGACGTTCTCCACGCATAGAAGGACCAACTCGAACGCTGCTTTCTAAAGGCCGCTTCACACACATATTTACACGGAAACGCCATAACTCGTAAGGTCCATCGCCGCAACGACAATCACAGCCACTCTCGGATTTTCTCCTTGCGTGTTCAGATATTTACTTCAGGCACGTTGCTGCACTTTCTCAGCTTACAGCGGCAACACTTTCGAACCTCCTGCAGCGCAGTCTCGCCGTCTTTCTATACGCCTGCTCACATTCCTGCACCTGCCTGCCTGCACAGCTGCAGCTCCCGTTCCACCAGAGCTGTTGGCGTCTCGTCCGAACCCACCTTTTCCACCCGCAACACAACATAACCCCGCAACACCCGCCGGACTAAAGAAAGAAACAAGAAGCAGAAGAAGGGCACACTTCGTTCTTCTCTCTTCCTCCCCCCTTCCATACGATACGAGAAGAAACCAAACCAAACAGCACCCTATCTCACGAAACCATGGCTGCCTTCCAAGCATCGGCTCGAGCTCGCCAGCACCAGCAGCTCCTGAGCATTTCCCGCAACCCGTCGTACCTCGACGACGACGCGGTCACGCGAACAACACAAACACAAACGCCACTGTTCACGCCCGACACCGAGGAATGGGTCGTATTCTCTCCCTCGGTCGCTGGCGAGACGAACACCATCCTATCGGGCACCGGCACCAAGAGCGACGTCGACAGTAGCATCATCACCACTTCGTCGCCACAGCACACACGTCACGTGCCCGTGTTTGAGGATGAGGAAGAGGAGGAGGAGGAGGAGTCGCTCGATGGCGCGGAAACAGATTCCCTGCAGGCGTTCCGTGATCAGGAGGATCAGGTGTTGTTCCCCACACTGCCGACGCACGACGGGCTTGGAACATTCGCATCTTCGTCAGGGATGACGGGGTTCAGGTCGCTCGAGGAGTCGCTGCGGCTTGCGGCCGCGAATGAGCAGGGCAGGGAGGGGGATGATACGCATTCGAGGATCATGAAGTGGCGGATGGAGCAGGGTCATGCGTTGATGGACGAGATCGAGAAGGCGACGAGGAGGCGCAGACGGTTGTCAATTATCAGTCGGAGGAACACACATTCCGGGAGGGCGAGCAGGGTGGGCGAGGGGGAGAAATATGAGGAGGCGGTGATCCAGGAGACCGACGACGAGACGCAGAGCGAGGACGAGGAGGAGGATGCTACGAACGAGACGTTCTGGAAGCGGATCACTAGGAGCTTCATTCGCGATATCATCGGCATCGACGACAATCTTCTCGAAGTACTCTTCGGCGAGGCGCTGCCCGCAGAAGTGCAGCTCGACTCCTCATCCGAGGAAGTACAATTCAAGAAAGATACCGAAGAACGGATTCTAAATCGGATCGCAAAGGAGTTGGGAGAGCTCGTACACCTCTACACCCACCATCCCTCCGGGACCGGCGCTTTCTCGAAGGCACCAGAAGGAGGCGACTCGGAGGAGGAAGACGGTGCGAAGACCCCGCAACCTCGTACGACCCAGGAAGCCACAATTTCGCCCAAGGTCGTACGTCCACGTGGTTCCTCGCTGATCAGCGCCGCAACTGGTACATCCTCGGTACCCCAGTTTCAGTTCGCCCCGACCCTCGCATTGCGACGGGAAGAGGCACACCATGCCTCCCTTTGGGGCATCGAAGAGAACGACGACCTGATGAACACACAGCTTCGTCGCGAGTATTGGGAACAGGAACTCGACATGCGGCTTGTCTTTTCGTATCTCAAATCCCGTTTTTATGGACTACCTCCTCGACCCCCTACGACATCATCGGCCTCAGCCGCCACCACTACCACTACCTCCTCGGCACCGTTGCATCATCACCACCCGCTGATCAACGGCAAACACTCGTACTACAATCGGAAATCGACGACGACAATAGCACCATCCACCACCGCCGCCAATGCAGCCGCAGCACCCGTGCCGGCCCCTGGTGGGTTCTTTGGAAACTTTATCATGGGGAACCTGAAGATGGGTGGGAATTGGGCCGAGCGAGTGACGAAGGATAGACGGGGGAGCAAGGCTAGTTCGCGAAGCAGAGGAGGGTACTATTGGGGCGTTGCGACGAGTGTCGGCAGCGGACAGAGCAGCTGTGTAGGCACGGGCATATGGGCTGCCATCTAATATTTTGCGTGCGATTTGACATGTCATGTGTGTGTTGCATGCTGAAAGTACATATTCTGGTTATTTTGTTCTTTTTTCTTGAGTATTTTCTCCCTTCCTTCCCCTCAAGTCGCATTTCTATTTTTGTGTTTTTTCTTTTCTTATGTCTAAATGAGGGGGTTGCATATTGTGAATAATAAAGCGTTGCATACGAGTGCGCTTTTGAAAGTTGGATCCTGCATGGTGGGGTAAAGAAGGAGGGGCGGAGAAGGAGGGGCGAAGGAGGAGATGGGGGGAAGCGTGGGCATCCATTGCGTATCATATCATAAAGCGGTTGCATTATCTAGAAAAGGAATTATCGAAGTTCATTCTTTACACACACACACGACACCGCGCCATCATCATCATCACGAACTACTAGTGGAGATGATGTCATCTACTTAAAGTACTCTAAGTTGCCGGTGGGCTGATGGGTTGGGATCTCCGTTATCGTCCGTAGGGCGGGCGGGGAAGGAACGGGTTCGGGAATCGGGAGGAGTGAGATCTCGTGTTTTCGTCTCCGTCTCACGCGAGCGAGCGAGTTTCATGATGACGAGGTGACGAACGAGGTGGTCCACAAGTGGATCGAGGGAATTAGAGAATCCCCGATATCTACCCGAACAAAGAGACCGACCGACAGCAAGCAAGCAGGCAAGAGAAAAGGAGACGGAAGAAAAGAAGAAAAAAAGCACAACCATGCCAACTCCGTAATGCGTACGCCCCATCCATCCGCACCGCTTCGACATGCCGTGCCGTGCTCAATTCCTGTACTCCTTCTGCAGCAGCTTCGCGATCGTCTGCAATTGGATGTTACTGGTGCCCTCGTAGATGGCGCCGATCTTCGAGTCGCGCCAGAACTTCTCGCTCAATCCCTCCCTGACGAATCCCATGCCTCCCTGCCACTCGATGGCGAGCGACGAGACCCTTTCGGCGACCTGCGAGGCGTAGAGCTTGGCCATAGCCGCCTCGCGGACGAACCCTTCGCCCGCGCGAATCCCACCGGTCTCCTTCGTGCGGACAGCGTTGTAGAGGAGCGCACGCGCAGCCTCGATCTCGGTGCGTGCCTGTGCGATCTGGAACTGCATTCCCTGGAAGTCACCGACGAACTGCCCGAACTGCTTGCGGTCGTTCCAGACGTATTTCACTGCCGTTTCCCAAGCGCCGAGGGCTAGTCCCGTCATCTGCGCCGCAATGCCGATTCGTCCCTCGTTGAGGATCGAGATGGCGTATTTGTACCCCTCGCCCTCCTTGCCCAGCAGGTTCTCGACGGGGACCTCTACCTCGTCGAAGGTCAGTACGCATGTCGACGACGCCTTGATCCCGAGCTTCTTCTCCTTCTTGGCAATGTTGAACCCGGGCATGCCTTTCTCCAGCACGAAGGCTGAAATGCCCTTGTATCCACGTTCCGGCGCCACGTTGGCAAACACGATAAACACCTCCGCCTCCGCCGCATTAGTAATCCACATCTTCTGCCCGGTGATGGTGTACGAGCCGCCAGACTGACTCTTCATGGCCCTGGTCTTCAGCGCAAACGCATCACTGCCGCTCGCCGGCTCGCTCAAGCAGAAGCTGCCGACACTCCCGCTCGCCAGCTTCGGCAGGAACTTGCTCTTCAGATGCTCGCTCGCATAAGTCTTAAAGATAGTGTTGACGAGGGTATTGTGTACATCGACCATGACGCTGACACTGGGGTCGACGCGCGCCAGCTCCTCGATCGCAACAATGCACGCCCCGAAGTTCATCTCGGACCCGCCGTACTTCTCGGGAATCTCGATGCCCATCAGCCCCTGCTCGAACAGCTGCGACACTATTGTCGCGTCCATCTTCTCCGCCTCGTCCATCTCCCGGACTTTGGGAAGGATTGTCTCCGAAGCGAACCGCGATACTGAGTCCCGTAGCATCTCTTCCGTCTCTGTGAGCGCGAAGATGGGCGTCGGTGTGAACTCCGTGTAGCTTCGGCGGAGGGCGGGGACGGTTCGGACGGCAGCGGTGGGGCGAAGGAGCGTCGAAGCCCCGCGGCGGGTCAGGTGGCGGATGGCGCTCATGATTTCGGTGGAGGTCGAGGAAGGTAGGTGTGGTATGTGAGGTCGAGATAGGTATATTCGGCTGAGGTGGGGCGTGTAGAATGAGGAGGCTCTATATGTAGGAAAGAATGGTAAACTGATCCGGGGAAGAGGATGGACTGGATGATCCTCTCCTCCGGTTCTGGGAGCGGGGTGTATTCTGGCATGTGCGATGATGCCGATGGAAGCCGAGGATGGTGGCCATGTGAAAGCTTCGTAGGGCTAGCAAGGGAACGTGGAGGAGCTTCTCCACACTTTTGGGCCGAAGCTTGTGCAAGCCAGCCACGTACCGAGTCCGAGACGGGAATAAGCAAGGCGTCTTCGCTGCGGTGATGGACCAAGGTATCGAGGACTAGAAGTCAATTGGTTCCTGTGAAGATGAGATGTCGTTTTGTCAGACGGAACACGTAGCAGAGTGGCCGGTGACATGACATGGGCCTAAGGACCGTTCTTTTATCGCTAATCAAGTCCGTCACTCCCGGGCTGGTTCACCTAGATACATCATCCGCGCGCGTTGTATGTCTCTAGTTCTGCCACAGTGACAATCTCCCACGACATAACTAACAAATAATTTCCTGCTATGAATGATCTGAACGACTCATGTTCCGCCGAAATCGAGAAGGGCCAGGCCAAGGTCGACGCCGGCCTTCTCCCCCGAGACCACTGTGCGGCCCCCCTACGTCACGCCAGCCCAACCATACCGTACCGTACCCCCCGACTGACTGGCGGCGGAATTGTGATGTGCAGATAAACACCGTCTGCCGCGATGGAGATACATGGCGCGGCAACGGCTGCTGCCGCTCGTGAGATGGGAGACACCATATCTCGCGTGGATGCAGGTGCGCTCGCGTTCCCTCCTCCTCCTCCTCCTCCTCCTCGTTCTCTAGAAACTGATTGAATGTGTGTATGGAATAGGAGCACTGTCGCACGCCCTTCCTTGACTCCTACTTCGCGCTCACGGCGAATCTGGGAACGCACACGTTCTTTATGACCATGCTGCCGATGTTGTTTTGGTTTGGGTTCACAGATCTTGGGCGAGGGTGAGTGACCGCCAGAGAGAGGGAGGGAATGTCGGATCGACATGGGGAAGCAGGGCCTAACGGAGAACATGGTTGCGCGCGCACAGAGCTGTGCATGTACTGGCGTCGGGTGTCTTCTTCAGCGGGTTTGTGAAGGATCTGCTATGGTATGTGGAAGTTGCATGTTTGTCCGGGGAGGGAAGAGGCATGAGCTGATGGATGGTTGGATACAGCCTGCCACGACCGCTATCGCCGCCTCTACACCGGATCACGATGTCGGGGTCTGCGGCGCTGGAATATGGCTTTCCAAGTACCCACTCGACGAACGCCGTTTCGGTGGCGCTTTACGGCCTACTCGCGCTCAATGATTCACCTAGCGTTCCGTCACATGTCCGCGTCGGTCTGCAGTCGTTGGCCGCGGTATATACCTTCTCGATCATCTTCGGCCGGCTGTACTGCGGCATGCACGGCTTCTTGGATGTGATAGTCGGGATCACGCTCGGCGCATTCCTTGCGGTCGTGCAATGGGTGTTCCGGCATGACATAGATGCCTACGTGTTTGGCGATAGCTTCGTCCCCATCTTGACTATCGCGATTGGGATTCTGGTCCTGGTCAGGATTCATCCAGAGCCGGCGGATGCGTGTCCGTGTTTCGATGACGGCGTGGCGTTCGCGGCGGTCATCTTTGGGGTTGAGCTCGGTAATTGGCATTACTCGAAGACCGTGTGGAGCTGGAACGAGCCATCGCTCGGAACGGTCCCATATGAGTATCAGCAGCTTGGGCTGGTAAAGTCCTTTCTGCGAGTTATCGTAGGTGAGTAAATCACCATCCGCAATCCCCCACAAACGACAGAGGCTCAATTATCCCAGGTATCGTGATCATATTTCTCTGGCGCGGAACTGCAAAGCCCACATTCCACCACTTCCTTCCACCAATCTACCGTCTGGTCGAACGCATTGGCCTTCTGCTCCCACGCAAAGACTTCATCTCCGCCTCAGAGTACAAGAAGGTTCCCCAGCTGCCAGATGACACTCTCCCCTCCCTCGACGAGCTTCCCTCCCTTGTCCGCTCCATCCGGCGTCCACGCTCCGACTCGGTCGGCCCACAGTCCGCCGCCGATGCCTACGAAACCCTGGCATACCGCGAGATGCGGCGGCGGGAGAGTAACGCCGCATCCACTGCCCCCAAACCGAGGGAGGTGGATAAATACGAGAGGGAGATGGGGACAGGAGTGGTCGATGTGGATGCTCTCTACAGAGGGAATCATGATTGCGAGCATGATTATGCCTGTGGAAATAGTGAGGGCGAGGAGGAGAGGGAGGTGTTTAGACGCATTGAACCGTTCAAACCACGCGTTAGATATGATGTTGAGGTCGTTACGAAGCTGGTGGTTTATGCTGGTATATTCTTCCCCCTTCCCTTAAACATGAAGGTGGAATGAATATCCATGTGCTGATGGTTTATAGGAATCGCCTGGTGGGCCGTCGAGGGTGCTCCTATCATCTTTGAGCTCGTGGGCCTGGGAATGGGTGCTGTGGGGGCAGTGATATGATACCTATCCACTTGCTCAATTGGGTTGTGTAGGTGTGATGATACAATTTATATGGTTGTCCTGTTTATCTGGGAGAATGGCGAGATGGGGGAGTGGGGTGCTCATAGTAATGGAATGCGTGGTTCCCCGTCACTCGACTGTACTCTATGGCAAAAACTTGTATCTGTATGCGTGCGGGCCAGCCGTCATATAATATCACTCGGAAATATTACAGCGTGAGCAAGCATGAGCCATCGCGAGTCCAGGCCCATTCTGACAAAAGGAAGAAAAAAGGTAGACTCAGCACCGAGCAGGTAAACGGCGAGTGCGAGGTGGTGTCGCCACACACACACATAGAATTTGCCAAGCCGCCCCTCGGAGCCTCAGCTGTGACTGTTCCTCCACACAACCAGGGCACGAGCTTAGCGCCCGACAACAACGACTGGGCGCGGAACTCTAGCTCCATCGCCCGACCGATCACACAAACCCGCCTCGACGACGAAATCGAACTCACGCCACACGACATCCCACCACCCATCGACAAAGGTACGAAATGACCCCTCCCCATTCCGAGCGACCGCACGAAATATTTACATCTACGGCATCGGAGACAGAGAAGGAAATCGGGGAGCATAAAAGGCTGATTGAACAAACGACAGCAGTTTCGCCACAACTTCTACAACCGCAATCATGGGAAAAGTTCACGGATCCCTCGCTCGTGCCGGTAAGGTCAAGTCTCAGACCCCGAAGGTATGCTTTCCCTCCCAACTCGTGCTCTCACGGAAGCAAAGACAAGTACTGATCAAGCTGTTTCGGTGCTATAGGTCGAGCCCCAGGAGAAGCCCAAGACTCCTAAGGGACGCGCCAAGAAGAGAATCCTGTGAGCACCACTTCCCTCCTCTCTCCATCTCTCCACCACTCCGACATCCCCCGCTGACTAGTCTCCACGCGATAGCTACACCCGCCGTTTCGTAAACGTGACGATGACCGGAGGAAAGCGGAAGATGAACCCCAACCCTGGAACGTAAAGGGTTGACCTTACGAACGATGGAGGCTTCCTTTTCTTTGTCGATACACGCTTTTTTTTTTCTGTTGTGTTTGTGGTGACAGATCGAGGGCTGGATATCGCAAATGATAAAATGAAATCGCGCAATGGAATCGTCATCGGAACATACTTGTCGTTCGTTCGTTCTTTCGTTTGGGAAGTGAGGGGAAAGGAAGGGGGTGGTAAGTGTGGCGAAGTCACGGTCGGAAATTTCTACGCTTGTTTCGCTGTCACCACCTATGTCACGGTGCTACCCATCGAAACGTGTGTGAGCGGGTGTGTCATGCTGCGGGTGAGCTCCAGCCGTCGGTTCGCGATTCGCCAACCTCTGCCCAACGATGTATGCGTAAAATCAGAGACCATCTTGTTATGCATGATCCGCCAGTTCGTACGGTGTGGAATCTTCTACTTCTGCCGAGAGGAGGGACTTATGGGTCGAAGGTACCGTCACTTGGTTCAGGACCGCAGGGGTCCGGGCTAAAGTCCTGATCATGCACCGAAAGACCTCCATCTCCGTTTCGAGCCCGACGTTGTCGTGCATGCTCCTATGACAGCATTTCTCCACACCTCTGCCATGTCGTTTGATCGTTACCATGGTTATCTTGTGTTTACACCTACAAAAACAAAACAAGATATCCACTCCGCATAATCCAGCCAGCGGGAGCATGAGCACGTGCATGGGCATCACCATCAGCATGGGCATGACAGCATCTCGGGACGACTAGATCTTGCGATAGTGCCGACTGACTGAATGATTCACTGACAAGGCATATATAGGTAGATTTTCTTGAGCCGGACCGCCTTCGGTGCTTGGCGGTACCGGTGCCGCAGCTGGTGAAAGTTGGATGCTGGTTATGAGCGACAACTACCTACCGTGCTAATAGTTTGGAGCTCAACAGATGTGGTGGGTGCCGGTCGGCCATGATGGTCACGACTTGGGCGTAGGTACGCAAGGGTCAAGTGTCTTGCATGTCTTGCAGAAAGTCTCGATATCGATCCCGTGGACGTGGCCTGCATGCTGAGGGCAAGCTTGAGTAAGTACACTACAATTTACTTCCTGAGCTCAGGTACCGTCCATTAGGCTGCTGTCGGCGGCGGGATTATTGTCCGCGAAGACTGGCCGTTGAATTCGACAGCAGCGAATGCACTTCAAATTACATGTGCATCTACTAGGTACCACTGTATGCATGCGCCACACCTCGGTCATCTAGACTGCATGCGCCACCAGCATATCAGCCATCCATCCCACCACCCAAGCAACTGACTTCACATTTTGCTTGCTTATCCGCAACGACGGCCACTCACAACTGTCCGGTCCGCAACCAAAGTTCTAGTTAACCAACCAACCAACCGGACTGGCCCAATCCCGCGAGTGACAATCGCATCAACCGCAATCACAGTCTATCCGTCGCCACCACCCCTCAGGGCGCGCCCCGTCCTTAGGAGTCCAATTCTAGGTTGCCCTGTACTTCGCATCGCAACGCCATGGACTCCTCCGCCCCGCGACAAGACCGTGCGCCCTCACCTCCGGCCACCCGTCCTGAACCTCGCCCGGCCTCCGCAGAAGCCCCCGAACTCCCCGGAACTCTGGGGACTGTCATCGTGTGTTTCCACCCCACCTCCGGGCTGCTCAGAAGCCAACACACAATTCTAACCGTATCGTCCACCGCCGCAGGGACGCGATCTCACAGCGTTCGGTCGCACCGTCACAGCAACCGCGGGACAGCTCATCGGCCCGTTCGCGGACGCCGGACATCCGAACCATTACACCAACACCATGGGCGACATCTCGAAGCAGCTAGCGAAGCGCCCCTCGATCCAGAAGCGAATGCTGTCGTTTAACCACCGCTCGCCTACCGAGCTCGTCAGATCGAAGCTGTCGACCGCAGAGATTCAGCATCGCGCGCTGACCCATGTGCCCGATGAGATGCTCTCCGATATCCCCGCCGCGGAGCACGCCTACTCGCTATTCCAGGGCTTCCAGGCGACAATTCCAGACGAGACTTTTGCGGCTACCGAGCGCGGGAGAACCAGGCACCGGAGACGCTCCTCCGGGAAGCATAAGGCGCTGGAAGGGCTGAATGGCTTGACGCCGGAAGGCCCGCCAACCCTGGTCCATATGGCCCGCGAGAAGGCGGCGCTCACAAGACAGCTGGAAATGTTGGCCATCAGGAAGAATATGGCTTCTGCGGAAATCAGGGAGATCGATATGAAGATTACCAACCTTAACCAGATGCGGAACATTGTCTTCGACAGATTAGCACAGCTGGAGCAGGAGGAAAGCGAGGTAGAGCACGAGAGTATGATGACCCCTCCATGGCGAGTCGAGTAGCGAGCTTGTGCTACTGCATCGGTGGTACTGACCTTGAGACCTAGTTGTCTCTGTGGAGAACAAGATCGAAGAAATGGAGGATGAGCTCGAGATGACCGGCGAAGGGGCAGCCCATCGCGCTGATCCATCCTCGTCCGAGGACACTGCTGGTGAAGCCGGTGACTCGTTTATGTCTGAATCTATCTACAACAAAATACCTGGCAAACAACCTCGGAAACGGAAAGCCAACCGGAGAATATCGAAACCTGTGCTTCATGGACACCTCGAACCTGGCGCCGCAATCAAAGATATGCAAACTCACAACGACACCATAACATGCTTAGATTTTGATGTACCGTTTGGAACCATGGTTACCGCAGCACTGGACGACACCGTCAGGGTTTGGGACTTAGGTTCAGGTAGATGTCTGGGCATGCTGGAAGGTCACCATGCTTCTGTTCGCTGTCTCCAAGTCGAGGACAACATCGTGGCTACTGGTTCCGCGGATGCATCGATTCGGTTGTGGGATCTCTCTAGAGCAGAGAGCTACCGCTACACGCCTGACGAAGAAGAGGATGGTACCCCTTCGCGCACGACACCATCCATGGAGGAGTGCCACATTTTGACCTTGGGCTCGCACATTGACGAGGTGACTGCTCTCTACTTCCAAGGCGACATGTTGGTTTCCGGCAGTGAGGACAAGACATTACGGCAATGGGATCTGGAGAAGGGGAGATGCGTGCAGACCCTCGACGTCCTCTGGGCCGCCGCGCAAAGCAGCATGGACGAGGGAAAGTGGAGGACGCCCAACGGCCGGGTGGCGGGCGGTGATTCCGGCGACTTTGTGGGCGCGTTGCAGTGTTTCGATGCCGCGTTGGCGTGTGGAACTGCCGATGGAATGGTCAGACTGTGGGACTGTGAGTGCGAATCGTGCATCCGAATTGAATTGGCGCGATGACTGGTTGCTAATACACGCCATGTCTGTTTGCGAAGTGAGGAGTGGACAGGTTCATCGTTCTCTGGTCGGTCACACTGGGCCTGTCACAGCACTGCAGTTCGACGATATGCACCTTGTAACTGGCTCCTTAGACCGAAGCATTCGAGTAAGGCTATCCCATCCACCCACCCATCCATCCAAAGCAGTTATACTGAGAATTACAGATCTGGGATCTCCGAACTGGCACGATCTTTGATGCCTTTGGGTATAACAACCCAGTTACGAGCATGCAATTCGACGCACGCCGGATCGTTTCCGCGGTCGGCGAGAACGTCGTCAAGATCTACGACAAGACCGACGGCCGGCATTGGGACTGTGGTGCTGGCCTCAAGGACGACGACGCAAGTAAAGCCGCTTCCGTCGTCGACAGAGTCAGGGTCAAGGATGGATACCTGGTTGAGGGAAGACGTGATGGTATGGTCGGAGTCTGGTCGGTTTAAACGCGAGTGCGAGTGCGAGTGAGTGAGTGATGATGGAGCGGCCGGGGATCCGGAAGAAAAAGTTGAAATGGTTCATGGCGTAATGATGGGGATCTCATCTTCCTTATACTTCTTGTTGGGGGCGTTGGGACTTCTTCTTCTTCTTCTTCTTGTTTTTTCTTTTCTATATCTATCTCGCACTCTAACGTTGTATATTTGTGTGCGTCTCGTAGGATGGGATAGGATGGGATGGATTTCTCTCCTCTCTTCCTTGTCTGTCTCGAGCCACGGAGGAAGTGTTACGATTACTCTAGACGGGGTGAGGTGGTGGTGGTGGTGGTGGTGGTGGTGGGAGGATGATGGTCGTGGGTTGGATTGGACGGATTGGATTTGTAAAAGTAATCGGTTCGGTTCAGTACATACAAACAACGGACATGTAGTTCTATAAGGTTCTACTACTTTTACCCAGTCCCCAAAGTCCGAAAGACGCCATCCAGATCTCTCAAGTTCTTCCTATTTTACAAAGATCCATTTGCCCCCACGACTGACTACTATAACGTGCCACTGTAATATACCTTTCTGACATCAACAAACTTCTTTCCCCGACCCCGGGCAATGGTCTCGGGCAGCCGCTGGCTCTTGAGCGCCTTGAGGAACGTCTTGACGACGTTCATGGGGTTCCTACTGCGAGTGACACGCGCCGAGAGGTCTTGGATTCCAAGGCATCGGCACATCTCGAAGATATGGGCGGAGCATCTCACACCGAATCCTTCCGCGGATGTTAGTCAATTTGGTGGTGTAAGTCGTGGTGTGCGGGACGGGACGGGAACAAACCAGGAGGTCTTGTAAAAACCTTCATTTCCACGGCGCCCTGCTTGACCTCCACGTCGCCGTAAATAGTCCTGTTTTCATAGCGCGGGATGGGCTCCATATTCCGCATTGCCATGTACGTTGCCTGGCGGATCGCATCCTCGCTCTCCACCGCCTTGCCCTCGCCTACACCTAGCAGCCCGTTCCCGTTGCCTGCGACCGCCAACGCATACACCTTCCGGATCTTCCCCATGCGCGTCTGGTTCGTCACCGAGTGCGTCAGCATCAGCCGCGTGCGGAGGGTCTTGAGCTCCGTGAGCGGCATGCCGGTCGCCTGCGACAGCTTGCGGAAGAGGTTGCCTTCCGAGTCGGCGTCGTCGTATTTGATGTCGGGGTCCTGGGAGCGGGGGAGGGAGCTCTTCGGCAGCGTCTTGGTCACGCCGCCGTGCGTCGTGGTCTCGCCGAGCGACCGCATCTTCTTCGTCGTCTTCTCCGGTAGGAAGTCGAGCACCGGGTCGATCACTGAGAGGTCGTCGAGGTACGGCAGCGAGAAGGGGTCGCCCTCGCGCCGTGGGGCCCGACGTGAGAAGTCCGCGCGGTCGATCGCTTGCTCGCCTGCTAGCAGCGCTGATAGCTGCTCGTGGCTGAAGTGGCTACTGAGCTCTTCGAGCTGGGCGTCGGTGTACATCGCGGAGCCGCGGGAGACGGCGGTGCTGCTGCTGCTGGTGTTGGATTTGTTGGAGGGGCGGGGGTTGGTCGGCACCCGTGGGTACTGGGCGGCCGCGGCGGAGGTGAATGTGCGGGCACGGAATGGTGTAGCGGCCGATGCCAGAAGGCGGCCGAGTGGGCGGCCGACGCTCATGTTTGCTGTAGCTGATGCGGGAGTCTGAGGTCGGATTGAGAATTTTGGGAATGCCGCCCGCCGGGTAGGTGGGATGGTGGGATGCGGCTCGGTGGGTTAGGGTTGTTTGACACGGCTCGAGCCTCGTGATTCCCTTATCACAAGTATGTAGCACGTCCGGAGAGCCAAAAGTACTCTCTTTGCTCTTTATGTAAAGAAGTCTATTAAATTTATGTAGCTTAAGAAAGTACGTGGACAGAGTCATCATTTGTGTCTGGACCCTAGTGGAAAGTTGTGATAAGTTAGGGCTATAACTTGGACTCTGTCATGGCACCGCCACACTTATCGATCTATCCTGCGCCACTTCACGTGATTCACCACCCACACCACTTCACGTGATCAACCACCCACACCACATCAACCATGGGATGCCATCGCGTCCTCCATCCCAGGCCGCCCCGCCCTCCATCCCCCGCCACCTCCCGCTCCACCACCACCTCCCGCTCCACCACCACCTCCCGCTCCACCACCTCCCGTTCCACCACCACCTCCCGCTCGACCAAATCCCGTTCGACCACCACCTCCGCCTCCACCTCCACCTCCACCACCAACCCCACTACCACCACCCAACTTGAGCAACTACTAGAAGCCCTCGCAATTATGGAGAAATTCGTAGAGTTCAGCATAGGATACTCGGACGGCAAGGCTTCCACGCATCCCATCAACACCACTGGAGATGCAAAGCAGCCCGACGCAATTGCTGGCTATTTCCGTGCCATCAACGCCGGCGAATCCAAGGACCTCCTCTGGCGCATTAAGTGTGCAACGGCGTTGGTGGAACAGTTCGCACTTGACGCGAACAAAGGAATGAAGTACATCCTCAAGAGCATGCCCGCTGGCTATAAGTTGTACGAACACAATAAGTTGACCAATGTATGTTGTGCTACTCTACTGCTCTTATGTTATCGTGAAGGAGGACGGCTGATAGAAATGATTCTGACTAATTTATGTGATGAATAGAACGAGATTCGAAAGGATACCTACCTGTTCGGTCACCCCAGCGGCTCCCGCTTCCGCTCGCCAGCTGAATTCCTCCCCCACATGCTTTACCTAGCTGCCAACGACTCGAAGAACAATGGAAACAGCGTTATAGACAAGAACAAAGACTGTATCTGCAAATACTGCGCTTCTCCGTCCCGCACCCCTGGCGGAGCGGTAGGTAACAATACCTTTGTTACGGAAGAAGCTCGTGCTGAAGCCCATGCTGAGGCCCGCATGCACGCAGAGGTCGTGGAGCGTCTGGGAGAGCAGGAAATGGTTGGATGGGTTGCCCGTAAAGCAGAGCTTGTTTGGGTCTGGACGGGAGAGGAGAAGGACTTGTCGGCGGTCATCGATATTGCCGACTCGGAGCTTTGGGCGGCTGGTGTCGTCCTGGAGAGGCCCTTCAACAACCCTCCATTCCGCTTCCCCCAGAGTGCCGGTGGGTTCGTCGGCATCAACGCGGGTGGTGCTGCCCCATGGGAAGGAAAGAAGGAAGAGGCCTACAAGATCCAGCTGTTGGGTGCTTTGAAGAACAAGCCCGGCGATAGGCTTGAGCGCGTTCAGCAGCACTTCATTAGGCCGTGGTTGGCTCGCCCCGACTTCATCAAGCCTCCCGAGGGGAACAACAAGAGGAGGGAACACCCATCCGTCAACGAAGGCCGTAGGCTATCTCACACGTTCAGTTTATTTGAATTCGACGCGCCCACAAAAATACCCGTACCAGCCTACGACCAGGAAATAAAACTGGCATTAGAAGGAAGTGTCGCGTATTCCTACAATGGGATGTTCTTTGGAGCGGAGAAGATCTTTGTCGGCGAGCCAATTAGAATCATAGACCCCAAAGACCCCTCCCAGGGGGAGAGTGTTATGGTTGTGGAGCAAATCTTCACATTGATCGCCCCCATTAGGGGAAGAAAAGATCAGTGCGCCTTTCGCCTGGTTGGCAACGTCTACTACCAGGGCCGCACCGTCGAGGACAGAGCCAGAATGGTTAGTCCCGAGACTTTCGCGCAATTGCCGCCCAGGATGCGTCATGGAGACCCAGGAAAGAGTGGCCCCACTGTTTGGTGCCCCCGAAACAAACCCGGCGAGATGTTCGAGATCGGGTTCAGGCAGATATGTGGCCGTTGGTACGAGCCACAGGCAGTCTCCTACTGGATGTACCCGGACGAAGATGCCCAGCTGGCCACCGCGTGGCCCTCAAACTTCACTCAAAACCGGGGTAAGGCTATCGGATGGAGCCATTTTAACGACATTGATATCCTCTCCGACCCCTCGGTGAAGAAGGTTCCCACCGCCATGACGGTGGACCAGATGAACAAGTTGGTGGCTGATCGCGAGAGGGAGAAGAAGAAGAAGAGGACTAGCAGCCCCCTTGCCCCTCCCAGTTCCAGCAAGAGTCGCATGGCGCGTGCTGTCACCGGCGACGACGAGACGGACGAAGAAATGGATGATGGCATCGCGGAGAGTGATGCTGGCGATGCTGAACAGCCATCCACCCAGGAGATGGCCATCAGGTAATTGTTGAACCTTACAGGTTCCTTTCTATGGATCTTTCTCCTTTTTTTTTTGTTTTCTCCTTTGTTCTTTCCTATCCTAGGCAGCGGATTTGATCAAATAAAAGGTTGTTTTCGTTGTTTTCTTTGATTTGTTTGCTTTGCTTTGTTTGCTTTGATTTTTTTTTCTTTTGGGTTGTTACCATGGTGTTCGTAATGGGCGGCGTTCTATCATCTCTTTCTTGCTTCATTTCTTACTGCATCTTCATCGGGTTTCCTTTCTACCTAATTCCCATCCAGCTTCATTTCATTCGGTTTTTTTTCGTCAATTGTCTTCAGTTTTCTTTAGGGATATTTACCTAGGTGCTAAGGTATTTAGGAGGGAATTTTATTCTTCTTATGCGTTACCATTCTCAACTCGCGAACTAGGTGTGATCATACAGTTTATGTAGTCCGTCAATCACCGGTGTATACACCACCCCAGCCCGCCTACCGTCCTACCAAAACACCCAGTACCTCCCCAGGCGGTACCGCCCGTTCCAATAACCACTCCAGCACCGCACCCTCCCCGCGCTCACTGCGTTCCACCGCCGCCATCCACACACCCACGCCGACCTCCGCACCCCTCCCCACCAGACTCTCTACAACCTCCACCCCAGCGCCACCCCTAACCGCCATCTCCAAACACCCAGCATCGGCCTTAACACTAGGTTCGAGCAGGACGCTTTCGACCAGGCTCCACCGGCCCGTTTCCACCGCTGCGCGCAGCGCCTCCCCGGGGTCCTCCCATCGTGCGCCCCGTTCGACCAGCATCTGCAGCAACCCTTCCCCACCGGGCTCTCCGGGCTCTCCAGGCTCTTCGGAAAAGTCCAGGAGCCTTAGCGGCAGCGGCACCCCGTCCAGCAGCAGTCGCCCATGCGCCGCCTCGAATTCTCGCACCGCCGCCGCCGTCAGGAAGCGGCCGCGCAGCAGTGCCGCGGGCGCGGAGTGCAAGTGGCTGGAAACCCAGCTGTTGCGCAGGTGGCGGGTGGGCTGCAGGACCGAGTGCAGTGCTCGGCAGGTTTCGGCGAGGGACGGGTTCAGCGCGTGCAGGTAGATGGTGTGCAGCAGCTCTGTGGGGAGGGTTGCGAGCGTGGGTTTGGGGTTGGCGGGCGGCGGCGGCGGGGGAGATGGTGCGTGAGTGGGCCGGGGGGAAGAGGTGTGGGAGGAGCGTGAAGGGACGCTGTATGGCGATTGCCGCCGACGGCCCGTAGTGCGGTTGCGGACGCTGCGGCCGGGGTGGAGGAAGCCCATTTTGTGGTTGGAACTTGGTTGCGGTATATACCGGTAGTGAAGTGGGAGCTTTTCTGTGTAACGTGTGGTGGGATGTGCGTGGTAACGGTACCTGGCTAGTCTGGATGGAGTAGCGTGTTTAGTTCGAGGTTGACGGGTGATCACGGGATTTGGAGAAAGGTCTCGTCGATCCACTCAAGAGTCAAGATACAGCCCTTCTGCCCCGAATTCATGGCGGTAATCCCCTACCATATCAAATTGAATCCAATACACCAAATTATACAGCCCCAAACCACCATTAATCCAAAACAGTATCGCATGAGTTTCGCCAGCTATTCCGCACCGAGGAAGTCTATGACCCAGTTAGGGTCAACCACGGAGAAAGAAGTGCAGGTAACTCACTCAAAAGCTTCTGCTGGTTATGCCTAAGTGCCGGCTCGGGGTCAAGAAAACAGTGGTAGACGATCCAAAGAGAACGGAACTGGCAGCTATACCAGCATCAACACCATCTCCAGCATTAGAAGCAGAAGCCATATCCTTTCCGGCTTCTAGAATGGCAACAGAAGAAGACACAGAGCCGACTGGGGCAGGAGCTACATCACTGTCAATACCAGCCCGGCATCAGAAGAAGTAGAGGCATATCCTCACCAGCGTCAGATATGGCAGTAACGGCAGCTCCAAAGGCGGCAGGAGAAATAGCTAATCGCCACCAATCGTAGTCCAGCTGAGGAAGCAGGTGTCTGTACCTTCCAGCTCTGAGCTCACCGATCTTAACAGTCATCGATCAAATTTTATTAGATGACCCCCCCTCCCCCAAATCGTAAATTCGGCGCAGACCTTCAATTTCCGTCTTCAGAATCGGATTCGCCCTCGCACTTCTCCTCCCGCCACTCCCACTTGCAGCAGCCTTCCTCGCCTTCCCCCCGTTCGTCTCCTTCTCCCTCTTCTTCTTTCCATTGCCGAATCTGAGGTAGCTAGGTTGACAACCGATTGTGGCTCTGTATCGTATGTTCTCGATTGTGGTGTGCAGTAGTAGGTAGGAGGAGGTCGGGGAGGTAGAAAGGACGGAGAGGAAGAAAGACTACTGGGCCACCGAGTCAGCTCCTGACATAGGATGGAACTCATTGGGTATGGTTCGAGTAGCAGCCAGACAAGGCTGTAGTCAAGGCTGTGTCCAACTACCGTTTTGGGGCGCGCGGAAGGGCGGGGCTCTGCTCTACAGATGTGAGTGCCATGGAGCGACTTCAAGATCGACGTCCACATACATAACGTGGCCATGTGAAGAGGGCGACGTGCCGTACCGTTACATACCAGCATGCGGACGCATCTAGAACTGCAGAGGGCGGTTTTCAGATGGCAGATAGACTACAGTTCCGTCACGTTGGAAGCAGACATGGCTGCAGAAAGCATGCTGGCAGATCCCTCATTTCACATCGAATGTCACAGAAGAACAAGCAGTATCCAGAAATCACATTTCATTCAATTCGAATCATATATAGCATCGTATAGTTTCAAGTATCCTAAAATCTTCAGAATTAGCTTCATGTGATTCTCTGTGTTGAAGGTAGTGACAAGAAAGTTATGTGTACTGGGTATCCTCAGTGATCTTGGTTGTTAAGTAACGCGCATTTGCTTGAAGCATCGCATACTATCTATGTGCATAGGTTGTAATCATTGGATGGGGGAGGGAAAGCGACTATTGCGCCTGTCGGTACGCACAGTTTGTTATATCAAGCAGGCGGGGTTTGAAAAGTGTGAAGAGTTCCCTGTATGTCTTCGGTGGGTTTAGCAGGATTCTTCACAAGTGAATGAAGATTTGCAAAAAGTAGTTGAAAGAATGTCGGGATCAGAATATGTAAGAATAAATATCAGAGCAGCATCACCACTTGATAGGACCCGGCGAGGTCCTATGGTTGATGCCCTCAATCGCAAATTATCTCCTCATGAGAGACATGGGGAAGGTGATGGGAGGATGTGAAATGAGGAGAGTAACATACCACGCGATGGTTGGCCAGTCAATTGGTTTGTGCAGAGAAATGGTGATGGCGGCGATTGGCGGTGGGAGACGCGACGAACGGACAAAGAGAAAAGTTTGAAGAAGAGAAAGCTGCGGTAACACAAAAAAGTCGACGCTTTGTAGTCCCGCGCATCACTAGCGCCAATCACTCAGCTTGTGCAACTTAGGGCAAAACCCCCAATCATGCACCAGCCGTCACGGTAATTTCATTCATCAACGCACTAATCTCTCGACGCACCCACCGACCGCCGCCAAATTATCGAAGCCCGACGCACGACTGAAAGCAACACGACGAACGACAGCCGACGACCGACGCGACAAACCCCGACCCCGACGACTAACCCAACCTCCACCCCGCACGATCAAAATGTCCTACGAAGTCAAGGCTTCTCAATGGCGGTATGTCGGATTTCTATTGGGGGGGGAGAGGATATGGCGGGACTGAGATGGGATGTGTTGGAGGGCAACAGGCTGATATGTGCCGTAATGGAATAGGCTCGTTGAAGTCGGACGCCTCGTCCTGATCAACGACGGCCCCTCCAAGGGAAAGCTCGCTACCATCGTCGAGATTATCGATCACAAGCGCGTACGTTCGACCTCAGTTCCAGATTCCCGCGCGTCGTTCCGGAGCTAAAAGTTCGCTTCTATCTAGGTCCTGATCGACTCCCCTGATGCCGGTGTCCCCCGCCAGTCGTTCCCCCTCGCACACGTCAGCTTGACCAGTATCATTCTGACGACGCTGCCCCGCGGAGCCCGCACCGGTGTCGTCGCCAAGGTCTGGGAGAAGGAGGGTGTCGCTGAGAAGTGGGCCAAGTCGGCGCTCGCCAAGCGCATCGCCTCGACCGAGAAGAGGTGGGCTCTGAACGACTTTGACCGATTCAAGGTCATGGTCCTCAAGAAGCAGAGGCGTTTCGAGGTCAAGAAGGCTGTTGCCAAGGCCGCCAAGGCTTCCGCATAAATGTACTGCGGAGCTTGGGTGGTGGTGGAGAGTCGGTGGGTGAACACAAAAATTGAACATCTCTTCCGGCGTCCACCGATTGTACTCTTTTTTTTTCCATAAATGGGATGGGTCTGCTTTTGTGAGCTCGGCGTTGAATCTTTTCGGGCGGGGGGTCGCGATGAATAAATCGCCAAATCAAGGACAAACTCTACCCTGCTCGAACAGCTGTGATGTAGCAAGGAGAAACTGCATTTTGTGGAGTATGGAGATCCCCCCGTACGCGTGTCTCCGGTGCTTCCATCGCGTAAACAAGCTCCCTAGAGCTACCTAAGCTAGATATCAACGGTGCAAGCAAAGCTCATGAGAGTACAACTATAGACAGCAACCCCCGTGTTTAAACAAAGCTTCCACACAGCAAATCTCCAGCTGACTAGCAAGTGAACAAAAGAGCAAAGCAAAGTTCTAGAGATCGCTCATCACAAAGGCACACTATCAAACTTCTCACCGCCCTCCCCATTTCCGCCATCCTCCTTCTCCTTGTCCTCTTCCTTTCCAGAGTCCCCAGCTCCATCGACGCCTTCACTTTCTTTCTTGCCATCATTACCACCCAATTTCTCCTCACTCCGGCCTCCTGTCGAGTCCGCAATCGACGCACTACGCTCACTCTTCGCCGGACCCTCCTCCCCACTACCCTCCTTGTGCTCGGGTGTATGCGTCGTCTCCGGCGAAGCCACGGATAGGCGCGGACTATGTTGCGGGGCACTGGGAGTAACCGGAGTCTGCGGCTGTCTGGGCGGGGGCATGCTCTGGCGCATCTTCTGAATATCGACGCCGAGGTAGAAGTTCCTAGCGACCACAATCCTGCCCTCATTCTCACAAGCCTCGATCCACTCGGGCCTCACAACCGGAATATTCATCTCGACCGCCTTCTCCCACGCCTGTCCCCGGCCCTCGGTACACACAAAATGCGTGGTATCGATGCGGACCGAGTCCTGCAGCGGGCGCGCTCCTATGCGCGACAGCGACGCCTCGACCTGCTCGCGGATTTCGGCCGACATCACGCCGGGACACACGGTGATCCCGCTAAGATCGGTGAGCTTGTGTGTGCGGGCGGTAACCTTCTCGCTCGAATACGTCCCGGCGCTGGTCCTTAGGACCAAGTGAAACGTGTACTCCTCGCCGACGGCCAGTCCGGAGATCTTTGTGCTCGTGTGCGCGGTCGGGTTCGGGATGGAGCCGGCCTTGGCGTTGTTCCGGTACAGCGTCAGGCTTCGCAGCGTCGCCGTGGCCAGCTCGATCGGATCCCATTCCAGCACGATGGATGTCTGTGTGGCGTTGCGGAGGCGCAGGACGGGCTTGCTCGGCGATCGCACACCGTACGCATTGTAGATTTCGCCTTGCAGCTTGCTGAAGGAGGCTTTGCTCGAGGTCTCGGCGGCGATGTTGCGCGACACTTGGATGTCGACTATGCTGCCGGAGGTGATTCCCGGCGGAAGCAGGATGGACGGGAACTCGATCTGTGCAGCTGGATTAGCATTGGCCTCGTGTGCTGTCGGGTTGCCAGGAATGGAGGAGCGGGGCGGGCCACCAATCGCTTGTCTTCGGTCAACAGGATTGCGAGGCCGGCGTCGAGCTTGCCGACGGTGAGAGATATCAGCATCTTGCAAGATGTGACGAATGGTACAAGCTAGACTATAGATGGTGGAGGTGAGACCCGTTGCTGTGGATGGGGAGCTAGAGCAAGTGGTGGGCAGTGGGCACAACATGTGGCAGAGCGGGTAACGATGGTGGTGCTAAATTTAGGTTGCAACCCGATTCAAATTCCATTATTCCACGCTCGTTCGTTCCTCGCTCTTCAAAAGGAACACTCACAATGTCACCAAATAAACAATGTTCTAGAACACCTTCAAATATTCTAGCCTCCGCACTCTCGGCCAGGGTTTTACGAAATCCAACTGTCTCATGCACCATCACTCGATATCACTCATTTCACGGCGATAATATATGGCTTCCACGTACGTACAACTCCAACTATGTGGTCGAATGAGGAGGATCAGTCGCATTGATCGGCTGCGAGGGTACTGAGGCTTGTTCTCTTAACTGGGCTTTTTCTTAGGAAGCTCGAAGACGACCAAGCTTTGAGGTGGGGTGGGAATCCTCCAACTCAAGCATGAGCCATACTATCTCCCTGAATAATAGTATTCATTTGAAGTACCAGACTTCTAGCAACCAGCCAACAGCAATTATGACCCACTGCCTCGAGTGATCGTCCGTGAGTGGCTCGGATCAGTTGGTTGACCGCGGGTGAAGTTACAATCCTGGTGTGACTGACCCAGTTGTATGTACGCCTATACATACATGCTTGGCCAGGCACTACCGATGGATGGGTGCAAGTGCGCACGAACGGCGAAGTACCTGGCACATTGGCTACCCTGGCTGCTGACTTGACCATTACTCTATGCTGCTGTGTTGCTTACCTCTCAAATTCTCGTCCTCCTACATGTATTTTTGCATGGTCCAGGTGGATTCCGCGCATCCAAAGGGCGTACGCACCAGTGGTATGATTCCGTGCCTCATGCTCGTCTGGCCTTTGGTTTCATTGAAGCGCCGAAGTAGGCACTCCATGTATGGACGCCGCAGTGCGAGCACAGAGGCAGGAAGCCGTCTAGATTTACTCTTGGGGAGCGGCTGCTCAGGGCGCTTGCTCCAACCGAAGCTTTTCCTTCACAGAAGGTTTGAGCAGTGTCTCTAATAATACCGGGCCTCACGTGTGGAGTTCCCTGCCCCTTTTCTTGGCGTTTCGGTACCTGAACTGACCTGACCCTGACACCACCGAATCCTATTCTTCCTCAATATCCACATTCCTTTTGAGCTCGCCCCCCCCCCACCGCCGCCGTCGTCGTCGTCGTTCCTTCCGGTCCCTACGTCCTCAAATCACACTCGCTGCTGTACTGTACTGCATCCCGAGCATACCAGACGCCGGTCGTCATTCGCATTGCACATCCCGTCCCGATTTCGAATTTTTGAATCGCAGCTCGCAGCTCGCAGCTCGCAATCATCGTCAACACCCGCCGCCGCCATTACCACCGCAACCACCATTACCACGCTCACTTGAACTCTCCAATCGAAGCAGCTGCAAAAACATAACCCTCGAAGGGTATCGTGAATTCGAATCGAATCGCCACTCCTTACTACTCCTACTCACACCGATCGCCACTCCCTCGCAACCATGGTCCACCCCGTTCTCGCCTCCTTTATCGTGTCGGACTTCATCTTCCTAGCCACAGGAGTGATGCTGATAGCTGCGGCGTCAGTGTGGACGGCGCAAGTGTCAGCGCCGCCCACGGTCGAGTCAGTCGGGCGGCAGCTGCTCCTCCAAAACTGCCCATTAGTCGCGGTGCTCGCAAATGGAATCGTAGTCGTCATCACGTTCGTCGTATCGCTGCCGGCGTTTGCGCTGCCAAATTCGAGGACCTGGCTGAAGATGCACTCCTGGGGAGTCGTCGTCTGTCTGGTTTTCACGCTCGTGCTGGGATTGATGGAATGGATTCAGACACTCACTACCCGTGCGAATCTCGAAGAGATGTGGGGCCGCCAGAGTGATGTTACCCAGAGCATGTTGCAGCAGAAGGTGAGAACGATCGAATGGAAGCCCCCAAGGAGGAGATGAAGGGCAGTTAGGGCTTATATGGTTACTCTATCTAGTTCGATTGCTGCGGCTATGTCAACTCGACCTTCCCGCTCTACGTCCCGGATGCGACCTGCACGAACGATATCATCGCGGCGTCCAAGGAGGGCTGCGTCACGGCGTTCTCGAACTACGGCGAGAAGTGGCTTAAGAACCTATTCACGGCGGCGTTTGGCGTCGTGGGCATGGATGTGGTGCTGCTGCTATGTGCCGCTATGGTTATCCGGTACCGCAAGGAGCAGCTGCGGTATAGACTTATCGACCAGAAGTGGGGCGTCGGAAACATCTAAGCGTCCGTCAGGCGTCAAGCGTCGTCTTCTCCTCTCCGACAGACAGCTACATAGATAGAAGTGTGCGTTGGTGTGGATGTGGGGTATGATAGATTAGGTCCGGTCGACTCCACTCACTCACTGTGGATCGGATTTGGGATTCCAGGAGTTTGTGCTTTTCATTTTGATTTTTGTGTTTGGTTTGGGTGGGTTGCTTTTACTTTTATTGACTGCTGCCTTTTTGCTGTCTTCACTGTCGTTAGAACTTAACACGCAAGCGGAGAGCGGGCGATAATTTAGTGCCAAATTTTTGTAGTTATACCCAGCATCAACTTCATTTCTGTCTGCCTATCTCCATACCTATCTAGTCCGGTTCCGTCGGCATCGTACGTAGCGTAACGTTCGTGGGATGCACAGTGACAGCGGCATATATATCGAGATATGTACATACTGTACTGTACAATACTCCCGCGATAATCAAATATGTATGCTAGGTTCCTGGCATCATGTAGGTACTCCACTCCATCTCCACTCCATCGCCCTCTCCGCACCGCAACGTAGTGGTGGAGAACATCATCATCCTCACAGAGAAGGTACTTCCCTACTCGTTCATATGTATACATAGCGCGACGGACACCGGAGTGCGGAGAGCTCTGATGTGTGTATGTAGGCATGTAGGCATGGAAACTAGCTGAGCAGCTCCTCAGGGCCCGAGATGACTACCTACATACGGCAGCACGGCATTCCCCCCCACACACCTTGAGGTCAGGTCAAGCGGGGAGATTGCCGGAAGCACGAAGGAGACATGGAGGATAAGAAGAAAAACAGGATATGATATGCGTAATGTGCGTGCCCAGCGACCTGGTTACGGGTCTACGACCCTGTGTAAATACATACACACACAGGAAGGCAGGCAGGCAGGCAGGCAGGCAGGCAGGAGAGCGATGCGCGCTTATTCGCGGCGCGCTGATGGTGGGTGCTGGTGGATGATGTCCGCTGCGGGGGAGTGGGATGCGGAGTGGGAAGGGATGGGAAGGGAAGTGGGACTGGACCGGACTGGACTGATGGAGCGATGGAGGGATGCATCCACACAACCACACAAGCAGCGCCACTTCCCTTCTGGCCGATGCGGGGGCGGAGAGGCGGCGAATACCGACCCGCGTTACCGGCCGGTTTTGTGTTCTCCATTTCGTCCTCGCTCATGGCTCATGCAACGCAACCTTCTCTCGCTGGTGGCTCTACATACATACAAACGGTACATACGCGAGTGCGTGTTGGAGCCAGTGTAGGTATCTGCTAGTAGCCACCGTGCTGTCATCCGTCCGAGCCAGCCAGCCAGCCTCACTGCATTCCATTCCGTTCCCTTCTGCTGCTGCTGCTGCTCCCGCTGCACCGGGGGAGTGAGTCGGAACTTGGAAGTGCGTCATCAGCCAGGCAGGGTCTGAGGGAGATGCCCTTCTCTTCTCTTCTCTTCTTCTTGTGGTATGTATGATGCGGAGGCCGCATATATACCGATAGGTACTCTGCCTAACCACCCTCGGGAAAAACCGCAAAGGCCGCTTGTGCCGAGGTCGGGCCAGAACAATAATCCGGGGAAGGGGAGGTTAACGTTCGTGTGGATCATGGGCGTAAAAAAGACATGTGGGTGCGCACCAACGCTACTTGGCGGGGCGAGGCCGAGCGAGGGAGGGAACAGTCATGCCTACGCCATAACGCTGTAGATCTTCGGAGCTTCTTCGGCAATGGGAGTTCACATCACAAGCGAAAGCTCCCCAGGCCCGAGAGTTTTGCACCTGGGCTGACGAAGGAATTGTGGCCCCTCCCCTCCCCCCGATCAGACAGTACATAGAAGATATATTATTCGAGGGCTTTCCCCCTCCTCCAAGTCCTTTTGAAAGTTGAAAGGCCCGCTCGAGCGTACTCCGTGAATACCTCCGTCTGCCGTCATCGTCCTCCTCCTCTTATCTACGAAATCCCTTATATATCTTCCTCCCTCCACCACTTCACACCTCATTACACACACAACCCCTCACACACATACACATACACACTCCAAGCAGATAACCATGTCCCCACCAACCGACACCCTCCTCGTGGACGTCAAAGTCCTGGGCACCGTCAGCGACGCCGCCAGCAAGGTCCTGACGAAGGAAGCGTGTGCGTTCCTCGCAACGCTCCACCGAACCTTCAACGAGACCCGCCAACAGCTTCTGCAGGCCCGCGTGGTCCGCCAGGCCGAGATCGACAAGGGAATCCTGCCCGACTTCCTGCCCGAGACCAAGCACATCCGTGATGACCCCACATGGCGGGGAGCCGATCCGGCGCCGGGCCTGGTGGACAGAAGGGTCGAGATCACTGGCCCCACTGACCGCAAGATGGTTATCAATGCGTTGAATTCCGATGTGTGGACGTATATGGCGGATTTTGAAGGTTCGTTGATCGTTCTGGTGGTTGTTGTTTTTGTTGTGTGGTTGTTGGGTTTAGGTTATGCTGGCCGATGCATATGGTTATTGTGGGTGTGATCGTCGGAGCGCGCCGTAGCTTACTCGATTGATATTACGCAGATTCGAGCTCGCCAACATGGGAGAACATGATCAGTGGCCAGATTAACCTCTACGACGCGATCCGCCGACAGGTCGACTGCAAGATCGGCGGAAAGGATTACAAGCTGCGAACCGACCGGCCATTGCCGACTCTTATCGTCCGGTATGCTCCCCTCCTATCACGTGCGTATCTGCGAGCTATCGCTGACCACAATCCCGCCTGATAGTCCCCGAGGATGGCACCTTGAAGAGAAGCATTTCGTAGTCGACGGTACGCCCATCTCGGGTGGTCTCTTCGATTTCGGTCTGTACTTCTTCCATAATGCGAAGAAGCTTATCGAAAACGGCCACGGACCGTACTTCTACCTGCCCAAGATGGAGAGCCACCTCGAGGCTCGCCTCTGGAACGATGTGTTCAACCTGGCTCAGGACACTCTCGGAGTCCGCAGGGGAACCATCCGTGGAACTGTGCTTATCGAGACCATCATGGCCGCCTTCGAGATGGACGAGGTAAGCGGCTGCATGCGACTTCCCACTTGAGCCATGTCCGACTGACTCCGGCTAGATCATCTACGAGCTCCGCCAACACAGCTCCGGGCTGAACTGCGGGCGCTGGGACTACATCTTCAGCGTGATCAAGAAGTTCCGCAACAACCCGCAGTTTGTCCTGCCCGACCGCAGCTGCGTGACCATGACCGTGCCGTTTATGGACGCCTACGTCAAGCTCCTCATCAAGACCTGCCACAAGCGCGGCGTCCACGCCATGGGCGGAATGGCCGCACAGATCCCTATCAAGAACGACGAGGAGGCCAACAAGAAGGCCATGGAGGGTGTGTACGCCGACAAGCTCCGGGAAGTCCGCGCCGGTCACGAGTTAGTCCTCCATTCCCCCCGTCCGCTCGCATACATACATTTATTGACCGCCCCACAGCGGAACCTGGGTCGCGCACCCCGCGCTCGCCAAGATCGCCTCCGACGTCTTCAACCAGCACATGCCGACGCCCAATCAGATCTTCAAGCGCCGCGAGGAGCTGCAGGTCGCCGGCTCGGACCTGCTGAACATGAACATGCCCGGCGCCGTGACCGAGGAGGGCATCCGCAAGAACCTCGTCATCGGCCTGTGCTACATGGAGTCGTGGGTGCGCGCCGTCGGCTGCGTCCCCATCAACTACCTGATGGAGGATGCGGCCACCGCTGAAGTGTCCCGCTCGCAGGTATTTCCCCTCCTTCCCTAGCTATATGTCACATACTAACAACGGGAATAGCTCTGGCAATGGGCGAAGCACAACACCGTCACCGCGGAGGGAACGAAGGTGACGAAGGAGTACAACCTGCAGGTGCTGAAGGAGGTGACCGAGGACCTGGCGTCCAAGGCGCCCAAGGGCAACCGGTTCTCGACCGCGGCGGGATACTTTGCCGCGCAGATCACCGGCGAGGACTATGCGGATTTCCTCACCACGCTGCTGTACAATGAGATTACAACTGTGGGCGGGACCGCGGCGAAGTTGTAGGTTGGGGTTTATTTCTTTCTTTTCGTTAGGTGTTTCTTTTATGGCTTTGTATGGTTTGTATGGTTTGTTTTTCTTGTCTTTTGGGCAGCGAGTTGGGATGAAAATTGTAGGTTACGACTGGATGCTTTGTATGTGTGTATGCTTTCGATGCAGAAGGTAGTTTGCAATTGAGGCCGCGAGCACAAATATGATACATACTATACCAGGACATATGACCGACTCTGGGGACTGGCATCTGTCTGCTAGGACCTTCCGTTCCGTTCTCTGCGCTTTTCTTAGGGCTTTGCTTAGGATTTAGGCCCCTCGGTGGTTCGCACGCCCGGAGGAATATCCGCACTGAAGCCTGACAGAGCAGACTGTTTGGTACATTATGTATCGACGAATAAAGGGTTTTCCTGTGCATCCCTCAAGTTTCAACCGACACTATTTCTCTCATTGTCTCAATTTCTAAAGTTTTGGTTTTTGGGACGGAATACGTGCGGACGAGAGGATTACCCTAGATATTCTTCTCCTTGGTGACCGCTCATGCCTATAATTACCTATCCAATGCGACGCTGCGGATTGCGGATTATGTCCACGCCGGTAGATCTATTGTACATAGATACTCCGAACAGTCCTCAGCCATTGAGTACCGTAGGTAGCGTGCTGGCACAAATCACAGACTTTTGTATGATGGTTCCAGCTCACGACACCGTGCCCATCGCCAATCCCATCCTGTCCGCATCCCATCCCCATCCCATCCCACCCCACCCCAATCGCAATCGCAAACAACGCCAATAAGTAGAGTACAGTAAGATACAGTATGGTACAGCCGCCCCGTCCCCGCGCCTCCTTCCCCTTCCCCTTCCCCTTCCCCGCCGCCCCTTCACTGCCGCCTCCTCCTCGTCCAGTCGTCCTACTTCCCCCCGCGCTTCTGCTCCTCCAATATCTCCAACCTTTGCTGCTCCAACTCCTCCCTTATGCGCTTCCTCTCCCTCGCCTTCGCCTTAGCCGCTTTCTTCTCCTCTTCCGCCGCGACGATCCAAACTGTCCGCACACACCCACGTATTAGCCCACTCCTTCTCATCCGCCCACATCCCCCTCCCCCATCCCCCCCGCTCTGTCCCCCGCTCCCCTTCAAACTTAGACGGGAGAGACGAACTCGGCTTATCACTCTTCGAGTACTCGCGCAGCTTCGCCATGAACTCGCCGTGGTCCTTGAGCCGCTGCTCGCGCTCCGACAGCGCCTTCGCCTGCAGCTCGGGGTTGTACCGCGAGAACAGCTCGTCCGGGTCCGGCGTCACGTACATCACCAGTGCGGGGCCGCCGACGCAGCAGGCTATGCCGCTGTACTCGAGGAGTTAAAATTAGTGAGAGGGCGGGGGACAAAGGGAGGGGGGGCGGAGGGGGGGGCGAGGGGAGGAAATGGGGGGGGAAGTACGCGAACGCCATCTTGAGGATCGTGGTGGTGCGCATTAGGTGGTTGTGGTGGGGGTGGTGGTGCTGGTGGTGGTCGTGGTGGTGGGCGAACGGGAAAAGTCGCGATTAGGGTGGAGGGGTGAGGTGAGGTGAGGTGATGACGTCTTTAGTGGGGCGCGCTTGGCGGTGGGCGCGAGTGCATTGGCCGGGAAAAGGGCGAGTTTCGAAGATATCGCGGATTCACGGCCGCGAATGGACTTTTCTATGGAGGCACCCGAAACGGCGAGAGAACTCGTGTATGGTGTCAAGACTCAACTGTGGCTGGGATCTCGCTCGATGGAGGGTTTTGAGGTAACTATGGCTATCCTCATACACCAGAAGCATATCCCATACTCAACACTGATACTGTAGCGACGAGCGAAACTGTTTCGTCCCCAGGATGGCATGTTACACGGCTGATACACAGTGTCTGGGGAGTCGACGATCGTGGGTTTCAGACATCTGCCCTGACGACTCAGTGGACGCAACGCCGGGTGTTCATGGGTATCACTCGACACGAGTCCGGGATCAACTCGGATAGGGTACGGCGTTTGTTGATATGCTCCCGGGAATAAGCCGGGAGTCTACGGTCTGCGGTCATCTAACAAGGAGAGGGTGGTATTTGTGGTGGTGGTGGTGCTGGTGTAGTGGTTCGCCGGCGTTGAGGCCGGCGCTCCCATGATACTTCTGAATAGATACCGGGTTCTTCCTTCCTTTACTCGCTGGAGCCGGCTATATGTAGCGTAGGTATTCCAGCCCCATGCCTCGCATCTGTATGTAGTAGTTTCAATCCGGTCGACCGCAGGTCCATAACTCCCGGCAGGCGAGTTCTTCAAGATTCATCCCTGGGATGATGATCGAACACCTAGATAATAGGCACCAAGGATCCCGCGACTGGTCTCGAGCAGTCCAGTTCTCGAGAAGGATATCGAAAACCCTCGAAAGCCCTCTTCTTTCGTTCGTTGTTACTGGACGCGTCCTGAAGCGCAACCGTTTCGCCGATAACTTACCGGTACTGGTAAACGTCCGTGCATGTGGTTGGACCCGCGGGGAGGCTAGATATCTCCGTACCTAGATATCTCCGTAATCGCGCCATTCCGCATCCATCCCGCCAGCGGCCGCCTTATCGACCTGCGCCTGATGCAACATACCGGCCCGGCCGTCGATCTTGTTGCCAGTCCGAGCGCATCGGACGGTACAGATATATTCTTAGAGTGCCGATACGCAGGCGCCACAAACAACGGTTCGTACCTCACCCGTCAGACTCCAGAGTATGTGTATGATGTAGTAAAATAATAAGGGCAGATTGTTTGTGGGGACTGCCCCCGCCGGCTGGCCGGGACTCGGCTATTTCCTGTTCCTGAACGTTCCTGTGCCTGTGCCGAAGTCCCTTACTGCAGGCAGAGAAGCGGAGAAGACCCTAAATCGAAGCATCCTAGGTGCATGCATAGAGCACTTGGTAGGTTCGTTAGTGCTCACGAGCTTTGTAGCATGTTCAACAGTCAACTGACTTTCCACGTGATACAGAGGACGCTGCGACGACGAGGCACGGCTCACGGCACAACACAGCCACACCGCCCCCCGCTTCACCTCAACGGAGAGTTCAAACTTCAGCAGGTACGCCACTCTGAAGTCTTCACCTTTACCAGTTGATAGAACTGATTAACCGTAATTTGACGTGCGGTTCAGACGGTCTGAAGCCCCTGGAATTTGGATTTTGGACGGGCCGGTCCAAATAAGGCCCTGGGATTATAACCCCAACCTACCTAGAGCGGGCAAAAAGACAAGACCCGGAAATGGGAGACAAGGTGACGAGGCCGATAGGTACCCAGTATGTAACGCCAATGGGGTTGTCAACGTAAAGCCCGTAAGTGGACTGGAGGAGGAGATGCGCGCATCTGCCTCTTATGTACCTATCGTATCCTCCAAGTGAGGAGGCAAATTCCCGAGGAGAGCTGGCTGTCCACGGGGCAAGGCAGCCTGCGGGCGCCTGCAATTCATCTCATCTGAACGAATCATTCCGTCACCACTAGATACCACCACCACCACCACCACCACAAATCCCCGAGTCCTGTCCTGTCCTGTCCTGCCCGGCAGGTCCCTTGTCATTACGCGCCAGGAACAATCCCTCCCCCACAGCCCCACCAACTGGGGGTGGTGTCTATACCTACTACTACTACAGTAGTACTCTACCTGCCTGCCTGCCCTCAAACCCACGACCGAACACCGAACACCGAACACCCACCGCACCTACCTACCTGCCAGTTTCATTCACTCCTTCTTCTCGTCTCATAGTGCTGGTACATACTTATTCAGGGGAACGCCGGCGCACAACAACAACAACAACGGCCGCTTCAATCCCGTCTGCGCCGCAAGGAAACAGGGAGGAGGGTAAACACACATCCGTTTGCCATTTTCCGTTGCAGAGTCGGAGCGCCTTGCCTAACACCGCGCATAGGTAGCCTATACCCCGACGCACTCGAAATCAGGCGGAAACGAAAGCCAGCCAGCGAGCGCGCACAGCACAGCACAGGAGCGAACCCTCCCCCGCCTCCCCATTCATTCCCGTTCATCACTGCTGAGCCGGAACTCACGCTCCCCCTCCCCCTCCGCTACCACCCACCATACACACCATGGCTTACGACCAAGCGCGCCCGCACCAAACGATGCGGCGTCCCTTCCCCGCGCAGCAGCAGCAACAGCAGCACCAAGTCTACGACGACGAGCCAGAGGTTGACCTTAGCGGCCTATACGACGGCGGCCCATATGCACTGTCGTCTACGGCAGCGCGCGGGAAGCGGGCGCCCGCGAAGTCGGCTAGCCAGCCGCATAACCTCCATGGACAGTATGAGATGGACGGCAGGCCAGGTGGCGCAGGAGGGGCTATGAGGTCACAGAGTAGCGCTCCACTCCTGCCGTATTTGTTGGTTGCGCGGTTGGGCTGATGCTTGGGTGCGCACAGGTCAGCAGCAGCGACGTCCACCGCCAGACGCTCGCCGGAACGGGCCAGGTCCTGGCCCAGGCCCTGGTTACGGTTACGGTGTGGATGAGGGGATGAGGAGTATGCATATCGGTGCGAACGGACAGAGTCGGGGGCCGCAGGGACCGCCGCGTGGTGGTGGACAGTTTAGAGGCGGCGATCCAAGGATGGATAGAGGAGGAGGGGGAATGGGGATGCGGCAAGGCGGGCAGATGCGCGCGCCGCATGGTAGTTACGATAGTGGACGGGGAGGACCGCCGATGGGCTACGATAGTGGACGTGGAGGACCGCCGATGGGCTACGATATGGGGCGGAGCGGACATCCGCAGCAACAGAGGTTACCGCCCAGAGGTGGGAGAGGGTTTGCGAATGGTGGGAGCGGGGACCATCCGCCATCTGGTAGACCACCGCCCATACAGGGTGCGCCGAACGGCTATGGACAGATTCACCCGGCGGATGACTCGGGATACCGGCTCTACCCCGGGGAATATCAAAGTGCACCGGAACCTACGATGGGGGTTCAGAGGAGTCAGACGATGCCCACGATCTCCGCCCAACCCCAGTACCAAGCCTATAATCCTGCCGCGCATGCCCCCGCAGTCGTGCCTAAGGCCGAAGTGAGGCAGAATCCGGCGTATGGTGTCCGAGGGCCGCCAGAGTCACAGTGGCCGAGGGAGAGTGTGGCGGACGTACTCGACGCATACTTTCAGGAAGCGGATTATTACGACGATTATGTGGATGACTACGCCGATGCCTATACGTATCAGAACGCGCCGGCAGGACATGCGGCACAGTCCAACTTCCCGCAAGCTGCACCACCCGGCACTGCGCACCCGCAAGCCAACGGTCAATGGAACGGTGGAGATTCGGACTTTGCCCAGCAAGCATACCGCAGCCGGTCGCAGCCCGATCTCGCGGGCCAGTACAGCGCCGGAGCCCACTACGATGGACCGGCAGAGATGCCTGCTGATCTTCCGCCAATACCGCGTCCCTCGATCGACGGGTACAGCATACCTCCGCGGTCGAACGTTCCTGCGGCGCTACGTATGGGCTCGCCAGCTCCGAGAAGCATCCGCTCGAATCACTCGATCCGCTCTGTACAGAGTTCCGCACTACCGCAAAGAAGACCTTCGGTCCAACAGGACGGCGGACTACCTGCGCATCCTTCTCCAGCTGAGCTCCGCGAAGCCGAACAAGTGGCCATGCGTCACTCCAATCCCGATCTACTCCCTGCGCATCCACCGCCCGTACGGCCAGGATTGCTGCAAGATGCTGCTGGTGGCCCCACCCATACTCCGCCGCCTCCCATACGGCAGTATGAAGATGACCGCAGGACGGATAGGCCATCGCCCACGAGTGCTGAAGCGCCGGTGACCATGCAGGAATTGGAGCAGATGCGGAATCAGGCGACAATGAATCCTAATGACAATACGCTCCAGCTCAAACTGGCGAAGAAGATGGTCGAGGCGGCGACAACACTGGCCAGTGAGGGCGGCCGCGCAGATATCAAGACCACCAGGAGGAACAGGGAGAACTACATTTTTGATGCTCATAAAATCATCAAGAAATTGACGAATGCGGTGAGTTCGAGGTGGTTTCTGGGTTGACAGATGTAGTACGTGTTGCTGATATCGCATTGGATTGGACACAGTCGTTTCCAGACGCAATGTTCTATCTGGCGTCCTGCTATGGCGAGGGCCAACTGGGATTGCAGGTGGATCACGAGCGAGCATTCAACCTATACCAGTCTGCCGCTAAACTGAATCACGCGCCATCTGCGTATAGAACTGCAGGTAAGTGGGGAATGAAATTTTCCATCTGAGGATTGTGTCCTGACGTTCGGACGCAGTTTGCTGCGAGCTTGGTGCCGGAGTCCGTAAGGACCCAACGAGAGCCATGACATGGTACAAGAAAGCGGCAGCACTCGGCGAGACGCCGGCGATGTTCAAACTCGGCATGATCATGTGGAAAGGATTGTTAGGCCAGACGCGGAACCCGCGGGACGGCTTGATCTGGCTCAAGAGGGCGGCCGATCAGGCCGATGAGGCGAACCAACATGCGTTACACGAGCTGGTGAGAATACATGAGGATGATGACTTCATGGTCTTGTTCGTTCGTTCGTTGCTGACCGACTCTGGCAGGGCATGCTCTATGAGGGCGAGAACGGTGACGTGGTGATTCCGGACGTCGATTACGCGCGCGAGCTTTTCTTGAGGGCTGCCGAGCTCGGGTATGCGGCGTCCCAGTTCCGTATGGGCTGCGGGTATGAGTACGGCACTCTGGGATGTCCGGTCGACCCACGGAAGAGCATTGCCTGGTACAGCAAGGCGGCCATGAAAGGTATTTTCCCCGCGTGCGGCCGTAAAAAAAAAGAGAGAGCAAAACTGACAGAAGTACCTAGGCGACCACGAGGCCCAGCTAGCACTCAGCGGATGGTACCTCACCGGCTCCGAGGGTGTGATCCAGCAGAGCGACACGGAGGCCTACCTATGGGCCCGCAAGGCCGCCGAACACGGGCTTGCAAAGGCGGAGTACGCTCTGGGGTACTACACAGAGGTCGGCATAGGCGTACCACCCAATCTCGACGAGGCAAAGAAGTGGTACTATAAAGCAGCCAGTATGTCCCCCCCACCAAGGCCTTCTTCGCTGGGAAGGAACGAGTGACTGATAGAACACAAGGCCAGCAACATCCCAAAGCCCAGCTCCGACTGCAGGAGCTAAAGAAGGGAGGCACAGCGGCGGTACAGAAGAGCAGAGAACGCCTGTCGCGGTCGAATGGGAAGCACAAGGAGGAGGGCGATTGTGTTGTAATGTAGACGGTTTGGTTTGGTTTGGTTGAGGGAGGGAGGTCCGCGCTGGTGTGGATCTACCTAGACTGTACATTGGTTACTTGGCTTGGGTGTACTATGATACCAGGTGCTTATATCTTCTTCTGGGCCGTTAGCCGTTGGCTGTTGGCGAATTCTGTATCTGGATTCTATATCTGTATCTGTATCTGTACCCCGGGCGTTGCTGTCTGTCTGTCTTGTTTCAATTTTCAATTTTTCGATGCGGAGTTTGGGGGGTGATTATGGCTTGTGGCTTTTTATAGCCTACTTATGATACCTATAACGAGGTCTATAACGAGGTCTATATAGCGATACAATGTTTCTACATATTGTCTTGAGCGTGAATCGTGATTGAATTGGTTGGCTATAGTTGCATGAGATTTCGTCGTCTTTGAAAAACGGTGAGATTGCTACATACCGAAGGAAGAAGGAAGAAGGAGAAATATAAACTGGCGGATAGGTACCAGGTTAAGCTGGTGTTTGGCAGAAAGAAGTGATGTATGTACTGTATGCCTGAGTACTCACCATGTACTAAAGTAAATCCACCATGGTACGTGGGTAACCCAAGCTTCGGGGAACACTGGAGCCTTTATGTACATCGACGCATCTACTCTACATACATACTACCTGGTGGTGAATCGAGGCCGCAAAGACAGCAGTAATTCCACAAGTGCCTGGGCAGGTGAACAGTGGCGTTAGAGATGTTCACTGGAGTGGAGAGACCGCTGAAGAGGCACGAGTGAGCGAAAATGAGTATTACCAACGGTCACTATGGTGGATTACTAACCCGATCTACACATGGTCAAATCTGGAGGCATAATTCTATTCTCCAAACTCACAGCTATTACTCCACTCCGGTACTTTGCCTACATAATCACAAACTCATTCAATAGATACAACTGACCAACGCGCCAAAAGTATCTTCACACACCCTCCTGGCCAAAAATAATACGCTCATGCGCTATGTATGCACCGGGCCGGCGCGGGGGAGTGGTCGTGGGAAGCAGAAATAGGACAAGGTATAGGTACATAAACCGCCATCATGCCCGGAGATGCAGAGGGCTGGCTTGGATAGTCATTGGACGATAATGCTCCAACTGCTTAGGTAGAGTGGGTACTCAAGGTTCAAATCACCATACCTACCGTCTTGAAGAATTGAACCAATGCATCGCCTCAATCGTCTTCGTTGTTTCGTCGACCAAACTCCTATATAGAGTGCCTAGAGTACACGATCACGCTCGGACAGACCTCCGAATAGTGCGATCCTTCCTGGCCTGCTTCTTGTTGGGATATGAAGTCTATTTTGCACACTTACTCTACATACAAGGACGGTATGCGTCTTGGCTTTGAGTAATCAGATGAATCAGATGGAAACCTCCAGACCGGCGAAGCTACATAGAGTAGCTCTTCGTCTCCCAACTCAACCTAGGTAGACAGATCCACGCCGATACATAATACATTTCACCGGACCGGACCGTCACGTGCAGCAAGCTGTGAACCCCCCTCCCGTCCACACCGTTGCTGTGAGGCAACCAAGGAAGGTTAAGAACCCGTTGTCGATCGAAAGCGTTAAGCTTTGCTGGCCGGCCACTTTGGGATTGAGATGGCCTTGTTAGGCATTGTACATACCCTCAAAGTTGCGGCGCTGCAAAACTCGTGCACGCTCGGAGCTTGGACTTCTGCTCCAGAAGCTAGTTGTTTCTGATCAGGATTTAGGTATCTAGAGTACTCGAATGAGATTTGACGTGTTTCTACATAACTCTTCACTCAAGTTCTTCGAACTATCGGCTCCATCACGTGCCTAAGCTTACGAAAGACAGCCCAATTCCGAGTTCCAAGTTCCCACAAGCGGCAGAACGATAACGATTCCGCAGCTGGCTTGCTTGTCCTGGGATAGATAGCAAGGCACGAGCCGTGTTGTAGTTATGTACTCTCAACATGTGGGGGCTAACTAACCGGCTCGGTGCTGAAGCAGAACAAGAAGAAGCATTAGGCTGAGACACCCAAGCCGGAATAGCCGCATACCCCACCGGAACTAATCCGGCGACATGATCATCGTCACGTGCTTTGCTGTTGGTTAGTTAGAGTAGGTACGCTGCACTCGGACCTGCCAGCTCCAACGCTGGCGGCTGGCCTCCTTTTCTTGATTCTTGATAAGGCCTGATCGGATGAGAAATGGATGGGAAGGGATGGATGGGATGGGATGGCGGGTGGGATGGCGGGTGGGGTGGCATCGATGGACGATGGACGATGAACGGGGACGGGGCGGGGGGACGGGGGAGGGCAGCGATATGTATCGCAGCCGACCTACACACCTAGAGTAACTATCGCGCATTGAAGCAGTGCTGTGCTCTGCTTTGTTGGCTATGCACGCAACAAGTGGAGTGGAGCAGAGTAAGTGCATATGCAGCCTATCTTTGTACTCAACTGCGCTCTACTATTATTCTACTGATTCTCTTGACCACCTTACTCCAGAGTCCACAGATCTCGCCCGCCCGGCTACCTACCTGCGTGCCTGTCTGCGTGCCCGCCTGCGCCGCCCGGTATTGTCGTGCGTTGTCTCGGTTGCTGCAAACGCTCGAGCTGTCCGTTCGAATCGAAATGCGTTGGGTGGCCGGGGTCGGAACTGCAACAACTGAGGCAGCGGGTAGATCTCGAGATGATCGTATCATACCTACGGGCCTACGGTGCGGGTGTGTATTACGTAGAACTTGGCTCCCATCCATCCATCTGTCACGGAGCCTTAAACGAGTCGGCTGGGGAGCGCTGTGAGTGCCGGAGATAGGAGCCTTGCCCGCTCTACTACCTATGCTACCTAACGACCTAGGTAGAGTGTGGGTAATAGAGTGGTTACTCTACTCGAGAGAACTAGAGTGCATACAGTTACTAGAGTATAGTTATCTACTCCATCGAACAGCAGGCTGAGTTAAACCGCGAAGGGAGGAGGTGTGGGTCCGGGCGCTCGAGGAGTCGAGGGAGGCAGGCCAGCCAGTGGCCATGGCTCGCTCGTCTCCCGTCCCCCCCCCCTCTCTCCTTTCCTTTTTCTCACTGGCCCAGCCAGACACCTGCCGGGCCAGGGTGCAACACTCTAGCCCGCCGAAATGGAGACTACCGAGCTTCTTGGCCGCCCCCGCCGTGCATGCGGCAGTAGTCATCAGCGCCGTTTTCAGGAGGAAAAAAAAAGAAGAGACCCTTCTTTTCCGCTTTGCCTCTCTTCGTCCATCCGTCCCTTTTCCGTCGCCCGCTCCGCTCAACGAGGCGGGAACGAGGTCGCTCGCCGCGACCGCCGCTGCACGTTCGCAACGAGACGGTGCTACAAAGACCGTGGAATAGATTCCCATCCCTGAATTCCCATGGCTATCGCGACGGGAGGGTAACCTTCTGCACGTTCTCGATTTCGCTTCACCCCTTTTTTTCCCGTTCTGCGATGGCTGTGGTTATGCGAAATAGATTGATGTTCTCCCTTTTTTTCTCTCTCTCTCTCGCTCTCTCTCTCTCACTGTCTCTCGCTGTCTCACTCTCATTCTCATTCTCTCACTCTCTCTCACTCTCTCTCACTCTCCCTCTCTTACACATGCACACTTTTTTTTTGCCTTTCCGGTTCGGCAGATAACGGCCGGGTAATGACACACCTCGCCTCCCCCGCGCGAAGTTACTCGGAGACCCCGCGCCCAAAAGCTTACGGCGTGAAGGGGAGTTGCATCGAAGGCTTTCCGTCTCGCCAAGGTTGTAACTTCCGTCAAGTGTAAGCCGAACAAAGGGCACATCTATCCATCACTTTGAACCCATGCAACCACCCCGAGACCGAGACAGCCCTTGCGCTACTATTCACCCGCGAGAACCGCTATGTCCCGCGGTGCTTGCTAGCGTGGGTTTTGCAGCAGATGTGTGTACAGTAGAGTACGGTGCAGTACGGTACAGTACGGTAGATACATACCAGGTATGATAGATAACTCTAGATTTGCACGAGAGATGGTCATGGCCCTGCCCTGCCTGCTCGCCGGCGTCCCTCGTCAGGCTCGAGGCTCGACGATGCAGCTGAGAAAACAGACGCTCCGTAGCGCTCCGTAGGTCGCGGAGCCTTCTGGGGGAGGGGAGAAGGGGGGCTGGCGATCGATCGTGCGCAGCCCACGAGATAATTTCTTCAGCGAAGGAGCTGGACGGGATCAGGGTCGAGTACCTATGGTAGTAATGAGAGAACAGATGCAACCCACGATGATTATAATTGGCATACCCTCCCTCCCCCCCCTTTAGGCTGCGGCTTTTCGGACGAACTTTGTTTGGCTTTCCCGCATCGACAGGGCTCGCGATGTTCGCTTGAGGACCGGTACTTTTCGCAGGATTATTCGCGGGAGCTTGGCTGCTTCATGGGATGGCCGCATGCTGAGCCTCCATCCCCACCACCATCACCACCACCCTCCCCAGCGGCAGTGGAATTAATTCATCTCTTCGGCCAGAGAAGAGTACTCCTTTTTTTGTTTCTTTTTTTCTTTTCTTCTTTCTTTTCATCCTCCTGTAGATAATAATGGTCTCTTTGCGGACTATCGCTTCGGACAGACATATAACGACTCCCTTTGACCGGTCCCTCCTCTCCCCCCCCCCCCCCCCCCCAGCCTGCGGCCCGCTTAACGCTCGCCCTGCTTCCCCCATCAACATCTACCGCCGCACACCCACCACCGCTGCTGCTGCCACCGCTGCCACCACCACCCATCCCCCCCCCCCACGCCGCAGAGTGCAAGGCCACTTCACCCAGTCCAGTCCAGCCCAGTCAGTCCTTACAACTTACCCACCCCCCCTCCCCTCCCTCCCCCAACCACCCACCGAACAAATACGTACCAAGACCTTTTCCCCCATTCGCCCTTCCCTTTCCTCTGCCGCTCCACTTAACCCAACCCAAACCCTTCCCTCTTTTCCTTTTTTCGCAACCACACCATCCTCTCTCCGCAATTCCCCCTTGCCTGAACTGGACTCAACTCTGTCCTAGAACAGCTCATCCCTTTCCTCTTCCTCCCTTTCTTCTCCCTCCCACCCCCAAACCTACTCCTCCTCAACTCTTAATACTCCCTCGCCAACAAATTCACGCTTACAACAACAACATCCCCCCTTCCACATAAAGCAACCACCTCTCCCTACAAGGTAATTATTCTCCCCTCCCGCCTCCTACCCTCCCCCCTATACCGCTCTCGACCCCTGCTCCGCTTCGCTCCCACCCCCCTCGCCTCCCCTACCCAATCTGCCCGCTTCACGCTTCCTCAAAAAAAGGGCGCCAAACCAAGAACCCTTTTTCCTTTTCGTTCACTTCGACCGTAGTCACTTCCGCTTTCATCGCCCTCGTCGTTCGAGCCTTACCCTCAGTCCGGCCGCCCGTTGTTCGCTCATCCATACTGATAATCTCATTGCCAAATCCAGGCAAAAGTCAACAAGATATAATGGCGGAACACAACAACTCCCCTCCACAGGATGAAACCGCCGCAGACGCCGCGTCCAGTCTGGTCGCCGGCAACGGCGTACCGAATTCTCAGTCCGGAGTCTCAGGTTCGGCTGTCGACAACTCTCGCAAGCGTCCGCGCCCCAGCAATGGCGACGACGACGATGACGACGAAGACTCGAAGCCTGGTCGCGAAAGACGAAAGATCGAGATTAAGTTCATCCAGGACAAGTCTCGCCGGCATATAACGTTCTCAAAGAGAAAGGCTGGAATCATGAAGAAGGTTCGTCGCCGCTGATAACCACTTTGCTACTCGACATCCCATTTGTCGGTTGTCGCGCTTGCGGTGCGTGTATGTGTGTGCGATGGACTGACGCGTGTCTTGATCCCGTCCCCAATAGGCGTACGAGCTATCAGTCCTCACAGGGACTCAAGTCCTCTTGCTGGTCGTCTCCGAGACCGGTCTTGTATACACTTTCACCACGCCGAAACTGCAGCCGCTCGTCACGAAGGCCGAAGGAAAGAACTTGATTCAGGTATGCCTCCTCGACTCCCGTCCCGCTCGTTCGACATGTTTCCGTGCACGTCAATTGACACATCCAAGGCCTGTTTGAACGCGCCCGAACCACATAGCACCGATAATGGCGTTCCGGAACAAGACACGTGAGTGACCGATCCAATCCATTTTTAAGAATTTTTTTCGCGTCGTGAACATCCCTCGCTAATGTCCGGTGCAGAGTCGATTCTCCAGAGGAGCCTCCCCACGCACAGCTACCACAGCAGCCCCCTGGAGGTGCCAGGTCCGTCGGGATCCCAGTAGGCCCGGGTGTGCCACAGCCATACATGAACATACCGGAGGCTCAAGCTTCTGTTCAAGCCCAGCAGCAAGCACAAGCTCATGCTCAGGCTCAGGCCTACCAGCAGTACATTCAACAACAGCAGGCTCAGGCTCAGGCTCGGGCGGGTGGTTACATGCCACAGCATCCGGGTCACCCCACTCAGAACGCGTGACTGCCGGCCTCCGAGATGATCACACAGTAAAGCGTGAGCTGCGACTCAAAAAAATTCCTTCCTGTCATCGCAGTGAGTCTTTCTGTGGCTAAGGGCTCAAAAATGGGGTTTCTGTTCCGGCGTTTTCGCGGATATGAAATACCGACTGGTTTCCCTTTCCTTTTTTTTCCTTTTTCGCAATGCATGATGCGGGGCTTCTGTCTGGGGATGGTTTTGCATCGCCCAACTTTAATTGGAGCTATCGAAAGAAATGGCGGTGGACGGTGGAGTTCTGTTTTTTGCAATGTTTTCTCTTTTCTTCTCTTTTTTTTTTTACTGTCCAAGGAATTGGGTTTACTTTGTACTGGTTGACTTGATGGATGTCTGAGTTGGTGCTTCTTTTGCTGGTTGTTTTTTTCTTTCTTCTTCTTTCCTTTTCTTGGATTCATATACCTGCCGTTAGCATGTGAATTTGCTGTACCTTTTTTTGTCTGGTACGTTCAGCATGGCTTCATCTTACGTTTTCTTCATATTCCCCCCCCCCCTCCACCACCACTACTTCTACTACTACTACAACTACAACTTCTTTCTTCACGGAACCTGGGTGGAGTGTGGGTGGGTGGGTGGATTGGGGGGCAGGCGATGTGCGAGAGGGCGCGGGGGGAGCTATACTACACTACTCTACACCGAAATTCTTCTCTCTTCTCAGTAATTGGCTTCATGCACATTCTATACCTGTTTTAAAATCCGGATTTGGCTTTGGGTTTTGGTTTTGGTATTTTTTCTTCTTTCGTCTGGTTTCTTTTCGGTGCTAGTCATGTGTCAAGATCAAGCTCAAGCTCTCGATCGGAGTTGGAAGTTTGAAGCTCGAATAAGATTCCGCGAATGCAAAGCAAAAAAGCAACTGCAGAGCAATGGCAAAGCAATGGCAAAAGAAGAAGGTTGAATCAGGTTGGCCACTCTCTCTCTCCCGATTGAATCTGGATTCCGGAGCTCTGCACACCCCGAGCGAGAGAGCGACTCCCCCAGTCCGCCCTCCGGTCCGCTCCCCGGCCCGCCCGAGAGAGCGGTGAGGTGAGTCCGGATGTATAGGCTTTTGTATGCGCTTGACGCGGTGGTGCTGGTGGTGGTTGTAGTGGTACTAGTAGTAGTGATGGTGACGGTGGTGGTGGTGGTGGTGGTGGTGGTGATGGTGCGGGTAGATGTATGAGAACGAGTGTATGGATGTGGATGGATAGATGGGATGGATGGATGGATGAACGTACTGTTTCTGTAATGTACTGTTTCTGAGGGAGGGTATCTGATTATCTGCCATCTGTCACCTCGTGTCCTTGTTTCCTTTCAAAACAAAATCAATATACACACGCGCGCGGGCGGGTTATCTGTGAATATTTGTGTGCTGAGCTTTCGGTGCTGTATGGTAATGGTATTGGTGGAGGTAAACAAGTTACCCCCTTAGTACTGGCTTGCTGCTGCTGCCTTTTTCGCCTTGCGTGCGTGCGGAGAGACACCCCGTCGCCTCGTCGCCAGGATACCTAGACAGACAGATACATATAGTAGAATACACCGCCTCGGGCACTCCTGGGCACTGCTGCTCCCTGACTCCCTGGGCGCGAGTAACTACTTACATACCGCCGATCATCGCCGCATTGTCCCGTTTCGGTTCGAGGGGTTGGGGGTTGGGTTGGGGGATGGGGGATGGGGGATGATGTGGCCGGACGGGACGGGACGGCGCCGAGGCCGGGGCTTGACAGGGCCGGATTGGATTGGACTCGGCTGGGCGGGATTGGACTGCGCGGGGCTGGGTGGGGCGGGCGGGGGAATGAGGAAGGCGCCGGTGACGGATGACGGGTTCGGAGGCCGGCCGGGGACTCGGGGGATGCGATTCGGCTGTGCTGCGGGGGAGGGGGGAGGGGGGAGGTGGTCGCGGTACGGCTTGACGGTGCTGCTGCTGCTACTGCTGCTGCTGCTGGTGCTGGGGGGAGGGGAGCGGGACGATTATGCAATCCCGCCTGCCTGCACTGTACTGTACTGCACTGCACTGCACTGCACTGCACTGCACTGCGCGAGTCGATGGGCGGTCGGTCGGACTGTCGGTCGTTTGCCGATTCGGCTCGGATGCTGGGTTTGGGTGTACCTACTACCAGTACTTTGCCATGAGGAACGCCGATCCGGACGCCGATCCGGACCCTGGCTGGCCGGCCGGATACTGATCGGACACTGGTCGGCTCAGGCTGTGGACGCTTAGTGGGGGCTAACTACCTAGGCACTTGTGAGGGGACTCGCGGGCCATGTGTGAGTACATACATATAGGTAGTTGCTGTCGTGGCGGAAGAGGAAGGGGAAGACGGGGAAGATGGGAAAGGAGGAAGGGGGAACTCCATGACTGTCTGCCCCGGAAGCTGGAGAGGAGGGACGGAAACGGTACGGTAGGTAGATGGTGGTAAGGTGGGATACCGTGCACCGTACACCCACCTCACCCGGCACTGGTCCGTCTAATACCTACTGTTGGCTAGGGGTGCCGGTGAACGCTGCACTACTGGTAGTATATCTTCCTTCGGAGCCTTGAGCTACGTTTCCATGGCGGCACGGTACGGAATGGGACACTGGCCAGGACAGGACGGTGCGGTACGGCACGAGATGGTACGAGATGGTACATACGGAGGGAATTGAGTCACGAACACGGTAGAGTGGAGTATCGTTCAGCTCCCGACCACGGAGGGGAGAAAGCCTACGGGCCTTTTCTAGGGAGTAGGACTAGGAGAGGACATCGCGGAGTAGACGGCTCGGCTCGGCTCGAACTGGACTCGGACTCGAAGTGGACTCGAAGTGGACTCGAACTAAACTCGAACTCGGACTCGGACTGGACTCGAAAGAGACAGGAGACGGGGCGGGATGGAATGGAATACCACGGCCAGCGCCAGGCGTTCGCAATATACACACTGCTTCCGATCTCCTTCCGATCTCCTTCCAGCACTGGGCCTGGGATGGTTCCCTTCCTTCCTGCGGGCTTGCTGGGAGTACCTACCTACAGGCTACATACATAGTGGTCACACGGGGGTAGCAGTACATACGAGCGAGTCGATCTTAGCAGAGACGCCCATATCTTGGTGGGCATGTGGGTGAGAGATGTGATGTTCTCGGTAGCGGTTATGAGAGTCACTCGGTTATTGGACTCTGGACCTTTCGAGCCCAGCAGCAGGGCGATTAAGGCATCGGCCAAATCACGGAGCTTAAATCCATCCAATCTAGGTATACGATCATTGACTAGCTACGGCAATGTTCACGGGTACTTACCTATCCTCGAGTCCAATGTAGGTTCATACCAGTATTTCACAAGTCTCGAATTACAATACTTGCGGGAGATACAAAGCAAGGTGTCTGTCTAGTAATAGGTTCTTAATATACACACCTACTCCACGCAGCTCGTCGGTTCATTAACGCACTCACTTCTGTCACACAGTCTTCAACACAAGGAGTCCACCATCTTCACTCAAGACTCAGTATCAATCAAGGCCCCTTCTCTACCGAAGGAAATACCCTCAACATTAGGAACAGTCCGCCGCTCCCATCTCAATCAATGTCCAGAAGTACAGACAAGTAAGGATGCCCAACAAAGAAAAGAAGAAAAAACATCGAAAGAGATACACGTCATGTAGAAAACCAGGTGAAAATCAGAAAAACATCAACAAAGATACACGCCATGAAGAAAACCAGGTGAAAATCAGAAAAACATCAACAAAGATACACGCCATGAAGAAAACCGGGTGAAAATCAAACAAAAAAATCCGCTACTGCGGTATCCTACTCGTCTCTAACAAAAAATGAAGAAAAAAAAAAGCCCCATTTTGAAAACACCGAAACTCCCGTCAACGCAACCAACCAGTCTAGTCAAGTCTCTCCTTCTTGATGGTGACTCCCAACCCCCCCTCGCCATCATCCGGGCGGACGCGTTTCAGGCCCTCACTGCGGACGGCCTGAAAACGGGAGCTGAACTGGTTCGCAGGTACAAAACCGTTCTGGCTTCCAAAGTAGGTTACCGGCCGAGAATGGCCCTGTGCAAGGAAACTTCTCGTCTCCTGCGGTTGTTGATGCAACTGTCTCTGGAGAAGTCGCTCGTCTTTATGCGGCTGTTGCTGCTGCGGTTGCTGCTGTGGTTGCTGCTGTGGTTGCTGCTGCTGTTGCTGCTGCAACTGTCTGCGAAGTTGCTCGCCTTCATGCTGTTGCTTCTGCTGCTTATAATGGGAGGAGCGTTTCCGGGCGTTTGGAGGTGGGGGAGCGGTAATCAAGACCGAGGTGTTCTTGGTTTGATTCTTGTTGGCAGGTCTACCGGTGTGGAGAGGGGCGGTCGGGGTCTTTCCGGTGGCATCAATAGACGATATATTCGCGCCGGCGACGGGAGGCGCAGCGGCAAAGCTCATGGCTCCTTCCGCGGCCGAACCGAAGATATGGTTGGGACCATTGGGTACCACAGCTCCGCGGAGTTCTTCAATGTCCAAAATGGACGCTACCAGGGACCTCCAGGTTTCTGTGTTGGACCGTAGGTCTTGCCTCTTCTCACGTAACTGTTTCCGTAGCTCGAGAATATCTCCCGAGAGGAGACGGGTGTTCCGAGTCGGAAATCGGTGGATCAACACCGCGACGCCGACAAACTCCACAGGCGAGAACTTGGTTGCATGCTTGTACCCGTGGTTCTTAAACGTATCGGGGTACTCCCGATAAACTTCCAAGTAGCGTGTGAAAACAGTCCTTGCGCTCTTCTTGAACTCCTCTGTCAAGAAGACAGTCTCCGAACAGAAACCCTTCAACGCACCGGCCCCAGCAGAGTACTTGGGATCGAGGTCGTTGGAGTCGCCTTTCAGCAACTGTTTGAATACTTGAAGGATCAGTTGGAAACCGCGGGCCCGACGATCGTCCACCACGCCGTCCACCAGTTGTTTAAACTCGTCTCCGACGACAACTGCAAAGTCCTGCCAAAGTCCAGAACTGGCACGGAGCTTCTCTGCCGGGGTAAGGGGTACTCCCAGCTGTACCCTTGAGAACAAGTCCTCTTCTTGGTGTTTCTCGAGCCCGCTGTACTCCACACATATAAGGTCCTTCTGCATGAACCTCATCTTTTCATGCTGCGGCAGGATCTTTCTAACGGTCTTGCTAGGTATGTCGGGGTTTTCGCAGAAATAGAATTTCTTTCCGCCCCTGTCATGGCACGGGATCTTGCCCTTGACAAACTCACGTATGGAAGAGAGTCGCTGCTTCCCATCGACCGACCTCCTGAGGAACTTCGCCGAACCGTCTTCCGTAATTATATCGACCACATTGAAGATCAATGGCGGAATGTAATAGCTGGTCATCAAAGAGTCGACCAACTTCGTCATACGCTCAGGGCTCCAGACTAGGTCTCTCTGGTAGCTCGGGTTGAGATCCAAGTTCGGACTATCCATCATGTCTGTATAGCGAAAAAGAAAAAAAAATCAGCAACTGCACACACAGATAAAGTCTATTTATTTACTTGCCGACAAGGTCTTGGATCGTACGACGATGGAAATGCGCCTCAGGCAAACCCTCTGGAGATTTGAAGTTATTGTTGTCTTCGTCGAAGTCGGACTCCGACTCCGAATCTGACTCGTGTTCGTCGACATCCTTGGCGGGGGTTTTCTTGGCGGGGGTATCCTTGTACGAGACCATCTGCACTCACTCGTCGATTAGTACACCGCATGCGACGACAAATAGTGAACGCGAGGGGTGAGAAGTGGTGATGAGCCATCCCATTGCGGACATGCCATTCGGTCTTGCGGGCTTGTCGCGGCAAATAGTACCGACGGAGCGACCGCGACCCAGATAAATATTTCTCAATGGAATTGGAGAGTGCGATTTGATGAGGAGCTCTGTGGGGTTGAACCACTGTGGGGGAAGATGGAGATGCAAAGAGGTGGGAAGGGGTGATGACAAAACAAAGAAATTTGCAAAATGAAGATGTAAAAGAAAGAGAATTAGTGCAATGAGGCTTACTATGCAGATGATTTATTTGTCTGGAGAAGGTTGGGTCTGAAAATTGGATTGTGAAAGGAGAATTGGATTGTAAAAGGAGAATTGGATTGTGGAAGGAGAATTGGATTGTGGAAGGAGGATTGGAGTTGTGTGTCAGGAAAATGGTTGTGGATGTCTGGGATGAGAGCAGAGTTGGGATGAGAACAGAGGTGGAAGAGAGACTTTGGTGTGGGACAACCTAGTCTGTGAGCCACCTTAGTGTGGGACCCTAGTGTGAAGCGTTCCAAGACTCTCGTAGTGTGTGACGTGTGTGACGTGCTAAGACTCTTGAGAGGACTCATTGTGAATTCGAAAGGTTTCAACATTCCATCCTACTTCCGAATTGGGTTTGTTTATCATACTACGGCAAACGTCTATAATGCCATGGTTTTTGGCACGATAGTCAGTAATGCCATAGTTTTGGGAAAAGTCTATAATGCCATATATTTTCTCTCGATGTTTCGACCCCACCACCACGCAAACCCACCACCACTCAAACACCCCTCTCCTCGACGACATTAGCCATCCGGGCAAATGGCTGCGCACTGGAGTTTTTTCGACTGTATTTCTTTTGGATAGGTCACCGCCGGATGGTCAACAGGTGTCTAATAACGCCCCCTCCTCATGAATGTGCCATCGACTGCCATAAGCCAACCCAAATATCGAAATGCCAGCGAATACGTGAAAGACAGACGAAAATACGCTGGAATCACTTGGTCTCAGGGTCCTGCATGATACAACCGTATAGGCAGCGTTCGGATTTGCAGCCCTCAGCCGACAGGTGTAGGCTGGTAGCTGCGGGTACTGCTTTGTACGGTCCTCCACTACTCCCTTGTGATGGAGCAACGGAGGAACTGTCGGTGAGAGGCAGAGGTGAAGGAGGAGGTGTCAGCGAGAGGAGGAAATGAGGGAGGACTCCTGTCGGCGGGAGCAAATGAATGTGGTTAATAGCGGTGGGCATCAACGCTGGTGGGAATCAACGTTGGCGGCCATGGCGGGGTCTCCTGCTTCTTCTTCTTCTTCTTCTTTGGATGATTGCCTTTGATTTTGTATGTGCGCGAAATGATCGCGCTCGGAAGACCTCGGCGCAGACATTTGCACGCATTTCCCCAAAACTATGGCATTACAGACGTTTGCCGTTTATCATACTAGGTATGTAGCTGAGAAATCCTTGAGCATCACTTACCGCATCGAGGATCAGCATTGGATGATTCCCATCGAAGACCGATGCGCTTCCTCCCTATGGATCTGGCCACGGAGGAGGACGTGGTGGAGGCGACTGGCCGCCTCGTATAATTTTGCTTATGATAGTCATGTACTCTATGTACCCGTCAACTCGGCTCTTGTATAATAAGGGTCCTCAAAGAGTCAAAGTTGCTGGAGGCAGGAGCAGCAACTTGCCACCCCCCCCCCCCCCCCCCCCCCCCACCGCCATTCCGTCTTTAAGCCGCCGCGAGGTGACTGGCGATGGCCGAGAAGGCAACGGTAACGTGGACGAAGAGATGTCGAGCTGGTGGTATCACGATTGCCTGTGCGCAAGAACCGGGCCGCAAGTCCTCGGTGGAATTCCGTACTGTGGTGGGCCCATGCGTTCTCCGTCTGGTGGATATGCCCTCATTGATACCGGGCCTCTCAGATCTTGCTCCTGCGGACCAGCGGACCTGCGGGGCCCTGGACGGGTTGGGTTGTGAATCGTTGCCGTACCATAGATGCCGTACGGTATCCAAATTGGCCGCCTCCTCCCCACGCCCGTGCCTCCCGAAGACTGCTCTATGCCGGGGTCTACTACCTTCAACCACACCCGCTCCTTCTCCTCCTCCCCAGGGCTCTTCTTACCACTCCGCTTCGTTTCAAGTTCTCCCTTTTCTTGCCCTTCCGTACGTACTCGTACTGAATCTTCCTCCTCCGAACTCTCGGAACATGACTCTTCTGAACTCGTGCCTAAATATGAGCTGGACTCTGAGCTGGATTCTGATCAAATACCCGTAAATGTTCCGAACTCGGGCCTCCCTCGAGGTATGGAGATGTTACCATTACCTTCCATGCCTCGGCAGATACTTTTTTTTGTTCATTCATTGATTGCGTGCGACCTATCTAGATCATAGCAATGTCCACCCGTTCGCCCCCGTTTCCCCGCCACTGTCCAACCCGACTTTCGTCAGGTGGCCCAATGTGGCTTTCCCTACCCCCGCCGTGGCCTGTCCCGAAGATGTATGAGCGCACCAAAGAAATGACACTAGGAAAAGACAACTTCCACTCCCTCGACTCGCCCCTGCCCCACCGCAAGTTACTAGTCCTCGTCGCCGCCTCCTGCCTCTTCATCGGCAGATGCCATGAAGGAAGGTGTGGGAAGGAACAGCGGGTGTGACCCCGGCTCCTCAACCTCAGCACCCTCCTCCTCCTCTCGCCTAAGGTCCGCCTCCCTTTCCTCCCGCTCCCTGAGCTCCCACTCGGATATCTCATTCACTGCATCTTCCTCCATGACCTCTGGCATCCCTGGCATCCGTCTGCCCACATCAGTGGAGAAGAGGAACTCTAGAATGGCCTTGCTGCATCGCTCATCTGCGAAGAGGTCCCGGATTTTGAAGCGGTCTTTTCCCTCCTTGTCTGCTTCCGGACTTTTGCCCATAGTGCCTTTTGCTGACTTTTCCATTCAGGGCAATTTTTGAAGAGGTGCTCCCGAGTCTGTGTCTTGTAGCGGCACTAGCCACAGCGGGCGTCCGGGCGGCTTTTCGTCCACTGGAGGTACTGGCCGGTGAGGCAGTGCCCTGTCTTGAGTTGGTAGAACCTCGAGGCGAGGCGCTTGGTGGCCATCTCTGGATTTGGGTCGGGTCGCTGGCCGGATTTCCGGCTGTACCGATACTTCTTGTGAGTGATCCTGTTGTCTGCCCATCCCTTGGCTTCCCTCCACTTGGCTTTGGAGATACCGCGTTTCAGGTAGGCAGGCGATGGCGGTGGCAGAAGTCGGGTGCCATACTAGTGCAGGTAGCGGGTCCCCTCCACCCCGCGAGCGGTAGGATTGTCGGCCGCCAGTTTAGCCCATTCGTCCGCCTTCTCATTCCCTGGCATATCTTTGTGTGCCGGGCACCATCTAATCTCAATGGTGATCGCAGGTTCCCTTTCCCGGAGAGTGGCGATGTGTTTCCGTGCCTGGAGGGCATACTTCTGGCCGGGGCCAGGTGCATCGTGAGTCATCCTCCTAATCGCGGCTTGTGCGTCGGTGTAGATGGTGACTCGTTCTAGGGTGTGGCGTCTGTCAACGGCTGCTTCTAGTGCTCGGGCAATTGCTGCGCATTCCGCATCATAGGCCTCCTGTTGGAAACCTGCCTCGGCAGATACCCAAGCAGGCGCGAGCGTGGACTCGAAAGTCGAGAGTGACTGTGTGTGCTTGATCACGGTGAACTGGGTACTCCATGGTGACCATGGTGATCATGGTGAGGCTAGGACTTCAGTGATGTCCCCACCAGAATCCTCACCAGCATCCTCCCAGTATCCTCACCAGTATCCCCACTTGTATCCTCCTAATACACCTCGCGAAGTTCATGGCGCGAAAGCATAGATAGGTAGGTAGGTACTGCGATGATCACAGCGGCCAGTTCTTCCAGAAAAGTTCGAGTAAAATACCCGCAATCGGGTATCGAGTGGAGTACCTTAAGATATAGAGATGTTACCATTACCATGCTTCAGCACTGAGCAGATAGGCAGGGCCGAGCGTGCGCGAGAGTCGAGAGTGACTGTGTACTTGATCGTGGTGAACTACCTCTACGGTGACCATAGGTAGTGAGACCTAAACTTCAGCGATGTCCTCACCAGTATCCTCCCAATACACCTCGCGAAGTTCATGGCGCGAAAGCATAGGCACATAGGCACTGTGATGATCACAGCGGGCAGTTCTTCCAGAAAAGTTCCAAGTAATATTCCCCTATATACCACCGTTACTGTCCCTTCCAACCGATCGCACAAGTCAAGTAGAATACACTGTCCAGACCGACCGAAGACCACACGGCAAAGCAAAGGAACACAGCTCAGCCACAAGCGTAATACCGTAGGGTATGGACCCATTCCCTCCATCCCTCCTGCTTGCAATCCAAACCCGAAAGAAAAGAAAGAAAAAAGAAAAGAAAAAAAAGAAGTATCAACATGTAATCATCATGACGCCAGGAACAAAGGAAAAACCCAACCACGCATCGAGCATCGAGTTTACAACTCGTCCGCAGCAAAAGCAGCAGGGATACCCGCCATCTTCGCCGCAACCAATGCGATGAGTGCAGCGCCGACGCCGCTTCCGTCCTTAGCAACGCCCATCCTGACTCTCTTCTCGTTGTCGGATCCAATTTCCGGGACTTCGCGCAGTGCCTCGCGCAGATATTTCTCGAAACCGGGGTAGAACTCAACGACGCTTCCGTCCACTCCGATATCAATGACGTCCAGTTCCTCTTTGGTCTCTGCTGCGTCCTTATCGCCCTTGACTGTGGTGGTAGTGGCAGGAATATCGGCGACTGGTGGTTGGCCGCCGAAGACGCTCTTAATCGCCTGGATTCCCTGCTCGAAGAGAGACAAGTTCTGCATCGAGACGTCGAGCGATGCTGACGGCTTCACCTTTCCGGTGGCGATGAGGATCGCGGCAACGGGGACAGCAGAGAGACGCGCAGATCGCTTTCCGATAGCGTGAACGAGGATCTTCACTGCACGTGCCTCTTCGGTGGACACATGTGCGGCAGAAACACCCAATTGCTCCTCGAGCACGGACTTGGCTGTTGCCAGGTCTTCCGAGTCGTCGGCTTCGATGTACGAGAGCACACTGGTATCCACGCTCCAGGGCGTGTTGAGGGCTGCAGTCTCTTCGATCGTAGCGGCGGAGAACAAGCCCACATCCTTCTGAAGACCGAGAATCGCGTTTCTCAAAATCTCACCCAAGAACATGCCAGAGATGCGCTTCTCGAACATCTGGATGCCAGGGTTGACAGAATTCTTGTCGAGCTGTCTATCGTAGAGGGTGTCGGGCAGAACCTGCATCGCGTTGTCGAAGGAACCCCATTCGGTGTTTACCACCATTTCACCGGTGGATTTGTCGTATTCTCCAACACCCGAATCGGGCTTCGTCATCTTGCTAATCTTGCTGAGCTTCTCAACGTACGCTCCGTTCGTTCCGGTTCCGAAGATTGCGCCCAGCAAAGTGCCAGTCTTTCCCGGGGAAGTGTACGAGCGCGCCATGAGAGTCCCGACGGTATCGTTCACCAGAGCCGCAACGGTGACGGGTATGCCGAGAGCATCGATTTCCTTCTGGAGGAGCTCGCAAACATCCTTTCCGATCGCATCAGCGATGTCGAAACCTTTCGTCCAGCGAATGAGATAGCCCTTGTTAACGGCCCTCTGATCGACGGGGAAAGAGAACGTGAAACCAAGCTGAAGATGGTGGTCAGCGGTTTCGGCGAAGTGGTCTCCGTGGTGCTCGTCAACGAACTCCTTCACCTGCTGGGCAAGGAACGAGAAGAGAGTGTGCGAGTCCGACGTCATCATCAATTTTGGGATCGCGGCTTTGGACTGCGTGAGAGTGAATTTGGAGTCACCGGTCAGATAGACCGAGCAAACACGGAAGTTCGTTCCTCCGAGATCGACCGCTAGGTAGACGCCCTAAAAGATTTCGACATGAGCACGGAAATCAGAGCCCCGTTCTGAGCGTTCGGTGCAAACCTTTTCCGTTCCATTCGGGACACTAGTGACGTATGTGGGGATCATGGTCATCGCCTCGCCATCGTTCTGAAGACCAACATCTAGAGACACCCGCAATCGTCAGCGTGTTCTTCCGCAGAATTCAACAGGCGCGGAGTAAAGGGGTATTCACCCATCAGCCGCAAAAACTCCTTGACGCCCTTTCGCACATCGTCAGCGCCATACTCGAACTCCTTCGAGATGGCCTCCGCCCTCGCAATCAAAGCCGTCGAATCGATAGGTGCCATGGTGTCCTCTTTGTTGTCAATGCGTGGTTGATAAGTAGATACCGCTTTACAACAACCACTGCTGCTGCTGAATATCTCTCTTGGTTGCCTGTGCGCTGTCCAACGACTGGTTGGTTCTGGTTGTGGAGGTCTTATGCGTCGAGGGTATGCAAAACCACCACTACTACTGCCACTTGTACTGTAGCCTTCGAAGTCAAAGAAGCGGACACCGATGCCAAGGACAAGCAACGTAAGCACGACAATTCTGACGAGGGGTCGCGAGGAGGAGAACGAGAAGTAGAAGTAGAAGAAGGAAGTGATATCTTGGTCTCCGTTCGAGGTTGCAACCGACGGATCTGGCTCAAAGATATCGGGGAGAAATATGGAGGAAGATTTATGAGAGAGAGGAGGAGAAGGAGGAGAAGAAGGAGGAGAAGAAGAAGATATCTCGTCAGTCACGACAAAGGAAGATGAAGGCTCCGAGATAGTGGTGCTGGGCAGCAGATGGGGAGCATATGGAGACGGGTTGCGCGGGGCGGAAACAGTAGTGGTAGCGGTAGCGCATCGGCTTACATGTCTCTGTGACGCTCGATGACGCTGCTGGCTGGCTCCTCCCAGTGCTCCTCCACCTTTGCCTTGAGGCACTTTGTTGGATTCCCCAATCAACATCCGGTGTAACCGGCCTTCTCTCCTTCTTCCGATCGATTACTGCTGACCTCTCTTCTCGTCCGCACTTTGCTCTCTTCCACACACACCCTTACCAGGTTTCCGCAATCAGTTCACGTTTTTTTGTTTCGATAATAATGGATTCCCCAGAATCCGGTTCCCTGCAAGTGGGCTCTTGTCCGGAATCACGGTGCGAGACACACACAGGACACACACGAGACAGCCCTTTCCACACGCCGCACTTAACCGGGGCTTGCGTTGAAAGTTTGTGTGTGTGCTACGAGCGGTTTTTGGACGGATTGGCTGTCGTCGTGCAGGGCGATGTGGTGGGGTAGAAGAGATGGGGGGCAGGAAGGGCGAAAGTGCGTGCGAGCGAATAAAAACAGATGCGGCAGAAGTGAGTATGAAGGAAGGGGTAAACGACACGTTCCGTTATCTAGAGTAGAGGATGGTGCGTACTCTACAGGCACTCTGGAGGGAGGGGAGTGAGGGAGGGATTGTCGAGTAGGAAGGGCTCAGGGAGGGAGATGGGCGGTCGAGGTAGTGAGCGGCCCGGGGGAGGGAGGGGGAGCTGTTTTTCCGGGCTTTCCAATTTGCAGTTCGCAGAGGCCACGAGCGGCCAACCAGGACAGAGACCAGCCGCATTCGGGCTAGAAAAAAAGAAAAAACGTTTGCGGAAGTGCTGCGTCGCATGCAGATGCTGCCAAGCCGGCCAAGCCGCAGCGAGTCGCACCCACGTCTCGATGGGGAAGGTCTCACGCAGCTGACAAGCACAAGGCAGCCGAAGCCGCCACACAGCGCTCCTCCCCCGCCGCCACCAGAACGCCAGCCAGGTGGCAACGCTATGTACGGCTCCCTGGCCGGCCATGTGGATTCCCCGCAAAACGGGAGGTGGAGTCAGATAAGGACGTCGAGTCGGTGATCATGGGTGACATGTGCCGGATGCTGAAGACTGAATCTGCGAGCTTGATACCGTATCACGTTTCAGGGTTCAGGCGGGGACGGTGATGCCCATCTCAATCCCATTTCTTCTCGAGCTCTCCTTCACTTCCACAGGTAGCCCTACGACCAGTTCGACTCGCCAGCCGCGGAAACGTCACATCACCTGGAGCTCTCGTCGAGACCAGTTCAGCCGTCGTCAATCACACGACTACCTCGATCTACGATCCGTAGCAAATGCGGAGCTAAAACTTGCTGTAGCTTGAACGGGGAAGTGGGCACACCCCTCCAGAAACGCCCGTGGCGCTTACGTTCAGTACAGTTGGTGGCGAAACATGTGGTTCACTGTGTGTCACTCGATTCATGCGAGGGAGACAACAGATGTCGGGGGTCATGAAGCCAGAAGGGTTGTATGCGGAGGAAATGGGTCGCTGCCTGCATAGCGCTGGATATCTGGACTGTAGACAGGACGTCTGGAGTGCGTAGGTATGCCATGATCTAGAGAGGCCGAGTGCATTAGGTACCTATGGTTGAACCTGGGTCGTAAACCATCGCGTTTTCCCTCCTGACTGCCGCGGGGTCGGATGGGCACATACCACGTTCTTTGTACCCGGTATGATTAGTTTCAAGTAAAATAGTAAACACTAGTCAGCCTTGTACCGTAGTATGTAGCCTGTGCATTCCCGGACATCAAAGCATCATCACGCCGCGCGGGGGAGGCAATGGGATGATTACTTGGTGGTTGCCACGGAGCCGGGTTGGCGGTATTGAGGGTGATACTGGTACTTGCAGGTTCCTTGGGTATCGGTGGGTCGCTGTTGGTTTATTCTCCGCATAGAAGAGCGAGTGTGAATGTGTTATGCCTATGGTTTCGGCGTCTGTGATGGGCAATTCGTCCTGGCAGCTTTATTTGTTCGAGGGCTATTCACGATCTACATGTACCTAATTACCAATATCCCTCCAAGTCTGGTATGCTCCATTCACAGCTGTTCGGACTCCAGGGCCAGCAAGACTACCCATTGACCACTGATATCCCCCAGTTGTGCCCTCTGCCACTGCTTGTTGCTAGCCAACGCCCTTCGAGGCTATTCGCAGCCGGAGAAGTCAACGGCCTCCATTCAAGCCGTGGGTATGAGGTACCTAGATGGCTAAATCAGTATCTTCCCAGGAGAAGGCTAGAAATCCTCTAGTATGGAGCAAGGAATTAACCTCGAGTCCGAGGTGAGCAATGGTGCTCAAAGTCATCATGAAGTGGCCATTGGTGCTCATAAATTATTACACTGAGAGCAATCAATGACACATAACTACCAGCTTACCGGGGAAAACGCTATAAACCAGTGCAAGGCTGAGTGGGTGAATGAAGCCTCTGATGATTGTTGTCGTAGCCAACTGTCTTGACCGATTTCTCGCAGACTTGTGCGAGAGCCCATAGACCACTGGAAGTCAGAATCCGCTGGTGCAATGGTCTATTGCTTGCGAGATACTCTTAAAACAGCTGGTCAAGACTCAACAATTCAAGTCTCCAGCTATCGCCATACAACCGCTGAAGCCGATGCACGGTTCAGTGGTCCCACAACACAGCTCCTGGTATACTTGGGATGATTCCGTTCTCTTCCTGAATCTCGTGCTTCCGTGATATGGAACGGAGGCTGATGCCCTGGAGTCGTGTGTTTGAGCTTCCCACAAATCTTCGGCCTGGGATAAGTACCCATGCCATGATCGATCATACTTGTCGGCGCTGAGCGTGAGGCTACAGTGAGAAAATGTGACTATTGCAGAGTGGAGCTACGTTTCTGGGAGGAGCTTCCCATGAATCTTCGACTCGGGATACCCATGCCATGATCGATCATGTATGATGTCGGTGCTGAACATGAGGCTGCAGTGAGAAAACGTGTCTGCCGCAGAGTGGGGTTACATTTCTAGAAGCTCACGGACTCGGATTGCAGAAAATCCAATAATTTGACGGGTTTCTAGAACATCCGTTCTTCTCCGCATCATTCCAGGCATCACATCACGTTGTCCGAGTGAGCTGAGACCGTCATTGTCACCTTTCATCTCGCCGCACCGCACCGCTCGCTCGCTCGCTTAACTCACCACCCCTGACGCACCTTTCCTCCCCACCATCCACCCACGCACGGAGGAGCTCACCACGACAGCCAGCCGCAATGACGACCACCGCGCTCCCCACCACCATTGTACGTCCCCTCCCCCTCCCCCCTCCCTCCCGCCCCCCCACTAACGCCCCCAGACCGAAAACGAGCTCACCTCGCTCCTCGCGCGGCTCTCCTCGAAGCCATCCGTCGACTCGCTGCTCGTTCTGGCGCGGGACACGGGCGCGATAATCCGGTCGACCGGCCCCCTCTCGCGCAGCACCAACACGACGAGCCAGGAGTATGCCGCCGCGGTGTACAAGTACGTGCAGGCGTCCGAGGAGCTCGCGGGGACGCTGGAGGGGATCGACGGCGGCGTGATGGGCGGTGTTGTGGTCGAGAAGGAGAGGCGCGAGCCGGGGACGGAGGAGGAAACTGTGAGGGATGATGTGCGGCTCTTGAGGTTTAGGACCAGGAGGAGGGAGCTGGTCGTTGTGCCTGGTGCGTTGAAGCCGTGAGAGGGGGGTTGGAGGGCTCAGGCTAATGTGGAAATAGATGCGAGGTTCATTCTGGTTGTGTTCATTGATACGCCTGCGGCGCCTTAGACGGTGCACGCGGCCAGGGCAGATGATGATAGATTCACGGCGTTCGGGCGTTGTTACATATACCAATACAAGTACTGAATCTAATGACATATGCTCTCCTTCTTTCTCAATTCCTCAACCCGTTCCCTCCACCCAGTAGCACCTCCCTCCCTCCGAACAACCTCCGCCACATCTACCAGGAAATTGGTCTTCCTCCTCCGGCCAATGACAGCGACATTCCTCGTGCTCGGAATCCTGAGCACCTCTCGTTCAACAACCCATCCGCACTCTCGTGCGATCCTCTCCACGTACGCACACAGACTAGCATACGTACTCTTAGAGAGGTTCATATTCAATCTCAGATCCCCGCTCTGCTCACTCTGCAGATCCTTCGGCGGCGGAAACCGTTTCTTCGCGCCCGAAAGATCATGCGAGCAGCAGGGGATAGCAATGAAGGGGCAATTACTCGCGGCCGCCAGAATCGGCGTCCACGGCGTCAGCTCATCCGTGTGATTGGAGATGATGAACGTGCCCTCCTCGAACCGTCCATCATGTTCCCCCTTCCCCGTTTCTATGCCATCATCCATTAGATACGGCACCAACACCATCTCGCGCAGCCTCTGCCTCGTCCTTGCCTCAAACCCATCCCAGCTCTTCCTCGCCCTGGCATCGAACCCACTGCCCGTCCAGCCCTCGCGGAGGAGCACATCGACCAGCACGCCATTGCCACAGCCGATATCGACAAATCCCATCCACCCCTTCTTCTCCTTGCCCTGGTACATGCGTTCCCACAGACATATCAAGAACGTCGCGATGAGTATATCCTCAAAGACATGTTTCCTGGGATCCGTCTTCTCCCTCCACCCGCCAACGAGGCGGGTGGCGTGCTTCGCCCGCAGCGCAAGATACCGGTCCTGGAACTCCTCGCGCGGAATCACCAGGTCGTGGTGCACGCGCTTCTCGTAGCCCGCCTCGATCCCGCCCGCAAGCTTGATCGCCCGGCTCAGCAGGTGGTGCGCCGTGCGCTCCAGCCGCACATTGTTAGGCTCGCCGTTGGCATTGAAGTAGCTGTAGAGCAGGGAGACGCAGTACTGCGTCTCATCCCCGCCGTCGTCGTCATCGCCGTCGTCGTCCGACGATGACGCGGGGAAGAGCAGCCATGCCACGCCCCGCACCTTCGGCAGGTAGTACGGCGTGCTCTCGGCGCTGTCGCAGTGGTTGAGGTATACCACTAGCTCGCGGATCTCGCCGGAGAGCGAGGCGTGCGTGAGGAAGTGGCAGGATTGGAGGGCCGGCGCGTCGCGGTGAGGGTTGCGCGGGACGAAGCGCCGGAGGAGCGTGCGCGTGGTCGCGAATGACGGGAGTGTGATGGAGCGTGGCTGCTCGGATTCACTGGGCGTGAGTGTGTCCGACCGCAGGATCCACGACGTGTTGTGTTCGGGATGCTCGAACATTTGGTGCAGTGAGGCGAGGAAGCTCGATGGCTTGTAGGGGAAGCGGGAGGTCAGCAGCGCGCTCCATATTTGCGGCGTGTTGGTGTGGTCGAGCGCGTATAGGTCTGGGGGGTGTGGGCGTTGCGGAGGCGGTGAGGACGGACTCGGACTCGCTGGAGTCGTCATAGCGGTGATGTTTTACTGCTGCTGCGGGGGTTTTGGCGCGGGGGGATCAGGTCCCATCCCAACCAACCAACCACCATGGTGACACCTAGCTTTATCCTGAATACCTTCACCTCTCAACAACACCATTAACACGTCGATTTCAATCTATTCCGCCTCTCATCAACCCCATTAACACGTCCAATTCAATCCATTCAACCGCAACAATGACCGCCCCCCTCTTCTCCCCTTCCCTAATCCCCGTCTCAATCCAATCCCAGCTTCCATCCGGTTACAAAGTCCGACCCCTAGAGCGCACCGACTACGGCCTGGGCTTCCTCGACGTCCTCCGGGTGCTCACGACCGTTGGTGACATCAGCGAGGAAGCATGGACGGAGCGCTACGACTGGATGGCAGAGCACTCGTCCGAGTACTTCATTGTGTGCGTCGAAGACGACTCTGGGAAGGTTGTCGGCGTAGGCTCTCTCGTTGTTGAGCGGAAATTGTAGCTCTCCAACCCAACCCATTCTTATTCTTATTCTTCTCCATTGACTTGGCAATGCTAATGAACGGGTGGGTGCATAGTCTCCGTAACCTAGCAGCGTGCGGCCACATCGAGGATATTGCCGTTGCGTCCGAGCAGCAGGGAAAGAAGCTGGGCCTGCTGATTATTCAGACGCTGGATGCCATTGCGCAGGCGGTGGGATGCTACAAGGCTATTCTTGATTGCTCCGAGAAGAATAGGCCGTTCTATGAGAAGTGCGGGTACAAGCTTGCGGGTATCCAGATGGTAAGTTGCACTGCCCGAAGGAGAGATGTGGGATGGGAGGCTGATGCGGACAGGCGAGGTACTACGACGGTAGCACGCCGAAGGATGCTCCTAAGGAGTCGACGTAGGTTTGGCATACCCGGGAGTTATAGAATTGGATGCTTGAGGGTGATAGATAGACGGTGTTGGAATTGTTTCAGTACTGTGGGAACATTACAGGCCTTCTTCTGTATAGCCACTCTATCCTGTCCTCTCAAGTCATCAACACCCAATAACCACCCCACGGTCCAAAGCGTCATCAAGTGATCATCCCAAAACATACACTCGATTCATCAAGGTCACATCGGCCCGTATTGACGCAGAAGCCCATAGCTCCGAAGGTGATGGGGGGCACCCAGACGAGTTGATAGCTCCGTTGTCTCATGCATTCTAAAGCAGCCAATACGACCATGAACTCACGCGTAAGACAATATACAGCTGGAACCCAGGAGATCAAGCCTGCCGCTCTCGACTGATACAGCGAAGATCACTGAGCCGTCACACACAAGTGGTCGTCATATTTTTTCGATGACGTATTCTCATGTTTTGAAATTATCATCGTAGAACGCCCACCGAAAAACCTTGATCCAACCCGCCCAACCCATTTAAAACTTAACGAGTTTTGGGAGCCGCCTTGGGGGCAGCACCCTTGGCACCCTGCTTAGATACCTTCTGTGCCTGACCGCGGGCAGCACCGGCAGCGTTCTTGGCCTTCGCGGCCTTCTTCACGCTCTCAGCGGCAGCCTTCTTCTCCTTGCCCTCCTTGATGGCGGCGGCACGGACAGCCTGGCGGGCCTCGGGACGCAGCGAACGCTTCTCCTTGATCACATCGAGCGACAGACCAACGATGGGACGCTGGGCCTTGACGGTGCGGCGGGTGCGCTTCTTGGCGGTTTCCTATAGTGGTTGTCAGTCGTCACTCGCACCTATGCGTATCTGTGACATGACAATGACGAACCTCGTGGACACCCTTCTTGTGCTGGCGACGGAAAAGAACAGTCCAGGCGATCCGTCTGGGGTTCTTGCGCTGAAGGAAGAGCGACTCGGACTTTCCGTTCACGAAGCGGAAGATCTTGGAGTCACCGCGGACAAAGAGCTTTCCCTTGGAGGGGTAGATCTTGCGACCTAGCAGTAGCGAAGGTTCGTTAGATCATGCTCGGCGGGTAGGAGTGAATAGACGCGGTCGGTGGATGGACTGAGTAGGCAAAGGCATACCGGAAAACGAATCTTGCTCGACCTGTTTGTACCAATAGTCAGCTTCTCGAGATCCCCATCAAGCTTAAAAAGCAACGTCCGCCTAAATATCCAGCTGTTGCTCAGAGCTGTGTTTGAACATAATCCCGTCCCTGCCTCTTCGCCAGAATAATCCCATCTCTTCCCGTTTCATTCTTGCAGCACTTCCCCAGCTTCCCAGCAATTCCCCCTATGTTCAAACACAGCTCTGCTCGCCTCCTCCTCTTTCCTCCGTATCGCCCCGCAACAGCCTCGTATTTTTTTCGGCCGCGACGCAAAAACAAACGTACCTTCATTGTAGCTGGTTAGTTCGTCGAAGGAAATCGGGGGGTCGGTCGGTCGGGGTCGTTGTTGTCGTCGTTTGATATTTCGTTTGTGGCGTTAGATTGGGGATGATTTCCGCACCCGGCCGTGGTGCGCGCGAGAGTTCGTGTGTGTGGGGCTTTGGGCCCAAAAGACAAGTCACAACTAGAGGGCAAGGTGCGTGCTGTTTGTGGGCTTGGCGTAAGTTCATGACGTAGCACTCGGCTGGGAGAAGAACGGTGGCTTGAAGTGGCAATTTTTGATGATAATTGAGGCGTAGCTTTATGCACAAGAATCATAACGACTATGGTCGGCAGACGAGAATTGAACTATCCTCGCGGCAGAAGTTCGTCCTTGCGCACAAATAAATTGGGAAGAGAATATTCACACCAACTAGGACCACGATGTGGATTAGCCACTCTAACGAAATGGGCCGCCAAAAACTATGCCCAATGCCAATGCTCACTCTCAGCATTTAAATAGGCGCATCAGCCGCAGTTGTGCGCTTCTCATTCGCTTACATGGTCGCTCATCCTGAACCCGGGGAGGTCGATACATACACTATCTAAATCGACAAACACCATCGATTGCCTTTGTGGCGTTTGACTATTGTCAACGATTAGATCTTCAATCTTTTACAGCTATCTTGTGTGTCCATACTAAAGATGGGGCAATGGCATCTGGTAGAGCTGATGGGGATTGTCCTCTCTGTGAGGTATAAATGAAGCTTCCGTGCGGTTCGAGAAGGGGACAGTCCTTGGACATTAATTTCTCACAGCTGGCGAGACCAAAACAACGCCGTAATATTTTTTGGAGTACATAGCCGGGTTACCCCCGCCGAGCGAACGATGTCTTGGGGGATGGAGGAAGTCCGTCATGATCGGGGTAACGGTCTTCTCATACTTTCTAAAGCAACATCTACTGGATATTCTGATGTACAGGAGTAAAAAATCCACCAGTTGTTCATTGATTCGACGTAGTAAACTACAACTTCGCCGCCCCATTGGCCGCCCCATTGGCGGCCCTGCATTCATCAGTCCTCCTCCCATACCGGCATCCCCAAGCTACCAAGCACTTACAAAGTCTCCTTCAGGAAGTGCACCAGCTTCTTGTACCCCTTCTCATAGTACTCCAAATTCTCCTTATCCTTCAAGTTCGCCCTTGCAGCCATGAACCCGTGGAATGTTCCCTCCCACCTGAGCACCAGACTCTTCTCGCCGACGACGCCCTTGACGGCCTCCAGCACGGTCCTGAACCCCTCCGTCGCCGCCGCATCTTCATCCTTCGTCGACAAGCAAAAGTGGGGAATGGTGATCTTCGCAGCGTCGGCGGGATCCAACATAGCGGGATGCAACTGGGCACTCGCGGCGAACCCCTCGCCGGCACTCAGCAGCGTAACAATCTTGCCGCCCCAGCAGTAGCCAATGACGGCCCACCTATCGACGGCGGGGTAGGTCTGCTTAACGGCGGGCAGGACCTCCGCGCGGATTTTCTGCACCATGGGGCCGGGGTTGGCAAGGCCCGCAAAGAACGTCTGCAGCGCCTGCTGCTTCTCAGGGGTGTCGGGCGGGAAGTTCGCCATGTCCATGGGCGCGCCGTCGAATAGGTCGGGCATCACGACGAGGTGCCCAGAGGACCCAATGATGTCGCACCCCTGAAGCGTCTGCGGGAAGTCCATGCCGAAGATGTCGTAGATCACGAGCACGCCCGTCTTCGATGTGGTCGGGCCAACGGCGTACGTTCGCAGCGACGAGATCGTCGTGTACGTGCCCTGCGTCTGGTAGTTGTCGGTGTCCGAGACGACCGGGGGGATGGTGCAGCAGGCTTTGGATGTCATTGTGGAGGTTGTGGTAATTGGTGATGGTGGGTTGGCGGTTGATTGATGTTGAGATGAGGTTTATGTATTATGTATTGACGGAAGGGAGTGCTGCTTCTTCTAAACAGCGGTTAACCCCGCCGGACTTAGCTGACTTAACTGACTTAACTGACGTCAACATGGGCTCCCCAACCTCGGCGTATGCACAATCCCTGTTGCCGATAAACAATGCGACGATGTCTGGACAACGAAAAGTGCACACATATGGCAGCGGGTGCAGGTACTTCACAGAAAAGATTTAGACTGGTTACTTCACGCGAATGGTCGACCAGTAAACGACAGATCCCTCTCCACCAGTTCCATTACTAACTATATCCTTCTAATCCCACTGCAAAAAATCAAAGAGGTATCAAACACTGTCCATCCCGCTCTACACAGTCTGACCACCACCGTACACCTTTCCGAGCGCCACGTTTTTCGCGTTGGCAACAAAGTATTTCCTTCCCTTGACGAACCAGACCAACACTCCCCACACCTTCCACTTGTTGAGGATACCCGTTCCCATGGCGAAGCCACCTCCAACGGGCACCACCATCGGTGTCTCTTCATCCTTGTACTCCTTGAACGCCTCCTCGCCCTTTCCTCCAACCACCGCCAGGATATTTTCGACCGCGGCCTCGAGCATGGGCTTGGTGGTGATCGTCTTCTTCTGCTTGACGGCCGCTGCGTCTCCAATCGCCCAGATGTTCGCTTGAACGGTGCTCTGCATGTGCGCCGAAACCTTGACGCTGCCGGACTCATCCAGCAACTCCGCTGGGAGGAACTGGGTATTCGGGGTGATTCCGTAAGTCGGAATGTGCAGGTCCGTCACCATCGTCTCGCCATTCGACAGCGTGAGCGTCAATCCCTCGTCACCGGCGACCTCGGTCGTGACCTTCACGCCGACATGCACCTCGACACCCAGACCCTCCAACAACTTCTGCGCCGTCAACCCAACATCCTCCCGGACCATCGGCAGACACCGCTCGCCCGACGACAAAAGTATAATCTTCTTCCCCTTCCCCTTGTACAGCGTTGCGATCTCGCCCGCCGTCTCCACACCCGTCGGGCCCGCACCACTCAAGACAATCGTCTTCGCGGCCTCAATCTTCACCTGACAGTCCTTGAGCGCCTTCGCGGTCTGCACATGAGTGCCCACGGCCTTGAACGGCCACGCACCCGCACCAGCCGCGCCAGTCGCCACCACAAGATGCGCATACTCGACGACCCTCTCGGCGCCCTCGACACCCTCATCATCCACGCTCTTGATGGTGACCTTATTCGTGGCCGCATCGACGGCGCTTGCCTTGCCCTGGATAAACTCGAAGCGGTCCTCAGCGTAGGCGGCGAAGCCCGGGGTGATGGGCGCAAACACGTCCGCGTTGTCGGTAGAGAACTGGTTATCGCGGGCGACGGCGCGCGGCGCCGCAATGTTCCAGAATATGTGTGTCGATGGGTTGACGAGGATCACCTTGTACTCGGACGGTAGCGCACGGAGGAGCTTGTGCGTCGTTGGGATGCCGGCGAAGGAGGCGCCGAGGATCACGATGGTGGGTGTGGTAGTGGCCATTTTTGTTGTGAGTGGGTGGTGAGGGTGAGGGGCGGGTGGGTGTGCGTGAGGGCGGGTGCGGGATCGAGGTGCTGGATGAATTGTATGGGGACTGCCTCGTGGGAGGGGGTTTTATATGGCTGGCTGGCGGCAAGAGAGAAAGTTATCGGAAGGGGTTGAGAGAAAGTTATCGGGAAGGGTTCGAGAGCGGGAGCTAAGCCAGGGACCGTTTTTGTGGGACGAGCGGGTAGGGAAGATCTAATCTCGAAGAACGATATGCGCAGCTTGAGAGACAGAAGTGTAACCGCAAGGAGTAGCAGTGAACCGAAACTAGGCGGCGGACTACGGACTGTTGACTGTGGACTGACTGGGGATTGTGGACTGCGGACTGTGGACTGGGACTGCGGATTTATATCCTCAGTCCACCTCACTTCACGACTTCAAAGAGGCTGATAAGAAAATCGCTTGCCGGCAGATCGATCTGTCGCCTACGTAGTTTCAAGTAGTCCGTAGACCCTGCATGTGCTTGCAGGAACACCAGGAACTCCGAGGCCGCTCCGTAAGCGTTTTTTGTGTGCTTGTTAATTCCAGCAGAGCTGCGGGGCTTCCTTGCACAGAACCACATAACCACATGGGACCCCACATACGATGCTCTCGCGAGCTGCCCGGGAAATTCGCAATGTCCGATCGGGGAGGCAAGACACGGAGCGAACATGGGCCGCCTATGGAGAGTCGCAGTAGCAGGGGCCGGGTTGAGGAATTTCCGAAGGTCCGTGTGCAGTTACCACGAGCGATGGAACGTGATCTCTGCATACATAGGCTAAGCGTGACTCAGTGAAAACCCGTGGTGAGTAACAACGGAGCACTGAGCATACGCGGCGCCGACAGATTGGACGTCGGGCGTATCTACACTGTAATAATCACTCGAGCTGTAGCTCATTGGAGGTCGGATGTTCACGGTACTCTATGACCGCACAAAGACTGGAGACTTGGGCTCGTTCGTTTGATGCTTGTTGCTTGACCATACGACACTCATATTCCCATGTACTTGTCGCACATCTTTGTCCTTTCCCGAGAGAGAGGAACATCAATTTGTTATTACATATGGCCCTTCTAGACTACCTATGGCGACCTTCTACCCGATCTTTGCTGCTTTTTTGTGTAGTCATTAATCGCATGTCACCTACTGAAGTTCCTACCGGTATGTACTCTATCTACTCCAGATCATGGCAATACCTACCGGTATGCCCCGACCTTCCTGCTTTTACTCGGGCTCGGCGGGACTCACATCGCCGAGTAAGCTCCCGTGATCCTTCACATATGTATCTCCAGATCATATTCCTCCGCCTCCGTTACAACTCGCCCGCCTGTCTCCGCCACTCCAAGATCCTGTGCGAGATATCATTATCATACGTCGGCCCCACGATCCCCGATACACCATTCCCAAAGCCATTCTGTGGCCCATCGTCAGCATTTCACATCCACTGCCCAATTGACCACTTCGGGATGGGTAACTCACATATACACCTTTCCACTTATACCGCCTCCTTGCCGCGACGATCTCAGTATACTCGCACCACTTCCCCTTCCCTTTAGCCTCAACGCCGCACCTTAAAGCCCTTACCTCACCCTTCAACACCGCCTTGCCATAAACCTCCCTCGCCCCCCAATCCCTTTCCAGAATCCACGCGAGCAGCCGCGTATGCCCCTTCCCCGCGGCGATCACCACCGCCGCCGGCGCCTGCGCCGAGATCTGCGTTGTAAAATCTGGGCGGCAGTCGTCGTGGTCGTCGTCGGAGCAGGTTAGGAGCATAGCCTCCACCACACCCAACGCCGCGTCCTCATCCTCCAGCGCCACCGCGATCTGCACCGGCGTGCGCACGCCTAAATGGCGGGAATTAACGCGCGCCCCACTCCCCACCAGCAGTCTTACCGCCTCCGCATCGCCATTGCCGACCGCCGCTCTCAGCGCGCTATCCGTCGCCTCCGCGCCCGCCCGTAACAAGACCGCCAGCGCGCCGTGCCGCCTGCACTCCACCGCAACCTCCACCGGCGATCTCTTCCCAGTATCCAACCGCGCCCCCAACCCCAGCAGCGCCCGTAGCACCTGAACATCCCCCCGCTTCGCCGCGGCATGTACGGCACCCCACCCATCCACACCCACAAAATCCACATCCGCGCCCGCCTCCGCAACCAGGAATGTCACCATGTCCACCCCCCGCGCAACACAGATCGCGCCCGGATCCACCACCGCGCCCGCAGCAAGCAGCAGGCGCGCATGCGCCACTGCACCATCGCCCGCCGCCGCCGCAGCCAGGAACGGTGTGCGCCCCGCGTGGTCAAGCGCGGCCACGTCGGCGCCGGCGCGCAGCAGTGCGGCTAGTACGGACGGCCGCCCGAGCCGCGCGAGCCAGTAGTGCAGCACCCACTGCCGGCCCTGGATCGTGGCGGGCGCTGCCGCACGGATGAACACGGGGAGGAGCACGGCTTGGAGGCGCGTACTGGCGCTGGAGAGGGCGAGGACTGTGAGCACGGGGGTGCTCGGTGGGGTTAGGGGGGACCAGACAAGCTGGGTTTTCTGCAGTGCCGCGGAGAAGCGTGGGATCCACTCGCCGCTGGAGGGGGAGAAGGGTTGTGACTGGATGTAAGAGGCGATCTGCAAAAGGAGCTCGGGAGGGAGGGTTTGTAGTGACATGGTGGTGCGGATTGCGGGTGGACTCTGGGGGAAGGAGTAAGGCTGGGCTGCGGTATATATTTATGGAGGGGATGTAGGTATTGCGGGGATGGTGGGGTTATGTAGGGACGGTGATACGGGAGTTGCGGTGACTCGGTGAGTCATGGCCGACAGGCCACGGTTTCGGACTGCGAATACGGGGGGAGGAGTCAGTGGGATATTTCTGCATAGAAGCGAGATAGACGACGCTGCGGTGGGAAAAGAGTGAGTGATATCACGTGGCTAGTGATATGGGCGACGGCGCCGCCCATTGGCTCACCCAGCCGCACCCGAGTCAGCACTATGACACGGGTAGGTGCCTTCAGCTTCTTATCTATCTGGTCGAGCCAGAAAGCGGGTCAGGATCTAGATCCGTTTGCGCTCAGATATGTAGTCTGGGCACGCATCATAAAACGAACTGCCTCTCATTATCATATCAATCACGTAGTGTTACAATTTACCACATATACACGGCGTAACTCCTGGTATCGCCTCATCATTTGTAGCAGTTAGGAAACCAAAAGAAAGGATACAAAATGCGTATCCATCCCAGCACAGAAACACAGAAACCCACAGAGCGTTAACCCCGACCAAAGGTAAGTAAGTAAGCAGCGCCTATCTGGTTTACGTCATCGCATGGGTGCGCGTCCACTCCCGGGCTGCGTACATACCGTCAGCACAGCACAGCACAGCACAGCACAGCACAGCACAGCACATGCAAGGACGGAACAAGGAAACTCACCGGTGTTGATAGCCGCCTTTTCGTCCTCCTTCCACCTCTGGGCGACATCGTTCGCGAGGGGATCGTCCGGGTTGGGAGCACCAAGGAGCGCTTGGATGGATAGCAGGATGGTGCGGATCTGCAGAGCGGGCGACCAGTTTCCCTTGAGAACGTCGAGGCAGATGCGCCCGAGACGGTCAATGTTAGGGTGGTAGATCTTCGTCAGGAACCGGATTTTTGGCGGCGTCATCGGGTAGTCCTCCGGAAGGAAGAGCTCGAGACGGAAGATTCCTCCTTCGTACGGGGACTGTGCTGGGCCGTGGATCTAGAGGTGCGATTAGATGGGAGGGTGAAAGGAGGGAGGGTGATCGTTACAGAAACATCAAAGTAACGGAGGTTGTCGTCGTGCGGGACTGCGTTGATGCCGGGGACTCTAGATGGTCTTAGATGCATGTGGGTGCTATCGTGGTAGAGCTAGTACTTACGGCTCCGCGACGAGACGTTCAGTCTCCTTGATGATCCTCTTGGGAAGACCGGAAGCCATGGTGTAGTGCGTGTTGTGGGTTGCGGCGGAGGTGAAGTGGAAGGCGGTGGTAGTTGTTCTGTCGGACGCGGGGGGACTTCGGACGCGTAGTGTGTTCGAAGCAGTTGTGAGTTGGGCGGTGGTGGAGGGTGTCGATGTGATGGAGTGTGCGTGCGGGGTTCTTTTCGCTTGCACGGGTCGGCAGCTAACTGGCTGCCAGCAGTAGGGTTTCAGAAGGCTTGGAAATCGGTGGCAAGGCTGTGAACCGTGGTCGAAGAAGCAAAGACCTGAGCAAGATGATGGAAGGTTTCCACGGGGCACATCCTATCGGTAAGCTGACTGCCAGGTCCGTAGTACCGTAAGGCGGACAAGAGCCGACCCGATGCCGGAGTGTTCTGGGCGGAGATATCCGGAGGCTCCGAGTCAAGAGATCAATTTTGGCAGCGCCGAACCGAGTCCTAAAGTCGTGCCGTTCCATGCTGCCATCCATCCCGCAGCTTCCCATCCTAGCGTGCCTGTGTCGTCCAACTCGTCGAAAATCGGCGAGTTCCGAATCCATCGCGGCAGCGGCATGGAGCCACCCACCCCAGGGAAATTCTTCTCAACACATCGTCCCACCAATCTGCGTCTCCACTGCAGAGAGAAATCAATCCTTCCCTCCCGACGCACGCCCATCAGCAGCCGGCGCGGCAGTCCAATCAGCGCACGTTGCTGCAGCACAACGGCTCCGAACAATCCATCGTCGATCCCCCTCTGCGCTGCTCCCTACTCTAGAGTAGAGTAGCTCATCATAGCGGTGCTTGCAGCCAGCACCAGGTTGCTCGGTAGTGACGCTGTCAAGGCAAACCCCGTTTAAACGGCGCCCTGCCCATCGACGGAGGGAAGAAGAAGGAAAAGCATACCGTGCTCGCTCTCGGCACTATCCCCATCTCGTCGCCGTCGAAATACGCAGTCCGACCTCAGTCTCCGCGGTCCGTGGTCCGTCGCACATACGCTGTCCATCGTTCATCGTCGTCATCGTCGACCCGCCCGCTCAGCCAGACCGAAACGAGCATCGCTGGCCTGAGTGAGGCACGAGTCAATCCACCCCACCCCCGCGTGCGTGGCCTGAATGGTCTACTTCGATTCGCCACCGGACTACACCGCACAAGAGCAACTCGAGCGGAGCAACCGGAGCAGCAGGAGCCTCGGTCTGTCGAAAAAAGGGTGCGCATTCACTGCGCGCAGGATATTGCAGTTGTCGTCGAGTCTCCACACCGAGGGGAAAGGAGGCGAGAAGTTGGCCATCTCTTGAAGGATTGGCGTGGCCATTGCACGTTGTTGCAGCAAGGAAGAATTTTGGATTCTGTACTACGACACTGCAGAGTGTGAGTGTGTTCGACTTCTCAGCCTCGTTCACCGCTCGGCGCATCATCACGGATCAGCGCAGGGCAGAGGTTCATAATACGTGTTTTTTTTTTGACGGGGATCACACACGGCGACAAGCATACCACGCCGGAACACCTTGGGGGTGATCAAACCGCAGGACACAACTTATATATCGGATACATATTCTCATAGGTACGTGCAAGTGGGAATATGCATAGAACCACTGCTGGGAAGCTGTCCATGGCGTGCTAAGGCTGATTTATTCGTCGGAATAGCATCATCATCTCTGTTTCCACTTTTCTCTCGGATTGAGCGAACCCATCCTCGCGTAGCAGCAGATTAACACTTTTCCGCCGCGATGAACTCCTCTTCTCCGTCCCCTACAAAGGGCGGCGTAATCGACTCGCCCTTCGACTCGCCGACTTTCAAGTTGGACATGTCTATAAAGGTCGACGCACCCGTCGGAGCCATGTCAATTTCGCCATCCAGCAGAGATGTCGTGCTGGCTTCCAGGCAGGGACTACATATCGTGGATCTGGACAACCCCTACGATCCACCAAGATTCCTACAGCATCTGACCGCCTGGTCAGTGGCCGACGTTCAATGGTCTCCGCATGCATCGCACTCGCACTGGGTCGTGTCGACGAACAACCACCGCGCGATAGTATGGAACCTGGCAATGCCATCGCACAAGGCGATCGAGCACGTCCTTGCATCACACACCCGGGCCATCACGGACATCAATTTCTCAGCGCACGAGCCGAACGTCCTCGCGACATGCTCGGTGGATTCATTCGTGCACTGCTGGGACCTGCGCGCTCCGCGGCGCCCAGCAATCAGCTTCTGCGACTGGCGGGCCGGCGCCACGCAAGTCAAGTACAACCGCCAGAACCCGTACATCCTTGCCAGCGCCCACGACCGGAACGTTTACATCTGGGACACCCGCATGGGAGCGCGAGAGATCCGGAAGATTGTGGCCCATTCGACCAAGATTTACGGACTGGACTGGAACAGGACACGGCCTACCGGTATCGTGACTTGTGCGCTGGATAAGAGCGTCAGGTTCTGGGATTACGAATATGCGCCGCACGATACGCCGGAGAGGATCATCCACACTCCGTTTCCGGTCTGGAGGGCGAGACATACTCCCTTCGGATGGGGTGTTCTCACGATGCCGCAACGCGGCGATACATCGCTTTACCTGTGGGATCGCCGCGCTAAGGGCACAAATCAGGACGAACCGGTAAAGAGATTCGAGGGACACACAGACAATGTCAAGGAGTTTCTGTGGCGGTGGCGAGGTGGAGAACGCGATGACGGAGGCGACAGTCGGGAGTTCCAGCTCGTCACATGGAGTCTAGATAAGGACATCAGGCTATGGGATGTCAGCCAGGACGTCATGGCGAAGATCGGCCACGACCCGAATAAGAAGATGCGGTTCCGGGTCACCAGGAAGGGCGCAAAATACATTACTTTCCGTGATACCGATGCGGTGGTCAAGGAGTTTGCCGAGAATCTGAAGGAGAAGGAGGTTTCGAAACTGCCGCCGCCGCCGAAATTGACCTTGACGGTGGACGGAGCGCGGATTCGCAAGGACGGACTATTTATCGGGCAGAGCAAGGGCGGCTTGTCGCACGGCATCGGCCAGCAGCTGAACGGGAATCCCCCCAACGATGATGGTGATCGGCGCTTCGAGAGGGCTTTGACTGGTGCCCGAGAAGGCGGATTCATGCGTGTTGGTCGTAGGAGGCCTCTCGAGATAAATCCGATCACCTGGATGAAGGGAGTGAAGATCACTCGGAAGGTGCCGGAAGGCGATGGCAACATGGACGGCAGCCGTTCAAGTGCTCGTGGTGATTTTGGCATGAGCTGGGACACGCCGGAAAACCTGGGAGACGAGGTCTCGCTGGTGGGGTCCAAGCTTAAAAATCTTAACTTCGAGAAAGTCAACATCGCTACCAGGACCTGTACGGTCTCGCTCACTGGCCCCTGGGGACACGACGGCAAACGAATCTTTGTTCGTGCGGATATTTCATTCCCGGCGGAGTATCCATCCAACGGATGCAGCATTCCCGAATTCAAGTTGGAGAGGACAAACAATCTTTCTGACGAGAACATCGACACGATTGATTTTCAGCTCCGACGGATCGCGACGGCATATGTGGCCCGGAGACGTGTCTGCCTCGAGCCGTGTCTGCGCCACCTGATGGGCGAGCTTGCCGACGAATCTGAATTCGCAGGATCGGATGACGACCAGGTCTCTTCTTCTGACGACGAGGAGATTGTCAATACCAGCATCCTCGGGGACGAGGAGGAGGGCCTCAGCAGCTTGCTTAACAGCGCCAAGCAGGAGTCTGTTCCACTGCCGAAAGCCTGCGGTGCGATATGGGCGCCCGATGGTCGGTTGGTATGTTTTTTTCCGCTCAAGGAAGAACGGACGGCAGGAAAGGGTTTGCTGTCTTCCCTCGCAGCACGCGAAAACGAGAGAAGCATGCGGATTCCAGGCGGCGGACGGCTGTGGGAGGGTTTTGGAAGGCTTTACATGAGTAACTCTGCGAGAGGTCGTGCCGACGATGGCGACCACGATAGCTCCGACACCTCCAACAGCTCCTACTCCAGCGACGACACGAGTGATGGAGATACCGATCTTCATCACACTGGCCAACTGAGATCGAGCTTCGGCTGGAGACTACAAGCCAACTCTACATTGACGCGGATTCGGAGAGGTGGCAGCACAGACAGGAGTACGCAACGTAGCACGGGTACCGGAGTCAGAACTGCCGCCACGATTACTCCCGAGAAGAAGAAGAGTGTCGCTTCGATTCACGACTTTTCGTATCTCCTCCCTGCAAAGAAGGAGCTTGCGTCTTTCTATCATATCGGGGAAGGTGCTGAGGTGTGCAAGCATAACGCGGAGGTCGCCGAGAGGTTTGGCTTGAGGGATCTGGCCGACGTGTGGCGGTTGGTGGAGATGGTGCTCTGTGACGACGTCCCGCTGGAAATCTATAATAGCCCCAAGAACCACGGGGAGATGGTCATGGTCATGGCTAGACGGGCGTGCTTGGAGAGTGGTCGCAGAGACAGCGGTCTGGGAATGGAGTTTGACGATGATGAGGACACTATGATGGCGATGCCGGAGAGCGAATTCTGGGGAAAGGTCAAATGGGGTAGCCATCCGATGGGCGGCCGCTGGTTGATTGAGCAGCTCTTCGAGTACTTTGAGAGGAAGGCGGATATTCAGATGCTGGCGATGTTGAGCTGTGTCCTCTGCGAGACGGACAATAGGATTGGGCATACCGAGCCATCACCTGTAGTAGGCATCGTGAGTGTGCCCTCTACCCGTGCCGTCCGGCAATGGCTGATTTCCACGCAGAACATACCGTTTAAGAAACAGAATGTTTCGCGCGACTACTATGCCAGCATCGAGATGATGCTGCAGTCCCAGCAGCAGTCGGTGGCGTTCTCGGTTTCGCCCTCGCATCACTCAGCTAACCTGACTCCGATGGGGACCGCGGGATCGTACAGCTCATCTGTAGGTAGCAGGATGCATTTCGGCAGTGACCCTCTGATACCATACTCGACCGGGACTACACCTCCAACAGCAGGTTTCCGCCTCGGCACAGAGGACTGGTCCGGCCCGATCTCGCTCTCGGCGTCACCCGAACAGTCTCACAACCACATGTTCCGCCGCAACCGGGCCTTCGGACCGGGCAATGCGTCGCCACCATCCAGAAGACAACCTCGCCCATCGCCGGCCGAGAGCGTACTGGGTCCGTTCGCGAACTCGGCGGTTACGTGGGGGGTCACCACCACATTCGGTTCGGGCAGTAAGGCAGCCTCCGACACGGTGACAGACTCAGACAGCGGCGACCCGATGGACCCGATCACGATCACGATGTTCAACGGCCCGCTGATCGACGACGCGCCGCTGCTCTCCCCCAAGCGGCGTACATTCTACCGGGCCTACCGCGAAGCCTACGCGGACCTCCTCTTCGCATGGGGGCATACGATCTCGCGGCTCGAAATGCTCAAGTTCTCTGCGCTCGAGCCGCCGCCGGCGTCGCCGATCCTCCTGCCGGTCCGCAAAGCCGCGCCAATGGGCCTCGAGATCGCCGGCTTCTGCAGCAAGTGCGGCGGCGTCCTCGACGTCACCTCCGGCGCCCGCGGTGAGTGCAAGGTCTGCAAGCGCAGACAGGTCACGATGAACTGCGTCGTCTGCGAGGTCATCATCAAGGGGTTGTACGGCGCGTGTCTCAAGTGCGGACACGTCGCGCATGCGACGTGTTGGCGCGGTTGGTTCGACGGCGTAGGTACTAACAGCTTGGATAGGGGTTGTCCCACTGGCTGCGGTTGTGTATGCCTCTTTGAGGAGGAGGGCGATCTGCTGGGGCCTGAGGTCATCCTCGAGCCGCCCGTAGTGGGGACGCCCGGTGTCGAGAGGGACTGGGACGCGTTTGAGGGCGAGGATCTGTGGTAGTACTGGATTGTTGTGTGTGTGGGTATAATATACTCTGTGATTGTGTTCATCATGGGAGGTCACTCGTCAAGGTTCATTTGTAAAAGTAGTGTACACTGGTAGTGAGAGCTATATCATATTCCCTCTTTCCCCACCCGCGCCTCTTTTCCACCGCCGCCGCCGTGGTTCTTTCCCTTCTTTCCCTTTTCCTTGTCATGACCACCGCCTCCGCCTCAGTGATTGTGTTCATCATGGGGGATCACTCGTCTAGAGGATCTATGGGAAGGTTCATTTGTAAAAGTAGTGTACACAATGGTGATGCTGATGGTAGTGAGACTCGAGAGCTATATCATATTCCCTCTTCCTCACCCTCACCTCTTTTCCGCCGCCACTGCCGTGGTTCTTTCCCTTCTTTCCCACCTTCTCTTTCTCAACACCCGTCCAGCAGCAGCTTGCTCTCTAGCATCCTCCCCGGCGTCCCCCCCGGTGTCCTCCCCGGCCCCTTCCTCTCCAGCACCCCTCTGAATACTACCAGTCTACCACCGCTCCGGAAGGTCTTTGTTGTGTTGTGTTGCTTTTACTCGTATATAGGCCGAGCCCTTTTCCGGTCACTTCGTATACATATCCAGTCACTTCGGCAGGCAGGGGGCCGGTCACTTGGCCGGGTGGCCGGTGCATTTATAAAATACTATGATGGTTTTGCCCGGCAGGTTAGAACAGTTAGAACACATACCTGGTATAAAGGAGCTTCTCCGAGCCCGCCCGCCAGCACTGTACTTGCGGTAACGCGGGAACGCGGGAACACCGAACGTTGAACGGCACGCCGCACGCCCTACACAGATCTATTCCTTCCTCGTTCCTCTCCTCTTGATCTACCTATCTAGGTGGGTATCCAGGGGACGTCCTCAGTAGGTACCTAGTAGGTACATGAAGAAATCGAACCATCCGCTCTGGTGTACGTTGGTGTTGGTGTACCCACATTCTCTCTAGATCTACCACATTCTGGCTCGTTTCTAGCCCGTACATAAGTTCATCGGCAGGATGCCCCAGTTCCAGTTCCCAGTTCCCGAGCCCGAGCCCGATCCCGATCCCGAGCCTGCGCGGGCCCCGTCGGATACCTACCAGTCGGCAGCGCTTTCGGTCACGCTATATAGGTATCCGGTCCCGAGTCCCGACTGAGTTGCGGCCGCGCGCTGATCGCCGTGTTATATAGAGCTAGGGGGAGCTCGGGTGGTGGGAATGATCTCGGCATACATAAGTAGAGCCATGGCCCGCCCATACGAGGGCGGGTATAGGGGTGTGGGGGAGGGTGTAGGTGTGCTTTCGGTTACTGCGCGCAGGATGCGGGAGGAGATGAGATTCAGGGGCGGGCTGCTGCCTGTGAGTGTGGAGCTTTGGTGGATAGTACGGTAAGTGTTGGTTCTTACCATTGAAAGCTACATATACCTATTAACATCTAGTATATACCATCATTGTGCGTTTCCCAGTCCGGCACGGCACGGCACGCAATCATTCCGACGCACAAATTACAATGGGTGCTCTAGCTGAGGTTGGTTGGGAGAATTGAGTGATAAGCCATGTAACGATTTAATATTCGGTTATACTCTGATATGTAAAATGGCAAGAAGAACAACAGCAGCTTCCGTGGTCCAACGGTAGGATAATTGCCTTCCAAGCAATTGGCTCGGGTTCGACTCCCGACGGATGCAGTTTTTTATTTCATTTTTTACCCTCTTTTGTCCGGCTTTTGCTCGTGCGCCGAGAGCATATGTATCGCAAGCAACAGGTTTTGACGAGAGGGGTAGTAAAAAACAACAGATGCAAGATCAAGACGTCATTATATATTCCCTTAAACAAACCCAACCCGCTGAACGTCAACGACGGAGCGCCCATGATACGTATAGTATGTATATGCAGCAAACCCAGCACCGGTATCACCAAAGCAACGGAAAGCAAAGCAAAGCAAGACGAAACGAGAAAAAAAATCCCCCCAACACCGTAATCCAACGACAGAGAGCCCATTATACTCTCTGCAAACACAACCCGAACGCCAACGTATGCCTGCCAGACTTGCTTGACCGGTCGATTCCACGAATGCCATCGTTCTCAACTAAGGGATGGCCCTCTCCATAGTCGCAGTGCGATCCTTAATGATCCCCACCCTCGCCAGGGCGCCCATGATCGCGCTCCTCCTCGAAGTAGCCGACGGCTGCTCGGACGGCGATGGCTCGGGAGACGGGGTCGTCGTCGTCGTCGTGACCTGCGAGCGCATCTCCATATCTCTCTCGCCGGCACCCCTGCCGGTACCGGTACCGGTGATGCCCAGCACTCTCAACCCGCCGAACAGCGCCAAGACGAGGAGGAGGAACGCCGTGATCCCGCTCAAAGCCACTCTTGCGCGGAAGTTTAGCTCGCTCTCGCCGACATGTCCGCTCTGCTGCACGCGCGCCTTGCGGCTGGGGAACGTGTTGTTCGGATCCATGATCTCGGCGACGGTGGCGACGGCCCAGGCCACGCCGAGGATGAACGTTAGTACCGCGGTGCTGCCGTGGCGCGAGAGCGGGCGGTAGTACGCGACCAGCACGGTCAGGTACAGGAGCGACAGGATCGCGAGCGCCGTGGTCAGTAGGATTGCCCTACGTGAGTGAGCGAGTGGGTCAGCTTGGCGGTTGGTGAGGGACGGAGTGAGCGGAGGAGAACACACCAGAACACGACGATCCGCGCCTTGAGCTCCCGTCCGATCTTTGCGGCGGCGAGGATGAAGATCGAGAAGATGGTGATGACGCACACGCTCAGCACGACGAAGGCCGCCTCTTTTCGCGTGCCGGATGATGGGCGCGGCATGGCTGGCTGGCTGGCTGGCCGAGTACGGCCCGCAGTCGACGCGAGGTGGCTAGTGCTAAGCGACGACTGACATGTGGTGTTGGCGGTGCGGGGGATGTTGGCGACGACGACGCGGTGTTGGAACGGCGGGTTTTCGTGTGATGATGGCGTCGGCTGTCAGCTGCTGTGGTTTGTGTTCTCTCGTCTCGTCAACTGCGCAGCGCACGAGCTGTCGTTGTGGTGCAGCTGTAACTAAGCCTGCAACGGAGAAGCGAAGTGCAGCGACGCCACGGCCCACGGTTGCTAAGAATAGCCTCAGCCCAGTGTTGAGTTTCTGAGTGTGGACTCTGGAGTTGCTGTGCTGTGGAGTACCCGTAGCAGCAGTAACCATGGCAACAAGCAGGATGCCGAACAAGTTTGGCCATCGTGTGGTGATGTCTGCGGCCCCACTCGACTCCGCCAGGCCGCTTTCGACAAGCTCGATGGAAAACAAGCTTTGTGGATTGCGTCGATCATCCGATCGGCTGCATCGACGACGAGGACGGAAAAGTGTGAAGATCAGGCCATAATGTGGGTCGTGGTTTGCAGCAAACAGCTCGTGTTCGCATTTTTTGGCTGGTGAGGAAGACCCGACAAAGACAGCGGGAAGACAGGACAAAGACAGCGTGAAGACAAGACAAGACAGCGGAAGACAGCAGGTGCTCGGGGGGCAACGGAGGCAAGGGAGAGGGAGCAGTGGAAGGGAACAGATGTTTGGTAAATGTGGGGGACCGCGCAGCAAACTGCAAGTGGGGCGCATGTAGAGCAGAGCGGGCATTGTGTGTTGCCGAGATCCGCGCAATGCAAGCGTCACAATACCATCATCGTCATCATCGTCATCGCCGTCGTCGCCCGTCTTCACCCCGCACAACGGTACCTACCGGCACGCTCCGAGTGGGATGCGATTGGGAATGGACGTCACCTACTTAATCCTGCGAACCCTCCTGGTTCGACGTCCTTTCTCCACGGCATTAAAGATCCTCTTCCTGTTCCTTTGCTCCCGTGCACGAAACGCCATTGCCAACCGCGAACTGGAAGCCACCTGCTACCTTCTCCTTCTACTGTTGTTCCCGAAGCAGAAGCACAAACATGTCGCTTTCAAAACACGTAGGTCTCTCCTCTCCAGAGTGAGTGAGTGTGACCCCGAATGCTCACGATCAATCCAAGATCGATCCGGATGAGCTCATCGCCTCGCTCCGCGAGAACCCGATCAAGCACCGCCCTCTCGCCCACCACGGCGCCGACAGCTCCACCAGCCACAATGTCTACGGCAGCCGGTACCACACCGACGTCGCGATCCCCAAGTTCCGCATGCCTGAGAAAGGCGGAAACACCCAGTCCATCTACCAGATCATCAAGGACGAGCTGGATCTCGACGGCAAGCCGAATCTGAACTTGGCGTCGTTCGTGAATACCTTCATGGATCCGTATGCCGACAAGTTGATGGCCGAGAACATATCCAAGAACCTCGCCGATGCCGACGAGTACCCCATCGTCCAGGCTATCCATTCGAGGTGCATCTCGATGCTCGGAAATCTGTGGAATGTGCCGAAGGGGGAGACGGCGATCGGTACGGCGACTACGGGAAGCAGTGAAGCTATTCATCTGGGAGGTCTGGCCTTCAAGAGGCTGTGGCAGCAGAAGAGGAGAGCCGACGGAAAGAGCACTGAGAAGCCAAACATCATAATGGGCGCGAATGCGCAGGTCGCACTCGAGAAGTATAATGCGCATCCTTCAACTTGACGGGCAGTCTGTGCTAACGACGATCCAGATTCGCAAGGTACTTCGAAGTGGAAGCGCGCATCCTCCCCGTGAGCGCCGGATCGCACTACTGCCTCGACGCAAAGTTGGTCCGTGAGAACATCGATGAGAATACCATCGGCGTCTTCGTGATCCTAGGCAGCACGTACACCGGCCACTACGAGCCTGTCGAGGAGATTTCTAAGATCCTCGATGCATACGAGCAGGAGACTGGCCATGAAATTCCGATCCACATTGACGGTGCTTCAGGAGCCATGGGTACGCCCTCTCCTCCGGGTTTGAATTGAAATTTATACTGACAATCCCCCAGTTGCCCCTTTCACAAACGCCGTCGACGGCCTCTGGGACTTCCGCCTCCCCCGCGTCCACTCTATCTCCACCTCTGGTCACAAATTCGGCCTCGTCTACCCTGGTCTCGGCTGGGCAATCTGGCGCTCCGATAAGTGGCTTCCCAAGGAGCTGATCTTCGAGCTGCACTACCTCGGCGGCACGGAGCAAACCTTCACCCTCAACTTCTCGCGGCCATCGGCGCAAGTGATCGCCCAGTACTTCAACTTCCTCGCGCTCGGCAAAGAAGGTTACAGCAATATTATGCATAACGCGCTATGTAATGCTCGCCTATTGTCGAAGGCTCTCGAGGCAAGCGAGTGGTACACGTGTGTTTCCGATATCCACCGCAAACGTGGGAACTGGGGCGGCGAGGCGCAGAGTAAGCTCGGTGTCATCTCGAATGACGATGCGAAGTTGTACAATCCCGGCCTGCCGGTGGTTGCTTTCCGTCTCAGCGATGAGTTCCGTAAAGAGTATCCGCATGTCAAGCAGCAGTCCGTCAGCACGCTGCTGAGAGTCAAGGGTTATATCATCCCCAGTAAGTCTTCCGCTCAGACAACTTGATCCTTCCTCCACTGACCACCCAAGACTACAATCTTCCCCCCGCCGTCGAAGGCACCGAGATCCTCCGCGTCGTCGTTCGCGAGAGCATGAGCGTCGACCTGCTCGACATGCTGATCGCCGATATCCTGTCGACGACCGAGACGCTGATGAGCTGTGACGCGGGCGACATCGACGCCTTCGCGAGGCCGCAGGCGCCGCGCATCGAGAAATCCGTGCAGAGCCTTGGAAAGAACAGTTGGATGGGCCGCAGCATCGCTCTGCTCGAGAAGTATGTGGAGCCGTGGGAGAGACATAACGGGCCCGCGGGCATGGAGGCGAAGAAGGAGCACGAGGAGCACCAGGGCGAGACGACTTCGAGTACTGCTGCCACTGCTGCTCCTGGTGCCGAGGAGAGGTTTGGAGGCCTCATGAAGAAGTGGAGGTCGAAGGGCGTGTTTAGTGCTACCTGTTAGACCCGCAGCGTGTTATCTAAAAGCCCATGAATGCAATTGAGCTTGATGTCAAGACGTGGACCGTGCGTGGACCGTGGGTTGATCTCGTCACTGTGAGCCGCTGAAGTCTATGACGCCATGATTCTGCACCGTCCTGGACTAAACCTAGCTGCGACTGCAGTATATATCACCTATGTAGAGTACCCACAACCCCATCCTCGTATGAACTCTATCCTCAGGTCAAGATGTCACCCTCCCCCCGAATTCTAATCCTCTTATTCCGCCGGGACCTGCGGCTTCACGACAACCCGCTCTTCACCATCACCGCGCAAACGCAGCACACGCATCTCCTACCACTCCACATCCTCAGCCCACTCTCACTCGAAGTCAGCGGCCTCCTCAGCAATCCACAGACACCATGTCCATACCCGCAGACCCGCTCCACGCTCGGGAAGTTCTGGAAATGCGGACCGCACCGCGTCAAGTTCCTGTCCGAGTCCCTGTGGGACCTTAAGACGTCGCTGCAGAAGCTCGGTAGCGACCTCGTGCTCCGTGTGGGACGGCCGGAGGACGTGCTGCAGGGGGTTATTGAGGGGTTGAGGAAGGATGGAGCGGAGGTGGTGGGTGTCGCTATGGCGGATGCGGTGGGCGAGGAGGAGAGGACCGAGGTAGGGAAGGTGAGGAGTGTGGCGGAAAGGTTGGGAGTCGAGTGGATGGGGACGGAGGACGGGAGTTATCTCTACAGCTTGTACTTTCCCACCTGCTCAGGATGGGTTCACGGGCTGACGCACAAACCAGAAAGGACCTCTCCTTCTCGCCGAAAGACACGCCGGCGGTATTTACCAGCTTCCGGAAGACGGTCGAGCCACTGCGGCAGACGATTCCTCCCGCGCAACCAACCCCCACCACGCTCTGTCCGCCCCCCCCGTCCATCCCTCCACAGCCCGAACCATTCAGCATCCCGCCCACCCTCTTCAGCCTCATCACGGCGCTCCAATCGCCACTAGCCGACCTCGGCCTTCCCGGCCCACCACTGGTATATCCCCCCGGCGCCACGAGCGCACACGCTTTCGAGGGCGGGGAAACGGCCGCCCTGCAGCGAGTGCAGCACCTCCTCGCCAGCGGCGCAGTCACCCGCTACAAGGCCACCCGCAACGGCCTAGTTGGGGCCGACTTCTCCACGAAGCTCTCGGGTTACCTCTCGCACGGCTGCGTTTCCGCGCGGCGCGTGCACGGCGCCCTCCTCTCCTTCGAGGACGGCGCTGACCCCGCCGATCCCGCCTACGCCTCCGCCCCCGGATACGGCAAAGGCGAGAACGCCGGCACCGCAGCCGTGCGCTTCGAGCTGCTATGGCGTGACTTCTTCCGTCTAACGGCACTACAAGCGGGCGCGGGGCTCTTCTCACTGCACCCCATCCCCCGCCCCAGTAGCTACAACAGCGCGATCTGGCACCCCGCCACACCTTCCCCCACCCTCTCCCGCTTCCTCCGCGGCACAACCGGCTGCTCCCTCGTGGACGCGAGCCAGCGCGAGCTCTACCACACAGGCTGGACCAGCAACCGCGCGCGGCAAAACGTAGCCTCGTACCTTGCAAAGCGTCTGCGCATCGACTGGCGCGTCGGCGCAGAGTGGTACGAGCAGCTGCTCGTCGACTATGATGTTGCCAGCAACTGGGGGAACTGGAGGTATAACGCCGGCGTCGGGAATGATCCCCGCGGCGATAGGGTTTTTAATCAAATTAAACAGAGCAAGGATTATGGGGCTGGGGAGTTTGTCAAGATGTGGGTACAGGAGTTGAGGGCGGTGGAGGAGGGGGAGGGGTTGTGGGCGCCCAAGATGTTGAAAGGCAGGGAGAGGGAACGGGTTTGTGAGCATGGTCAGGAGGCGAGGGAGTTGGTCGAGAGGCCGTTGGTGGTTATTCACGGTGGTGGTGGTGGGGGCGGCGGGAAGGGGAGGAATGGTGGTGGTGGTGGAGGAGGTGGCGGAGGTGGCGGAGGTGGCGGACATGACAAGAAGAAGGGAAAGAAGGGAAAGAACCACGGCGGCGGCGGCGGCGGTGGCGGAAAAGAGGCGAGGGTGGGGAAAGAGGGGATATGATATCTATACATTAGGTAGCTCGCTCTCACTACCATCACTAGCAAGCAGGCGTGTACACTACTTTTTTTTGTTTCATCATCGTAGCATTCGACCTTAGCAGATGTGTGTACACTACTTTCATAAATGAACCCTCCCCCCCTCCCCCCCAGACAGACAGACATAGAGCCGAGTGATCTCCCATGAATTGTGAACACAACCACTGTTAGTAGTATCTATTACTGCTGGGCCGCGCTCATAACCTGTGGAGAATGTGAGTGTGAGTGTGATATTGTTCAGTTGCGTACTCTAACTACGCTAGCCAGCTCGCATCCCCGAGTTCGGGCGCACGCATGTTAGTTGGCGCTGTTGGAGATAATGATACCTATCCATCGGAGGAGGAGGAGCAGGAGGATAAAGAGAGAGAGAGAGAGATCTTCCTGTTTTATATCGCATGCAGCCTATGGGAGGAGAATGAAAGATGAATCGCCACGAAAAGTAAAGTCCTGAGTGATACCGATGACGCGTGCAAAACCGTCCGGCGTAGATGGGCCACTAACCATGTAACTACAGAGGAGGAGGAACGGGAAGAGGGCGTGACTGTGTGAGATGTGGTGACTGCTCACCGCTGTGATGGGCTAATACATATGTTGGTACCTGGAGGGAAGAGCGAGTGATACAGAACCTCACGCCCATCAGCCCTTCAGGGCCGCTAACTCGGGACAGCATTCCGTAACTTGCAAGAACACGGACTAATTAGGCGACGGACGGAAAGACACACCGAGGAGGAGGAGCAATTGCCACCACCACCACCACCACCACTGTCGAAATGGCCACTGTCGAAATGGTACATACATGACTTACGTACCGCGGACTTGCGAGATTTACGCTATGTACTGTACTGTACGATCGTCGGGGCGGAACTTTGGTGCAGATGCAGATGTACTCTACATAGGTATGCATTTGGGCAATGTTTCCGCTTCCATTTCGTTTCGGACTGGGCAGTAGGCCGTGACCACTGACCACTGACCACTGACTACTGACTAGAGGATAGTTACGGCGAACCCAACCCAACCCAACGGCCGTCGATCTCGACTCTCAAGTTCCAGGCAGCAGTAGTTAGCAGCAGTAGCAGCAGTAGCAGCAGTAACAGTAACTAGCAGCCGAGTCTACCCAGCTCCAAGCTTCAAGCCCGGCTTGCGGCCATGGGCGTTTCCCGGTCTCGTCTCGTCTCGTCTCGTCTCCTGGGATATCCAGCCAGCCAGCCAGCCAGCCAGCTCTCGCGACAGCAGCTAACCACCTAGCAGTTAACTTCAGCCCAACCCCGCAGACACACTCTCCAGGCTCCAGCTCGTGACCATGATCATGATCATGACCAAGACCATGACACACCGATTCCGGTACATGTCCATCTACTGACTGCTGACTACATACTCACACGGCCGGAAATTTTGGCCGTGTGAGGACTGACTAGATTACTGACTACTGACTACTGACTAGATTACTGACTACTGACTACTGACTATTGACACATCGATTTCCGCTATCCGCCATCCGTCGCCTTCGCCTTTGGGGCCCTAGATCCAGAGTAACTAGAGTCTGCACCCAAATTCTACAGTAGTCGTCTACACACCCGCTTGCGATCGACCGACCGTGGTCCGTGGGCTGTACAGTGTATGTACGCATCTATGCATATATGCATAGATGTAAGTATGAACATGTATGCTCGCTCGCGAGTCAGACTCACCGCTCAGCTCAGCTCATTGTCGAGACTCGAGGACCAGCCGCCATCGCCATCGCCGAAATCAGAATCTTCACCTCCATGTGCAGCTCCCCGATCCGGAGGAGCGAGGGAAAGAGCCAGGGAAAGATGGGATGGTGTGGGGTAGGGTGTGGGGAATTTCCAAGTCTGAGTCTGAGGAAGTGATGTGGGCCACTGCGAGCTGTGACCGTGACTGTGTCCGTGCAAGCAAGCAGCCCAACTAGCTAGCTCTATGTAGCCGTGCGGATTCAAAGAAGCGAGAGTTCCAGCAGCTCGAGAGAGAATCCCGGCTGCATAGACCACTGTGAGCTGTGATTCAGCCCAGCCCAAGTCAGGACCAGTCACCAGTCCCCAGTCACCCACTCCAAGACCACCCCCCCCAGAGCTACCGGAACTAACTTGCACAGTTGTCCAGCCGCAAACAAGCTCGTGGCTCGTAGCTCAGCCCGCAAAACGTGAGAGTAAGAGTGAGAAGCGAGGGGTATATATTGTATTGTACGTACATGTACAAATGCTCTCATGTCGAAATGATTACGGTATGCTATTATGCATCCACTAGTTGTGCCGGAGATAGGAAGAAGACGGAAGAGAGGTTTTCTTCTGCAGAGAATGCTCTTGGACAGGTCTTCTCGAATCTCGATGCCACATACGACGTTTCTGGCCGTGAGTACACTCAAAGCAGCTTCTACTCCACTGTAGGTAGTCAACCGAGTAAGAATGCCGTCATTTCCGGTGCTCGCCAAGTAACAAGATGTATGTAGCCACATATCTACCTACATACACACTGATGAACGGCTGGAAGCTACTCATAATTGATGGGTATAAACGGCAGCGGCAACGGAAACGGGAAGTGTATTCCCACTTCCAAGCAAGTGTGGTCACCGACTCACCGCCGCTTACCTCGTTCCCCGTCTTCATCTTCAAAGTTCAGGGCTGAAGTTGAAGCTGAAGTTTACACAGTGCTAAGGCGAGGTGAAGGCTACCTACTCCGGCGAAGGTTCTTGGTGATACTAGTAGTTACTGGTCAGCATCCATCCATTCATCCAGCATCCAGCTGCTCGAAATAGCGGCATCACGCATTGCTAATATCATAATATCATACCATCGTAGACGGACATATCTGTAGGTACCATCAAAACTTCACGTCACCGCCCACCAAGCCCCCAGCTTTCCGCACCACTGCATCTTCATTTCATTTCATTCCGGCCATTTCATTCATCACCGACGAGAAAGAAAGTGCACCTCGAGTGATTTCGCGTGAACCACGGTTTTGATGGATATTGGATATTGAGCCTTCACCCACGCCGCCGCGCCGCCGCGCCGCCGGGCTGCCGCTGCGTTCTGGAGATCACCGTGTATGATCCGTTTGTTTGTTCTATGTATCCAGCCGACAGACAGACAGACAGACAGCAACAGCAATAATGAACCCATCCATGCACCGGTGCGGCGCTGTGGGTATGCATACATATGTCAATGTAGGTACCGGTACGCTCCGGCGGAGGTTGCATATATGTACCCCTCTACCTACCTACGCAGCTACATACGCTGTAGTATGTAGGTGGAGAATGTAAGGTACGGTGCAATTCTCCGGCAGGCCGTAGGCCGCAGTACTTTCGTGGCGCTGCGCGGCGGCGGGGGCAGCGGCGGAGGTGCAGAGTACCTGATCAATGATCAGTGATCACTCGAGAGAGACCCGACTCCCGAATACTTCCGGGGCGACCAAAATGCAATGCAATGCGGAAAAAAAATGCACCCATTCCATTGACGAACCCGCCGCATGAGGGGGGGTGGGGTAGGAGGGGGGAGGGGATTCCGCACTTCTTGCGGTGAAGACGGTTTCCTTGGACCCCGGGTGCGGATGCAATTTCACTTTTCACCCCAATACTTTGGGGACTGACCGACCGACCGAAACGGATGAGCGCCACCCCGCCCCACCGCCCCTTGCTTCGCGCTCGTCTACTTGAGTAAAAACCGGTCATTTGCGTCGCCGCCGCCGCCACCACTGGACGAAACGGGACAGGCATATACGGTAGAGTAGGTACGGCAGCGGCGGCGGCGCGGTCGTTCCCTCGTGCATAGGACCATATGTAGGTCCAGCAAAATTCACCGTGATTGTATATTCTTTCACATGGTCTAAATCACGGATATTCTTGCGCTCCGACGGACAAGATGGAGGAACTGCTGGACCCCGCCGGTCAAGCTCTTCATTCACATGCCATAGAATGCGGTCATCGTCGCGGTGGTCCAACGCCAGCCATGTCCGCGAATTTACTCTAGTTTGTCGTCCCTTACCTTCCGTGAAATCCTGCAAGTCATCCATCCCCCTCATCTCTTCCGCATGGTTGCCGCCACCGTATGTACTCTAGAGCGGACGGACGGAATGGGCATCGCGTGTTCTCATTCTCCAATATTGGTCATGATGATATTCAGTCGGTGACCTTGACTTGCAAGTTGCAACTGTATCGGATGGATGCTCGACACGACCGCCCCACTCCCATCGCACCAATCGCACCCATTCGCACCGAAACGAGCACATCGACTATACCGCCCCAGACTCGTGCTCGGGGATCACCATATGAATCTTTAGCCCCCACCGTAGGCCGGGTGAAACATCGCGGGGTCCGTCCTACGCGAGTGATAGCACGTGCCCCGGTCGTCCTGAGCATGTATCTATGTACTCGAGTGACGTGCCATGAGAGTCCTAGGCGCTCGCATACGCCTGCACCTCGCCGATAGGTCAGCAGCTCGGTCACACTCGTTTCGTCTCGTGTGGTCGGTCTCTGCGTAGTTTTTTTTTTTAGTTTTTTTCCTCTCTCTCCGGGTTTCGTTTCTCGTACGTGTTTTGCCATCGGGAGGCGGGGTGGCGGCCCGTGCTAACTAGCTGTGCAGAGCTCTAGAACTTGTCGGTGCAGAGAAAATAACCTCACTAGTTCGACAGTCTGCGACTCCATGTCAGCGCCGTTCGCCGCACCCGACGACTTGCTTCCCTTCCCTCCCGCCGCGCCACAAACAGATCGGACACGCGCGGGGCGCTGCGTAGAGTATGGTAGATTTGAAATGGAGTGGAGAAAAACGTGCGTCAATTGAATCGACGGGCATCGTGGCTTTTCCTCCATCGGCGGTATGTATGCATCTCTGGAGCCTTCACATCACATCAACAACCAACGAAAGAAAAAAGAAAAAGAAAAAGAAAAAGAAAAAAGAAGAAAGGAAGAAAGAAAAAAAAGCTCAAAAAAGCTCCGATATGTATTCTCTGGAGTGTGGTGTGCTTGTGCTCGTGCTTGTGCTTGTGCTTGCGTGTGTGTGTGTGAGAGGTGTGTGAGAGGTGTGTGCGCAAGAAGAATCGACATATAGACTACTTCCGTTAGAAAGTACTTGTCTGGGTGTTGGACTGTTACGTTACCATGG